AGTACAAGAAACAGTTGATTAAAATTGAAAACAAAGGTATCACTGGAACTTATTCATTCAAACTCGAAAATATTCACGAAGTTGTGAAAATGTTCGACGAATATATTCCTTAGAGCTGATAATGTTTCATCAAAATTCATTCTCGTGAAAAGTACATCATTTTCTCCATATTACAAATATGATCATATTGTTGAGCTATTTCTTCAAAACAAATAGACAGAGAAATGGATTTTCTTTCGTCAAACTTGATTCCAATTCGGGAAAAAACGCTTTTGTCATAATTTTGACGCTTTTGGCCTAATATTTATGTCAAAGTTGTTAAATAGTCTGTGTCAAATTTGTTTTGTGATTTTGTTAATTTTTCTAATTGTTTTAATTGTTTTTATTTATCTAAATTTTGTGAATTTCGAATAATCAACAAGTCAGGAATCATTTCTAACAATAATTTTCAAAAGGTAAATAGAATTTCTTAATTTTTCGTTTATTTTCTTTTTTTGTTTACGATTTTAATGAGCTTTTTTTTCAAATTGCCTAGTTAACTATGGGTAACAAAATCTGTGTTTTGATGATGAAATTAACAATTTCCAATTATTTTGATCTCGATTTTACGGAGGAAGATAATCGAAACTCAATTTCTATGGATTTCGAGGAAGATATTCAAGATATGGAATTAGATATTCCAGAAGATTCACTCATGGATTTTGAAAAAGAAATTGAATCCATGGATTTTGTCTTTAGTAACCTTGGCGTTTATTAACAAATTCATAAAAGAAAAGCCAAATTACAAATTGAAAAGTTCAAAAGTGACAAAAAGCCAAATTAAGTGTTCCTGTTTTTTACAACAAAATTCTACTTGAATATTAATCGTTAGAATTTTATTTTCAACTAAAGAATCTCACAAAATCATATCTATTTATTTCTATCTTCATAAATTTGTTACTTTTCCAATCTGTTGCTATTTTTAAATTTGTTACCCAAAATCTCAAAATTTTATTTTCCAAATATCTAGAAAATTATCCTATGAATCTGATAAAATTCTATTCTCAAGTCTCGAATAAATTCAAATAAATACAAGTTATAAATTTTAAAGAAAATTTGGAATTAATTCCATACAATTGTGGAAAAACTTTCTTTTTGTCGAATTAAAAATGACGGAACCTTAAACATTCAGTCTAGTTCAGAGTCTCTACTGAATTATTCTGAAAACCTTCTCTGATTCAGCTCTGAAACAGAAAATTGTCAGATTGGTTCAGAAAACTTTTATATGTTGATTGGGTAAATAATAATCAAGCTAAGTTGATTATTTAATTTGGTAAACATTGAATACACTGTACAACTTTGGGTCATTTGAATTAGTTAGACAGACATACACGTTAGTTGATTAGTTTACAGCAATTTAATTAAATGGGATTGGGAATTAATTGTGTTTACATTGATGATATAATGAGGAAAAAAAATCAAAGAGCCAAAAATAACAACAACAATAATAGTGATTAAATTGAAATAAACACAATCAGTTTAATGATAATATTATCATCAGTTGGATAAACTAAATCAAGATTAATTTATATTAATCATATGAGCCACTATAACATTATAGCAAAAATTAATTACAAGAATGTTAATTGTTAATTATATTTGGTTATCACTTTTGATGATTGATACACAATTAAGTGTAAATTTATCAATCAATTAGTAAACAATTAGCATTGAACATTGGCCGATACCATTAACAGTTCAAGAGTTACAATCAATCAATCAATCGGCTGATTTACTAATCACTTCTCATCGTGATGATTAAAAGTGATTAACTTGATTGTTTGAAACTTGGAAAACTAATCAACTTTGTTTTATCAACAGGAGAATTTTTTTCTTCTTCTTTTTGTTTGTTCCAAATTCTGATAATCTGATATGTATTATTACGATTACATGGAGTGTTATTTTCATCACGGTTTTCTATTCATTGGATTGAATTTGTATTAACAATTTATATTTGATTATTGGATTAGAATTGGGAAAACAAATATTATTATTATTGAGAAAATAGCCTGAGGCTTATTGACATTTGATATTATTATCATAATAATAATGAAACTTTTAGATTGAAAGACAAATGAAAATAAAAGACTTATAATGTTACTTGTAATTCATAATACAAACTGATTTATATTCAAAGTTTCCCTGTTTCCCTTGATTGTGATAAATTGTCACTTTCCATCATTAATAACAATCAATTCTAATTCAATAATGATACTTTTGTCTAATGGTATTGATTGTCACAGTGGTTTGTTTATTACTTCATCATGATAAATATTTTTCCATGGATTTCAACTGATTTCATTTCTAACTGATTGTCCAGCTCACGATTTTCAATTGGTCAACCTGGAAGATGAAAATTATGACAGAACTTTTCTCAGCAATTCTGTCTTCATATGTTTCATCTTGTTTTTTTTTCTTCTGTCAAAATTTTTTATCCTCATCTTATTGGTCACTTTCATTTCTTTCTCTCTCTCTCTCTCTCTCTCTCTCTCTCTCTCTCTCTCTCTCTTTAACTGACCAACACTCTAAGTATCGGTCAAAGTAGAGTTAGTTTTAACTTCATATTTTCACTCTGTATTTTGAGTGTCTACGTGTATTTGTATTACTATTTTTTTCATTGTTTGGACAATTTAACTTTAGACAAGTTTGTAAACAACAATATTAACTGATGGACAATCAACTGACCGGTAGTATGTTTTATTACCAATTGATAAATATGCTCGAAAATTGGTCAGAGAAAAATTGTAAAGGTTTGGAATTTTATTCCAATTTGAAAGTAGAAAAACAGGGAATAAATAGAGAACAAATAATAGAAAAGTTCAAAACGAATGTCAGAATTTGTATTAGATAAAAATTCTGATAGAATAAAAGTTTTCACCTTAATCTTTTTCTCTTTCAACTCTCAACATGTGATCATAATTCAAACAAAATCGTAGTATTCAGTAGATTTATCCTTTTGTCTCGATTTCGATTCTCATTACTCTCAAGTTGACTAAAGCTGGAATTTATTATTATAATAATAAAGAGAAATATATATATGAAAAGAGTAAAACTGGACATTGAAAATAATGATATGCAAAAAAAGAAGAAGAAAACATGATGATGATGATGACGATTAAAGAGATGATAAGTTCTTGATTCATGGGTATATGAGTTATGAGGAATGAGAAGATAAAGATGAAAGGTTAGAAGTAATTTTAATAATGGTTATCATGTTGATGACAAAAACTTTTTGTCTTTTCAAACTGAATATCATCATCATGGTAATTATTATATGAACAATTATCTCTTAGGCATCAAAAGCATCAAAAGTAACCCAAAGTAACCTAAAAGTAATAAAAACCTAAAAATATCCTAGATCATGATAAGAACCAGAAAACCAAATATAATAATCTTAATATCGATGATATGATGAAAAAAAAGTGAGCCAAATGATAACCGACACATCATCAGTATATTATCAAGTCTAGTGTACAATTAAGTGATTACCTGAAAGATAATCATTATTAATAACGTTATCTTTGCATAGATAATCAAAATCAACTCATTTCCAGGTAAAACTTTCAAATTTAAAGGTAATATTGACATTCAATGACGATGTGATCAATTAATATTATATTGAAATTGATATAAACTAAAACAATACAAGATTGTATCATTTATATTAATAGTTTCCAAGTAAAATGTTAAATAAACTTACATTGTTAGTTATCATTTAGTAATCTTTTTAAATGATCAACAATAACTTTTATGATGATTATTGTTTGAAAATGGATAATAGTTAATAGTTGAAACGTTGATTAACCATTTGATTGGTTGATATGATTAATATCAATCATTAAATTGCTACTGTAACATTATTACAACTTTCATTCCAATTAGTTAATTGTATTGTTTTTCTGTTTTTTTTTCGATGGATTTTTGTTCCCTTTGCATGTTAACCCATCTCAAGCTTAAATGTATTACCATGATGATGATGATGATGATTATAAACAAATACACAGACCATTTATATTTATCATCGTTATTAACATCATCATCATCTTCATGAGACTGAGTCACGAATGAATATAATATAAAATATTATATTTATTTCAGTTCTCTTTTTCCTTAAGTTCTCATTTCATTATATTTTAGTTCATCAGAATTCAGTTCATTTTCATGAACTTATTTGAACAGCAACTTTTCATTTCTGACTCTCTCTCTCTCTCTCTCTCTATCTCACTCGCTAACTTACTCCATCTTCTTATCATCATTATCGTCTGTTGCTTTTTATCATCAAACTTTTATAAATGATATTTCAATTCAATTTCATTCGAAAAAGGAAGAGAAGTAGAAAATTTTTCTTCTTTTTTCATCTTTTATCCATATTTTCCATTATTTTTTTTTACCTCAACTTGTAACTTCCTTTTTCTCTCATCTTCCGTTTTAACTCCCACCAATAGTTGAGCCTCATTCCCTTTTCGAGGTTTATTATATTATGGAAAATGGATGTGAAATGAGAAATGAGAAAAAATTTTCTCATTTTCTTTATCATTCTGACTCTCTCATTTCATTTTGTACCTTTTATCATGTTTCATCTTATTTACCTGTCGCTCTCTCACTTACTCATTCTTTACTTTCTCTCTGATGAATATCTGTTTGCTCATTTGATGAAAGATTCAGTAAACATCATCAGTTGAGTGAGAAGAGCAAAATTCAACAATATCAAATCTATCAAGATGATGTTGGAACATCATTGATGATAAATATCATCATCCTTGATAGATTCTGATAGCTGTACATGAAAACAAGAAGCAAAGTACCAAGAGAGAGAAAGAGAAGAGAGAGAGCTCAATCATGTAATGATGAAATTTAAATTTCTATTTCTGGATTCGACAGAAAAGTAAACAGATAGCAATCGAGTACTCAGATTAAGTACACATTACTAATCCATCAATAATTAAGATCAATAGTCTTACCTCATTAAATCCAAGTAGAAAAGCATCAGCAAGCTTTGAATGTATCTTCTTGTAATCAAATGGTTCGACAGTGTAACGAGATTTAACTGTTTCACAGATAATCCGATGTGACCAATGGATATAAGGACGTCCAAGTATAAAATATTCCTTCAAAAAGGGAGTTAACTTCATCTTAATCTCTGGCCAAATGGATTTGGATGTTGTTTCTGATAATGAATCAAAATAACCTTTTTTATCCTCATTCTCATTGAGATTATCTTTCTTAACTTGTTCCTCAGGTTGACCACTAATATTATTATTTTCATCACCTCCAATGAGATCAATCAATTCTTCCTCCCTTAATCCATAACGTGTACCTGATAAGTAGGTCAATAGGCGATCAATTACTGAACAGCTTAACGTTTTCTTTAGATCATTAATAATTTTATCAATAATCTGTTCAATGTTCACAGGAATATCAGTTAATTCAAGTTTACAAGTGACATTATCATTACTTTTATCACTTGATTCTGTCATCATCATTGTTGATGATGTTGTTGTTGTTGTTGTTGCTGTTGTTGGCTTGACCATTAGTCCCTTGAGTATTGAATCAGTTAGTAATGAAACATACAATGGTGTCAATTGATTATCTTTCAGATCTATTGAATTGAAATGATCACTTAAAAGGTTCCAAATACTATCAGGTAATAACAATGTTTCAGTTGAACTTTTTGCTGATTCTTGATGTACCTCTTGGAGAGATGATTGTTGGTCTATTGGTATTGATTGGCTGTATGTTAGTCTACATGAAATCATTGAGAGGATTTGTGATGTTGATTCTAATGGAGATAATTTGATTACATTGTCACTTGGAATTCGTGATTTAAGTAGACTAACAACTGAATCAGCTGATTCAGAAACAGAACAGATTAGATGAACAGAAGGAGGTAAAGTCCATGGTAACCATCCGAGAATTGTTGAGGTTTGAAGTGATTTAAGAAGATGTAGATCATCAAGAACAATTACTAAATCATTGGTTGGACAGGTTGTCTCAATGAGCTTAAGTAAATCATGAAACCACAGGGAAAGTGAGGAAAGTTCATAGACAATATCAGTTCTCATTTCGAATCCATAGAGAAGGGTAATGTCAATGCATAGAGATCTTATAAGCTCAGAGGTGTAAGATGAAGATGGACTTTGTCCAATGTGTCGAACAACCTTGATAACATCACAATTAGCTGATAACCAATCGGAACAATAAGTGAAAACTTGACTGAGTAACATTGATTTACCAACACCTTCCGATCCAATGACAACAATGGGTCGATGACGTTGACCACTTAGAATGGACTTTTCATGAGATGAAGTTTGCATTAGAATACGAATTGATTCCAATGATGATAAATGTTGATAACCATCTTGAATTGGACTTAATTTAGATGGAGATGGGGTTGATGATGAACTTTTCACTTCTGATATTTGTTCTTGCGGAAATGTAGCCACTGTGGGGTTTGTTGATAAATCACTTGGTAAAATTTTTCCGATACTGGAATCACAATTATCAACACAACTTGTTGGTCTTATGATTGTTTCTCGTCCCAAAGTTGACATTAATTTACGTGTATTACACATACAGGAATGAGATTCCCGAATAATTTCCGGAATAAATGCAAAACAATTGTTAGACTTATTAACAGCTTCTTCAATTGAATCAGCTAAAGATTGATGAAGCTGCGATGATGTTAAATCGGAGCTCTCACGACTTAAACTTGATTCCGAATGATGAGACATAATTGGTTTACACGGGAGTCCACGAGATGAAAGTTTATAATGGCGGAACTTATTAGCTAACTACGAAATTTGAGGACTGAATGTAGCTCTACACTGAATTTAACTGATAACAATTAACGAGAGCAACTTTTCATAACTTAATATGATGTTGAAACGATAACTAATCAACACAAAGTTAAATGCGATGAATTCATAACTTTTACTGTTTATTAAAATTCAGATGATTAATATTATGTTTGATTGGTATCGTCAACTGATTGATTCACTTTTAACTGATGAAAATGTTTGTAGTTATTTTTTAACAAAACTTTCAGGTTGAAATGTAAGGTAATGTTAGTTCTGGGAAAGAAAAAGTAAACTGAGTTGATCCATCAAGAATCATAATCACCATAAACATTGAATCGCGCATCCGATTTTATTGTAACTCAACATTGAACTATTACATCGTTTGAATTGTTAAACTAATAGATTATCAATTTTGAATAAATTTAAATTCACATGAAATCAGAAAGACAAAATTAGTTCGCAATATTGTTAATTTATTATAATTATTTATGTATTAATTGAGAGGAAGCTTTTAATGATTGAAGAAATCTTCAATTCGAACCAAGAAATTATTTGTAATGGAAGAAGCTGCCACCTATTGCTATGAATTAATACTACATAAAATAAAATTTAATTCCAAACTTGAATGAGACACGCTCAAATTTTGGGTAAAGATTGTGCGAATTTTAACTGTTCTTCAGTTAAACCATGAAACGATTTAAGCTACAGATTTCTACGAGATAATGGGTCTATAGTTAAACAAAGACAATCAAATTTATTTAAAACGTTATTCTGGATGAGATTAAAATAGGTGTCGATAATAATATCGTATGCCAAGTTTCGTTTCGAGACACTGTACTGCTCAATAATTTGCATCAAAATCCCTCGATCATCATACCTACACTTGTTGTATTATCATTAAAAGGTATAAGTGTTTAGTTGGTAATCACAATGCGACCTGTCCGCCACCTCCAAGTACAAAATTTAGAGATGAAGTTTCCATTCTTGCCAAAGCTTTGTATTTGGCAGTTATTTTCTGTAGATGTAGTTGAAGAGGATAAAATGAAAAGATTAAAGTCGGATAGATAAGAAGTATGGTTAATCCAAAGCAAATCTCAAAAAATAAACAGATTTACAGCCTAAATATCTAAAGAATTTTTAGCTATCAAATATTTAATCTGATAAATTAACTTTTAAACACTTTTAACTTTTGAATCTCACTTAGATCAAACCGAGACAGAGGGCACTCTCGACATTAGCTTTCTCTTCAAGTTAAAGAGAGGATTCAGTTAGTCTTTGTCCAACAAATACAATTATTCTCGTCACCAATTGTTTAATTAAACATTACAAGCACAAATGCGTTACAATTTTTAGTGGACACAAAAAAAGAACATTTAGATAGACGTTAGAATGTCAACTGGCCTTTTTTCACAAAAGAAAAATGGAGGATGCGGATGAAGTTAAGGACGAGGGAGCGAGGAAGAAGGGAGAGAGAAAGAGAAGAAATGAGAAAAAGAGGGAAAATTAAATTTTGTTTATTTAGGCAAAATTTATCCACTTTTTAGACAAGGAAAATACAAAGGTTTGATCTTAAAACTGAAGAAATGTGAAAAGAGAGAAAACGTGAATAAATTTTGTTTGTTTAAGCAAAATTTATCCACTTTCTGTCCATTGTATAATATAAATTGTATAAAATGGTCAAACCGCACAGGGGTAACCCCGTCTCGGTTCAACCATCGTAAACAATGAAAATCATATACAATAGATATTCACTTTTTTGCGCACCGAAACCTGTTCAACGATAAAGAAACTAAAAATCTTACCGATGATACAAGCAATACAAAGATTAACTGATTATGGTTATACTGTTAAATCGTTGCGCGAAAGGTTCACGTGGTACATTTTTCAGCTGAAACGTCCATGAGACTGATATATTATGCTTCAATTTATATTGTATTAATTTATATGTATCAATGATTATTAGATTGTTTAGACCAACTATGCTGAATTTGGGTGTTACTTCATAAAGAAATATACAATACCTCTATGTTGTAATATCTAACAACAGATGTTGATCTTTTCTGTCGTCGTCTAACACATTGGTGAGATATTTAGTCTTGAGTCAATACAATTTATTGCAATCAACCAGAATTTCATTTTTTCATTTTGTTTTAAATGTGCTTCTGCTCGGCATCAAACACGTTTGAGTGTCTGCCTGACAATGACGTTGTGATGGTTTGTTTTCCGATGCTCCTTATCATTAACAGTTTACATCTCGAACAGTAAAATTCAATTTGCTGCTTCAGCATTGCTTTTGTCGACAAACAGTTATCAACCAGAATAGCTCTGCAGTATTGAGGTTTCTTCATTTCTATGATTGTGATTCTTTGTCTGCCATTCAAATTCAAGTTACCTTTTCATGTCACGTTGGGTCAGGTTAACCGTAAATCATTTCAATTTACTTACATTTACCATCTATTATTTTGTTTCAGCAAGTGTATTCTCCGGTTTACCCTTTTTTCATTAGAAATTAGTTAACAAAAGAAATTATCACCATGCGAAGAAACAGTTTCGCGACAACTGAAGAGAGAAGAAATAGAGAAAAAAATGAGGAGGAAAAATGAAACTCAGATAGTGGTTGATGACAAATCTCATAAGTGAAAAGAGATTCTGATTATCTTGAGATGAATATCTATCAGCAGATGTCACTACTTTACATCTAATCAAGAGTACAGGGCTGCCAAGGTTCAAAGTGAACATTTTTGAATTTTTACTGTGAGCAAAGTATAAATGCTAAATGTATGAAATTTTCAGGCAATCATGTTTATACTATTAACAAGCGGTCCCCAAATTTTCAGGTCAATATAATGAAACGCTTAGGAGATATCAATATTTGAAAAAAAGATGAAAAAAAAAACTTTTTAAGCCCATGTTAAGTCTATGGGCGGTTTAACATTGAGAGTCCCATCTCCCTCAATTTTTCTCAATTTCCGATTTTTTGACTTCAGCAAAATGAATTTTGTTGAAGATCTGTAGCTCTCACTTTTCTGAAATTTAGATCATCGCTAGCGAGTAGTGTGAGCTATCAATGGTATTTTTTTCAACAAAAAAAAATCCAAAATGGCCGAGTTATGAGGTAAAGAAAAAACGACCTTTAAAAGTTTTTTCGAAGACTCGGAAAATTGACCTTACTCAGATATGACTTTTTTGATTATCATGGAAAAATTATTTTATCTTCTAGATAGTCCAATTAATCATAAAAACTTCATTTGATCAATTTAACATCTCTGGTTGTCTCACAATAAAATTTCAAAAGTGTTCACTTTGAACCTTGGCAGCCCTGTATATATAAAAATAAATATTGGTGATTGATTGTGTCATTTTAATAATATAACTGGATGAGTTTGGCCGATCTTACTCTTCCTCTACCTTTTTTTTCTGCCACTGAAACTTGTACAATTGTGCCATTGAATGTGTCTCCTATCTCTATCTCTATATTTCAGCATGTTGTTTTTGTTTTTTCGACAACTCCTGTCTACTTCCCTGCCCTAACTTTGTATGAGTCATGATAATAATGTAAGTTAACAGCCTGAATGTAATATCTTGAATGCATGGTTGAAGTTTCATTCCGCGTTTCATAAATTGTGTTCCGTGATAGAACTGATTACCGAAAATAAATGTATAAGTGAGACCAAATCCAGATAATGTCAAAAAGTAAAATAAACGTTTAATGTTATAAAAATAATGTATAAAAAGCATAAAATGTATAAAAAGCTACAAATGGGGTACTGTGTGTTCACAATGTAAATGAGCATGGAAAAAGTAAAAACATATAAAATATAGTAAAATAGAAGCATAAAGTAAAAGTTAGTAAAAAGTATTATGAAGCATGAAAAGTTATAAAGAGTAAGTAAAAATATAAAGAAGTGCAAATTAAAATTTTTCCTGCCAGTAGATTATGGTTTTTGGGTCCGAACTCATAATCACACGAACACATGAAGCCAATATTGAATGCATGGTTGATGTAGGTAGCGTCGATTGCAACATCTTTGGATAGTCTCGTGCAGCCAAATAGAAAGCATGATGTCGCAATGCAGTCCGAAAAGAGAGAGTTATTTTTCGGCCAGACCAAAGTTTATCGTAAGCTGACTTTTTCAAACTTGTGAAACCAATCTTATCGAGAAATCCACCGATCTGAAATGACAGCTACAACTTATAATTTGAGATACCATCAAGTTGTTTACCTATTGCATCCAATTTTGCAACCTTATCATTATCTGTTTTTGTTGACGGAGCAAACTTTTCAATCGTCTCGACCAGTGAATTGTAAGATGAGTAATCGGCCGTCTCTGATTTTTTCCATTTACTTATGGAAGCTTTAAGCTTTTCGAAAGCTGGCCCATCTTTGTTGATAACAGTAGATGAAGATGAGTTGATGGAAGATTCTTGAATATCATTGTTTGCCGGTTCTCTAAAGAAATCAGCAAGAGTCAAAGTTTCTCGCAAATTGCAAGTAATCCAATCTTGCATCATTTTTTCCATAGATTGCTTACAATCTGCTCGTTTCTGGCTGCTATCGGACAATTGAGTTAGCAGGTCGGCAAATAATGCTGCAGTATTTCTATGGCCAGCTCCTTGTAAGGCTATCCTTTTATTTAGCCTTCTTTGTCCAAAATAACTACAGGACTCGGATCTTTTGGAGTTCTTCCCAACAGAGGTATCGTTGTTTTTGTTGTCATCATCGTCGTCGTCGTCGTCGGCGTCGTCGTCGGTCTCATCGAGCTCGCTATCAACCAATTTTCGCTTAGTTGATTTATTCATTGTTGACCGGTTATCACTTTGCAGACCTTGAATTGAGTAGAAAGATAATAGAAGAAGTAAAAACATCGTAAAAGAAAACGATTATAGAATTATTTATCTGTATCAGTTGAAATTATTGACAAACATCAATGTGAGTGTTATACTTACCATTAACAATCATCTTGTTCACAACAAGATGATTCGTCGACAGTATCAGCAAGTGGTTCAATCAATGTTGTCAAGGTTGGTTGCTGTTGTACTTGGCCATTTACTGATTCCAACAAGCCATCAGTAGTAATGTGTTTTAAAGGTGGTGGTGGTGATAAATCTGGTTATTTCAACGGTAAAATAAACGCAAAAAGAAATCATGGAACATAAAAATACAGATAAAGATAAAAGTGAGAAATTCTGTAAACATTCAGCTTTCTTTTTTATTAGTAGAATATACTTTACCTTTGTTGTTGTTGTTAACAGAAGTAGTATCAGGTTTATCAAACCCATCAAGTCCAATAGATTGTTGTTTGGCAACGCTTGACATATTATTTATAATTGTGATATTGTTATCCGTAAATATCTTGTATGTCAATTGTAAGATATGAAGCGTATTCCAAAAAGACTCGTCAAAAACGTCCAAAATCCAAAACCAAAGAAGAATTAATAAATCTGATTTAAGTATACAGGTAGAAAAAAGGGAAAAAAAGAAAAGACCAAATTAATGTAGGTAAACTGTACATGATAATATATAATGAAGGTATAATACTATGCATACAAATCTTATATACAGTCGTGAAAAATGAGTTTCGAATGGTTTTTAATCATTCGCGCAACTTAGCTACTAAAATCAATTGATAATCTTTATCATCAGTGATAAGACTTAGATGATTTACTCATTGATTTTTCTTATCTTGATTGTTTAATCTGTTAATTTTAGTCACTACCTGCGCGAATGATTAAAAACCATTCGAAACTCATTTTTCACTACTGTATATATATATATATATGTGTGTGTGTGTACAGGTGTGTATGTATACAAATACAATGTAGACAATGTTCAGGTTGATAACAGGGTTGCCCCCGTCTCGGTATGATCATTGTATGAAGTCATAATGTATGAAGTCATACACAGCATGCACCCATGTGCCATGCTTACCGGAAAAAATGATGTTGTCCGGTCGGTGTCCAAACTGCAAATGACCACTGGTCAACTGGTGACTTGGGTTGTCCACTGGGGCGTTGTCAAGTTGGGGTGTGTTGTTGTCAAGGAGGGGCTTGGTCAAAGGGAGGAGCCAAATATCAGCGACAGTGCTGCCAAAAGCGCGCAATTCAAATTTCAATTGTATAAAACGTTAGAAAGCGATATATACTTATATTATATTTAAAGAAACAATTTATATGTTTGCTGTGATGCTGATTCCCCATACGTGAAGGATAATTGTCAACAACATCATATTAACTATCAAATATCGCCACAAAGCCAATTTTGTGAAAAAAACGGTATATGGTACGGTATATGGTACGGTGTTCCCATGTACATTGTCACAATTTATTGATTATGGTAACAAATAACAGAAATGATGATGATTACCCATAAATAAAGGATTTTTGTCAGCAGCAACATCATACGATATTATTATCGACACCTATTTTAATCTCATCCAGAATAACGTTTTAAATAAATTTGATTGTCTTTGTTTAACTATAGACCCATTATCTCGTAGAAATCTGTAGCTTAAATCGTTTCATGGTTTAACTGAAGAACAGTTAAAATTCGCACAATCTTTACCCAAAATTTGAGCGTGTCTCATTCAAGTTTGGAATTAAATTTTATTTTATGTAGTATTAATTCATAGCAATAGGTGGCAGCTTCTTCCATTACAAATAATTTCTTGGTTCGAATTGAAGATTTCTTCAATCATTAAAAGCTTCCTCTCAATTAATACATAAATAATTATAATAAATTAACAATATTGCGAACTAATTTTGTCTTTCTGATTTCATGTGAATTTAAATTTATTCAAAATTGATAATCTATTAGTTTAACAATTCAAACGATGTAATAGTTCAATGTTGAGTTACAATAAAATCGGATGCGCGATTCAATGTTTATGGTGATTATGATTCTTGATGGATCAACTCAGTTTACTTTTTCTTTCCCAGAACTAACATTACCTTACATTTCAACCTGAAAGTTTTGTTAAAAAATAACTACAAACATTTTCATCAGTTAAAAGTGAATCAATCAGTTGACGATACCAATCAAACATAATATTAATCATCTGAATTTTAATAAACAGTAAAAGTTATGAATTCATCGCATTTAACTTTGTGTTGATTAGTTATCGTTTCAACATCATATTAAGTTATGAAAAGTTGCTCGTTAATTTTCATCAGTTAAATTCAGTTTTTTTCTCATTCTTGTTATTATCTATTGACTTGATTATTGCATATATATAAAGTGTCATTTCAATTATTATCCCTTCAACAAGTGATATGATTACCAATGTATCTCTATCAAATAACTCATCAATATCATCCCAGTTAACCAACACTACTGTGGATCATCATCTGCCCAAAACATGGAGGGATGTTATTGAACCTTCATTGGTCGGTTATATACCCGATTTTTGGTTAAACTTTGAACCACCCAAAAAGTATCAACATTACATCTTAGGTGTAACATATCTGCTAATCTTGTTCCCAGCGATTTTTGGTAATGGAGCAATAATATGGCTCTTTTATCGGTGAGTCGATTAAAATCCTTAAATGTAACTTTATCTCTCATAATATTATTCTGATTTTTAGATGAATTCAGAGAAGTTGAACTGAAAAGATCAGTAAAGATCCATATAGATGATAAAGTTTTATTCTTTCCTCATTTCGATTCAGTTGATTTTCCAATATTATTATCATGAAACATGAGGCGATTTGCATAATGGCTACCTCAAGATCCAGTCCAAGGCTTATAGACTTATATTGAGAAATTCATGTTACGATACAAACGATTACGAAATTTCAAAGTTCGTAAATTTAAAATTAGATATTACGACATATTGGTTGATAGTTAGATGCTAATTACAATCTCTTTGTTAATCTACTCTGATGTTTTTATCGCGTTTCATTGATTCGATTTAGTTAATTACTTAATGGATCATTGAAGATACCAAATAGATTGTGTTAATTGAATATTTTCACATGAAATCATTTTCAATCATTAACTATTTTCGTGTTACAAAGTTAATTGTTGTTATTATTAAATTGATTTACAAACAATAGCTGCCGTAATCTACGAACTCCTTCAAATATATTGGTCGTTAATCTTGCCTTAGCTGATCTTATTCAGAACTTGAAAATGCCGGTATTCATATACAACAGTTTCAAATGTGGACCGGCCATGGGTCAGTTGGGTAAGTTAATCTCTGTCTCTTGACTTTTTTTTCACCGTTTACTCGTAAATTTTGATTCATGTTAATATCATCAAGATAAATCCATTAATCGTTAATTTCATTAACAATTTATCATATTGATCACTTCAATATTAATAAGGAAGAATAAGAAACAGATGATTTATTATATAAGATTACGTAAGATTTTCACTCTTTTATATTTAAATTGCAGATTAGTAATTAGTTGATTTACTCGATTCAATCAATTTGATTCTTATAAGAAAAAATTTTGACAGTTTTTACCATCATTCATTAATACATGTTAATAAAATTTGAGCTATTAATAAATTGATTATCAACAACTTTGAATTATTAAGAAGTGAATAATTTACATGTAGACAATCAGCTTATTGATACAATTAATCAAAACTGAATCAATTTCAATATCAACAATCAACAGGCACGACAATTTGTATCTTTAATCAAAGTAAACAAAAACAATGTTTGATTATCTTACCATTTATAATGAATATATTTTTATATTACAAATATTAATACTAATTGTGTATTCAAGGTAACATTATTCATTAGATTGGATAAATGAACGATAAATATCAGTTATATTAATATCTTAGTGATTAACTTGAAAAATACTTATATTTATTCAGTGATAATCTCAACTGATTTGGAATCAATGAGATAAATTGATTAGGGTCCAATTAACTGATATACAAAAACAACTATTAGACTAAATAATCAACACATTCACTTAATAATAAAACAAATTTCCATAGATTCAATACTATCAATATCTTTATAATAAGTAAAGCTAATCAATCAGATCAATCTGAATCATAATCATTACTTTTTCCTCATTGTATCTATTGATAAGTATGATATCAATATTGGTTCATTGTATTGTAATAGATTCTCATGAGTTTCTAGATGATATTGATGACATTTTCTGAGGAAACTTTATATTGGTTCTGCTTTTATCATTAACAATTCATGATAACCTAAATCAAAATTAATCAATAATATGTATTAGTTTAGTAATACACTAATCAGTTGTATTAATAAATATCAGTTTTAATCTCACCTTTTTTTTTGCGATTCTCAATGATCATGATGATTGGATGAAATTAAGCAAAGAGGCAGCAATTTAAATTGCTGCTAAATCATCAGTATTGAAAATCCATTTTTTCAATTAATAACCATCCTTGAATATTTAGTAATTCATTCAGTATATTATCAATATGATCAACAAGATTTGCTTGCTGATAAAACTATTATCAAAAGCTTCAGATTATCTTAGCTGATTCATTAATTTTTTTATCAATTCTATCGTTAGCCAAAAATATACTCTTGAAGAGAGATTCGACTGAATGGAGGGGAAAAGTTCAGTGAACAGGAACTTCTCTTTTTCCCTATTCTGATTACTTTACCATGAAAATTACAGAATTTAAGTTTTTACGTCAATAGATTATAACAATAAAATTTTAATCGACAAATAAACTCTCATTATATTAACACTTGAAATCATTATTGTTTCATTTTCATTTGAATATTTATTCATGTTTACCATCAATAGTAATGAACTTTTCCATGGTAAATTCAAAACTGTTTATATTATCAAATGGATGTGATAATATGTTGAAGAAAGTTAATACTGAAGGAATAAAAAATCTTCTGTTCTAAAGTTTTCAGTTGGAATCAACATTACCCGAAGGTCGAATATTTTCTCATCATTATTAACATCATTTACTTTACCGTTAGAATTTGTAACTTTTTTTCTCTGTTCTTTTTGTTTTTCCATTAAATTTCTATTTGCACATGAAAATCTCCTGTTCTTTCATGAGAGTTACTAATACTTATGGATAAATTATTCTCATGTAGTAATACTTATTAGAACTTAATTCAAATGATCTAAAGAATTCAACAATTACTCCTTTATTATTAGAAAATGATGATAAACTTTTCTGTCTAATATATTGATGTATATTCATGCTCCCCATTAGAAAGGATAACGGTCAGTCTGGGTATTAGAGCTTCTTTTTAAAAAGATTTTTTGTTTTTTCTCTCTTTCAATTGTGGAAATAAGAAAGATTTAGAAAACATTGAATTTTTCAGTAACGTCTAATGATGGAATCGAAAGTTATAATCTACAAATGAAACTTTTACGAATTTTCAAAGTTAATACTTTCATGTTTCGATGAAAACTTGACATTATCTTATTTTCCCTTTGATGGTTAATCCATGACTATTTCTTATGTAGCTAATTTATTTTCAATTCTATCAACGATTCGATCCTGTCAGTTTTTACTTTTTTACCATCGTTTCGAAAATATGTCCTTCCCTTGGACAATAAAACGATAATCGAATCATTTACTAAATCCTTGTCTTCCATTCATGAAATATCAACAATCACCACGATTCATAGTGACGATCAAGTGAATAGCATTTTCCTTTAAAGTTTAAATCTTTTTATTAATATAAATCACGAACTTACAATCAAATTGTAAATTCTGCCCACAATAACAATGTTCGAACCTGTACAATATCAAGTAACCTCGATTTGGAAAGAAAGAAAAAAAGAGAGATAAAAGTTGATCTTCAATCTCCAAGCTGAAAACACTAGACCTTAAAGTCCAAGCGGTTGGTCAGCATTTTCTGATTATTCATAAGAAATAGCATTATTATTATTTCTTCCGATTGGTTACCGTTATTATTATGATTCCATTATTGTTGGTGACTAATATGTGAACCATGATGCTGATAAATTTCCCGAATTCTGATAAGATAATCATTTTCGGTCACTCAATATTGGAGAGGTTTTTCAGACCATTTGAGTCGTTCTACCATCATGATGATCATGAAAACCTTGAGACTAAAGTTAGAAAAATACAGAGAGTATTCAATGTCCTTATACAAACTATTAATAACATTAGAATCCATAATATGTTAACATATAATAATTTGCTCTTTCTAATATTCATTCATCTCCAATATTTTCATCAAATTGGAAAAGGTATAAGAGAGATTAAACTGAATAACATTCAAGTATTAAGACAGAAAAAGATACAAGAAAATAAATTCTTTTCCTTTGTATTTCCATAGAATAACAATAATCCAGGCAAATGATAATGATAATGGACAATGTCCATTCTATCGAGATATACGATAACAATAATAATGGCTAACAAATGAAAGCCAAGTAGTTATACGATGTCATTATTATACTATTTTCCCATTTAAATTATCAATCTACTTAAATGTATCAAATAAACTTGATTCATATTCACAGGTATTAATGATAATATTTCACCAGGTAAATCAATTGTGATCATGAAAACAACAAAGTTATCAAGGTTATCTTGAGATAAATAGATCCAATTTTCTTAAAATCAACACAATTAGTTGATTGTAACCTCACACCGTCCAAGTCCTCAACTTGCAGTATCAATTGAATTCGTAAAAGTTTTCGACTTTCACCAGATTCTAACAAATTTTGGTTGCTATGATAATGATAGAATGCTAACTTAGCAACCAACTTTTCGCTTTCTTTTAATCAAATTTTTAATTTTCGGTTAAATGATTACTAAATATTCTGACGTGTAACAATTTACTTTAAATACCTTGAGATATAAGATAATCGACAATTTTTGTATACATTATCATGCAAGTAATTAAATTTTGATAAAATTAAAATTGTGAACGTTGTATTTAATTTAGGAGAAATTGTTAATCGTTGTAATTACCATAATTATCTTTAAATTTTGCGTTAATTTTGATTAGTAACGTGAGGAGAGATCATGGATCATTCAACTGAAATCAGCTAATTAAATTTAATCGCAAAGAAAGTTAATCTTTCCCGTATCAAGTGTAACACTTATTGATTGTTATAATCAATCAATAATTATCTTGAAATTTGCAAATCACAATCAAATTTAACATTGGAAATGTAACATTGAAATAAGAATAGAAAAAGCCAATCTTGTTATTTAAATCAATCTATGGTTAACTGATTTTCTCGTTAACAATTCACGATCAATTAACTATTACAATTGTATCAATTTCAAGAAACAACTCAAACTTTTGCTCATTTCAATCTAAGACAATTTGATTGTTGGTTGGAACAGTTAACGATTCACCTTTCATCAGACCAATTTGTTCAAATAAAATGCATCAAATTAAAGCTCGAAACTTGAGTTTCTCGTGATGATGTTGATAGTTATAGTCGAACAACGGATTCGAAGATAATTGCTACTTCTAATTGATTGATTAAACGAAAAGCATTCACATTCATACAGATTATTAGACTAATGATACTGAGCTAATAACAATTACATTATTCCGAAAGTTAACTGTAATTATTTGATAACAAAAGAAGGGAAAAAATCACCCAAAATGTTAAATAACCTGAGGGTATTCAAGGTATGAATTATTTACAGAGTAGTAATGTCTGCAATTGTGCATAATTTAATGAGAAGATTGTTAATCATTATAACAATCAAAAAGGTGAAAAATTTATCAACAGCATTATATTATCATCAATCTAAATTTCATAGGTAAATCTGATAGATAAAGATTATCATATCATCATCATAAGGTAAATCCATTATCTTTTTTCATAGTGATTTTAATCCGATAATAAAAGGATGATTACTTGACTAATGAATGTTTTGTTTTTGTTACAATTAAAATAAACATCAAGTTCACTCAAACTAATAATACACTCAACTGTTTTACTAATAATGAATTTGTCATTAGCAACTTTATCATGTATTCAACCAAAATAGTCCAATGATAAAAACGATAATCGATAAACTTTAGATGCTACTGATTTTGACATTATTTCATTTAATTGGCGCATATAATGATCGTAATGATTAGGATAATGATAAACTGGTACACTGATGATCATTGTAATACATTACACAATATTAGCTGAAACTCTGGACGTAAATGTTGTTACATTTAATGCTTACAGTTTTTTTTGTATGTTCACATTGTATTACCATTACACACAATAGATTGTCATTGATTTTCTTGATTGGTCATGATTTTCATTGAAAAAAACTGATATCATCTCGTTGGAACGATTGATTTAATGTTGATACTTTTTTCTGCTTCAAATTTCAACTTATTTTTTAAAGGGAATCAAAGTTTTCACTTATATGAATCGTAGTTTAATTTATCAGAATTCAATTTGGTGATTAATGGTTTGATTTGTAAGGAATATGATGATTTAAGTAACGTTTTGCTTTTTGATTGTATAGTGATTGATAAATTGTGGTTAATATTGATAACCATTTACAGTCCAGTGAGTTTTCAATAAATTTGTAACACTCAAATTTCAGGAAGTTGTTGACAATCAAATACAGGAAAATTAGTTGACTGTTCATTTTAAGCTCACTTGATTTCGATTAATCTTCTCACTTGATAGTTAATGAGTATTTTTCATTCAACAATTAGAATAATTCTTTTCAATTAAATAAATGAGATGAGTGAAAATTTTATTTTCCATTGAGTATTCAACGAGTTCAGCAAGTTTCATGGTTGATATAATTCAACTGTGATTATCACTTGTATTTAACTATCGATTGGACTAATAATTGGGGGAAAAAAAGTTTCGAAAAATTAATGATATTGTCTTTTGAAAATGATTTATTTCCTGTTGATTTCTAGAATCATTTATTTTAAACACAATCATCAATATTAAATTTATCGAGGTTTAGTTATGATTTGAAACCAATCATATTGATGAGGATAAAGTGACGATGGAAATGTAAACAACTCGATAAGCTCGAGTAAAAATAGAAAATAATCAAATGTAATATCCTTTAAGGCAATCATGATTAACCCCACAAGTTGATTGTCAATAACTATCAATGAGAATTGAATTAGCTCTAAGGACCCACTATCAAGATCGTTAAGGGATAACCAATCTAATCGATATTTAGATAATTGTACTTGGGATTTTTACTTTTTCTTACTTGGGACATTTCCAATCCTTAGTAAGTTTATCAATTGTTTGCTCCTTGGTCCTTGGGGTTTACCTGTTTTTGGTTATTTGCCTTTTACTCGTGACGATACTTATGTACAATTTGATGAATTAGCGGTCAAATATGGTCCAGTTTTTAGTGTTAAATTGGGAAGTTATGATGTTGTCGTTCTTACTCTCGAAACTCGCCATTTTCGAGTAAATTTTGAAACTGCCTCTTCGATTTTTCATTTCCTTCAGAAAAGTAATAATATTATTAATATTAAAGCTTTTCCCTAAGGATAATTCATTTCGTATTATTCACATTCAGGATCTTGCGATAATCTTAAATTGTACTACTAATACACAAGAGTAAAGTTAAATTACACTATTTCGACACTTGAAAGAAATCAAAAGATTGATTAACTTTTCTTTTCCTTTCATTGTTGTTTTTCATTATTATTCACAAAATGTATTCAGATAATTCAACAATAACACTCACCATTCAATATTATTCATGACGGTGATTTAAGATCTGATTGGTTGCATATTATTGATGAGATATAATTTTCTATACCTTTTTAACCTTCAAAACATAACATGACCTCTAAATTGAGGTGTAATTCATTAAGTATATTATTAGATTTCTGAGAATTATTTAAATATGATAACTTATTTAGATTAATCAGATGAGTTGAATTCCAACAAGCTCACCCAGTTCATAGGTTCCATGGATAATATAATTCACTTGAAATTATTTCTTGTATCAAGATAATTAACTCAACCAAATGATTAAATTAATCAGAGTTTTGAGTTTGTTCATTTATCTGGTGTTATATGTCCAATGAGCTTTTTGTTTGAATCTTTTTATCAACATTTAGTCTGTCAAATATACTTAACTTTGATAAACTTTCTGGTCACATAATCTTCAATGAAGTTCCATGTTTAGGTTAAAAACTCAGTGTGAATCATGAATACCCTGATTATATTTATAGTATAATCAATTGTACTTCAATGTGCTTCAGGCTGTAATTTGGATGTTAACTTTTACTGTTAATTTAGTTTAACTCCTCGAGGCATATTAGATAATATTTACATTTGACCTTCTCTATTTCAACATATTCCTTTCTGGTTATTAATATAATCCAGTTTCCACTTAAAGATGTCCTTTGTATATTATTCAGTGATTCTTGTTCATCGAGACCATCCATCGTTAAATTCATACCCTCCATATTATGAGTAACTGATTGGGAATCAAGTGATCAAGTATATGACTGTTTTAGTCGGTGAAAAGATTAAATCAACCGATTATTACCTAGAAAATTAAGTAGCAATAGTAATTAATATCTAGTTAGCTATTAGATTACATACCTTTTCCATTAAAAGACAAGTAAATGATCATGTAATCATATATTTCCAATTTTAATCGATTCCTTAATCGTTACCATTGATTGTTCGGTACATTTACATTGTATCATTTCATTGGAATTGGTTAATGTATGATAACTTGAGCCTTTGGAATAACTGGAGAAATGATGATAATCCTCCTTTAGAATTGTTAACTGTTAACTGAGAATCGACTGCAATGATTGATAGAATATTCAAATTGAACATGAATTAAGGTTTGGAAATTCATGATTCTGTTTCCTTTGATACGATTCTCTGAATATATATTCAGTTAAAGGAAGTCTTTGTTTCCTGTTCTCAAAACGAAAATAAAGAGAGGGAGAGAAAGAAAAAGTGATTAAACTTGAACAAAATTTTCTCTTTCAATTGGAAAGTTGAAAAATCTATCACCATGGAACTACATGAATCTATGAACATTTCATGTTTCTATCTGAAAAATTAGGAATCATTTTCCTTTTTTCATTTTCTAATAGAAAAGAGGAAAAAACAAAATTAAAGTCACATAGTAAAATCCACTGATGCACAGATTAGATTGAATTAGATTTGAAATTAATGGAACAATAATTGTTGATGATCACGATAAAGTGTTGATGGAAAATTGGACAATTATAAGAGAGAGAGAGAGATATCATTACAATCACAATAGACAATTAGTTAATTGGAAAACATGAAGCGATCAACACAAAAACGGATCATTAACACATCACCTATGAAAGTGTTTACATTAGTTTTTATAACCAGTTCTCTATTTTTATCAACACAGAAAACGAAGGTCATCAATTTAATGATGTTCACTTGATAATCAACATAATATACAAAAGGAGAGAAAGAAAAAAATGTTAAATAATCAAGTATAATTAACTAATCACATGAAGAAAATGATTCAAGATGATTATCAACTGAAGAGAATTGAGTCAATGGATCTTGTATCGAGATCGAAATATTTACATGGGACAAAGGCTAATAAATGAGTATCGATACTTGGATTATAGTCCATGGATTTTTTTTCCATTGCTAATCATAAGAGTCTCTCTGTGTGCATCAAGTAAATTGTTGAGTTTTGTTAAATTGCTTTTAATTGTTTACGATTTGTTGTGTTTGTTTTTAAGATGATTTTGAGTGTACATTTTGATTTTGTTGCTATTTTATTGAATTGTGCTTACATTTGTTTTGGTCTATTGATTGTTAATCATGTTCTCGGGTTTATCCAACGTTTGAATCGTTTGCCCTCTGGCCCTTGGGGTTTACCTGTTGTTGGTTATTTGCCTTTTACTCGTGACGATACTTATGTACAATTTGGTGAATTAGCGGTCAAATATGGTCCAGTTTTTAGTGTTAAATTGGGAAGTTATGATGTTGTCGTTCTTGCTGATTGGAAGTCAATTAGGGAAGCTTTTTCTAGTGACCATTTGCTTAGTCGTCCGAGAGAAAATTTTTTCGGCGATGAGTTGAAAGACGTTTCGTTTACCGAAATGTCCGGTGACCCGTGGAAAGAACAGCGTCGAATTGCAATGACCACTTTGAGAAATGTTGGCTTGGGAAAGTCCAAAATGGAAGATCTTATTAGAGAAGAGATTGATTCGTTTTTGAATGAACTGAAAACGACCGATGAGAGGCCATTTAAGTTCATCGATAAGGTTAAATTGTCCATTCCAAATAATGTTTCCATCTTATTGTTTGGTCATAAATATGATTACGATGATCCAGTTAAAGTGGAATTGGAAAAAAACTTGGACAATGCAGATTCTGTCGGTCATTTTATATCCTCTGGCGTATTCATGCCTTGGATTACCAAGTTTCTTATATTCTTTAATTATCTTGATATGAAGGAAATGATAAAAATTATCAAACGTACTGATTGTTTCGTACAAATTGAGATTGATAAACATCTAGAAAAGATGAAAACTAGTGATACTAAAGAAATAGAAGATTATATCGATGGATTTCTTCATGAGATGGACAAAAGAGCCGACGAGAACAACTCGAACTTCAATCGAGAAGTTTTATTGAGAAATACTTCTGCTTTCTACAGCGCTGGTTCGAGCACAATTCAAAGTACATTGAATTGGACGATGGCTTATTTGGCCGCTTATCCAGAGTACCAAGAAAAGATCCGAGATGAAATTAGAGAGACAATTGGTTTCGATAGATTACCTAATAATGTTGACCGACAACGAATGCCTTTCACGATCTCCTTCATATATGAAGTGCATCGAATGGTCTCATTGGTGCCGATCAATTTACAGCGACGAGCAACCGCTGATGTAAAAATCGGCGATAAACTGATACCTAAAGATACTTTGGTTCTATTCAACTTTTGGTCTGTTCATCGAGACTCTTCATTGTATCCTGAGCCTGATAAATTTGACCCTAATCGTTTCCTTATCGACAATGGTACTAAAGCCGTTAAACCTCAACATTTGATACCTTTCAGTGGCGGTAAACGAGTTTGTCCCGGTGAAAGTTTAGCTAATCTTCAATTGTTTCTCTATGTTGTTTCAATTTTACAAAAATTCAAAGTCTTACCTGAACCAGGTAAACAAATCTCATTCGAGTCAAGGTACAATGGTGGCAGGCAACCAAAGAATCCAATCTATGTAATATTCAAACAATTGACAATCCCAGAGACAAAAGGATAACACTCATAACAATCTAATAATAATCTATTGGTACAACTTTTCCCTTTGGACATTTCATTTGTTCCGTTATGACAAAATTCAGTTGATATTATTCAGAATGTTAAGATAATCTTCAAGTTTATTTCACTATTAATACCCAAGAGTAAAGTGATATTACATTATTTTGACACTTGAAATGTAAACAAAAGATTCATTCATATTCATATTTCAGGAACTTTTCATCTCGTTTCATTGTTGTTTTTCATTATTATTCACAAAATGTATTCAGATAATTGAACATAATATTTAACATGAACGATAGTGATTTAAGATTTGATTCCTTTGGTACATTAGGACTACTAATTCATTAAGAATTATTCATTTTCTCTTCCTCAAAATGTTAAAGTAAAACAATAATCTTGAAAAAGTCACCCCGATTTTCACCATAAACATTACGATTGTCAAAATATGAACAGCCTAATATAAATTGTCGGAAACGAATGGTTAATGTGTCCATGTTGGGTCGAAATTGGTCTTGATTAATGATCAGTGATTTGTTATCATGATTTAGAGTCTTATTTGTTTTCAAAGTTTAATATGAGAAAATGAAACTGATAAATGTTGGAGATGGAAAAGAAAAGCCTAATACCTGAAGTTCAAGAGTCATGATGATTTGTATCAGTTGATCAGTTGATTGAAAATATCGATAGATAGAAAAGAAAAGTTTTCTTCTCTTCCTGATCTTTCGAGCGTAAACTTTTTCCTTTGTTCATGTTCACAGCGATTTTACCTGTGTGAATATCAAGACTTTATCTCTTCACCTGATAATCCTCATTGTCATTGGAATTCATGTTCAGTTCAATTGTCTTGTTTCGCTTTTGTCATGTCAATGTTGATTTCTATTTATCTGTCTTGTTCATGATCCTTTCATGGTAATGAATAACTCTCACAATGATATCATCTCTTATTTTGATTGTTTACAATTTAAATTTTTTCAATTTTTCGTACATTAAATTGTAAAAATGTATCTTGTTGGACTTATTGTCTATTTCTTGACATTTCATTTCTTCAGGGCTGAAATTGATGATTTTGATGAAAAAAAAAACGTATTAATATCTCACGAAAATCCAAGTCTAAGATATTGAATTTAAATCACCCTGAAGCTGGTGAATAGATATTGATAAATTTCATCCTTTTGAACTCCATTGATCCAATTTTTCATTTTCCATGAAATTTTTCCAGTAAAAATATAAAGTCAAGTAACAGAATCAAAACTAAATGATACAACTTATTATTAGAGTAATTAATTGTTTACCTTAATCTCTATGTTTGTGTGATTTATTAATTTCAGGGTGTAAAATATATGGTTTCTTTGGTGGCCTTTCAGGAACCTCGGCGATCATGACGATCGCCATGATGGCCATGGAACGTTTAAATTCAATATCTCGACCTTTATCGCCACATTCCCGTCTCTCAATGCGTCGGGCTTTGGTCATATCTACACTTATCTGGATCTATTCATTAATCTTTTCCACTCCTCCCGTTTTCCAATTATTCAATCGATATGTTCCCGAAGGCTATTTAACCTCGTGCTCCTTTGATTATTTGTCCAAAGATCTTGTCTCACGAGTTTACATATTTGCGTTTTTCACGGCAGCCTGGATAGTTCCACTTGCCCTGATTGTGACCTCATACGCGGGAATTATCATTGCCGTTGAAAGAAACGAGTCAATGTTCCAAAAGACTCAAGATAAACTCTGCGAACGGGCCAGTTCAGTTTATCGAGCTTCACTTCGAGATTCTCGAGGTAGATCAATAAAAGAAAGCGGTAAAATGGAAATGAGACTGGTTAAAATTGTTCTCTCATTAATTGCCTTCTGGATACTCTCTTGGACACCTTATGCCGTTATCGCTCTTCTTGGACTTTTAGATCAATCCTACATTACGCCAACTTCATCCATGATCCCGTCTCTCTTTGCTAAACTTTCATCAGTAGTTAATCCTTACCTTTATGGATTAGGTAATCCACGATTTAAACGTGAATTTCAACGGAAACTGTGTTCATTTTGTTTATCAACCAAAACGGTCACCGAAAGACGGACCGTAATACAATCAACGGTCACTATTGGCGGTGACCCGGTCAAGGAATCGTCACAATTTGTTCACATATCAGATGGTAATTTATCCGAAATTGAATTATCCGATTATGAGAAACGGTGATAAAAATAATTTACTTTTTTTCGAGAAACAAATTATTAATAATAACTAATCAATTGAACAGATCATTTAAATTGTTAGCGAGGAAAAAAAGTTCTAATTTATTTTTATGTAAAAAGAGAAACAGTTTAGATTGACAATTAACCGAAAAGAACCAAATTATGAACAATTAATTAATCAATTATTCTCAATCATAATGAATGTTAATAATAAAAATATAAATACATATATTTAGGTGCTTGATTATCACGAGAAACAATTAACCGAAAAAAAACAAATTTAATTACAATCAATGTGATAAATTGTTCCCATTGGTTATACCTGATGATAAAATCATCAATTGATTATATAATCATTATGATTAAGAAGCAAATTATCAAATAATAATATTACTTATGTTAATTATTAGTAAATATTGAAAGTTAATTGTTGAACAGGAACACAATTTATTGTAAGATTATCATTATTATTGTTATTGTTATTAATAAATTAGTTAACTAATTGAGTCAAGATGTAGTTAATTGTGGAAGTATAATTGAGGTGGAAAAAGTTAATTCTAATTGCGAGACTAAGTTAATACAATTAATTTGATAAATATAACGGTAAATACTCAGGGGATATTGTAATAGACAATATTAGTTACGATTAAGGAACTGGATTAGTGGAAATCATCATCTGAATATCAAATATGATTGTTAATTGTTTACTTATTTTTATCACTTAATTTTACTTGTTGATTATGCTGATTGTTGGACGAAACAATTAGCCTGATTGTAGATTAACTTCAATGTCAAGGGCGTTAATTGATCATGATTAACATCCCATTTTCATAAGCAATTAAATGATTCCAATTGGTTAATTTAATTTAATTTAATTTCACTTATAAACTTACATTGTTAGATAATTATCTTTAAATGGTCAAATGATTTAATTGTTGATCACCAATCAATTTTGTTTTACTTTGTCCTGTCAACAATTAAAAATATTTTTCACCCGATCAACAATCAATTCTGATTATTTTATTGTTATTACATGAATAACGTTAATCATTTGCTATCTAATTGTTTCAATGTTCAATTTTTTTCTGTGTCTTCTAAACAATTAACTAACTAAAAAACAATAAAGAAAATAAATTATCCTGAAAATTCATCATTTTTTCTTCTTCTTCTTTCATCCGGATGAAGATAAAATTCTGAATAAAAACTCAGAACTTTTTTCTTTTTGTTTTCATCGCGATCCAATTTTCGATTACATGAATAATTGTGTTGACGATTATGACAATTTATTAATTGTTGTTTTTCGCGTTTAATTGTGTTCTTTTTTATCTCGTTACATGGAGAGTATTATTATCGTTGATTAAATTACCATGTTACAGGAAAAGAGAATCAAATTTAGGAACAATTTTTTTCTTAATTATCTTGAAAATTTCATTCAATTCTTATTATTCATTTATTCAGAACAACTTTGAATTTTTCATTAATGAGTTTCAGTCAATTTAATTGAAACAATTTGATGATTTGATTCAGTTTCATGATTCCATTTTTCGTCATTTTCAATCACAACGATAATTCAAGTTAATTGTATTGAAATATTTTTATATTAATAGTTTAAACTAGTTTTGTATTGTTATTTTGTTATCTCAATTTATTTAATCATACAATTAATTGTATTGAATATGTCAGGTACAGAGTTTCTGTTCAATTGTTATTTTTGATTGTGATTATTGAAATTAATTCAATTTGTTTGGAAATTTTTTTAGCTTTTGTCAAGTTAAGTTGAACTAATTTAAAAAGGATTAGGATTAATGATGAGATTTTTTTTTGCTTCTTGTATCATTTTGTTTCAATTTTGTGCAATTCTCATTGATTTGAATCAATCAATAACAATTAGCTAACAAAAGATTTGTAGTTAGTTTTTATACAATTTTTATATTGAGGATATTATCAATCATTAGTTGGGATTATGTAATATTTTGATTGGCAAGACAGAGTTAATCAAGATTGTCAATAGATTCTTGATAAAATATGACTTATAATCGTTCAATTTTAAGGCACAAGTTATTAAACTTAATTATCATTGCTGATTATTGATTATCGTTTTCTTTTTTCCATCTGGTTTGGATGATTGTTGATGTTTCTCGTTCTCTGTCTCTCTCCATGAGCAAGTTTCATTCCTGTGTCATGCTTATTGTTGATGATGAGGAAAAGGTGGTGAATGATAAACAGATACATTGAAATAACAATGTTATGGTTGTTGTTTTGTCACTCGGTGTAAGTTATTGATGATGTTTGCTTGTTGAAATCCAGTTAATCTACCCACTAATTATGAGTTCATTGTTATCTACATTAGTTTAGAATAATTAAATTTGGTTGATGATAAAGAAAACTATAAAGATTATTAGTAACTATAGAGTAGAGACATAATTATAAATAGATTCTTGAAGTACAATAGAAGAAACAATTGAGAAAATTAGACCATTGATGCGAATTAAACTCGAAATCATAAAGATCGATAAAAGACAGAGAGAGAATCCTAATTTAATGTACAAGAGTTGTGTGGTTAAAGGAAGAGATGTTAGAGTGATCGTTCAAAGATAGGGCAGTGAGTGAGAAACAGAGATGGAGGAGGAGATAGGAGAGAGAGAGACGACAAGAACGAGGATGAAGTTTAGGAAGAAGATGAAACAAAATCATTCTTCTAATCTTCCATCGATGCTGACCTACGATTAACACTAACTTTAATAGTAATTGTAAGAGTTGCTGTTGTTTATGCGTCATTTATCCTTTATAATCTTCTCTCGACTCTTGAGGAGAACATGAAATTAAGACTGAAATGACCAGAAACAAAAATGGTCAAGATTAAACTAAATCAATTGTAACAAATGTTTTATAAGGAGTGAGAAAAGACAAGAGAGATTGATGAAGAAGAAAAAGATTTGTGTCTATGAGAGATTAAAGAGAATTGCTGCCAAAGCGGGAATTAAAATCTTAATGAAAGTTGATGAGGATGTCCGAGTATCTGCAGTATTACAAAGAGGATCATAACATTCACATGTCTGTGTATTCACTTGAGTATCAGAAGTTCGGTAGCATGGTCGATCTTCACGAATATTACCACAGCTTCGAATGATTCGCTCTTTATTTGCTTCTCCCTTGAATGTGACTCCTAGAAAAGCAATAATAATGGATAAAGAGAAAATTAGAAAATTAAAAGTAAACAATCAACTAAATCAGTTCCAGTGTTCTATCGCGAAAAATACGAAAATTGGAAATAAAATTCACAAAGGATTATAACATATTAATCATGATGGAATGATATCAGATTCAAGATCGATTATTAACTAGATGATTTGAACAGGAGAAGAAAAAAAGAAGATGAATGATTAAATCTAATGTTTATTTGATGAATGATAGTAAAAGTAATAATCATGTTCGATGAGGAATCAAATTCATTCCAATGAAAATGGTATGTAACAATGTTCATTAAAATCATTATTTGCTAGATTATCAATACAATGAGTTTTGTCTATCATGAAACTCATGATAAAATGAACTCTTCTTCTTTATTATCAGTAGCTTAAACATATCTAATTGGGTGAATGAGTGGGAGAATGCAATTCGATAATGTATTGCGAAAAAAGTCAATATATTTATAATGGTAAATAGGAAGGGAGCAAAGAACATTAGAAATTTAATTAATAATCATTAATTATGGATAATCAGAATTATCTATCAAGATATTTCAACAATACATTGTATTTAATATCGTTGAAATTCAATTACAAGGGATTCACGTTATCAAATATTTACAGGCAATCAAGTTAATTCAATAAATGGCAAAGTTGAATCAAATTAATAATAGTTAACAAATGAGAATCATTTTTAAGGCAACAAATGATTATTCATTCAAGATAATTGTCAATGTAATCAGTGTAAACAAATTAGGTGATATATGATTTTATTCATCACTATTTACTTTATTTGTTGGACAATGTTATTATTATAGTGATATCTTTAGAAAGTATTGATAAATAATAATGTTATTAGATATTAGAAAAATGGTTATCAGCTGATATCTTTTTTCATCTTTTCGAATAACAAATTTCAAAGTTCTAAAAGTTTCAAATTGATGTTATAAAGTTAGAGTTTGTTACTATTCGATAAACAAGATATAAAATCTTCATGTTTGTATCGTTAGTTGTACGAAATGTATCAGAGTTACATGATAATGATATTCATGAAGACTAGAAGAGATTATGTAATGTTACAGTTTGACCAATTTCAAGTTTGACTCTATCAATCAGATCATCTTTCAAGGTTAAAGTTTCATGTCTATGTTCATGGTGGATGTTAATTCAGTAAAAAAAGGATAAAAATCATTCATTAAATTATCCATGATGAGTGTCACAAACAGGTAATGAAAATTCAACAATAAAATAGGAATTTATTGTCAAATTGTCAACTGAATTTACAGTTTATAATAGTAAATTGATTAAATTCATTTTACTTTTATGACTAAATTATTTGATTTTCTAGTTTTTCTTTTCATTTTCAATTGATGGAAATAGTGATAAATGTTAAAAGTACAATTACTTTGATGGAAATATTGATTGATATAATTGAAGAAAGAAAAATTGGCATGAGAAAAAAAAGATAAACAAAAGAATAATATAAATTCGTGTTTTTTGGCAAATTGATAAATTCCATGTATTTATATTATCATCATTAAGCATGATTATCGTTTCAATATCACAAAGCATTTACACTATTCTCTTTAATTTTCTTGTTTATCATCATCTTTCTCCTGGTATTCACTCAGAAAATGATGCCTGATGAACAAAGTTAAATCCATTTTACAGCAATAAGAGGAAAACAGATTACGAAGCCACGAGGACAAGATGATCTATTTTGAATTAATCACATCGATAATAATACTATTTGTAGTAAGCACTAAGGGCATGAAAATTACAATAATAAAGCAAATAAAAGATTCAAAAAGGTAAAATAATTGCCGTTAATTGAATAAAAGCAGAAGCAAGACAATTGACACAACGAAAATCGTAGGTTAATAGTGATGGTCATTAACTAATAATTCTCATGAGGGTAATCCGATCCTAGAGGCAATACAATACTAAAACTGGACTTTATCATGAATTTTCATGAGAAAGAAAACAAAGAGAAACCTTGAGAACAAGATAATTTCGAACATGATGAATATAAATAAAATGAATACCCTTGGAAAGGTTGATCTCATCATGAGACAGAACGCAAATGAGAAAGAGAGAGAAGAAGAAAAAAAGATGAAGAATTTGCGGAAAACAGGATTGATTGCGTTCTAAAGTGAAGGTTATTTTTCACATGGAATATTGACAATTTTCGTAAGCAAACGTACCAATAGTTATGGTATATAATCAATACGAGATGAGAAAAGAAAGCAAAAAACGACCGATACTAATCAATAGTCATCAAGGTTTTCCAATTTTTTCTTCAAGTCTCAAAGTAATGAAGATGAGTTTTCTCAAGTCCATTTGTATAAATAAAAGGCTAACATGAAGAAATCTGAAAAAGTATGAAGATGATAATGGTGATGGTGATGAGGAAGGATGAAAAAGATTTGATCTGTTAAATAATCACACGAACCTTGTTCAATTGTCTTTCGACAGAAAAATCTTTCTTTGTAGGCTTAAAGGTTTCTGATTTGTTGGAGAAAAAATCTTCACAATCCATGATAAATTTATCAGCGGTTGGATTATCCTTACAATCAGAATCTTCGATGTTGGTGCAAACGTAACATTTCATAGATTCACTGGTATCACATTGGCCTGTAAGTGAATAGAAAAATATAAACAAAAACAAAAACAATGAGCCTGATTATGTGAGAAATAGTGATGATTTCTGATAGAATCAAAAATTGATGCAAAAAACGTTAAAATTAACGATGAAGGCAAGAAGAGAAAAAAAGATGTTGATGAAAATGTGACATCATAAGAGAGGAAAAGAAAAAAGTTGCACTAAAAAGATGAGTAATAAATGTCTATTTTTGTTCTTTTCTCTTTTTCTCTTGTTTCGATTTTTTCATCACCTTTTTAATCTCTCTTTCTTTTTGTCTTTCTTGAAGATTCTTCCCATTTAGTTTGACCATTCAACTGGTAAACTGTTGTTTATCTCTCTCTCCTTTCTCACTATTTGACTGATAATCTTTTTGTCACATCAATTTTTTCTCTTCTTTCCAAAGGCAATGGTTAACTCACCCAAAGGTAAGGTAATTGCAAGAAAAAGCGGCATGAAAAGGTACATTTTCTGATTGAAACTAATCATGTTGATGGTTAGAAGATGTTAACGGTAGTCTGGGTTGTTTTTTTCTTCTCGGATGAATCACCTAAAGATGAACTTAATGATGAAAAATTGTTGTGATAGATACAGAATTTTGTTTCCTTTTAGATTGAAAATTGTTTTTACCTGTAGGGTTTAATGATGGAAAACAGTGTTAGTAAGAATTTTAAAAGAAAAAGCTGATTGTAGAAATGGTGTTGTTGATAGAGAAAAACAGACACAAAATTAAAGGTGAACAACGGTTATGTTTATAATGGATGTATTTACGTTTCGGGAGATGATGATGATGATGGTTATGATGTTGATAAAATGAACAAAGGAGAATAAGCAACGAGTAAGATGAAGAGAGAACAAGAAAGATAAAGAAAAATAAACAGAGAAACTGTGATAGCAAGAATTTGAGAATAGAGAAATGAGAAATGAGAGACACCGATAACTTAAAGATTGGGGAAGACCAAAAATAGAATTCACTTTATGAGCTAATGTAACTTTTTCCCCTCTTTCTCTATCAACATAATCATCATCATCATCATCACCACCACCAAAACCACCACCAACAACAACCTCATCACATTTTCTTTTTTCTTCCATCACCAAAATTCTGGTTACTAACCCAAAAACTATGGAATCCAAGTAATCACTTATCCTCCCGATTGTTGCTCCACTTGAAACTTCTGGTTATCAATCAGTTTAAACACTTAAACAATTAGTAAACTATTGAATATTTAAACTATGTAACAATTAGCCACAAGGTAATTTAAGAGAGAACAACAATTAACAACAAAACAAACCAAATTAAAAGAGGAAAACGCAATCAAGAGCAACGTGTAAACGAATGAAAAGTCTCTGTCTTGTTGCAAAGAGAAAAAAAATTTGTTCTTTTTTTTCTTCTCCTTCTTTTTCTCTTACTTTTTTCTTGTTGTTCTTTTCTCTTTTTCAAAATGTTCGCAGTGTTTAGATTCTGGTTAATCTGGTTACTTGCCAATTAGTTGTTTCTCTTATTATTAATCCCTCTTCCTTTTGGTACGAGATTTAATTAGTGTTTTTCCATTGGAACCAATAATCAACAATCAACAGTTTTAATCACAATTAGAAGGATCAACACATATTGAAGGTTAACATTTGATTCTTTCTGACCTTTGACGCCATTTTTTCACTTTCTTTTTCTCCATCTTTTAATTTGATAACCGATTATAAAATTGTTTGTATTTCGTTTCATCATAATCATCTTTAATATTGTGTTCTTCCCATGGTTTATCAAATTACCTCTTAAATCTAAAGGTAACAATGTAACAGGTAATTGAAATAGTTCTGGTTCCCTGTTGATCTTTTATGTGAAAATGAAGTAATTTTTTTTGCTTCTTAAATGTTTGTCTATAGTAATTGTATCCAATCTTTTGATTTCACCCTGACAATTGAATTTCCATTGATTGGTGACTGACTTGATCCTGATCGTAATCAATTTTTGGTAATTACTGTATTGGACTTTTCTTTTCTCAGACGAACAAGAAAAAAAATTCTATTCTAAGCTCATGAAAATATGATATCAACAGAACTGGTTTAACTCAATTAAGGCTCAACTTAAGTTCTCAACATATCATGAGATTATTAATCTGAATACATGATACGAGTGGTAATTTCCATGAAGAACAAAACAAACAGAGAGATTGAGCCATCCAATACATAACAACTTTAATACATAATTTACAATTTAAATTGTTCACCAATTGAAAATGGATCTCTCTTCATTCAACGACAAATTCAATTTTGATGAATTTCAAGTTGACTTATTTTCCTGAAAACTATATTAATCTACTCATAAGGTGTTTCAATGTCTGAAAATTTGACTGTGTTTACCCTGAGTAAACAAGCAAATTCAGAGCTGAGCAACTTGAAATGATCAATGGACTTTTCTTCAAATTTATTGGAGCAACTAAGAAGCGCAGTTACCATGAATCCTGATATCCGTAGACGAATGAAAAAAAAAGCCAATTGACAATCAACAAGAATAATAATAAATTTGATGATCAAGGTAAGGAATTTATGATGAAAATTGAGAATTTCATTCATTACTTTTTCTCTCCTTTCATCTCAATTTTCCAAGTTGATATTTATCCTCTTCCTGAGTAACACACTCATGATAAATGGTAGTTAATGATGATGCTGATATTTGATTAACACTTTCCCATGTTGATAAATTATTTATACTCATCATCGTAATTAAATTAACATTCATATATCCTACAAAGAGATAACAATTAAAAGTGTTAAAGTAATAATATCAACTAATTGCTTATACATTTCCATTGTTAACTCTAGGAAGCCATTGATTGTGTTTCTTTGTTTGTTTCACTAATTATCACTAATTATCATTTTCCAATCAAGTTATGACCCTGATAATTATCACCATGATTACGATGTCTGGTTATATTCATTTTCAATAATAATCTAATCAGCAATCAACCAGCTTACTAATAACTTTCAGACCAATTAGTTAACTTGATATGAAAAATTTATATAAGTTAATTGGTGACGCAATGTATTGATTTAAATTGTGATGAAATCTTTTCTTTTAAGGGAGAAAAAGATTACCCAAAGTATGTTATTGATTAATTATTGATTGCAGAATTTTTTTAAATCTATCTGACGGTTGATTACAATGACTTTCATGATTATTGTTTTTCTTTTACTTAATCAGCTTAATTTTCCTGATTTAGTTAATCATTTTGTTTGTTTTTTTTTCGGTGGAACGTCCGTTTGATTTTTGGTGCATCGAAAGTAAAAGCCATGGATTATGATGGTTGGTGATTTCTCCTGACAATGTATTGACCACAATGGATAATCTGAGATAATCTCTTAATAGGAAAAGTTTTTGCGACGTTATTTCCAAAGGGAAGGTGATAAATGCGGGTGATTAAGATAATTGGTAATAGTAAAATATCAAGTTGAGAGGAAAAATTTTCTTCATCAAGGTAAGAAAACAATAGGACAAATTTAACTTTAAACGGGCGATTGATTAAGTAGTAAAATGAGTAGACGGGTAAACACATAACACGAATACATAATAAATCTATGGAAGGGAGAACGATATTAAGAATAGATTGAGATACAATTAACTGATAATCATTAGCAAAAAAAGGTAATTAGAAAGACCGTAGGCATAAAATTTGAGATTTGCGAAAGATTAATTCAGCTTCGGTGTTTTTACGTTTTGCAATCAATGCCTGAGGGTATGGGACTGGTTTTCATCGTGTTCGAAAATGTTTTAATCATTTAATTGCTTTTTATCAGAATTCTGGTGTCCTTTTTTTTCTTTGTCTAATTAGATTATTATTGGTACCTAATATTCGTGAGTGTCATCATCGCCATCACCGTCCGTCGATTCCAGGCCAACTTCTTCATAATCTTTTTCCAATGCTGCCAAATCTTCTCGGGCCTCTGAGAATTCACCTTCTTCCATACCTTCGCCAACATACCAATGGACAAAGGCTCGTTTAGCGTACATAAGGTCAAACTTATGATCCAATCGAGCCCAAGCTTCAGCGATCGCTGTTGTATTGGAAAGCATACAAACGGCTCGTTGAACCTTAGCCAGATCACCTCCGGGTACAACGGTTGGTGGTTGGTAATTGATACCAACTTTAAAACCGGTGGGACACCAATCAACAAATTGTATTGATCGTTTTGTTTTAATTGAAGCAATGGCTGCGTTAACATCCTTTGGAACCACATCACCTCGGTAAAGAAGACAAACTGCCATGTATTTACCTTGTCGAGTGTCACATTTGACCATTTGGTTTTGTGGTTCGAAACAGGCATTGGTAATCTCACCAACGGTCAATTGTTCATGATAAGCTTTCTCAGCTGAGATAACGGGACCATAAGTTGCAAGAGGGAAATGAATTCGTGGATAAGGTACCAAGTTAGTTTGGAATTCAGTTAGATCAACATTGAGAGCACCATCGAAACGGAGAGATGCAGTAATCGAAGATACAATTTGACCTGAGAACAGAAAAAAATGATCAAATTAGTTTACAAGTGAATCTTTTTGCATTTGTGAAAGGGAAAATTTCAAGTATTAATACATGAGAAAATTCAGATTATGCAAATGAGTAAACATATCTAAACAAGTAATTTCAATTAACTTAATCAGCATATTTTTAGCAAAATTTCACAGAATTGTTGTCAAATTAACATCAAAGTCATGAAAGAGAATCAAAATTAATCAAAAATTTACATTAATTATGTAGCTTAACATTTTTCGACTTGATTATTATTCATGATGGTGAACTAATTTCGGTGACAAAAATGTGACCGAAAACTACAAGAAATAGATCAACATGTAATTTAAAGTTAATTGAAGCAATTGAATCAACACAAATCACGCAAAAAAATTATCATCATCATAACCCATTGAGTTAATTAAATGATAAAATTATTTGTTGATCGACTGAATCAATAATAGTTCATCAATGAATGTACATCGATTTGATAGTAGTTGTCTTTTTTTACTACTAATTTTGACTGAATGATTTAGTTAATTGTTTACTGTGAAAATTACAAAGAAAATAAGAAAAAAAAATAGTTAATTGAATGAATCACGAAAAGTGAAAGAGGTCAAAAGTTCTGAGTGATTCTGATGATTAGCTGAGATTAGATTGTCACGATTATTGATTTTCTACCTAAATAAACATCTACAAATCATCAGAATTATTATTGAGAAAATTAAGATTGTCACAGAGTTAAGGTGACTGATTCTACTATTGTTATTATCTGAATTACATGTAAGATGATTCATGCATGAGAAATGAAGTAAAATTGAATCAACTGAATAAATGATCATGAAATGAATGCAAAGGAAGTGAAAAGATACCTTACAATTCATTGAACGTTTCAATGACAATAATTCATGTTGTTCTTTATCATGATGACTGATTTTTACCTCATTTTGTTCAGCAGAAAATCAATTTCTGTTTTTCATTAATTATATTCATCTGAGAATAGGAGATGAATTTTTGAGATTGAAGTGTTAATTTATAATAATAATAATTGGTTACAAATTTCACTAGATTATTGAATTAAATTAAATAATCTCCTTTTTTTCACTATACTTTTCAGAATCATGAATTTCCAATGCATTGAGATTGTTACAATTTCATTTGAAACTTTTCGCAATTTGAGTTGATTGAAAAGCCTCCAAGGAATTGGCCTGATAGTTAATACAAAACACTAATCAAAAAGTTTAATTCATTTCCATTCATGGTAAAGGTTAAGGTTAGAAAATCAATACTAATGTAGAATCATTTACATGTTAATTAATAGTGAGATAAAGGTAAACATATCAATCAGAATGAAATTAATTCTGTTAATGATTGACTTTGAGTTAAGAGGAAACAATTAGAATATTGTAATAATAATAGTCAATTTCTTACCTATGAGACGGTTAAGATTAGTGTAAGTGGGTCGATCAATGTCCAAGTTTCGACGACAAATATCATAAATGGCCTCATTATCTACCATGAATGCACAGTCTGAGTGTTCCAATGTGGTGTGGGTGGTTAATACCGAATTATATGGCTCGACAACGGCGGTTGATACTTGGGGGGCTGGATAAATGCTAAATTCTAATTTAGATTTTTTACCATAATCAACTGATAATCGTTCCATCAAAAGACTAGTGAATCCTGATCCAGTTCCACCACCGAAACTGTGGAAAACCAGGAATCCTTGAAGACCAGTAGTTTGTTCAGAAAGTTTCCTAATCTTGTCCAGAACAACGTCCACTATTTCCTTGCCGATGGTGTAATGACCACGAGCATAATTGTTAGCAGCATCTTCTTTGCCGGTGATTAATTGCTCGGGATGGAAAAGTTGACGATAAGTTCCAGTTCGTACTTCGTCTGAATTGAATAATATAAATAAAAGAATAGAACAGAAAAATTAATAAAACAATAAATCAGTTAATTCGGTTAAATGTGAACTTCTAATGGGGAAATTTACATGAATTTTGAGATCATGAAATTGAGTTAATTTGGTTACATGTTAATAATAAACAACTCAATCAATTGGAATAATTTATCTCTATCATTTCGTGATTTATTTTTCGTATAATTTATTGGATTGATTGAATTTTGTAAATTCAGTGGTAGTTTATTGTGTAAGATTCTGATTTTCAGGGTATGAAAACTGTTGTTCATGATAATCAAAGTTAAATTGCTTCATTATTTAAGGTTTGACTTTTTTGTTCGTTAATCAAATTAACCGTAATTCAATTTATCTTGACGCGTATACAAACTTTACGAAAAAGGTTATAACAATTATTTAAATGAATGGAAATCATCATTCTTAATTGACAATTCACTTCTAATTAACCTTTAATTTCAATGATTATCATCATGTTTCTGTCTCTGAATCAATATCAACATAAGTTAGTTAAAATTATCCAAAGTTTATTATTAACTTTGTAATATTTATCGACATAAAAATAGCAACGATTAAGTGAATGATTAAAAATTGTTAGTTGATGGAAGATGATTTAAAACCATGATGATCAACATGAGGGTTATCATAGTTGGTTGATTAGTGAATGATTCAATGGATTGATGGGCAAGATAATCAGTTGTCATAACAATTCAAGTTCGAGTTGATGATTAAAATAATCATGTTAACAGTTTTGTCTTTGCTTTTGTTTAAACGATAAATTGATAACAATTAAGACAACAATCAACATGAAATTTAACGATGTACAATTAAAGATAAACAATAACAGTCAAACGAAAACAATTTAATAACTTTTGTAAGGGATAATTAATGGTTGATCAATCTTTTGATCGTTAGTAGTTTAGTTAATCAATATTGATTGAAGATTCATAATCTATCAAAGGATATTAAATAGATTCTGCCATGTTGAACTTAGAGAATACAATTTTGGGTAAAATTTGACATTGATTAAAGTTAATTGGATTGATAAATTAACCACTTGATTGAAGAAATCGATAAATATATTTGATAATCTGAGCGACACACCCGAATATATATTAGCACAATTAAAGATGAAACTAAATTGACAAAGACGAAGACTGATTGATTTAAATGCCTTGGAAACTGATTTAATCTCAATTCAATTTCATTTCATGAAACATGATCATCCATGTTGAACATAACTGATTAAACTAATCATTATCTACCAACAAAATATAGTTAATCATCATTCATTAATCTAATGATACAAAAAAAAGTTACATTAAGTTTTAGATTACCAACTAATCTCAATTTGATTGATCATCTAAACAAAGTTTCATTTGAAAATATCACAATCAATGATAATTGTGGTAGCAAACAAAATTAAAACAATCAAATCAACAGAAATTAAGTAATCAGCTGATACACAATTTAGAAATAAAAAAACAACAACAATTAGATAGTTAATCAAAAAGTTGATTCATATTATCAGTAATATCAACATGTTAATCTAAATAAGTTATTATTGTAATTATTATCACTCATCACATAGAGATTACAATTAGTTGAACATAAATCAATTCAAGTTGATTTATGATGAGACAACACTAATTAACATCATTAACATGCAATATCATTAACAATCAATCAAATACCCTTGATAATTTAAATATTATTCGGGTAAAAGGTATTGAAATTAGTACTTTGATAATCAATTAATCAGAATGAAAATTCAAACTAACAGGTAGATCATGATAATGGAATTGTTTAGTTGACATATTAATATAAACTAAAGTATATAAGTTCAGCTGAACTCAGTGTTATACAGGGAGGCTGATAATCTGTCCGAATTATTTTTGGTTTTCAGGTTAACATTTAATCATTGAACAAATGACCATTTAACCTCCATAATTAAGGTGTGGTCATTGAGCAATAATAACCTTTTCTTAGGAAATTTAAATTGATTGTTTACTAATATTCAGCTAATGTATTAGTTAATTTCCTCTGTTGAATCAAGTTCTCAATGATAATAACAGTGATTGAGGGAAAACAAGAATAATTTTAATATCGATAGTTAATTATTAAGATATTAATGGCTAATCAATGAATGATTGATTTTCACTATTAACGATCAGACGATTTTTCCTTCCAGCAATTAACTAGTTAAAACTCAATGTAAACACGTTTAAATCACGTTTAATTTACCTGTAAATACATTAAAACGATTTTATGAATTATCGTAATCATATTTAGAGGATATTCGGATAATTATCTGGTTATTAACTTTCTAGCATTTCTTTCATATCCCCCAATGAATTTCATGATAATATTTAATGAATGAAGGTCAGAATAATTGATTTGACAATATTCATTGCGAAATAAATTATATTATTCATTCAATTGATTTCGATATTGTATCCATTTGTTTAGATTAGATTGGAATTAGATTTCCAATGATATGGATTAATTTCAATCAGAGTATCTCTCAATCGGATTAAAGGAAATATCATTCATTTGTTTTAGATTACGAAATATAATCAAAGTTAATCAATGAGAATCTTGAAATAGTACAGAACAGAGATTAAGATTATAATCATGATGATCTCATGCTCTTTCATCAATAACATTCAAGAGATTTGGTTACATGAACTTGAAACACTTTGTTTTTCATCGTTGATCGTTACAGTCTCATGAACTGAATTAGAACCTTGAAACTTCAATATATCATCATTCTTAAAACTTCCTGTCAATTTTTCCTCGATCGTAATCATCATCATCCGTTTCTCTCTCTCTCCTGTCTATCCTTTCATCAACATCATTTCTAAGATGATAGACTTTTCTTTCACCAAGAAATGGAAACCAACCTCAGTGTATGATATAATTTTCTTTCAGGCTTGAAAACAGGGCGTTATAATTCAGAGAAAACAGATAAATATGAAGATGATACTTAAGATTATTGCATCAATTTTTTTTCTACCCCAACAAAACTCTTGTTCTCTCTCTCTCTTATCCGATTGGAATTTTTTTCTCTTTTTTTTCGCCATCAACATCTCATCATCTTCATCATCATTCAGACTTTTATGTAAGGTGAGATTGAGGGTTTAAGGAGCAGAAAGTGGAAGAGGGAGCATGAAGATAATCATTAAGAAGAAGCCAAACTTGTTGCTAGTTCTACCAAGCTGACCTTAGATAATGACCTGAGCATTGTTGTTGAATCAAGTTTCAACATTTTTCATTCTTCAATCTCTTTTTTGGCTCTTTCATCTCTTACCTTGTTGGCTTTTCTATCATCCTATCTCTCTCTCTCTTCTTTCTCTCTCTACCCTTTTGTTTTTATATCTTTGAAATTGATAGAGTAAGAGATAATTTCTCAGACAAGAACTTGTCAAGTGAATCATGATCATGATCAACTAGTTTCAACACAACAAAAGACTCTCTTCCCATGATTACTCTCTCATTTTCTTTTCTTTTATATACCTGAGGTGTAAAAGATAACAAAAAAAATCATTATTTCGTCAACGTTGAACGACATATATCGGTTTACATTGTCAACTATTGTACTTATTACATTTTGCATCATTAAAGGTAAACACATTACATAATAATCACTTCTTGGCACTTAAAATGTTAGATAAACTGTTACAAAGACATTAACACCAATTATTTAAACATTTGAGGTTAATGTGTAACTTTTATCCTCTTCAAAGATTATTAAAAAGGATTTAACTAATGGAAAAAGACTGTCAAGGTAGATTAAGGCAAAGAAAGGTGGGGCTCTGTCTATCATCTGATATCGGGTATTGTTTCAAATTGATCTAATCAAAGCTAAGTGATTTGAAAATAATTCTAATGATCTGTTGTCCACTTTGTTTCTCTCTCTCTCTCTCTTTTCTTTTTTAAATTTCCAACGAAATAAGAAGATCGTAAAAAGGTCAAAATCCTGATTATTACACGGGTGAGATTTGTAGTTGTGTCTCGGGAGTGGCAGAGAGATGGATGAAGAGAAAGAAAAGAAAGTCAGAAGAAAGAGTAACTAATGAAAAAGAAAACAATATACAAAGACATAGACACATACATGGAGTTTGAGAATGAGAGATACTAGAAAACAGTTTCATTAAATTGTTGCTATAATTATATTGGGAGTTGGAATAAAACATCAATATTAAATTAGTGTAATAAACATTTATGTGTGTGTGAGAGAGAGAGAGAGATTGAAGGGAGGAGGAAAAGGGTGTGATAAGCATGACACAGACACAGGATAAAGTCAATGTCTTGGGTTAATGACAATGAAGATGAAGAGACACATTGATGAGAAAATGGAGGAAAAAAGAAGATAATTCTCCTTACCAACTACTGTGGGTTCGAGATCGATGAAAACAGCCCTTGGAACATGTTTACCTGCCGATGTTTCACTGAAAAAGGTATTAAATGAATCATCACCCGATCCAACTGATTTATCACTTGGCATTTGACCATCAGGTTGAATACCATGTTCTAAACAATAAAGTTCCCAACAGGCATTGCCCATTTGAACTCCAGCTTGACCAACATGGACACTAATACACTCACGCTGTGGATAATTAAAAAAGAAAAGAAAAGAGAACGAAAAAAACATAGAATATCAAATAACAAGAATTAAACACTCAAATAGAATAGAAAATTTCAGAGGAAAAAAAAAGAGAAAAGAACAAGATTGAAACGAATGGAGAAACAAAACAAAAAAACACCGAATCCAAACGAGACCAAAAGAGAAAAAGAAAAAGTGACCCATGACAATTGAATGGAACAAAATTGACGAGAAACTATAAAAGAATAGAATTCGACCAACGGAAATGGAAAAAAGAACTTACCATGTTTATCCAAAGAGATTAGAAGATGAATTTACACGCGAAAAGAATATGAGATGGAAAAAATGGCAAATTGAACGAGAGAAAATGAGAAGAAAATAAAGGAACGGAGTAGGAGAAGATGAAGAGATGATGAGAAAAGAGAAGAGGATAAGTTGGAGTTGGAACTTGAACAATGAATCTGGTTCCTTGTTACCTGGTAGACTGAATAAGAGACTAAACTATTCACGGCTCAACGGGAATCAACTTATTCTTTTGTGTTTCCATTACTCGGGTTACCATGACTTCTCCTCTTCTCTTCTCTCTCTTCCCTTTCTTTTTATCTTTTCCTCTGTCGACCTTTGTGTCTACATTACTCAGCTTATTCTCTCTCATTATTGTCTAGAGGGTTTCGCTTAATTATTGTTTCTCTTTCTCTCTTTTACTCTTTTTTTTTGCCGGTTTAATTGATATGGAACAATTTTTTTCTCTTTCTCTTTCTCTCTCTCTCTTTTCTAATTGTTGCTAATTGTCTTAATCTATTGTAAACACAAGCAATCAGATTATCCATGTAAGTTTGTTGATCGAATTCTGTTTTTCCGTTTGCTTTAATCTCTCAATCTTAAATTAATTTTATTCTCTTTATGAGTCATAACCGTTTTCGCTTTTTTATTGATATTTTTCAATGTTTTCTTTTTTCAGGATTATCTTTTACTGTGGAATAAAATTATCACCCAATTTGGAATAGTTTTGTCTCCATCAACCTTTGAATCTTTTATCACCATTGGATTAACTCTTTTGTCTTGGTAAGTCATCATTTACTCTTGGTCACTTCTTAATCTCTTTGTTTCATATTTGCTAATCTATTATCTCTCTCTCTCTCTTTAATCTTCCTATTAATGATATAGAATCTAATGTGTATATTAATGTACTAATGGTTTTGGATTGGATTTTGATTTCTCTGACAATGACCACTCAATTTAACTGGTCTTTACCCTTTTTGTATGGCTTATCAAGATGATGTCTCAACACAGTTGATGAATTTGATAATCTTTTTATATACAATAATCCAGTTGGGTTAACATGGTTAATTGTATTGTTTACCTTTTAACCATCGTCATGAACTGGATTGTATAACCAAAGATTTGAAACAAGTCAACAGTTTCCATCAATTCGCAATCAAATCCTTTGCCCTCATTAATCTTTTGGATTAGATTTTTTTTGAGGCTTTTATTTGGCGTAAACGTTTAACCAATTGTGAAAATATACATTCGATACATTGTTACAAGAAAGAAGAGATTAAACCCTGAACATGAAGTTGCTGACCATCAAAAATTGAAGGATAACAATTGAGACACATCAATATCTCTCACCACGGAATCATTTTTAAACAATTCAAACTTTGGTGTCTACTATTAAGGATCTCTTTCTTTTCTTGTTACTTGATCAAAAGCACCAAGATTCAGATTCAGATGTCTATCAGAAAAAGAGTACAAAGACTTTCTGATGGAAATCAAGATACAACAATCATCAGCCATCTTGTTTATTAGAAAACAAGTTTACCAACAACTGAAAACCCTATTAAAGGCAATCAATGGATGATATTTGGCGTAACTCAATCACGAATCTGTCAATTGATGAGAATGGTAAAAAAAGTGCAACCTCAAGTGTTGAGATGATGGTGATTAAGGTGATACTGGAAATGGTTAATATCTTGATTGCAATTGAAAATCTAAATGGATGGAAATGATTACTGTTTCTGTTTAAATTCATCTATTTCCATTTTGAAATTCATTTCAATCTAACACAAGAGACGATGTTGATTTGAATATTCAAATTACCGGTTTTCTTTTTAAATTATCTCTTTCTCTTTTCGCAAAGCTAATTGTGTTAACTGGACTCACCAGACTGAAAGAAATGACCCAACCTTGAATATTACATGATAATATCATGGAGAAGTGAGTTAATCTTTGCTCTTATCTAATTGTTTATCTAATGACGTTTCGTCATAATCCTTCATTGCATTAAGATGATTAATATTAATCTTTCACTTTGTTATTGCAGAGCTTTTATCGTAAAGAACTGGATTTTCCCATGGAGTTTTCAATGGACATGAAATAATCAATCATCGTCATTAATAATCTAAGAGTTAGACTGAATCTATGAGAATCAACTCTTGATTGTTTCGCCTAAATAATCATATCTTAAAAGGATCATGAATACAGAATTTACTAATTAATCTGATAATCTTGAAAGTGGATCAACTATTGGACAATATATACAATCTAATTTCGTTAATTATTGGACAATTGGAGATACTTGTATGAGATATTTATCTTAATCGGGAAAGTCTCAATTTTGATTATGACAAATTCGCTTGTTACATTTGACACTGACAATTTAATTTCATTTACAATCAGTCAACAAATTGTTACAACATATCAAATTAAGAAACATCAGTTGATTGAACTTTGTTTTCAAAAAAAGTTACAATTAATCAAAATAATCAAAGCAAAAATTGATCACTTAAAATTGTTATTAATATGATCAATAATTTAAAATATCTCGCTAATCATCAACTGTCAACAATTGATTCCAAGTAAATCAACAGGTAAGAAAAAAAAAACAAATTAACTGTTGTTCAACTTTATATCGCTTGCAACAATTAAGATGTTCATTTTACTCCAAATCTAAACTATAATTGTGATTAATTAATCATCCTCATTTGAATTAAATGAGGTAAAGCTAATTAGACAATTAAAATCTCAAGATTAACTAAATGATTAATAAAAAAATGACATCAAATTTTTTTCCTCTTCCTTAAGGTAAACGGGATCACATTGAAAGTACAAAGTTTTACAAAATCAAGTGTAAATGAATAAAAAGCGACTAATTAAAAGATGAGCCAATTAATTAGAACAATTAAAACAAACGATTTAGTTAATCAGTTTTTGTTTTCTTCTCTAATCAATGTCTCGATTGACTAATCATCCAAAAAAAGGTGATAATCTCCCACAAAGAGTAGATGAAATTAATTGTTCATTCAAAGAGAAAACAATTATCACCACAAAACCGGAAGGAAACTCATGGTCTTCCATTGAAATGATTCTCTTTTTGGCCTTATAATCAAGAAGATCGAACAAAAAAGTCATTTGTTAATCTCACGATGATTAAATCGATAGCGATTAAGGAATTAACCTGATCAGTTTATATAAAAGTATTTCTATCGAATACAAATATAAAAAAAAGTTCGAATCTTTTTCTCCAATTGAACGGAATCATCTTCATCTACTAAATGGAAAACAATCAGAAAAAGAGAAAAGAAAAAATAAAATTCTACCACCAATATCATCTTCATCATCTCTATCATCTTCTTTTCTTCAATTCTAACCACTAACAGAACGTTAATCATAAATTGATTGTCTTTAATCATCTAGGCCATTCATTCAAATCAAAGTGGATCAATTGATTTACTTTAAGCGAAGAGAGTTGATTGTTGGTGTCGAATTAAAAAAAGATTATCTCTCTCTCTCCTTTTGTAAACTGTTATGCTAAACAATTAGTTGATTGTTGATCTACCGGCGGTAATTAGAAAAAAATTCAATTTTCTCCTCATGTTTGGGTGGACACAATTTTTTTTGTCACCAAGGAGGAAGATGACAATCGAGAGAGTATATAAAGATGGAAAGTTCTTACAATCGGAAGTTCAGTGGTTTACCTGAAAGTGAAGGTATAAGGTGTTTAATTGAAGAGTAAAAGATATTCAATCAATTATTACAATCAGTGTTGTTCATTAATACCAAGGGACTGAAATCAATTGTGCCTTTTAAATTGTTGATTGTGAAAATCGTTGGTAAACCGAAAAGTTTAATACATTTGATTGTGAAAATCTCGTGTTCGTAAAAAATCATGGCCATTAGTTGTGGATATTTAATCAGTTTAATTGGTTGTACGCTAATTACTTTAGTCTATTCAACTCATCACCATCATGGTGGACATAGTAATATATTTCGGAAGCAGGATGGTTGGGGAAAGTACGAGTTTGCTTATGATATTCACGATCCTTGGGGGAATAAAAATTTCCGTAAAGAGCATGGACATTTCACCAAGAAGGGAGGACACGTCGAGGGTTCTTATGGTCTACACGATGCCAAAGGTAGACTGAGAATCGTAAAATACACCGCAGGTAAAGGTGGATTTGTAGCTTCGATCAAAACAAACGAACCAGGAACATCCGATGAAGATTCAGCGGCCGCTTTTTACAATGGAAAAGACGATGATCATGGTAAGTGAAAGAAAAAAATTTCGACAATTTTGGTCAACTGTTAACAATTAACTCTTTTTAATTAACTAGGAAAATGGAAATACGATGTCAAGACCCACCACGAAAAGGGAAAAGATCACTGGGGTAAGTACCATTTTCTTATTCTCCTTCCTTTTTTCCCCGTTAATTTCTATTAATTTCTCTCGATTGTTTCGGGTTTTGGGTTTCCGTTGATCTCCTGGTTAATTTGGTTAATATTTCCCTATGGTTACCTGTTGTGCTCTCTCTCCTCCTCTTTAATTCTCACTCTCTAACTCTCTCTCTCTCCTTGCTTAATATCCAATTTCGATTAAAAAAATTCTCATCAACTGGTTAATCTCATAATCTCAACTCCAAATCAATGATTCCCAATGATAACTCACAGTTACCTTATCATCACCAGATTTACTATTGTCAACATTGTCTCAAACTCAACAACCACCTCAAGTTAAACCACAACTTGAGCATCACCATCAACCACTCCAACCATTACAACCAACTCTCCATGATGATCATCATCACCTTGAAGACTTTAATCAGGTTGAAGCTGCTCAAGTTTTCCCTTGGGATATTGATTGGTTCAGTCCATTGATCTTAATCGTCGAGTTGTATCAAGCCAATTGAAATTGTTTTCCTCTTTCTCTTTCTATTCTTGCACAATTCTTGCTTAAATCATCATGATAAATGATCGTGGTGCCAAATTTAATCACAATGAAATTCACTTACCAAATTAACTCAAGACAATTAGCAAAAAAAAAACGATGCCAGGTAACACGAGACACAAATCATTTCTAATTAATTGTTTACCGAAAAAATTAACACGAATTTTAAGTCTTGTCGTCATATGAATGGAAACCCAAACATACGAATCAAATATTATCGATTATCGAAATCGAGCTTATAATTTGAACCATTTTCCCTCCCAATGCTTAGGTAAACATGATGACCATAAAGATGACCACAAGCATGACCATAAAAGCCATAAACACCATTTCGATCACTATGCCGCTGCCGCAAGTGAACTCGAACCTCAGGCCAGCAAAGAATACAAACTGATTCCGGTCTCCAGTGATTCGGATGGATATCGACGAGTAGCTAGTCACCTCCCAAGAGCTAATTTCAATTTCCTCTGAGAGACCCTTAACCTTTGACCGAATACCATTTGATAAACAAAATCGTCCAATTCTGTTGATATATTTATCCGATTGCTGAGCAATTGTGATAATGTTCAATATTATAATTAACTGATATTTTTTCTGAGAAAAAAAGTTCAATCAAATCTGAACAATTTTGATGTTCAATCATTTGAAACTGAACACAAATAATAAATGAATAACAATTAATTAATACTCATAACAAATGGAATTTTTTTTTATTAATTGAATCAAATGAAAGAGGGAAAAACAAAGAGCAATTAATTTACATTCTAACAATTTAAACAAATGTGATGGAATTGATTTGAAATTGATTTGAATTTGAAAGATTATCAACATTTTGTTTTAATAGAAATTAAATTATAAAATATTAAGTTTAATTTCCTCTTGCATTTGAGCGGAGAAAATGAAACCAATAATTAAATCAATTCATTCTCGTCGAGCTTTGGTTCGGCGACTTTTACCTTTTCCGTTTCCGGATTTTCCACCAGCACCATTACCATTTCCCCCACCACCTCCTCCCCCACCATCGTTCTTGCGACGACCTTTACCTTTCCTCCGTTTTCTGATCGATGGATTTTCTGATCTACTTGTATTCTCAAGAGATTCAAGTTCTTGAACTGATTCATCTATTGATTGTTCATCATTTCCATCGCCTCAAAATCATCACCATTAGTTAATTGTTGATTAACACCATGAGATTGCTCATTAAATCCATTAGTTACTGAATCAAATTGACATTTTCCTATTAAACTATCACCATTTTCAGTGTTATTGCTTTTTGAATAATCAACAACAATTGGATCATAATTGTCATCGTTAATTTTATCCTTGAGCTGATCATTTATTTCATTGATTTGGTCATCATTGTATTGCTTTTGATTGTTTATTATTGATAATTGATCACTTTCAATTGTTATCGTTTCCTTTTCCTCTTCTTCACCATCATTTGGAGTAATTAAATCATCACCATTAACCCTAAATTCATTTAAATCAGTTGCAGTCTCCAAATTATCGTTATAATTGTAATCGATATTTTCATCAATGTTATAATCGTTTTCTGGTCCATCATTCATGATTCCATAATCGTACTTTTCCTGATCGTAATCTTGATCATCATTATTATCGTAATTAACATGCTCATTGTTAATTAGTTCATCTTGTTCCTTTTCTAATTCCAATTCCATGACTCTCATTTCATCCACTAAATTATCATCATCTTCTTCTTCCTCTTCGTCAGGAATCATTTGCTTCATACAAGCTGATCTAAAACTGACCGTTGGTGTTTTCTTGGTTGACTGATAACCATGAGAGTGTTGATGATATTGATAAGAAGATGAACAATATCCGGTCATCGTGATCGTTTCCGGTTGTCCACCAGAAACTAATCGAGATCTTAATCCACTAATTTCCGATTCCAAAGTTTCAGATGATGAACAACCTGAATCGTTATTTTTATAGGCATCATGGTATCGAAAGGCATATGGATCATGATGATGATGATTGACCTTACAACTTTCTGTGAATGGTGAATGATGAGAATGAGGATAATGCTGAGAATCGTTGATTGTTGTGCTCATTGAACTTGTTGATGGTTGTGAACAATCAAATATTGAAGATGGTGAACTCGGGGAAAGTGTTGACGATAATGTCGAGGATGAGAAAGATGTAGGAGGAGGTGAAGGTGATGAGGATGATGATCCGGGAGTCACACAGCAAAAACCGATGAAAAATATCACAGGTATCGCAGTGGCCATTATGTAGACTGCCCAAAGCCAAGGTTTCTTGTTGGTCTGTTTGATTAACCGTTTGAACCAATTGTCCGTCTCAAGGTCATTGAGCTCCTTTTTAATCTGATAAGTTGACATTGAAATGGAATCGGCCAAGGTGAAATCAGAGGTGACCAGAATGTTGTCAAAAACAATTCCATCGGTCAATGTCCATAGTTCAAAAGTGACCGCATCAATTGGTGACATACTAGAGTATGGATGGTTATCTTCAAAGTGATCTGGATTCAGAATTTTCTGTGGTACCCATTTACCCTGATAAGCGGGATTAGGAATCAAGGGTGGACTCCATTCACCTTTATATCTTGGATTCTCGATCATCGGTGGACTCCAAGGACCACAACCGGGAACTAACGAGCAGCGGGGATTTTTTATCATCGGCACTTCCCAAGGACCGTCTTTATCTGTTTATTTTATTAAGAGATTAGGTTAATGATTAAAAGATGAAAAGAGAGTTGAAAGTTAGATTATGGGACTGACCTTCAGACCAATTTTCGGGTTCGGTTGCTTCTGGATCGGGAATCATAAGAGGTTCATCTTCAAGCCAACTTTTTGGCTTCTTGGCCTTTGAATCGAGGATAAGTTTAGCTTCACCGTTATCCCAATCGTCGGGTTTCACTGCATCCGGATCTGGAACTTTTTCCCTTTCATCCCAATCTTCGGGTTTAATATCGTTCGGATCGTCAATTTCTTTGGGTGGATTAACGGGAGGAGAGAAATCGGCCAGTAAAGACCCACTAGCGATCACCCTTTTATCCATTGACAGTTCGAATTGGCTTGATGGACTGAGATAGAGTCGGAAAAGATGCCATTTACCATCGGTGACAATGTCCGCTAAATTGGTCAGCGTATTAGCGTCTTTCCAATGTATTTCCCGTCGCTCACCGGTTTTATTATTAACATGGGCAAAGATAAAGTGTAACCTATGGTCAGATCCACACTTATCTGGACCAAACATGATAGTATAAAGTGACTGGTCATTTATTAGACTTAAATTTCCCGATGGAGATGAAAGTAACTTAAGATAAGCTCCTCCACACTCTTGACCATTACGATACTGGACATCATATTGAACTATCAATGGGCTCGAGTTGGAAAAGTTAAATTGTCGATCAAATTGTCTGCTAATTGCATGATGTTTAGATTTGGATCTCATTCGTAATCCATAGTCACCTAAATGAAAACAGAATCAAAAAGAAATGAATAAATTGTTACGAATTTTAAATTTAAGAAAAAAACTCTTTGTGACATTATTAATGTCTCATTAACCATCAAATGAAATCAATTAAGTTTGTCATTTGTTATCAATTCAGTTCTATGGTCGTAGTGATAAATTAGAATTACAATTGAATTGATTATCCAACAAATGAACAAATATAAAAAGAAACTCGTAGAGAATCAATGGTTAATTCATCTTTTCTCTCTCTCTCTCTTTCTCTCCAGTGATATTACTCATGGTCGAATGAATTGATTTTGATTGATCGAATCAACAATTTAATCGATAATCAAGAAACATTAAAAAAAGAAACAATGAATTAGAGTAAATCGTTAAATCGTTGAACAATTTTCTGCGTAAATGTTGAGATTTTCTGCTCATTCATTAGGTTATTGGATTCGATTCTTACCTCGAATTTTTTGATGAGTCACCACAATGTCCCAAGTTCCATCATATTTATATTTACCATTCGGACCTTTTGTGGCCTCCGACTTTATCCAAGTCTTTTTAAATCGATGAACATCATCAAAGGATTCGTACAAAAAGACTCGATCCATCGAGCTGGGATTGGGTGTTTTGTAAGGAACGTAAAATTCAGCTCCATTTTTATCACTGGACGTAACTGGATTCACCGGTGGTGAGGCCTGATTGTGGGTCGTAATTGTCGCCGACGATCCTTCACCTTTACTCTGACCATTTGGAGGTTGCTGGTCAATTCCAATGGTACTCTCACTGATCAGAAGCACTACTAAGGTAACAGGTAAAAGTGGCGATACCATGAAGGCGATTTAAGTTTCAACTGAATTGCAATCGAATTAATTTTGCGGCGAAATTTCCTCTGAAAATTTTTCCCGAATTCTAATTAGTTCTTAACCATTTAAATCTATTTTGAACTATTTCGCTCTTTCTGAACAATTCGATTATTTGATTTTCTCAAGTCTCGGATGATCTCTTGGTGTCTTCGTTTTGCTTTGGATCGGATTTAAATTTATTATCGACTTTAAATGATGGAAAATTTAATTTGTAGCAGTTAATCTGGATAGAATTTAGTTAATCAGTTAATTGTAATATTGAAATTAAAGAGAAAGACAATTTGGTCCTAATATTTTTCTTATATTTTCGAGACGTCAAATATTGAGCATTTGTCGATTCAGATCATCGAGTTTATTACTTAAATTGGATGAGAACGGTTGTTGAGACGATGATAATTAAATTGTTGAGAATCAAAAATTGATTATAATTAAATTTTGACGGTTGTTGAGATCAATTAAAAGCACCAATGGAAACGGAACATTGGAAGGATGATAATTAACTGGATTCGATGCTCGACTAATTTAAACGTAAATCATTTTGATTAGAAATTGTAGTTTACTTTTTCATTGGTAATCCGATTTATCACCTTAATCAAACAATTAACTGGTCTTAATTAACAGGGTCAAGTATGAGAATCAGCAATTAGAATAAAATATAAAACAACAATTCCAATTTTCTCCTTAATGAGTTTTCTCGTTGAGAAAAACCAAACAAACACAAAGAATCTTGATCGATAATTAAATGATAACAATTAAAAAGGCAGCGAATTGACAATCGGCAATTAAGTCAATCAGTTAACTAGAAATTAAGAGTCGATCTAAATATATGAAAGCACATCAATATAATTACTTTTTATATTTTCGATGAAAAAAAACCAAAAGAATAGAACATTTTAAACGCAGAATCGAAATTGTTTTTCGAAATTCGATATTTCCTCTGTCTATTTTGTCTTTCTTTTCTCTTTTCTCTTTTCAATTCTTCTCTTCTTCACCGTACCAAGAATAAGATTCGACTCTGGACTGTTCTTTCTCTCCATGGTAACAAAAGTTCTGAATTCGATGCTTTTTCCCAATAAGTTCTTTCATTTCTTGATAATATTTTCATTCGAAGAGAAAAATTAAACACACAAGTTGAATTCTTATTGACACTTTTTCGATGAGAAACAGAAAAGACCAAATTGCGATTTTGGATCATGATCAATTCTATCGATTCTTATTAGTAATCAATAATTCACAGATCAAACATGGAAAAATTATCATGATAATTTTTCTCTCTTTTTATCTAAAGAAGAAAAGATTAAATAATATGGAAAATTACTTATCAATTAACCATCGAAATAAATAAAAAAAAAGTTTCTCTTTTGTTTTCTTAATGTTGACAGAGATGTTGACAGAAAAAAATCTCACAATCAAGTGAGAATATATTAATTATAATTAATATTATAGCAATAGAATATAATTTTATCTTCTTAATCATCACTTTCTTCTTCATCGGATGTAGCAACTAAATCAGAATCTTCGACAGCACTGTCATCCTCTCTAGTCACTTCTTCTTCATCTGATAAGTCCCAAACATGAATATCGGAAATTATTTTAGCTTCTTTAACGTCCAACTAGAAATGGAGAAAAATACAAAGAAAAAGAAAAGAAATTAGTAAATTGTTGTGATTAGAATGATCTTTAAAAGGTTACTGGAGGAATAGCGATTGACTGATACAGTCAATTGATTGTGTAAATTTACCTTGACAGGTTTGGATACATCACAATCAACGTAGGAATCACTTCGGACAATTATCCAGTAACTGTAAACTCCTGGTTTATGGGGAGCAGTTATTTTAAATTCAACTTGCTCTTCATCTACAAGATTTGTAACTAAAATCGGTGTAGCAATTAAATCAATTTTCTTCCTATCAACCATATAAATCCACCAATATTCTTGTTTATCCTCTGGAAAATATGGACAATGAACACTATGGGATCTTTTTGATTTTGTTTCAAGAATTTTCTCTCTCTTGAATAACTTTTGTTGACATTTATTCCATTCTTCATCATCATCGTCATCATCTCCTCGAGATGTTACTGTTGAATTACTTTGTTGTTGAGCTGATGATTTAGTCTCTTTATTGGTGCTTGTTGTCGCTGTTGGAGTGTCAATATCACTTTTGGAAATATCAGATTCTTCATCACTATGGGTAATCTCATCATCTGATTGATCATCTTTAGCTTTTGTGGTTGTAATTGTTGTGGTGGTGGGTTTAGACTCTTTCAATACTCGTTCTGTACCCGAATTTAAATTTGAATTATTTGATTGGACGTTAGTCTGACGTGTTGATTGTTTCTGTTGTTGAGGTTTTCCTTTTCTTTTGCTGTTTTGATACCTTCTTTTTTCCTCTATTCTTAACCCATTGATTTTGTTTCTTTGAATGCGGTGATTCTGGTGCATGAAGTGCATCTCCATTGGCAACTTCTTCTGAACCATCACCATCACGCTCAGCCTTGTCTGGATCATAATCTTCAGAACAACTTTTATCGATCAACATTTTAATTGAATTTCTTATCAGGGTCACTGTAAATGTAACAATTGCTCCAGCGGTGATTGTTGTTGAATCTTCATCATCAACAACTTCCGTTTTTACATCTAACTCCAGAAAAGGCATTCTACTCATCACTTGAATTATGTTATGATAATGTTCATCTGTAAGGCTTCTTAAGAGGGATCTTCTTTCATCTTCCTTAATTGTGGCCAATTGTTGAATACTTCGGATGGTTCCACGTTTACGAGTATTAAAATATCGAAGCATATCTTCAGTAATATGTGGTAATTGAAGAAGTGGGCTCTTATTGTCCCAAAGAGCTTGGACAACTAATCTACATAATTTCATAGCATTTTCAAGAGTATCTTTATGTGGTTTCCGGGAAATACGACCAGTAAGCGCTAGAATAGTTAATTGTCCAGCACATTGGACAAATTCTTGAATTAGAAGAGGACATTTTTTCACAATAACCAACTTGTCAATCTCTAAAGTACCAGGAGGTAGTTTCATACGACTAAGGTGTGCATGGAGAAGTGCACGAGCTTTCAAAGAATATGGGAAGAATAAAGGTTTCTCTCGATTGTTATCATTGATATAAGGTAATTCCTTAATTAATTGGTTCACTTCAAGATTATCACTTGGCCTTTCAATGATTTCACTGTTCTGTCGACGATGGAATTCACATGAGGCAGCTATTATCATTAAAACTCTTTTCAATGGCATTTGATGAGTCTTATGAATGAAGTAATAATAAAGTGACGTGGTATCCAAAAGCACTTGGTCTGCTCCATATTTAACGGATCGATACCACCAGATACCAACGGCGGTTGGTAAAGCGACCATGAAAACTAAAGCATAAAGTCCTAAAACTAAGATTGAATTTTCCTTCTCAATAATCCAAGATGGTAAGGCGATTCCGAATGAGGTTGCACCAGGACCATCAGGGTTACCATAGAGTTGCCAATTTTTTCGGGCTTCATCATCTGTTAATGCTGCATGAGCCTTTGTTAACAGAAGAAACTTCTTCTCATCTCCAGTTTCTTTGTCAGGATGGTATATAAGACTTAATCGACGATATGCCTTCTTGATTTCTGCAGTCGATGAACTCTAACAATAACAGAAAAAAAACAGCAATAATAAAAGAAGAAGGTAAGACAAGTCATCATAAAATCAGTCAAGTTTGTCAAGCAAGAGAAAAGACAGAGTAGAGAAGTGACACATAAAAGGCTTGATAGAATATAAACAAGGTGGAAATTCAAAGGGCTCAGCATTCAGATCGAAAAAGAAACTACGGTAATTAGGATTGGATAAAAAAGAAATGGGTAATAGGGGCGATAACATGATAATAGAAATAAAAAAAAAGATTAACATACAGGATCAATACCGAGAATTTCAAATGGATCCCAAACAACATAATCATGTTTAAGATTGACAACTTTATAAGCTGTAAGAATCATCGCTATCCAGCCAAGGAGAAGTACGACTTTTCTGTGAAAATAAAAGACAAATGTAAGTATTGATTGGCGAAAAGTTGTCATCTATAATATCAATATTGTAAATGGTTTAAATTGGTCAACCTACATTGCTTGATTCTTCACCTTCTTCCATGGCTCTCTAGATTCAAGATAATTTGATTTGATCGCACATGGGCCACAGTGACAAGCGTTTATTTCCCGAAGTTTGTCTTTATCTAAATATGGAAAAGAAGAAAATGAAATCGGTAAGTCTCAGGTTAAAAAAGAAAATGACAAATTGTTACCTTTCTTTTTCTCATAAGGCCAAAAATAGTATGTGCAAGGAATCACAACTAAAGCCAAAAATGAGAGAAGAAAATAGAAAAATGTACCGCCACTTTCATCGTACTGAAATTTAGATCCAGTTCCTGGTGCCATGACTGTTGAAGAGAAATTAAAATGTAATTAATAAATGTGGACAATAACAAGATAAATGTAAGAGAAAAAAAGATGAAACATAGGAAAGATACACAAGGGAAAGAGAAAGAAAGAAAGAGAAAGAGACAGAAAGAGAGGATAAGTGAAGCAAATGGAACCAGCATCTTACCTTAGCTTTGAAAATATCTAAAAGTTGATGAAGAATATGAAAGATAATTGTTGTCAGTTAATTGATTAAAATGAGACACTGAGAAACCGATAGAACGGGGAAAAAATAATTATCCGATTTGTAATTTGATTTGAATTGTGATGGTGAATAAAAGATGAAAATTGATGAAAATTGATCAACCAAAGAACCAAAAAAATTTAAGGTAAAGAGAAAAAGGAAAATAAATGTTGATGTGTTACTGTTGATTTACATTTCCAATTGTATTAAATTTGTTGTAAAAACTTTCATTTGATTAAAGATGACGCAGTCAAATTGTTCACTGCGTGGAAACAATTAACTATTCTCATCAAGTTAATTAACTTTATTTCTAAGGTAAAAAATAACTAAATCAAATAAAATTCACCGGATTTAAAGACCGGATTTTAATTCAAGTGTTGGCTTCAACTCTGTGTCTCTACATTTAGACAGACTCATTGCCAACTCATGTCACTTTAGTGTTGATTGTTCTCGCCAGATGGAGCCACTTTTTGCAAAATTTAATTTTCAAAATTTTTTTTCAGTTAATTTAATTAAATTATGATTATGTGAACAAATTGATTTACAATGATTTTTAAGTTATTGCACAGTTGTGTTAGAGTGTGATTGTTTAAGATAGCGGTCAAATTGGTTTGTTGTTGTATTTAGATCCTAATTATAATGATGAGTGAGTGTGTTGAGTTTTTTTGTCTCGTGTTAATTGTTTTGATTTGATTCCAATTAACTATGGGTGATTGTGTTTGTCTTGCTGATGTAATGGTGTTAATTTTGATTATAAATGTTGGATTGATTTAGAATATACTATGATGTTGATTAATGGCTCCTATTTATTGGGTTTTGGGTTTTCCTTTTTGGGACTTGGAGTTTGATTTTTTTTTGCTTTTGATGATTTTCCAAATTTAATCCTTCAACTTTTGAGTCTTTTTGAATAATATTACAGCTGAGAAGAGGAAGATTAATGACCAACCAATTGAGATGATAAAACCAAACATTACTGATTGATGGTTGAGATCAAGTCCTCTGGAAAGGATACTTCTTAATGCTTCTGTTGGTATGGTCACCGGAAGGGCAAGACTGACCTTCTTGAGCCAAAAAGGTAATGATTGGACAGGCCAAAGGGCACCAGAAAGTATGAACATCGTCAGTAACATACCATTACTTATGACAGCAGCCATGAAAAATTCAGAGCACATTGAAGAGATCATCATTCCATGAGTTAAACCTTAAATAGCAGATAGAAATTGATAAAATTAATATGTAATACTAACAAAAAGGTATCCACACAAACTCAAGGTAAATAATTGGCCAACTAACATACAAAACTAAATAATCTTTGTCTGGATTAGTAAATCAATATGATCTAATTACAGTAATTAGAATTACGTTAACTGAATTGCTTCATTCTCTTTTCAATATCATGATTCAGATTCGCATCTTAACCTATTCAGATTCTACACATGATTTGTACTTTAAATTGTTTATCTTAATTTTGTCATAATTCTGAAGAAAAGGAAATGTTTCATTCTGTTTTGTTTTCGATTTCCTTACAACTAATTAGATTTGATCGTTGATTCAATCAACAAGGTTGATCCAGATTAGAAAATGACAATTATTTTTCAAGATCTTTTCAATCTATTTCTAAAATCTCGCTAATTATAAGGAAATTGTTCTATTATCAACAGTTTCCATTTCAACAATTAAGGTCTCAATAAACGCCTACACTAATCATCTGATTGATTACAATTAAAAATGATGATGATATGAATGTTTAATCATTAGCAAGGTTTTTCTGACATGAGAATAAAAAAATTCACCTTCAACTTTCATTTGTTTGTTTCATTTCTTAAGTCTACTGATTGTTCAATTGTTTCACCTTCCTAATTGTCTGTTAATTGTTTTCATTTCAATTAAATTTACCTGAGACACTTTGCAGAAAAAGAAGTGATAAACCTTGAAGAAAAGGTCCATTACAAGGAACATCGAAAATAAATAAGGCCACAAGGAAAAGAATGACCACCGAAATGGACATAAATATTATTCGAGCAATTAAATGGCCTAATATTATATGAGTAGTCGTAACTCCGGCCACGAAGTTGCGTTCAAACATTTGTCGAGCTCTTTCAACTATAGAAAAGGGAAAAAGAGATAAAAATAAATCAATTGATTAAAATGGTGAATTAAATTTCGGAAAGAGAGAGAGAGAGAAAAAAAATCAAGTTAAATTGTTACTATTAAATTAATCAATTAGATCTTAAAACAAAAACACCGTTAATAAGGTTAACAAAGGACAATAGGACAATCTAATTATATCAAAATTACCAAAATAAGATCAATTATAAATTACAATTGTAATCAACAAATTCAGTGATTAACTGAAAAGCAAATATAAACAATTGGTGAAAAAATTTTCTCAACCCACAAGCTAATCAACTTAATTGCTTGAATTGGATAGTCACTAATCACTGGGAACATTAGATAACAATTTAATAAGCAACTGTTTTTGTCTAATTTATTTAATAACAATAAAAAAAAGACAACAATTGACCTTGACAAGAAGGGAACAATTAACTTTACCAATTGTAATCATTATCGTTTATTAATATTGTTTCAGCTCTAAATTGCAGGTCTAATTAAATTGTTGATTATTGATTTTTGGTGAAATTACTTTGACAAGACCTGATTTCCAATTATGCAATCAATAGTTTGATTACATCTTAAATTGTTATAATAATTGGTTGATTGCTCACTGATTGTGAATCTTCATGATTTTCAGATCAACAATCAAATTGATAATATCAATGAATTAACTCAACAGGAAAAAAGTTAAATTGTCAATCAATTGTTACCTTGACACGAATACATTTACTTTTGTGATTGTGATTAAATCATGATAATTTTATTCAACAATTAAGTGTAAGAACGAACTAAATTAAAAGTAACAAAAAAAATAAATACTTTTCGTAAATTTGACAAACTAAATTAACAACAATTAATATACATTTACGTCCTGTTATTGGTTATCGATAGCGGAACAAAATTTATTAACTATGCAACAAATGATTAGTTGAATAAATTGTTGATTCAAATCAGTAAATACAATGTAATCAACCAACAACCAAATTAACTAATTAACTCATTCATTGAATTATATATTCTTGATTAAAGTGTTTAAAGTTAATCCAGTGATGGCTCCGATTGTTAAAATAACAATGTTGGCCATCAACATAATTAAGATGTTGATTGTTAGGATTATGATTAGTGGGTTAAATTGTGATCAAGTTTAACTTCCTTCCTTTAGTTGATAATTTAACGATATCGCTCATTGATTAACTAATAAGCTAACTTTTAATTAATTCTGTGTTTTCAATACCAAAGATAAAGTCAACTGATTAATTGAAATGATTCAATCTGATTGATTATCGAGTGATAATCAATTTCAAATGATTAAAGTCAATCAAAAGGTTGACCGATAATCCAATCAACATGTAATTAATCAATTCGGTTCACTCGTTAATTAGATCAAAATCATAATTTTTATTACATTTTAATTGATCAATAATCAATATCCAATGTATTTTATAATTAAAATTAATTACCTTAATCAACAACCTACAGTTCAGTTGATTAATTTTTTTTCTAATAATGATGATTAAATCAAATGTAATTCGTTGATTATTATGGTAAATCTGAAAATAACTTGACTGATTTATTGATTAACTTTAATTGTATCAGAAAATGATTTGATTGTTGATGCAAGTAAACAATAATGATAACAATTTTGAAAATCAATTGAAATCAAAATTAAACATTAAACTTAATTGTCGATTACATTTTAAACTGTATCTCCTGTAATTTTGTCAATGTTAAATTAGCTAAGAAAAAAGTAATCAATTGTTATTGAATCTAATTTAATGTCAGTTTTTGATATAGAATTGATTGTTGTCATAAAATAGGATAAATTGTAATCGATGAGCTGAAATTGAATTAAATATATAGTGATTAAAGTGATAACAATTAACTCACCGGTAAGAACCATAACTGTTAATCCAAAGGCACAAGAATAAGTTAAAATAATTAAAGTTCCGGGAATTCCGTAATCACGAACGGCAAAGTAATCACCAGGTCGATATTCACCGAAAATGGCTGATTCCACCTTAATTGGGGGAGTAAAAAGTTCTGATGAATATCCGAGGTCACTTGAAACATCACGAAGAAACTTTTGAACGGCAATGTTCAATGAACGAAGCAAGGTAACAACTAAAATCTTATTGGTGAGATCAGCATAGATTTTAATTGTCGAATCGTTGACAACCCGATCAGAAAGTATCTCATTTGTTTCTGAACGTTGTATCAATGAATCGGAAAAATTATGCTCAAAGTGAAGAGCGGCCAATAGTTTATTGGCTCTAACACCTTCAAGAGCTTCTTCCAGGGAGGAATAATTTCTTAAACTAATTATCGATTTGTCGATATGAGATAAATAGGTTTCCGATAGGTAAGGTGGATTCTCATTGTTAACCAGAGCAATTGGAACTAATTTCGGGGTTCCTCCGACACACCAGCAGAAAAGGAACAGTGAAACAAGGGGAAGGATAAATTGTGCAAATATGGCTGATGGTTGACGAACTGATTGGATTAAAATTTTACGAGTCACCGCGTCAAGTTTAGTGTACCAATGAGCATTACTCGAATCGAGAGCCATGTCGGGACCGAAACCTGATTCGGGTGTTTCAGGTTCCAATTCATCTGCTGATTCAAGTCCATCTCCTAATCCTTGGCCTAAACCACCAACTATTCCTGGAGGTTCATTCCAGTCTCTTGGTGAAAGCGGATACTTTGAGAAAAGTCCTGATCTTTTCCTTGATGAGGTTCGTTTCCATAATTTTGATTGTCGCTTCTGAGCGACACATAATTTATAAAAAACATCCTCCAAACTTTTGGCATGATAGCGACGGATTAATGTTGACGGTGAATCTTCAGCCAGAATGTGACCTCGACGCATAAATCCAACCATATGAGATCGCCGAGTTTCCTCAATATAATGAGTTGTAATTATTACGGTCATTTTCTCGTTCTCCGTTAAATGAATTAGAACATCCCAAATTCGAGTACGTAAAATTGGATCAACACCAACGGTTGGCTCATCTAGAAGTAATAATTTAGGTTTATGGACCAGGGAACAGGCAAATGAGACTCGACGTTTCTGTCCACCCGATAAATTTTTAATATAAAATCCTCTCTTGGGTAAATCCATTATCTCAATTAAATAATCTATTCGTTGTTGGAGTAAATCATTGTGCATAAAGTAAACTCGACCAAAGTAGATTAAAGTTTCCTCAATGGTTAAATCATCATAAAGAGCAAAATCTTGCGGCATATAACCAATTCCAGGTCCTGAGGAAAAATTGTCAACAAAAAACAATTAATACATTGATAAACAACAAATCCACAATTGAACTGTAAGTTAATCCAAAGGGTAAAATTAAATCAAATTAACATTTTGCTTTATGTTGTTCGTGTTGTAAGTAAGAATTGAGATAATCTAACCTGGAATAAAACTTCCTTTGGTTCCTGGTTTATAACCGAAGACTCTGATTAATCCTTTTTGTGGCTTAAGACACCCGATGACACATCTAAGTAAAGTTGTCTTACCGCACCCACTGGGTCCAAGAAGTGAATAAATTGCCCCAAGTGGAACTGTCATGTTGGTGCGATTCAAAATGTTCACAATTTTATCAGCACTTCCAAGGGTATAAGTAACACTACGAACTTGAACAGCACTAGGAACTCCAGGGTCAAGAAGAAGTCGCCTTCTTGGATTAAGAATCGCCAATACTGGTTGATCAATTGTCTTAATCTCTTCCAATACATCCATGTTTGGTAGAGATGTAAACTCACGATCTCTCATCTCATTAATGACAATCATGATGATGATATTTTTTTTCTTCTATTTGTTAATCACTTTCGTCTTCTCTACCGTGAAAATATTATCCCATCCACAGGGAAACAAAAACAACTAAAACGTTAATCACAACAATATAAAAATGGAGGGTAAATAATGTTCACTAAATATTGAGATTAAGATAATTGGTAAAAGTTAAATGGATGGATTAACAGTCTAATTAGAGTGAAATTGATGATGGAATCACTTTTGGTTTGTCAGAAGGATGATGATGATGATGATTAGAATTAGAATGATAGATCAATCTAATTACCCAATTGATTAGAAACAATTAATTTGGGGAAAGAAAAACAATTTCTAAAATATAGAAAAAAGCGTTAAATTAACAATCGGGTATAAATAAAATAACTGTTGATAAATTGTTCCAACAGTGAACACATAACTTAATTGTAATTAGATGAAGAAGGTTGTTGTTTAACTGATGACTTGATTAACAATTTGAGGGTGATGATGATTAAGGTTGAAATAGATGAGGCGGGATAACAAACATAAGAATATTGAAAAATAGAAAAGAATTTTAAGTTGTCGCCATTTTTGTTTTCTCGACACTTTATGATTGTTTCAATTTTCCAGCACAAAAGTAAATTCAGTTATCTCCATGAAGAAACACTTTCCATCTGAATTGGAAATTGACGATTTCTCTTTAACCCTTTGGAATCTAAATTGACACACAATTGGTAATAAGAGAGAAAAAAAGAAATTGTTACCACCACCAAAATGGGAGAGAATGAGAGAGAAAAATTAATTACTTGATTAGGTGAAAATGGAGAGAGAGAGAAAAAAAGTCAATTACAATTACATGTTTACGGCGACACAGTTGATCACATTTCTAAATTGTTGGATATAGTTAATTGACAAAATACATTCGTTGGTGTGTATTATAAACATTAGTTGATTCCAATTGTTACCTTATAATCAGTGAGCCAATTTGATTACTCCATTTCTGATGAGTGGATTTACTGATTGTTTATTTGTGTGCGTTAAAAGCAAATAAGTTTCACTTTTCAAGTTTCAAATTGAAACTTTCAATTGTCAATCCTAAGGGAAAGTATCATAAGTGAAAATGTTTTCATTTTCTTTCAACAATTAAAGTTAACAAGGAGGCGAGCGATCAACATAATTGCTAATCGACGATTTTTATAATAACTTATGATCGAGAAAGATTATTAGTTAATTTAGATGGTTAGACTGGGCGATTACGTTAGACTAATAGAATTGTTTTTAAGAGAAAATTTTGAGAACGAAGAATCTCAGACAATAGTTCACCTTTATGGATTTGGGAATTGACCTTCGGTAGGCCAAAAGTCCGTCTGAATTTCTTTTTGCTTTGTGAGCGAAGTTTTTTCTCCGCTTGAAGAGCCTAAATATCTCAATAACTTTTTCGGGACAATTTTGGTCGCGCGATTCGTGGACTTTAAGCCGATAAGAGTGTTTCGGTTTCACATATTCATTGTTGAGATCTACAATTAGCTAATTCAATTTCCGTATTCCGTAATTCAATATGAAGATGAAGATGAAGACTCAGCAAAGGTAATAAGTGATTCATTCAAGTAAATTAAAAGCTCGGTGTCCATGTAATCCAATTATCCGAAGAAAAAAAAAGAGAAACTATTGGATTATGAGAGAATTTTTCTGTCTCGATAATCTTTATATTTTCTTTAGAATTAAATTGTAGACATGGGAAGTAAAATTAAGATGATTTTGGAACATTTTTTATTTTGTTTTTGTTTTCAGTTAAAATTTGAGAGATGACATTAAACATAACGATCTTCTTGTTGATTCGACAAGCAAAGAAGTACAATGTTTTCCAACGAAATTAAATTGTAGTATTGTTACTGTGAGTGAGAAAGATGATGAACTTTTTCTCCTTCAAGGGAAACTGTTTTTCTCTTGCAAAAAGAGGATAGTGATAATTAAAAGAGAAAGAAAGAGAGAGAGAGTGAGAGGGGGGAAGAAGAGTAACAAACTATTGGGATACGATAAGGAAGATGAGAGAGTGTTTGGTATTACAAATTATTAAGGATGAAAGAGTAGGAGAGGGAGAGGGAGAGAGAGACACAGTGAAAATAAATTAAGAGAGAAAAGAAGTAAGTAAATCGCAAGATGAAAAGGTGAGTTGTAGGTGGAAATAGTAAATGTAAAAGGGTTTTTGTGAATCATTGTTGATTTTTGTAGTTGTTTTTTGATTTTTTTGCTTTCATTAAGACAAGATGATGATGAAGATGGTGAGAGAGGGACTTTTCCTTTGATTAAACTTCTTTTAATGGAATCTCAGGTGATATCTGAACTTTCCTACTGATGGGATCATAATAACCGGCCAGATAGTAGAGCTTTGGTAATTGTGGATTATTGTTTATCTCTGGATTATCCTTTAGTCGAGACTGATATTCCTCCCAGGGTAGAACTGAACATTTATGTAAAATGGTTCGAACATCATTTTGATCGTAATGTTGAGATTCGAATAGAGCTCCCTAGAAAAAAGAATGACAGAAATAGTAAACAAAACTATAAATTAATCATCGAATTTGTAAATTAGAAATTAGAAAATTATGAGTAATCTTGTTATTTGAATGATAGTGAAGAGTTTAATTTCCAGAGAATTAATTATTTGGTGTGTTTACCTTTAAATCTTTAAGATTGGGATGAGATTTTGTCTCCTCTGGATGGTAGAACCATGTAAGGCGAACGATCATTGAACCATTGGTTGATTGCCACATTGAATCGATTCGTCCAACGTATGGTAAATTTGGTTTAGATCGCGAATAGAAAACAGCACAATCGCCGATTTTAATTAATTCATTGCCACGGATAATCTCTTTGTAAAAGGTTTTCTTTGACTTTGGCTTTCCAGTTGATTTTTTGATTCCGGGACCAGACCAGTTCCATTCTTCGTTTTCGGATAAAAATTTCGAATTGTTATCATTTCCATTATAATTTCGTATTTTTGACTTTGCGTTTCTCTTCATTTTATAAACATTATTTTCTTTAACAGGTTTTATATTTGCTGTTGTGCTTATCGTCGTCGTAGTCGTCGATTTTATATCTTTATCAACAGAGGTAACATGATTATTGGTACAATTTGTATTATTATTATTGTCATTATTGATTTGCATCTTTTTACGCTTTCTTTTATCTTCTAATTTAATTGATAAATCATCAATTTCCTCACTTTTTGCATCACATGGAATTACTTCATCTTGTTGATTGTTTTCTACTTGATGACAAGACTCATTATTGGTAAAAGGAGAAGTTGCAACGATAGTCGATGTATTACTTTTAATTGAAGGTTTAATAGTTGGTGAAGATGAAGATGATAATGATGATGATGATGATATTGGTTTAGTTGTGTTGTTTGTGGTCGTCGATGTGGATGAATCGATGGAAGAGGTTGATGATGATTCTTTCTGTGCCGATTTCTTAGATCTTGGTGGAGTTTTCTCGAATAATTCTTTTCGAGCATCAGGAGGTTGGATACCATAAAGATAATATGAGTCCAGAACAAATAGTCTTTCACTGCGACGGGTAAAATTATATTCGTTTGATGAAACTGATGATGATGATTGACGCTTTCTTTTTTTCAAAGGAAGTTCAATGGGTGTTATTGTTGTTGTTGTTGTTTTTGATGATGATGATGATGATGATACTGCCGAAGAAGATGATGATGATTCAGATTTTGATTTTGATTTTGCTGCTTGTGCTGGTGAAGATGTAGAAGATGATTTTTTTGTTATTTTTTGAGATTTTACTTTTGATAATTGTTGTGATTTTTCACGGGATTTAGGAGGTAATATGGGTGAGTCTTTTTTCTCACAGGATGAAATGGAAGATGCTGGTTTTATGATTGAGGGAAGATTTGGCGATACAGTAAGAACAGGGGGAGGTGGTGGAGATGTTGTTGGCATTGGTGAATTTATCTGAGGTTCAAATATTGGCTCATTGGAACATGTTTCGTCTTCTTTTAGATTAAAATCAGTAGAACTTGTACTGATTGGCCTTTCAACGGATTGTATTCGATGTTCGGGTGGTTCAAGGGTTAACCTTCTTATATTTGTTAATGGAGATGATGTTGTCAATAGATCACTTGGTCTAAAATCAGCTGAATAGGGATAAGGGTAACATCTATCACTTTCAAGTCGACTTTCCTCTTCAAGGGCTCGTTGCTCAGCAAGAGCACTTAATAAGGTTAACCCATCACAACAGTTAATAGGCATTGATGATGATTGCCTACTATTAATATCATCTTCATTTGGTATAAAAGGTTCGGTGGTTTCGTTATCCACCATAGTTCGAGGTAAAATGCAAGAGTTTACTGTTGTATCATTACAATTGTAATTCTCAATACGATCCACCAAACGATCAAGATCACGTTGCTTTATAAAGTTTAACACTTCAGGACTTGCCACAGGTAAAGTTGGAATTGATGATGATGATGATGAAATATCATTACTAACAGAATAAGATCTTTGATCCAATGGATAATAGATTAAGGGGGGAGGAGGTGATCCAGATACAGGTGAGTCGTAATAAAATCTGGTCCGATAACAGTCTACATAAGAGAAGCAACAAAGTAAATACAATAACAAGATCATAAATTAGAGAAGAGAGAAAAATAAGAAAAAGAAAACAAAATGAACACTTAAAACAGATAAATAGAAATAGAGAACAATAAATTCTAACATTTAGTGAGAGAAACTGATTGAGTCAGTTGGCTTTAATTGCTGATAAATTGAGTAATCACAAAGAAAACCTTTCTAAAAAAATTGATTGTCCATTAGTCCAAAAGTCGGAGATGACTAATTGCAATTATAATTTAGGTTGAGAATGCAAATATAAGAAGCACCAATTTTTGAATGAATATAAATAATAATAATAATAATAACAACTAAATGTCAACTTTGAATAGGTCGGAGAGAGAGAGAGACAGATTTCCACTAGTTTTATCAATAGAATTGAATAACAGAATAGTAATAATAATAACCGATATTAGATAACAGAGGAGAAAAATAATAACAACTGACAGAAGATATTTTTACATGGTGTTAACTCTAATAATGGTAATAAATTATAAATAGAAATAAAAGAAAAGATTCTATTGAGATGAATAGGAAATGGAAAAATTTACCTGATCCAGTATTACTTTTGACCTCATCATCGGACAGAGACTCACAATCACTTTTAATTATGAGTACTTCGGGCTGCTCTTGAATCAATGGATGTCGATTGGTAAAATGATGATTATGATTATTTTGGTGACCATTAAAGTCAATTAGAGAGGTTGAGGTAAGTGTTGATGATGAAGAGATTGCATTTCTGGGAGTAAGAGTAGTATAAGTATTCATGGTGGATGGTGATAAGGATATTGATGAAGCTTCACATTGTTCACAGGGAACAGAATAATTCTGATTGTGTAAATCAGTTCCATTTCCAGGTGATTTTCTCCAAGGTCGCCACATAGTTGACACTAAAAAAGAAGAAGAGAACAACAAAATTCACATTGAAATAGAAAATAAAATATCATATCAAAATAAAATGAGAGAAGAAGATGATGATGATGCAGAGAATAACAAAAACAAAATAGCAGAAGAAACAGATTAAGACAGAGAGAAGAAGAAGAGAGAGAAAAGAAAGAAAGAGAAAAAGAAGAAGAGAAAATTGATAAACAACATGATGATGTTACAATATTTTCTATTACAAGATATTTCTTTCCACCTTTTTCTATCTTTTTCTCTTTCGTTTTTATTTATCTTCTCTTTCTATTTTCTCTCTGGTTCTTGCCCAGCTCTTTCTTTTCCATCAATTGCTTTATAGAAAGAAGAGAAAGAGAAGACAAGAGAAGAGAAGAGAAGAAAATAGAATAGAAAGAGACCAGAAACCAGAAAATTCTCATGTACATGTAAAGAGTTTTTCCTCTTTCTATTTTCCTCTCTTTCTCTCTTTCTTTCTCTCTCTCTCTGTCATCACCAAGCAGAAGAAGAAGAAGAAGAAGAAAAGAAAAAAGAATTTACAATTTTGTTCTTTTTTCCAATTGTAATTCTAATTAAACAGAACAGTAAACTTACCTTTTAATTAAATTGTTCTTTGATTGTTGATTGGGAATTGAAAGAAAACACATTATATTTGATAACCGAATTAGAGAATAACAAACATGAAAATGAAAGAGAACTTCAATAGTTATGGTTTTCTCTCTTTCTTTTCTCTGTCTTTTTTTCTGTTGTTTACTCCAAAGAGGGAAAATATGATTAACTTAACGACGTAGAAAAAGTTGAGGTAGAAAGAGGAAAGGAAAGAGATGAAAAGAGAAAATGAGAGAGAATGAGAGAGAATAATAAATCTCTCTTTCTCATTTTGGCGGTTTTCTATTTGTTGACAATTTACTCTTCGACAATCAATTGTAACTGTTTTCCAATCAAATGGATAAGCGTTTTTTTCTCATCTATTCATTCAATTTCTTTGAGTTTTTTACTTACTCACAATTTCTCATCTTAAATTATGATTGGTCACTTTTCTTAATTGCCAGTATTCTGATTTGGATTTCATTCATTTTTTTTACAATATTGTACAACAATTAATCTCATAAATGCACAGCCATTGATATAAATTCATTTACTTTTGTAATTGTTTATATGTAAAGGTTTTTTGTTTCCATTATGTTGATTTTGTCATCTTAAAGTTTTATCATATCAGTAAATCAATTGACAAATCAAACAGTTAGTCGTTTGTTGCAAACAATTGATTGATAGAATTGGTGAATATTTATTGAAACTCGATTCCGTAGTTAGATCAATTTTCTCGATACTAATTGATGTAAGAACCGCTTTTCTGTTTGGACTCACATGGAATCGCTCAGAATTTCAACTTGAGTTATCGAAAGTGATTGGTGGTTCCAAATAAGATAATCTACGAAAATGGAATTGGAAGTTAATTTTGAAAATCAATTGTACTTCTAATCCAGTTCGCAAACTTGAATAACATTTAATTAAGGGCTCGTTCCAATTGAGTAAGCGAATCGATTGTCCCTCTTCATAAATATCTTCGAGGAATATTTCACCATCAACATTTCGTGTGGTTGGTTCAATTAGCGATAAATTGTCAACCAAATCGAGTTACTAATTATCTCACCATTTCTTATCTACTCAGATCAAAACCTTGGCAAAAGTTGGTGTAAAAGGGAATATCTTTGGGTGAATGTCTGATATTCAACGATCATTTTTCCCAAAATTTCTTTTGGTTCTGAGTGAACTTTTCTGGTCCAAGTATCTCCAAGACCCATCCAGGGGAAAAGATAGAGAGTGAGAGTAAATGTTGACGAATCTTGTCCACAGCAACTTTAGTTTTGAAGCCTCCGCCAACGACCAAATACATCGATACCGACGAAGACATCGTTCAATCGGCCGAGAGAAGAGAAAACCGGACGAGTCCCTCAAATCATGATCACTCTGAGTGTAATTGAAGAAAATATCATAACAACATTGAAAGAATTCGGGATTCTTGTGATTGAGACAATTCTGACAATCCAGAACTCAATTAATTGTCACCGTACCAAACCACTCTGACCCTTGGAATCGCTTTTAAAGTCTTGATGAACTTAAGAAGCTTCGGTACATTGGTCTTGGAAATTATGTTCTCAACATTCACGAACCGCTCTTTGAGAGAACTTGTCTCAATAGTTCTAATTTTCTCTCTCACTTTTCTCTGTCTTTTTTTCTGTTGTTTACCCCAAAGAAGGAAAATATGATTAACTTAACGACGCAAAAAAAGAGAGGAAAAGAGAAAATGAGATTTTTCCCAATTGCCACTATTCTGATTTGGATTTCATTCATTTTTTTACAATATTGTACAACAATTAATCTCATAAATGCACAGCCATTGATATAAATTCATTTACTTTTGTAATTGTTTATATGTAAAGGTTTTTGTTTCCATTAGGTTGATTTTGTCATCTTACAGTTTTATCATATCAGTAAATCATTTGACAAACAATCAGTTTTGTGTTTAAAAAAATTCTAGAATTGGTGAATCTATTGATTTGGTTCCAATGTTTGTGTATGTGTGTGAGAGAGGGAGAGAAAGAAGCTCATCAGCATTTCTTTACGGACGAAGTTAGATTGTTGGTGCTAATTGCGATTGATTTGACTAATCATCTTCGATGTAATATAGACCAAACATTATCGATAATCGTAATTAAGGATTGATGAAAATATTCTGTATTCGATCCGGTATGGAATAGATGAAATTAGAGAAAGATTTTGGTGCAAGGTAACGATATCCAGCCCAAACTATGGCACTGTAAACGGAAATCTTGACGGTCTTGGCAACGATTTTTGAGGTTAATGATTTTTCAGGAATTCTGTTGGAAAAGCAAAAAGCAGAAGAGCGAATTAATCAATTGTTGATAGAATCCATTGGAAAATCTCTCTTACGATAATAAAGGTGGAATATCTGAATCGGTAACTTTTCCCCAGCACTCGACGATTCCTGGTACATGTCCAATACCGACAACTCCAACAACTATCGATGGTTTTAATTTTTTCGTTTGACTACAAGGAATTGGTGAGGCTGCTAATTGAAGGGAATACGTTAAATAGGTGTTACGTTCACTGACGAAAACTTCACTCAATGTCGGGTATTCTTCGGCCATATCGTGTAACATTTTATCTAAAATATCTTTTTCTTTGCATTTTTCGATCTCCTCTTTGGTTAATGATGGATTATCAAATAGGATAGAATATGTTAACTTAATTTTCTGCCACAAATTAAGTGATGATATGCCCCGAGTTAATGTTATGTAAACTGGTCGATCACCTAAATGTACTACACAACCAGGAAGTTGTCGAGCCTAAAAAATAATACAAACAAAGAGAAAGAGAGAGAGAGAGAGAGAGAGAGAAGAAAAGACCAAATTAAACATTGATATTTTTAAATTATCGAGAGAAATAATAAAATCTCCAGTCAACTCACCTCACGAAAAGCAACTCTGAATTCTCCTCCTGGGAAAAGACCATGTTCTTCAGCCAATTTAGCCGATAGACTGAGTAAAAGAGCTGAAATAATACCTTGGACGAATCCGAACTAAATGAACAGAAAGGAAGAGAATCAGTAAATTAGTAAGACACAACCAAAATGTAATCATGATTAGAAGCCGATATTAGTTGGTTCTCAATCGTAGTCAATTGTTTTCTTACTTCTGAAATACTTTTTCGTATCTTGGCTAATCCCATGTTTTTAGCTTCTTCAAGCATAGTCTTCTCATCATGTTCCAATATAAATAATCGACTTTTACACAATTCCAATACGACAACATTAGGTTTAACTTGACGAATAACCTGATGAGGAAATTGAATAGAAAACAATATCATCAATATGCGTAATAGAATCAATTTGATGAAAGTGAATCAGTGTAATAGATTGTCTAACCTGTTCAACGTCTTGCCAACTCTTTTCACTGAAATGAGCGGTTCCAATGAGGTAAACTTTACTTCCATGAGGTCCTTCAAGAACTGTAACAGTTTCAGGTAATTTTAGTTCCTTAGGAACAGTTGGAGGGGCTAAATAAGCGGTGGTAAAATCATATTCATTTTCGGAAGAATCGGTTCCAATACTTTCATTCTCAGCGTCACCATTTTTCTTTGGGCCTTTTGATTTTCCTCTATCGTCATGATCTGATGATTGCTCTGAATTAAGGGAGAAAAAGAATAATATTAAAATAGATTAGATATCATGACAAACAGTATGTTTCGGTTATATTGATGAATGGAAAAAGACAAAGGGAGAAAACAATCAAATTATAGTGTTGATGGTGAAAAGATTTAGAGACACAAAGGAAATTGAGAAAATAATTGTTCCTCTGATTTAGAAAATAAACTTACCAGGTTCAACATGAAGGTCCGGAGAAAAGGGTAATGTAGCAGGTTCATCAGACATTGTTGATTAGAGAAAGAGAGAAAAAAATCAAATCTAATATAGAATAACAATCAACTAAATGATAGAATGAAAAACAGAGAGAGAGAGAAAACAAGTTCACTTGATACCAAACACTAAACGGTAAACATTAGAGTTGTAAGAATGGACAGAAAGAGAAATTCAAACAAAGAAAATAAGATGGAATAGAAAGATTAACATAAGTGGTGATTGGATTACATGAGACTCGTAATTAATCACTAAAATTACAATTCTAATCAATGTTAATTCCTAATTAAACACAATGTTCTCCAACAAAAGGAAAACAATAACGAAAGCCTGTAGAAATCACTAACTCTTGTTGGCAATTTGGTTTCTCCTTGTTGTTGGTAAGATTTAATTGTAATGTTAATTGTCTCCAGATTAAAAGATGATTGTACCAGCAATTAAAGTGTTAAACTAATAAACAATCTTAATGAATATAAATTAAAACCCCACGTCACGATCATGTAAACCGGATTAAGAATTAGAACAACTTTCAATTCTGTTGATTTTTTTTCTTTTTCTTTTTCTCTCTTTTCTCTTTCCTCTTTTTCTAATCTTGGAACGAGGGAAATATGATTTTCTTTTAATTCAATTAATTCTCCAAACAATTTAGATTGGAATATAAATTTATATTCCAATCGATAATTAGATAAATTAAATCATCTTTTTAATTATTGCAATTTAATTCTTTTTATCGTGATTACTTGTTAATCTATGAAGTTTTAATTTTCTTTTTCTTTTAAATTGATTTTCGAGATTTTAATTCGTGTAACTATCGACACAATTAAAAGATAATTACTTTTGGTTAGTTAATTTTTACCATTAATTTGAACAAATGATTATCTTAATTGTAAAATATTGTTTTTAATTGTTTTCTCTCTTTGTTGTTGTTGTATAACTATTAGAATCGTTTAAGGCATTACAAGGTAGACTTGATTAGGAATCGACAATCAAACAATGTTAAAATTAATATGATTAACTATACATTAGATTTAAATACAACTATGGTAAGTTTTTGTTTACCTCGATTAAATTTCTTTGTACATTATATCGTAATTGTTGTTAAATTGTCGATGATGAATTTGTCTAGAGGTTGAAGTGAGTCAAGTTATTAGATCCATAGAGAAATAATTTCCATATCATTTTGATGATCGTTTTCTTGTTTTGACAAATTAAATCTACTGATTTGAATTGGCGATCGATTGATTTACAGATAAAATGTTTGATCACAGATGAGGCAAAGAAACAAGTAAGAGAAGAAGAAATTTTTACAAAATCGATGAGAATCAGATGAGATTATCAAATCAATTTCTTAATCAGCTGTTGGTTGTGTTCTCATTGACGAATTGTGTTTATCTTTTTCCATATACACTAACCTATCAACAACTTCGTCATCATCATCATCATCGATTTCACTGAATTTCTTATTATTCTCAAACCAATCAGGTCCAAACATGGCTCTTTCTCTTTTGACAGCAGCGAAATATCTGAAGATATAAACGGTATGGAAAATTTCAATTGTAACACCAACGACGAAGATAAAGAGCAGGAAATGGGCCACAGTGATGGGTTGTCCCATTTTGTATCGAAAAAAGCTTTTCCATGAAATATCTTCACTCTGATTGAACGATTGCCGATTATAATTAGCCCAATAATGTCCTTGTTGTCTCATAAACTCTTGGTGGGCTCGATATTGTTGATAGTCACTATAATTTCCATAACCTCCTTGTCTCCAATTACTGTTACCTGAGTATCTGTGAATAAATATCAAGATAACATGTTAATTATGAGTAATTCTATTCTCTGGCAGGTCAGTTAAAGGTCAGATATTCATCTTTATCTCAATACTTACCCTGCTCTTGGGTATCTTATGCTTTCATCATAAACTTGACGTTCCATTGGATCATTAAGTGTCTGATAAGCTTCATTAATCTCTTGAAATTTACTCTTTAATTGTTCACTGGAAAGGTCACTTCTTGATATGGAATCAGGGTGATATTCTTTACTCTTCTCAATAAAAGCTCTTCGAATATCCTTCCGTGAACTAGTCTTATTAACTCCAAGAACATCATAATAATTGTTTCTTTTTAATTTTGATGATGATCCAGATGAAGAAGATGATGAAGATGATGACAGATTCCTTGGAAAACTAGAATATCCAAGAATAGTCAACTGTCTACAAACAGTTAATCGCCGAGAAAACTTCATTCACATTAGCATATCATCTATTATTTTTCTAAATTAATGGTTAACAATTAACAATTAAAATAATTTAATTCTTATTTAAAAATGAAAAAAAATTTTCTTCCGAAAGAAAAAAAAATGTAAACAATTTGGCTCCATCTATCGGAGGAAAATGTTAGAGGACATTGAATAGAAAACCAGAAAATCTGAAACGTTTTGTTTACATTTAATTGTTCATCTAAATTGTGATTGAATTTATTTTAATTGTGATTAAATTTTTAATTATCTCTGTTTGTTGGCTACCATCAAATTCTCAATCATGAACACAATAGGTAAGACGATTTTAGATGTTATAATAGATGATAAGATGGATAACCTTTATTTTTTTTTCTTCTCTTTATTTTGGTTTAGCTGCTGGTAGATTTGCACTAATGAAGGCACCTAAATTGGCTGTTATTGTTTACGATCAAGGAATTGCTGGAATTTCTACGACTTCTCGGTGTTTCGCTGAACCGGCTCGACAAAATGAGGTGGCTTCTTCTGAGAAATCAAGTGTACCCGCGGAGGGTAAAACTCTAAACGTTACTCCTTTTGAAGGAACACATTCACTTGGTGAATTTGCCATGGCTCGAATTGACGATCTTACTAATTGGGCTAGACGTGGGTCACTTTGGCCTTTAACCTTTGGTTTAGCTTGTTGTGCTGTTGAGATGATGCACATTGCTGCACCTCGTTACGATTTAGAAAGATTTGGAATGTTATTCAGAGCAAGTCCTCGACAAGCTGATGTAATCATTGTCGCTGGTACATTAACCAATAAAATGGCTCCAGCTTTTCGTCGGGTTTATGATCAAATGGCCGATCCTAAATGGGTACTTTCAATGGGCAGTTGTGCCAATGGTGGTGGTTATTATCATTATTCTTACTCTGTTGTAAGAGGATGTGATAGGATTGTACCGGTTGATATTTACGTTCCCGGTTGTCCACCAACAGCTGAAGCTTTATTATATGGGCTACTTCAATTACAGAAGAGGATTAAACGACAAGCATCAGCTCAAGCTTGGTATCGATCTTAATACAATTAAACAAACAATTCGGTTAATAGTTAAATAGTGAACATAAAAAGTTATATATATAATATATAAACAACAGAAGTGTAAATATCTTTCTCACCGAGAAGAATACAAATCAATTAAATGGTTTAATTGTTCAACAATATTGTTTAACAGCAAAAAAACAATCCCATCACATTGGATTTTTAATTGTCTTTTCCAATGTTTAACTTAATTGTGTCATTAGAGAAATTTACAATTTCTAAATTGTTTCCTGTTTCTTTCATTTTCACCGGTCAACTTTACTTGTACATTATTGTTGATATTCAATTAGCGATCAATTTTTACCTTAATTGATTGATAATCAAAGCCTAATTCTAAATGTCCCTGATTTAAACTAATCATTCATCTTTAAAGGTCACAAATTAACTATCAAAAATATGTGTAAACATCAACAATTATATCAATTGAACCTGGGCCTGAGTACTCTTGAACTTTTCGAGTCCTTGATTAATTCACTAATCTAATTACATTAAATTCAAGGTTTTCTAATTGAGTGAGGGAAGAGGGAGAGTGAGAAAGTGAGAGAGATTCATTGATGGGTGTGATAGTCAAGTACAATTTAGATAAACTAATAGTGAATAATTTTCGTATAAATAACATTTTAAATGAATGGGAATCGATCACAATTAGTGAAAGTGTTCAGTTTAACCAAATTGTGAATATAAAGTGATTAAGAAAATAAAATGTCTTTTGCTTTAATTGTTGAAAATAAAGGTCCTTGGGAGACTTCACTTAAAAAGGTGAATACAACCAACGATGTTAATTTAGATTGTCAACTTGAGGATAATCAAGTTTTAATCCAATTTTTGGCCTCGACAATTAACCCTTCCGATGTTGGTATGGTTGAAGGCTGGTATCCAACCGCTGTTAGTTTACCTTTCACCCCAGGTAATGAGGGTGTTGGTCATGTAATTAAGGTTGGTCCTGGTGCGGTTAAATTGTCGGTCGGTGATCATGTTATGCCGGGTAAAGGGCTTTTCGGTACTTGGAGGAGCCTTGCGATCGCACCGGAAACCGATCTGATTAAAATCGACAAAGAACTGGATCTAGAAATCGCCTGTCAATTGATGGTTAATCCACCAACAGCTTATCGTTTGTTGAAGGATTTTGTTGATCTTAAACCAGGTAAAGTTTGAGACCTTCCCTTAGATCCTTGGATTTTGTGATTACAGTTGATTAATTATCATGGGGTTTTAATTGTGTTTCTCCTTTAATTGTTCAGGTGATTGTGTTTTACAAAATGGTGGTAATTCAGCTGTTGGTTTATTGGTGATCCAAATGTGTAAGGCTTGGGGCTTCAAGACAATTAATGTTGTTCGAGCTCGAAGTGATCCCGATCAAATGAATGACCTGGTCAAATCTATGACCGATCTCGGTGCTGATCATGTTGTTACCGAACAAGATATTGCCGATGAATCTTTCATGGAATCAATTTGGTCTTCGGGAACACCTAAACCAGTTCTTGCTTTTGAATGTATTGGCGGTGAAAATGCGGCCAATTGTATCAAGCACTTAGCCGATGAAGCGACAATGGTCATTTATGGTACAATGACCAAAGAACCGGTCGCCGTTCCTGCTGGACCAACGATCTTCAAACAGCTTAAATTCAAAGGTTTCTGGTTAGCTAAAGTTTACAGGGGAAATCCCGAAGAGTACCAAAGGATGTCCGCTGAACTTGTCTCCATGTTCAAATCAGGCCAATTAAAAGCGCCCAAAGTCGTTGCAGTGCCGATGGAAAACTATCAAGAAGCGTTTACCAAATCAACCAAAGGTTTTACCAGTGGAAAAGTTATTCTAACTAATCAGAAAATTGTTCCAAAATAATTATAATTGTTGGAACCCAATTATTAATAATCATCTTAACACCTTAATTGTTTTGTAACAATCAACTCGAGAAAATGTAAACAATTAAAGTGAGAAACACTCATTTAATCAATCGTTATTGTAACAATCGAGTCTCTTGATATAATGATTTTCATCAAATATTTACAATCAATAAATCATTAGGGTGTACATATTAATACAATTAGTTTAATGTGTTGATCATATCATCCACAATCAGTTAATTGTCAAGTTTACGACTTCATTTTGAATCTGAAAACAAAAAGTTTACCAAATGAAGATCAAACAATCAAATTATTATCACAATTAAATGAAAATGAAAAACAAAAGTAATTAACAATTAAATAACACCAATGTTGAAAGTTGATCAATCCTGGAATGTGATTAGGAATTAGGATTAAATTGTTACAATGATCAATTTAATGAAAACGAAACAAACCTAAACCAGATTAGTATCTTAATCACTAACAATTAATTTTTTCACTATCATGATTAACCTAATCAATTATTAATATCATCTCTCTCTCTCTCTCTCTCTCTCTCTCTCTCTCTTCTCTATCCACAATTAACAACAATTAACTGATTAACTAATACTGATACTTGAGAGACAAAAAATTTAATCTCACTCCCTCAATGTATATTTCAACTCTCCTTGATTGTGATTGATTAAATGACTCTCTCACTAGATTGTTCATCTAATGATTATATGAAATGGATTAATTAATAACAACATGTTTCCTTGAACAGTAAATAATTAGTGCTAATCATTAGTTAATTAATTACCTTTTTTCTTCACCCAATTGGATTGATCATCTTTATATTTTTTGCTTCTGTCAATAGGATTTAAATTATCATGAGCTTATTGTTGGTGAATCAAATTAATCGTACTTTGTTAATTATTTCAATATCAACTACTATTAAATTAACTAATTGTCTTCTAATTGTTGCAATCACATTTGATATCAACTAATTGTTTCCATCTAAATTGTCACTAAATTGTCACTAAATTATTATTATAATTCGGCTTGGATTTTATTTTTTCTTGTGTTTTCTTAATCATCTGTAATTCATTTAAAAGTTTTTAATTGTTTCAATGATTTACCATCAACTGATTTAACTTTATTATCTAATTAATACCAGTAACAATCAATTATGCACTTAATTGCTATAAATAGTGTTTTTTTAATCCATTTGATTAGAATTGTTTTTTTAATTTCTATTCATTTTAATTTCATTTCAACAGCAACAATTGATGAAAATGATTCTGGTAAGTTAATTGACTGATTAGTGAGTTTAAATTGTTACAATTAACAAGAAAGACAGAAACATATAATCATTACATGATTAATGATTTTTAATTGCTATTATTATGTTGACATTTTTATCAATCATTAATTTTTTGTAGACAATTGAAGTTTAATTGTAATTGAAAAGATCGATTGTTTAATTAATGATGTTCAAAGATTTTAATTTGTTTAGCAATTAAAAGAAACAAAGAGAAATATAATCAATTGGGAAAGATTAACTTTTAACTGTTTGACATTTAATTTGATTGTGATCATATCAGAAAGAAACAATTGACTAATTGAATGAAGACATTGTTGATTGTTAACGATTAACTGATTGTTCCATATGCTTTTGTTGTAACAATTGAACAGATAACATGAAAATCTCAACGGTTGATTGGCACAAGATGATCGGTGAAAATCGGCCTCCGACAAACGACGATTATCTGTTTGTAACGGACCTGGAGTTCGAATGAATATCGTTTATACGAACCCACCAAAGGCCAATTGTGAAACTTGCGCGATCGAAATTAGTCTAAGATTTTGGGCTAATTGGAATCGAACCAAATTCCCGGTGATTAAAGAGGGAACTGAACTATTTCGATTGGCGGTAATGCCGTGTAATAGAGCGATGCCAGCGACGAAGTTCATTCGTTTCGATGATTTCGACCCATCGACCTGGAACTATTTCGTTTACACAGCATCGGCAAAGTCCGAGTTCAACTTTAAATGTGATAAAAAGGTGGACATTGAAGTGTCCGATAATGAGGATTACCAGTCAAAGATTACGCTGGACGATCAATATTTAATTGCAATTAAAGATCTACACATGAAATATTATTGTTTCATGAAAAGTAAGTTGACCACTGGAATCCAATGGAGATCAGATGACCACTAAACAAAATGTTTCTCCTCAATTTTGTAGCTGCTGAACCTTTACTTTCAAATGAAACTTGTTCAGGTGATTTTGATGGTCAGTCAACTGCAAGGTGTGTCGATGTTACTTGTAATAAAAACAATTGTCCAGCCTCTTTCTCAGTCCAGGGTGGCTACTGGTCACCCGATAATCTGCCTTCTCGTACAGCAGATTATCAAGATTTCTGGTATACAAATGAAAATTGGAAAACACTGACCATCACTTTAACTGAATCTCAAGATGATCAAATGACCTGTATCAATATTGGCTATTGGATTACAGGTAAAAGTTATTTGTCCATTGAGATTGGTCAGACAATAATTAACTTGCACAGTACCAAAATTAGACCAAATATCGAGGGTCAAGTTAATTATAAATGGGAAAATATTACTTTTTGTCCAAGTCAATTTACTCAGAAGGAAAATATTACCCTAATGGTCAATCGATTATCAAACTGACCTCACATTTAACTGGATCAAAGGATTTAATTGCAGTATCATTGGCATCTAATTTTGAAAGTGAATCTCATCTCCGAACAATTAACAATTATCTTCATCATTTTAGTCGCCCTGAGGCATCAAGTGAATGGTATGTCCTACCGAAGGGTTTGAAAACCGACCCGGGTAGCGATCCAGGTCAACCTTTTGCTATTGAATTAGCGTTACCTTCGGCCTCATCGGGAACTGGTTACATATTTTCCCGTTGGTTTAAATACAGTGCTGGACTTAAATTTCGTGGGACACTTAAATCGGATGAGCTTTTTGGCCATTTTTCAGCGAAACTTTCCCTCCACGAGTCCAACGGTAGACCCGTTTACGAATATAATTTATTTATGCTTACAGCCGATTCAATGGTTAACAAATTAAATCAACGATTAGGAATCAAATTGGATGCGAGTAGTTCAATTATCACCAATAAAATAGCCAAATCAACACTTTGTTTCATCATGATCACAATTAATTACAACACCACAAAACAATCAAAATTGATTCTATCCGATGTCGATGTTGGTGATGGCTGTCGGGAAAGTGAACTGGTCTGTATGGGTCATGGCAAATGTATCAATTTGGAACCAGATCAGTACCAATGTTCATGTGATTCGGGTTGGACGGGTTCTCATTGTGCATCAGTCAATTTCTGTGAAACAATTGACCCAGATTCTGGACTAACGGGAAATCAATTTTGTGAACTTTCAGAAGGAAAGTGTAACCCGATAACTTACAGTCCAGTTTCATTGGTTTGCGATTGTGATAAAATGAGATTTTGGACATTAATCAGTTCATCAAATTTCGTTACAACCGATTCAAGGAACAATAAAAGGTTAACTGTTTATCGTAATAGTTCATCGGCCTTTAAGATTGGCCATTGCGAACCTGTGTCCAAGTGTGTCGGCATTTCCGATCTTTGTCCAACTGGTTATGCCTGTGATGAGGAATCATGGTCATCCGATAAACCTTGTCAAATATGCAATCGGGCTCTGGGCTATATTATGTTTGATGGTCAGTGTGTTAAGATTGATGCTTGTTACAAGAAGTGTGGAAACGCAAAGTGCTCATCAATTGGTGTTCAATGGTATTGTTATTGTGATGAGGGTCAAGAATTGGACGAGGATGGTACAACCTGTAAACCAAAAAGTAAATGCTTAGTTTGGGATAGTCAAAAATTAAAATGTTCACACGATTGTGAGATGATTAATGATGAACCAAAGTGTACTTGTTATTCTGGTTACACTTTAATGGACGATGGTAAATCTTGTAAGTCCAATTTCAATTGTACGATTGATTGTCCGGAAGGGTCAATATGTAAACAGGATGGTCCAAATGAGCCGTCAACTTGTATCTGTCCACTTGGCTGGGATCGAGATGAGGTCACCTCAAAGTGTACTGATATTTGTAGATTAGCTGACCAAGGAAACGAAGGCTGGAAGGATTATATTCGCGATGCCTGTGGCAATGATCGATGTAATTTAATCAACAACGAGATCCAATGTATTTGCACTCCACCAACGGTGACCAATAAAATGGGTCTTTGTGAATTGGAAAAGATTTGCTTCCCTCATAATCGAGGTCACTTTGATTGTACCGGACGAAATGCCCTTTGTGAACCTCGATCGGACGGGGTAACGTTCACCTATCGTTGTCTCTGTCCACCGGGTAAAGCTTTCGAGGATGGTGTTTGTGTGGACCAGTGTGCTAGTAAGATACACGAATGCGCTGCAATGAATGCCGTTTGTCGGATTAGCGAGGACATTGAATCGGATACCCAAATAGCGGCCTGTAAATGTAGACCAGGTTTCGTTATGACAAATGGCTACTGTTATCTGGCTCATAATTCAATCAAGGCCACTTTTACTGTTAAACTGATCGATACCAAGATAAGTCATGCTGGTGCCACGATCGATGATCTTTGGGAATCGTTTTGTTCAAACATTGGTATTAAATTTTTGCACGATTGTCGGCTCTACACTCGAGGTGTCCTTTACCAATGGTTCAATGTTATCATGGAAACTCAACTTGATCGGATTATCGATCGTTATGTTGACGCGATTTTAGGTCCAAATATTAAAAAGTTTGCCGATCAATATGTTGATTCGGTTACATTAATCGAGTATGAAGCAAATTCGAACCTTCCTTCGAAAGGTTTAAAACCAATCGAAGCATTTAATGCCACCACAATTAAGAATTTATATAAACGCAATTCTTTTTACAATATAACCGTTTCTCTTCAAATGAAAAGTAAGCGAATTGGTCAATCGTCCTTGCTACGAATGCTTTGTGACGATGTTTTCGACCTGGATGATCCTCGACATGATTACTGTTTAATCCCTTCACAAACACTAATCCAAAAAGGAACCATAATAGAATCTGATCTAATCCCATGTTCTGAAAAAAACATCGACTATTGTCCAATGGATACAACTTGTATTCCCGATATTGACGAGACCAAATTTCGCTGCTCATGTAATCCAGGTTACGAACCACAAGCGGTAATTAAATTGGACATGACGAACTCACAATTAACAAAACAATATTGTATCGATATCGACGAGTGTAGTCTTGGTCAAACTCTTTGTCCAGGTCATTCGCGCTGTATCAATACCCGAGGATCTTATAGATGTGAATGTGAAGATGGTTGGATTAACGATGGAATCCAGTGTATAGGTAATTAGTTAACAATTAACTTTAATTGTCGTCAACAATTTCACATAATCATTACTTTCTATTGACAGAATTGTGTGAATATCAAGATTGTCAACATGGTGAATGCCAATTAATCAACAATCATACAGCAATTTGCAGGTAAGAAATTTAGAGACAATTTAATATCACAATCGAGGGAAATACTAATTGTTTAATCTTTTCTCTTAATTGTAATAGATGTGATTCTTGGTATACTGGTGATAAATGTGAAACAATTAACAAAATCGCTTCTTTTTGGCGAACCATGACAATCGTAGTTGCGGTCAGTTTATCGTCGATATTGATCATTTATATTGTGACCACTGTTACGATTGCTCGAAGGTCAGTCAACCACCAATCAGCGACCATCACTTATGAATTGTAATTGAGTGTAAATTGATTAATTCTCATAACCAATCAACTTAATTAGTGAGAATTCACAAATTGATTAGTAATAAATTTGATTATCAACTTTTTGTTTATTTCTCTCGTTCAGATCAAAATCAACAGTCTTTGAAAATGGTTACCTTAAGAATAGGATTGAATTAACCGATTCAATGTACATGGTAAGTTAATTGCTGGTTAATTGTTTCCCCATGAACACAATTTAACCAAATCATAGTAGATGATTAATTGTTATTACTCTTAATTGTTTAATCCAGCGGAATATAAGACCTTCATCAAGGTCGATGGCGGGACGACGTGAACCAATATCGTCCAATTTTGACCTACAATTGCGATAGATCACAAAGTATTGACTCTAATTAACTTCTAATATCGTCAACAATTAACTTAATTACCTTTGATTATCTATTGTATTCACAAATCAACAACTTTAATGTCCAGTGGCTTGGATAATGTGAAAGAAGCAAAAAAAAAACAAATTGGAAACAATTAGTTGATTGTAATCAATTGAACTAAAACAAAAATACTTAATTAATGCTGATGATACTTAATTAATCCACTTTACGATCTCAAGAATTGACTGATTGTCATCAAATTGTATCAATTTAATTAAGCCAACAACATGGATAATCAATAATCTCAACAATTGAAAATTATTAATACTTTTTGATTGTAACTCTTTTTTTTTAATTACATCAACTTATTATCAATTGTAATCAACTAATCATCATCAGAGAAATCAACCAACCTAAAGATGACAATTTAAATTATTACAATCAATTTATTGATTACAGATTATCATGATTACTGATTTTAATCAAGGTTCAGTCAACGAAACAAAAAAAATAGGATTGGTTAACAATTAGAAATAATCAATTTGAATAATCATATTTAATCTTGATTATAAATGGTTGATTAAGAAACTAAACTAAATCAAGACTGTATAATTAATCATTAATTGTAAATAAAATTGACAATTTAAATATTTATTGATAGTTGTTAATAGTTGAATATAATAACAATTAACTTTTCAATTATTGTGATCAGAGATCGTTGGAAAATTATGCTTAATCAATTGGTGATTATTAAGGCAATTAGTTAATGATACTAATGGATTTAATTGATTTAATCATCAAATGAGTTTTAATTATCAACCAATTAACAGTTAGGTGCAAAGTTACAATGATGATCAGTTAATTATTACAAATTAGAAACGTCAATTAGATTAGTTAATCAAAAGGGTTAATATCAATAGATGAATTGTTGAAAAAAATTGTTCAACAATTAAAATCGAGGCCAAGTGATCAAGTTAATTGTTAATGGACAATTGCAAGTCCAAAATTGAATTTGTTGTGTTTTCTTCAATGGGTCAAGTTGATTTACCTCCATTGTGATTAACAATTGTTTCTTGATTAAACAATTGATTGATTGTTAACATAACCAATTGACCAGTTGATCAATTGTATTGTTAATTTAAATTAAAAGTAACTAATCAGTAAATCATTGAATTTATATTTCCTGATTAAAATGAGAGTAAAAGTTAGTAGGAAGTTGATTAGTTACCATTTAATATTTAATTGTTAAGAAGATTAATTATTAATCACGATAACAATTGTTCAGCAATTAGTTAATCTTGTAAAACTGTCAAATCTATTAATCTAATTGTAAGAGTTGTGAACAACAAAAGTTAATTAAGTTACCAGTAATTCAAATGATTAAGTAACAATTTTGTTATTTGAAATTAATTGAAAAGTAATCAAATCAATAACTGTGATTAAAAATTGACATTTTCAAACAAGTTGATTAACAATTAGTGTTAACAATTACCTTAATTGACTTAATACACGCAATTGATTATAATCAATCAATAGCGTGTCAATCAGGTTTAAATCTGTTAATTGTAATAATTATCAGCATAATTATTGAATTGTTAGTTAATCAATTGTCTTGTTTTGAGATATTAATAGTAAACAAAATGGATTGAGTTGTTAAATTGTTTTAATTGTTGCTGATTGTCAGATTAATTTGAATATTTATTAGCATGTTCATCATTTGGTATTGATGATTAATTTTAATTCAGTTTATTTGGTTGATTAAATCAAATTCATTCAACTAATAGAGTTGAAGGTTAATTTTCCCGTAAACAAAATGGATTAACGGTTAATTTAGTTGTTAATTGTTGAATGGAATCAATTAATTAACAATATTAACTCTTCAATACAAGTTTCTCTGTTGATTTGATTATCATTTAAGGTTCCAAATGATTAGCTTTAATCATAATTAGTATCGATTGGGATGATAATAAATGTGAGGTAGAAAATGTTGCAACAAATCATCAAACTGCCTGAGGGCAAATGATTCAACCAGTTTTCCAGAATTTTGGGATTGAGAGGCAATGACTTTGATCAGCGTAAAGTTTACAATTAAGTGTAATTATAATTTTCTTCAAGATTTTCCACTTGATTTGATTGCTTTCGTTTTGCAAACTTAAATCACTCACCAAGTATCTTAATCAGTGAAGATGAGGTTTGGTGACTTTGAGAATGAGAGAAACAATTTCCAATTCTGATTGAATATAAAACTCAGAGATAAACAAACAATCAGGCAAAGGGAAAGGGAAAAGGTAATCAACTAATTTAGTTAATCAAATTTGTCTCAACCTTTAGAGGTCAATTCATGAGAGACATTGATTGTTATCCTTGGTCAGTAACATTGTTTGGGATTTCCCATTTGACTTTTAATTACATTCCAATGGAAAATTATCTCATCATGTAATCAACTTAAATCGCTCCAAGACATTTACAATTTACCATTGGAAACAAAGTCTAGTTAAACTGGAAATTTCTTGTTAATTGATTTACTTAATTGTTCACCATCATTACGTTTACCCATTGACACTGGAATTCTCACTTTTTTTCCCTTTCATTCCCAATGAAAGTCAATTGTAGTAATAGAGAAAAATTTCCACCACAAATTGGATTCCATTAAATTTAATAGAAAATAATTCACATTAAATTGTACAATTAAAATCGATCGATAATCAAATTAAAGGTAAATTTTAATTTTCGATTTTTTTTTCGGCTTCTCACCAGATGGCGCTTAGAATTTAGGTGGCTCCATCTGTGGGCGAATTTGGGAAAAGGGGAGTTTCCTTTTTGTTGGTTGAAAGTAAAAAGTGAATTTGATTTTTGTTTAGTTGGTTTAATTATCTCTTGATTGTGTTATTTTATTTATTAATTGTTACAAGTCAATTATGATTACCTGTGAATGGTGTAAACAAATGATTAGTTGATTGTGTTTAATTTCTTTTTTTGCTTTATCATTTTTTAGTTATTCTCTTTTTCTCTTGAATGTTTTATAAATGGAAACATTTTTCACTCTCAACATCAACACATGAGAATTTTTCTTCATTGAGAAAATTAGTGTTTCTTTTATAATCTCTGTTTTGTGTTACTAATTATTTTAATTGTTTCTCTGTTTAAACATCAAATACCAATAACAATCATCTATATTCTACTTTAAGACTATTGATAATCAATTTGGAAATAATTACCTGGTTTCATGGTCTTTTCATAGTTGTACAGTCAAATTTGTTTACTTGGGATTAATTTTCCAACAAAAAAAATTCTATTCTTTTCTCCGGTGTCTCTTGTAATCTTTGGAGAAGAAAAATTCTTTCTGGATCATTGAAAAGCATCTGTTTCATATTCTTTTCTTCGATTATTGTCTCAATTTGTTTCATTTTCTGAGTTAATTAAGGGTTTTGTCTCTCCAACTCATTTTGTATCATCAAAATCATCATTGTCATTTTCCATCAGCAACATTTTATCACCAACACCTTCTCATCCTTGTTCATTCATTGTTGATATTTTTTTATTATTCTCTTCTCGTTTTTACTGTTATCTCATCATCTCATATACACACAATCACCATGTACGCTAAAATCAATAATCTAAAAGTCATCTTTCTAGTGGCATGTTCCATAGGTGTTTTTATTGGTCTTTGGAAGACACTTTTCTTCCTAATGGCTCTTTACATTATCAGCGGTGGTCGGAATTTTCTTAAAATCATCATCAACACCGCTTCTCGTGATTTGAAAAGTCTTTACCGTTTAATTAAGACCAAAGTTGCTCTTTACCTGATTAAGAAAAACAATTCCACGATACCTCAATTGTTCCTACAAACGGTTAAAAGACATCCTAATCGACCTGCAATCCTGTTTGAAGATCAAGTGTGGACCTTCAAAGATCTTGACAATTATTCAAATAAAGTGGCCAACACTTTCCTTGATTTAGGTTATCAACCAGGTCAAGAGGTTGCCCTTTTCATGGATTCACGTCCAGAATTCATAGCCCTTTGGTTGGGATTATCTAAAGCAGGAATAATTACCGCTCTGATTAATGCCAATCTCCGTCTGGACACCTTAGTCCATTCCATTACTGTTGTCAAATGTAGAGCTGTCATTTTTACACCTGAACTCTCAAAAGGTAAGATGATCATGATGATATATGAAAATGATGAAGAGGGAAAAAGAAAAAGAAAAAGAAAAACTGAAAAAAAGCCTCGGGCTTATCAATTTTTTCAATTTCTCTCTTTTTTCCTCTTTCGCCTTTTTAAAATTCTTTTAATTTCACCCACAAGTCTTCAAGCTTGTGAAATAATAACAACAATCAGGTATTATAATCATGCCATTAATGAGAGAAAGATAGAAAGACATAAAAAGTTCGATTTTAACAAAGATAAGACTAATTATCAACTCAACTTGTGTTGTTATTATTTGTCCGGTTGACTTGATTTAAATGCAACTCTTTTCTCTCAGTGCTTACCTCAACCTTCATCTCGCTTCGTTAGGTACAATTGATAAAATGTTAAATTGTCAATTCGTGTATTTTGTTTCTTACTAAATTACTCTCTCTCTCTCTCTCTCTCTCTCTCTAAAGAATTACTACTAATACAATCTCTTTCTCTCTCAATTTTTACAGCAATCGAAGAAATCGCACCAACCTTGGATAAGAATCGAGAGGGAATGCAATACCTATGCCTAGGAAAATTTGATTCCAAAATTATCTCAGCGAAACCTTTACATAATCTAATAGAAGAAAGTTCACTTTCACTTCCATCAACTGTTTGGAAAGGAAATTTCAATGGTAATTTATTCTATCAATTGAATCAAAAATCAGCAATAACAATTTCGTCAAGTTGATAATGACATGGGAATAGAAAAGTTAATTGGTAAAAGAGTAAAAAAAAGATAGAGATGAATCAGCTGAATCAGCTGAATAATAATAATCTCTATCTGTCTCTTTCGCACATCAACAAAAACTTGAAACATCAATTGTGATAAAATAATCAAGCCAATTAGTGATGATAATGATTAATATTTTCATTGATTATTACACGAGCTTGTTTCAAATTAGCTGTTAACATATGAGTTATTGAAAAGTAAACAAATCATGTTGATGTATCATTATTATTATTACATCGTTATACTAGTACATTTATTTACAAAATGATTACTTTAATTCATTTATTCATTCATTCAGTATTAATGTTTTATTCTTGCTCTTATCGATTAGATTTGAACATTATTATTAAGTGAGCAAAGTAAAAGGGAGGTAATTGTTTGACAAGAAAAATTACATATCTTCAAAGTCCATAATTGTTACTGAATTGAACACGCAAATTGTTGTTATCATCTTAATTTTAATTCATCATTAAGCATTTTAAATGATTCTAAGCCACTAGATTAATCTAATCTTTCCTACTATTTACCAAAATCTCTTTATTTGTTCAATATCAATTTGCTAAATGATCATCACCATATGACGAAGACGAAGAAAAGAAATCAATAATTCTTGAAATCATTTAACTAATTTACATTGTAATGTGAATTTCTAACTTTTTTTCTCTTCATGATGATTAATTGATTGTTCTTTTTTCTCTGTCTCTGTGAATAGATCGTTTATTTTACATTTATACCTCTGGAACAACTGGATTACCCAAAGCTGCTATAATCAAACATATTCGTTACTATTGGATGGGAGCTGCTCTACGAAATCTAATTGGATTCCGTCCAAATGAAGTTATTTACAATTGTCTTCCGCTTTATCACTTAGCTGGTGGCTCCTTAGGAACCTGTCAATGTTTAATTTTTGGCGATACCATTGCCCTTAGAGCTAAATTTTCAGCCTCTAAGTTTTGGACTGATTGTATAAAATACAAATGCACGGTGAGTGTCTTCATACTTAATGAACCATCATCATGATGATCATCATTATCATCATTCTATGTGTGCGTGTATCTAAAAAAGGGAAACCTGAAAAGGCGGGATAGAGAGAGAGAGAGAGAGGCATGAATAAGATGAAGAAGGAGAGTTACAACTAGTATTAAAACTGTAAAAGTGAAAGTTAAAAAAGGTTATGATGATAATGATGATTATGACGATGGTCATGATGATAATTCAGTCTGAATATTTCCTTGTTTAACATGGTGATTTCAACATGTTAACGAACCACGGAAACTTGATTGCTTTTCAGTAATCATTTCTTTTCTTGATAATAACTGACTCCATCAATCAATCATGTACAATGTATCTAATAGTTTACTGACTAAATTATAATCACTTTTACTTCAGGCTGCACAATATATTGGTGAAATTTGTCGATATCTTCTTGCCCAAAATCCAAAGCCAACTGATTCTCAGCACAATGTAACTCTTATGTTTGGTAATGGATTAAGACCCAAAATTTGGTCACAATTTGCTAAACGATTTAATGTCAATCGAATCGGTGAATTTTATGGTTCTACCGAAGGAAATGCCAACGTCAGTAAGTACAATTATCACATTAATTAGATCTCATTTGATCATGTTTTGTGTGTAAGGTAATGTTGTTAACTTTTTCTAGTTAATCGGATAAACAACGATCTTTATAGCAAATACTTACCAATGATTACGTGTTGTTAGATTTTACATGTTAAATTAATTTTCTGATTATCAGGTTTATTTAATTGATCAACATCCAGTAAATCAAGTTCGACTAATTCTTGCTTATTTCTCTATTATTTATCTCTTATTTCTTATATTTTAATTTTACATTCTTATTCAAAGAAACAACTATTAACTTATTATTATAATAGAAATCGAAAACAATAGAAAAAATTATTTGATTAATCAAATAGTTCAAGTAAACACATCAATTTAGAGACTTGAGGTAATAATTACAGGCAGAAAAGTAAATGTGAACAAAGAGTAAACTTCGTAACCAGCTAACAAAATAGTAAACAATTTAAAAGTTTCAATCAATTACAATAACAATTAACTTTAACTTCGAGTTAAGTGGTGGACAGAGAGGAGATTTTTTTGTTGAAAGGATCAAGAGAGAGAGAGAGAGAGAGAGAAAGATGTTTAAAAATGAAAGAAGGAAAAAAATAAAAAAGTTATGATGATGAATTGAAAACAATCATTTAAAAGGTTACCAATTGACCACTGAGAGAGAGAGAGAGAGAGAAAGTGAAAGTGTAAATAGTGAAGGTGATGTTTGACTTTTTCCCTCTCGCCATTAACACGTACACTTTTAATGCGAACTCACCTAAACACGAGTATCATTTCACAACAATCTTTCTTAATTCATCCTTAACCTTTCCTCAGGCCATTTATTTTATCGCTCTCTCTCTCTCTCTCTCTCTCTCTCTCTCTCTCTCTCTTGATGTTATTTTTCTTCAATGATTATCAACATAAGAACCAACAGTCTCTAATATAAATTCATGATATTTAATTTCAAGATCAGCGATCAGATCAGATCGGTCATTAAGCTTTTCAGCTCTGGTTCAGGTTAAACCCTCAGGCTTTTCAGTTATTTTACTCATATAAACACAACAATAATAATACAATCAATGGGCTATAGTTACCTTTTTCTTGATTAACTTTTACTGGTCATCTGAATATTGATTATTAGATTTTTTTCTTGACCGTTCAAAGTTTTTTTTTTCAATTTATCTTTCACATATAAACAACAATTAATTTCTTTCTTCTTGATTTCATCATTAATGAACTTTAACACTCGACTATTAATACAGTTAAATCAATCTTAATTTCTGATGACCTTTCACATGTTTAATCTCAGTTTAATTTAAATTTAAATTTAATTTTCACAACAACAATTTAGGTCAATCTACAGGGCAGCAAATTGTAACTTACAATTTAAGTAAGAAGCTTTTCTCCCAATCAAATTAACTAAATAATTCAATTAGGAAAGATAATGAAAAATTTTCTACTCATTTGAAAAACTTTATTATTATATTTTATTATTCAGTTAATTGTTGAGAAAAAAAGTTAATTTTCAACACTGTTTCGATAATTCAAATAATCTTAAAAGGAACTTAATAATCTTTAACAATCAATCAACAATTTAAATAATTTTGTTCTTTCAATTAATTAATAGTATTGTAAAAACCGGTTGACCACAAACAGTGTTTATTATTATCTTCATTGTCATCACGATATTGACTTTCCTCTTAAATCATCATCCTAAATTGTTAATATACTTAATTGCTGGACAAATTGTTACCTTGATTAGTGTGTGTCATTGATTTTTAAGAAAAATTAATTTCCCAATGATTTTTACATGTTAACACTATTGTCTTTGTCCTTGCCTGAAACCAATAACAACAGATTGAAAAATGAGCAATTAAATTTGATGATTAAATTGATTGTGAATCAATTTTGTTTCTCATTCATATTAATTAAATTGTAAATTTTGTTTCAATGATTTTAAAGCACATTAGTTAACAAAATCACTCAATTTACAATTCTAGTAATGCTTTTGGACATTTAATCGAGTTGATCAGTTGATAATACAATCTGATCAATTATTTATTTCACAATTTAATTACATTTGACATTGAATGTTTTCATTGATTTCAAAGTGATTGATGATTAATTTAATTTTTTTTTCTTTTTCTTTTTCAATCTTTCAGTCAATGTCGATAATCAGGAAGGTTCCTGTGGATTCATCTCACGAATATTACCTGGAATTTATCCTGTGGCCCTGATTAAAATCGATGAGAGTACAAATGAACCTGTAAGAGATGCCAATGGTTTATGTGTCCTTTGTCAAGGTGGTGAATGTGGTGAATTTGTTGGAAAAATAATAGAATCTGATCCCTCCAGGGCATTTGATGGTTACGTTGATTCTGAAGCATCAAAAAAGAAAATAGTTCATGATGTTTTCCGTAAAGGAGATTCAGCCTTTCTCTCTGGTGATCTTCTTTATATGGATATCAATGGTTATTTATACTTTAAAGATCGTACCGGTGACACTTTCCGTTGGAAGGGTGAAAATGTATCTACTTCAGAGGTGGAATCTGTTATATCAAATATATTAGAGTTAACTGATTGTGTTGTCTATGGTGTTGATATTCCCGGTTGTGAAGGTAAAGCTGGAATGGTTGTTATCCATGGTAACGATAATCAACTTGATCTTGATGATACCCTACATAAGATGCACAAAGTTTTACCCTCTTTCTCAATTCCCGTGATGGTCAGAATCGCCTCTCAAATGGAAACCACGGGAACTCACAAATTGACCAAAACAAAATTTTCCAAAGAAGGTTATAATCCTCAGATTGTTAAAGATCCACTTTACGTTCTGGATTCATCTCAAGATAAATACATTCGTATAGATGAAAATGTTTACAATGACATATTAACATCTAAATTGAGACTTTAATCATCATCATCATCATCATCATTATCATCGTCATTATCCCAATCACCAAAAAGCAACAACAACAACAACAATTTAGCCTTAAAACCCTTGAAAACGCTTGAAGAAAGTTAAATGATGAAATGGATGTTTATACCAAGGAAACTTTTATATTTAAGGAACAACGAACAAGCCCCGGAAAAGCCTAATCATTCAAGAATAATAATCAATTGTTATTAATAGAGGAAAAGAATTTATGGAAAATTATTCATTAAGAAAGAAAAACATTTTTTATATTATCTTTAATTGTAAAAATGAAACAATTGATTGTCTCTTCTCCCTTTCTCTTTGTCATACAAAGATGAGACAATCAAAAGATGAAAATTATATAAGATTGTTGATTTAACTCATTTAATTGTGTACACAAAGCACCTTAGGTGTTTTGATTACAGCTGATATATATCGAGCTATGCTTCCCATCATCATCACCATCATCACCATCTTCATCTTCATCTTCATCTTCATCTTCATCTTCATCTTCATCTCCATCAAAGATTATAATCAATCAATCAATTTTCATCTTCTATTCACATGGGAAAACAAATAAACATGATGACCAAGTCCACGAGTTTCTTTCTCTGTCTTTTTCTTTTGTCTGTGATAGTTTAAGATTAATCATTTTGAACCAACTAATTTGATGATTAACGAATTTTTTAATGTAATTAACGAAGAAAATTTCAAAAGAATCAAGAGACTGGACATTGGACATTTCGAAAATGTGGTTCATGATGAGAACCTTTCATTTCTATGGTAAAACAATCTCATCACCGGAATTTCATCATTTTTCAAATTTCCATCTAATCATCAAACTGTTGTTTCAGATCATCGTTAATCACTAATATTTTGTTACAATTAACCAACAATCAAATACGCATCAGACTCATTAGTGATTCATTACCAGATTATAACCCTTTTCATTTCAATTTGTTTTTCTGATGCAATTTTATCAACTTTTTTTTTCAATCCATTGGTGAATGTATCATCATAATCAAAGACATTATCATAATTTGATTGTCATCATTATCAACAATTAACCCGCGTGGTCCATGTTCCTGGAATAAGCAGCAACAACAATTAACAATCAAAGAGAAATTTGAATATTTATTTACCAATGAAATTTACAATTAACACTTTTGTTTTTGTCTCAATCAATTGGATCAATGGTGAAAATTATATTGTCACAAATGTGAAGGAGAAACAATTATGTAAATTAATTGTAATTATAATTAACTCAGGAGATGTTAATCTTATCTAAGGAAGGGAAAAAGGATCAGTAAAGAATGACAACAATTTAGTTTAATTAGATTCTTAATCTGGTTTCTTATTGTAATCAAGATGCTGTTTGATTTAATTGTTGAAACAAAAAGGATAAGATTGAAAATGTTTATGATATTTATGAATAAATGATGAAATTCATTCATGATTTGGATTAATTGTTGAGGATCAACTCTCTCACTCTCTCCCTTTGTGCCGTCATCATCATCTCATCATTATCACCTTAATCATCATATTGTAAATGATTTAATCTTTCATTGATTAACTTTGATAATTATCAACCTAATGAAAATATGAAACAAAACCAAATTGTCTCATTCATTTTCACAATCTATTAATTGTTTTATTATTTTTTAATTGTCCGATTCAATTGTAACTCTAATTTGAGGTTTAATTTTCTGCTCATTTGTATTATTATCATCATCTTAAATCTCTCAACAATTAACACTGAAACAATTAAGTTATTGATTAAAAATTTCTATTATTATTTCTCACAATTAAAATGGTAAAACTCAATTTGATTGAATTATTACAAATCAGTAACTCATTTTGAATCAGGTTACAAAAGTTAATCATGATTAATTTACAATTAATTTTCCTTTTACAACAAATTAAACCACAACAATTGAAACTGATTAACAGCAACAATTAAACATATTAATACAAATATCAAAGTACAAAAGATCAAAATAAAGAGCAATTAATTATATTGATTGAATTAACTCTTGTAATTTACTACATCAACTAATCAGTTAATTATGATCAATACATCGTATTTATATCAATACATCTGATTAGAATGAAATTTAATTTTAATCAATTAGATCATCATTGAGTAATAACCAATTAAATAGAAAGATGAAAAAAAGTTTTGCAAGAAAACACGAAACACTGATTTGATTTGATTTGATTTAGTTCATTCTGTTCCAGGCAATTTAACTTGATTAGAGATTGAGAAAATTTCAATTGATTAACCGTTAACAGTTAACTGTTAATAGTTAACCAGTTATTATTATTACTAATCAATAAATAAACAGTAAACTAGTTTTGCTCTTTACCTTTTTTTATATCATCGCAATTAACAAATCAAATCCTATGAGAAGAGGTCAGAAGCCAGGCTGATTACGATGATTAAGTTAATTACGATGCCGATTAAGATGATTAAGTTGAATGACAATCAAGGCCAGTGCTGATTAGTTGATAATTTAGTTAAAAAAAACATCATCAAAATGATTAGCAGATGAAGTTGATTAAAGGTAAAAGATGATCTTGTTGATGGTTAAATACAAGGATGAGGATAAAGATGATGAAGATGAAGATGAGGATGAAGATGAAGATGAAGATGAGGATGAGGATGAGGATGAAGATGATCAAGTTTATCCAGTTTGTAACTTCCCTGAATTCATCTTCATTTTATCTTCATCATCTCATTTTTTTATTCTGGTTACTTTTTTATTCAACATTTTCAAGGATAATATTTTTTTCTGAGTCTCACTTAACTTATTGGAAATTAATTGTTCACAATTTGTTTAATTTTGGTTGATTAACCATTATCATCACTACTTAAGTAATCAATGTCAACAACAATTAATTTGGATTAAGTTGTTCTAGTGGTTTACTAATTAACCATAACCAGGAATTAGGAAATTTAATTTTTCTTTTTCTCAATCAAAAAGTTATCAAAATCTATTTGTTGTTACCCTCCGTTGACCTCCGTGTGATTGTGTGTTGACCGTAGAGTCATGGTCAACCTGATTAACTATCAATTACCCTTTTTGTTAATTATACTTTTCATTGGTGTTTTATTGATCTCTCTTAATCCAGTTAATTGTATTATCTCACAAACAGGATGTGAATGTCAAAATAAATTAGGAACAATTAGATTTACATGTAATGGAATCAATGTAAATGGATCAGCTTCAGGTAAGTTAATCTCTAATCCTGACTAATTAATATCATCTCTCTCTCTCTCAATCTTTAATTGTGATCATCACATTAACAAAGAATAGGATTAAGTTTAATTGTCCATCCAAATGTTTGTAAATTGTTGTTGTTGTTGTTGTTGTTTCAATTAATTTCATTATCTAATTCAAGGTTCACTTGTATGTTTAAATTGTTTCATTTTCTTACAATTTGTTGGATTGGGATAATCTTATTGATAATTAGTAATTAGTTTTAATCGCCTTGGGCTTTAATCTTGTCAATCATTATAATAATGTTCATAATCAAGGTCGATTTAGTTAATCACTGATAAATGTTAGTCGAGATTAAATTAAATCATCTTTGTTGTTTTGACCTTTTTTTTTTACCAATTAACTTACTATCCATACACTCAGATTAATTAACTATCAACTGTCTAATTGTGATTGACTTTAATGATGAGTATTCAGAAGCAAAATTGAAGGTTAATTGTGAAAAAAGTTTCAGGTACAATTAATAAGTTGAAGGTTAAACTAAATCCTCCAATTAAATGATTTACCTGAAAGATTATAACGATTAACCTAAACAAAGGTAAAATAAATTAATCTAATTACCTTTAGATTATTTTTACTACAATCAAATCAATTGACCATATAAACCAAATTAATTGGAAACAATTTCAGATAATACAATAAACTTTTGCTCTAAATTGTTAACCAATCAGTAATTAAGCTCTTTGTCTCATTAAAGATTAACTCAAAATTAATCCAAGGTGTTAATTAACTGTTCATTCATTCACGTTAGTTAATCAGTCTGTTGATTTGTCAATTGTAATTGTCAATGAAATGAAACGATAGAGGGAGATAGAGGTAACAATTGTATTCGTAGATGATTAAATTGATTGTTTGATGAGTTAATAGTGAATTAAGTTAATCATTCTGAGCGAAATGATTTAATTACTTGACCCCAACGATGTCGATATTAAATAGAAGCAAAAAAGTGTCTTTTTTTCCTGATTCAACCCGAATTTCTTGTTTCTTGTTCATCCATCTTTAAGATGATTTGATTACATGAAGAATCTCATCCTCCATCTTTACCTCTTCTCTTTCATGATGATCTTCATCTTCTTCAACCTCATCATCATCTTTCTCTCTCTTCTCTTTCTCTTTTATCCCTTAACCATTTAACCCCATTCAATTGTTATTATCTTTGAGAAATTAATAAATTGAATTGAATTTTATCTCTTATATTCAGGTTATAATTTTATTGACCGTTATTGTGCTGAAAAGGCTTCAAGTTATGTGCCCAAGAAGCTTGAGATGGCCTTTCATGGCGGCTCCATGTTGACCATGAAAGATGACACTTTCCAACGTATTCCTAACCTTTCAGCGGTCAAGATTGCCTTTACTGACCTTTCCAATATTACCTGTAACCTTTTCTCAAATTTAAGGCAACTTGAAACTCTTGAACTTTGGTACGATCAGATTAACTTTATCTGTGAAACCTCATTCCGTGATTTGGCAAATATCAAGACGATCACTTTGTCCGGTAATAAATTACACAATATACCTTCGGGTTTATTTCGAGAGCTTAAAAATTTAACTATTCTTGACCTGGATGCCAATGATATCGATTCAATTTCCCCTGAAACCTTCATTGGACTCGCTAATTTAAATATTCTCAATCTAAAGAAAAATAATCTCTCCGATATCGCTTGTTATGCTTTCAATGAACTTCGAGGACTTCAAGAGTTATCTCTTGGTTCAAATAGGATTACAACCGTTTGTGATAATGGTTTCGATGGACTATTGACCATCCAGTCTATCGATATGTCCGATAACAATATCTCATCAGTTCCAGATCGATGTTTACAATCGGTTATTTCACTTAAAGCTTTGAACCTTTCGAAAAATAAACTCAAACGGATTCCCTCTCGAGCTTTCGATAAGTTGACCAACCTTAAATATCTCAATCTACTTGAGAATCGTATTGAATATATCGACAATGAAGCTTTCGCTGGATTAATCAACCTCGAAGGATTATATTTAAATGAGAACAATTTAGAGTTAATTGTTCGTAAAACTTTCACTGGACTTGATAATCTCAAGACTCTTGATCTTGTCGCCAATAAGATTCGTGACATTGAACTGATGGGCTTAAGTGATCTGATTGAGCTTCGAAATCTTGATCTATCTCGTAACACAATTCACAAGCTAAAAAAGGATATGTTTTTTGGCCTACAAAAGTTGGAATCGCTTGATTTAAGTTATAACAAGATCGACAGTATCGAGGTGGATGTTTTTGAACCATTTGATAGTTTACGATCATTGGCCTTGGGTAATAATAAATTAGCCCGACTTGATGCTGACCTTTTAAAGGGACTGAAAGCTTTGAAAACTCTTGACCTGAATGGTAACGAGATCGCCAACATATCACCAAACGCTTTCACCGGCCTACCCGAACTAAGTTCACTTGACCTTTATAATAATAAGATCAGTACACTTAACGGTAACATCTTCATCCCATTGTCCAATTTAGCTGAGCTTAAATTAGGTGTTAATTCAATATCCAAGGTTGACCCGTTCACTTTTAAAGGACTTAAAAACCTACGAACAATTGACCTGAGACTTAATTCAATCAATGTGATCGCTGAACGAGCGTTTAAAGATCTTCGCAATTTAACCAACCTCGATCTTGGACATAATTACATCTACACTTTGTCCAGTCAAACTTTTGTCGGACTTTCTAACCTTAAGATACTCAACCTTTTCCAAAATAAGTTGACCTTTATACCGAAAAACGTTTTCTCCGACCTGGTCTCACTTCAGCGTTTGTACCTTCACAATAACGCAATCATGCAAGTGCAAGATAATTGTTTCGCTAATTTAGCCAACCTTCAATTACTCAACATGAGACTTAATCAACTTGGTTATATCACTCGAGGAACCTTTTTCATTGAGGAGCGAAACAACACCAATCCAGTGGTAATTAATTTGCGAAACAATAAAATGAAAGCAGATCAAATTCGTTCGGACGCTTTTCTCAAGCCCAAATCTCGAAAGGTCCGATTGGAACTTCAACAAAATCAAATGACCTACGTTCCCGAAGATCCGTTCAGACTTTTCCTCGCCATGGGCAATACTCTCCATCTAATGGACACACTAACACCGAACTCAAATCCAATCGAATGCGAATCCAAATCAAATAAATGGTGGTTACATGATCGAGAAAACAATCCAAGAGCTTATCAAGATTTCGGCTGCAAATGATTAACTTTAATTGTCTCATAACTTTGTTTACAATTTGTGCCCTTTTAATTATCCCTCCAATCATATATACCGATCATTAATCATCTTAACTGTACTTTCCACCGATTTAATTTAGTTAATTCACCTTAATTGTTGCGTTGTTTTTATATACATAATTTAATAGTTTGAAAAGTTTTTCAATCACAGAAAACAATTTATTTATATTATCAAACTTTTGACAATTTAACTTATTAATTTAATTTTTTTTGTTAGTCAATTGATTTTAATTTATTATTATTGAGATTTGATTTTAAATGTTCAACAATTAACTTTGTTTTGTTTTTTATTTCATGTATTATGATTGACTTGATTATACTTTTGGTTAATTGTAATGATTAACAATTTGATTAATACAAATTAATTCAATTCACTGGATTTGTTTATTTTGTTTGTTTGTTTGTTACCAAATGATTTAGTTAATCAAACAATCAACTGGAAAAAATTATTCACAAGGAAATAAATTGTTTTCCTATTTGATTTAAATTACAGTTTAAAATTAAATTAAATTCAAAATTTCTCATCGATTTAAATTACAATTAAAAGTCACAATTATGTTATTATGATTGATTGTCTTTGATTGTTTCAATATTTTAATAGAAGGAAAAAATTGAATCTGCTTGTTGATTAACTTTTTAAATGTTGAAGTTTAATCATTGGCAGTTAATTGTTGTGCCCTTTGAGAGTTAATTTAGTTACAATTAGAATATTTTTCTTCACAATTACCAGATAATCGTCCAAATTGTTCAGCCTCTCTCAATGGTCCCAATAATTGTTTCTCTTGTTGATTATCATGATCACTTTGATTGTTGACCGTTAATTGAGTAAATCTGAATAAGGAATAAGGAAAATTAAATGAAACAATTATCACTATTAAATACAGAGCTAGTTACTATTTAGCAATTAGTTGATTGTGATTTACAAACCTTGATATATCAATGACGATCGGCTCAATTAAATGATAATCTATTAATTGGGCTCGTGAAATTTGACAAACTAGTTTAGAGAAACAATTAACACCTTCAACTGGATTACTTTTGATTAGATTGAGGTGAAATAAATTCAATTGGTCAATAATCAGTTAATAGTTTGATTGAAAATCGCAATTAAAAACTTACTTTTCATGATTTCTCTTGATTCTTTGTTGGAATGAAAATTTATCTCTTCTATGATTGTAATCATTTCGTTGATTGTTGATGGTTTTATTTGAATTGTTGGTGATTTTTATTGATTGTTGTGGTTGATTATCTTGTAAATTGTTTCCCTCATCATGATAATCATCTTGCTCTTCATAATAAATTGGTATATAAGCTGGATAATTAGATGGAAATTTATATTTACTGTTAACTCTGATACTCTCTGGTTTAAGATGATCAATTGACTTAATTGTGTTCATCCCTGATTGATTTGGCTCCTTGTTAATTGTTTCCTCTGATGGTTGATCACTTTCCTCTCTAATTGTAATAGTCATTGGCAAGTTAATTGTAGCAATTTTTGTCTTATCAAACAATGAAGTTAACGGTATATTAAATTGAAAATTAAATGAGAATTTAGGTTCAACTGAATAAGTTAATTGGTCAAGATTTTCATAATTAATCAAAGGAAATGATTTAATATTAACAATAATTAAACAGAGAATCAAACAATTAACAATTAGAATCATTTTGACTGAAACAATTAGAAACACTAAAGTTTAATTGTTAACAATTCCAATACCAAATCTCATCAGTGACTGAGAAAAAAAATGAAAGCAAAAAATGAGAATCATTTTCTTAATTGTTTCGATAATTAATTGTCCAATAATTTGATGATTAAGCTGAAAAAAAGGTCAACAACTTACCTTTGACCGAAAGAAATTAAATCAAATTAGATGAATAATCAATAAATTATATATGTTAATTGTTAAATCGACAATAACTTTATTGTCAAAGAAAAAGTTTTCCTCAATAGTTGATACATTATATTAATCGGGAAGGAAAAAAAAGGTAAACATGATTAAAGATACTTTTGATTGTAACAATTAAGTTGTTAATTGTTGGCTAATTGTATCGTCTATTGACGTCCTTGTGAGCCAGCTGATGGAGCGCCGGCTGATAAGGTTGCTGAATCACTTGATGCACCACGATTAACGAAATTGTTTAACATATCGGTTATCCCAGAACCGGAACCGGAACCAGTTGAAGATAAAAGTTTGCTCATGGCTTTGGTTGGGAATTCACCTTTCATTAAATCAGCTGAGGTAACCGAGGCAGCTAATTCTTTAAAGAAATCAACGATCTTATTGAGACCAGCTGGTTGCTTATTATCGCCCAAAGCTAGATCAAGTTGACCGACGGTCATTGAGAAAAGTTTTTCTGGAGTTAATTGCTTGATGAATTCTGAATTTCCTAATCCACTCAGAAATCCTTTGCTTCCTGATCCATTGGAATCACTTGTAACCACTGGAGTGTTTGGTCCCGTTGATCCTAAGCTCGAGAGTAAACTTTTTCCTGCTGATCGTTTAAATCGTAGTCTTAATTGTTGAACATGATTGTTACTCTCATCGCCATTGATTAGTTGTTCATTTGATTCGGATGCGAGACTAATATTGATTAGGGTTAAGGTAACACAAGAAAATAAAATTAACTTAATCATTTTAGTGTTGTTGTTGTTAAGAGTAAACAAAACTTTCCAGTAATTTAATTGTTAACTTTGAGATTACGATCAATTGTGATTAGAGTTTAATTGTAGATTTAATTATTATACTAAGTTTTGAGAATTTAAATTTAACTTTTTGTTAATTGTTGCTCATTGAACACGCCTTTTCTGGGTGAACAATTTATTTCCATTTGTGATTAATTTTAATTGTTCATCAAAAGGAATCATAATTAATCATCATTATTAACAATTGACAGTTAATTTTAATATTAATTATTGTTTGATTGGGTTTAGATTATCAAATATATTTTTCTGGTTTAATTTTCCTCTCAATTAGAATCATCATTTTTCATCATCTTTAACATTGTAATTAGTTTGATTGCTAATTACTGAACTAATTTACCATTGAAAGGTAATCATACATTTTTGTAATTACATTTAGTTGATGGTTGATTAATCATAACAATTACACATTTGAAGTGTGATTTAATTAGTAAACCAATCAAGTTGGAGGAAGTTAATTGTTGCTTCTTTTGCTTGTAATAGTTAGTTGTTTACTTTTGAAATTAAATTAAGCAAGAAAACTTAATCAAAATTAGTATTATGATGAAGACTATTCAATTAACTGTTTAATTGAAGAGTTAATTAGTTAATTTTTTATTCGTTTTCTCAGTTGATTCAATTTTACCGCTCGATTTTCTGGTGAGTCTTTGATTCAATTGGATTCAGTTCTTAAATTTTATTGCGATTTATTTTTGATGGAAAATGCTGATTAACCGTTAGTTTAATGGTCTAATCATGATATATTCTCTGATTTAATCAGCCTCTGGCAAAAAATTCCAACAATCGAAGCTAAATTGTGAAAATTTGATCGAAATTAATTGAAAATATCTGATACTCTGTATCTTTACAAATGAGTGATTCTAATTGGGATAACAGTGGATCTTTCAGAACTCTCATGAATTTAGAAGTCACTAGAAGGGAAATAGATGAAAATCATTCACAGAATCGAGAAAAGTTGATTGATAATTAAGTTCGACCTGAGCTTGACCAAAAAGTGTTAATTCTAACTGTTAATTTGGTTGAGAGTTTCGAGAAAGAAAAATTGTTTCAGATTTTACATCAACTCATTTAAATTGATGAAACCCATAGTAATTTTTACTCTGTACATAATCTGTACAATACTAATTACGAATCACCAACTTTTCACCATAAAATGCTCTCTCATTATAATCAGTTAATTGTGATTCTAGTTAAGTTTCTATGGAAACGAAAGTTTGTTAGTTTCGGTTCACTTAGGGAACTTCTCACTCACTAGATGGCGACACTTTTTCTCATTTTATTCTTTTCTCGGTTAACTTTATAGGTGAACCTTTAACAAGGACAAAGTCAAAGGCTTGAGAATTTGTGATTAATTTAATCAATTTAATTGATTGTTGTTTAAATTTAAATTATCAAAATGCGTCTATTTCGGACTCTCCTTTACAAAGGTATTTATTGATTCAATTGTATCTCCATCCACTCACCTCAATTCAATGTGGAAATGTTTTGATTATATTTAATTGAAATGAATCTTTTTCACTTACAGTTACTGGTGAAGACACTTCCAAGAAAACAATTGGGGCTTTGATGTTTAAATTAAACGAATATTGTAAATTTGGTTTGTACCATGATGACGTTTATCCTGATTTAGAACATGAGATGGAAACTCGTGAAGCTGTACGTCGATTACCATCTGAGATTTACCATCAGCGTAATTTTCGTTCAATAAAAGCCTTTCAATTAGATATACAGAAAGAGTATCTTCCCGAAGATCAATGGACAAAATATGAAGATGACCTCAAGAATGGTAGATACCTTCAACCTTATATTGCTGAAGTAAAAGCTGAATTAAAGGAACGTGAAGATTGGGAGAAAGCCCATTTTAAATAAGTTACCTGTATCTAAGAATATTAATTGTTACCAGTTAATCAAACCTACTTTCAGGGAGAGATTGTTTGTTTTGTTGCTAATCAAAGCAACAACAACAAAAAAAAGAAAGTCAAAGATAAACAATTATCTTTAGTGTTATATTTATGAATCAATGGGATGAGTTATAAAAGAAAACAAATGTAATCAATTATAAATGTAGACAATAAACTCTCTTAAATCATCTTAATTAATCTGATTGATTGAAATGATTGGTATTTTTTATTGGCTTTTGTTGTTGAAAGTGTTGATCAGGTCATTTAATAGGATAACTTTTTACATTGACCATTTGAGAGAGTAAGGGGATGGGGAAGATGATTAGTGGCGATTTCCTGACATAGTTCATGCCAATTTAATGTCTTCGCTATTTACAAAATAGTTTTTCTTTTTTAGAGATATACAAGGTTTTCTTTTTTTTTCTTTTTTCATTAACCATTTCTTGAGAAGATTTTGTTGTTTAACCGAAAAGGGAGAACGGGTAAAGAAGTGGCTTTTATCTTCATCTTTTCGAATTTTTTTTTCGTTTCTTTCTTCAATTAATCATTGGGCATGATGAAAGGAGAGGAAGTTGATGTGATGTGATGAGAAGTTGAAAAGAAGATGAGATGAAAATTGTTTGTGTGTGTGAGTTGCAGATGAAGAAATGTTGTGATAATATGATAATATGGGAGAGCGATTATGATGAATGTTGATGATGATATTCATTTGGGAGAGAGAGAGAGAGAGAAGATCAGTTTTGTTAAGAAAATTTTTCTCTCTCCAAAAGAGTTTTTTGTCTTTGTTTTTCTATTCACACTTGCGTTGAATTTTTCCATTTCAAGTTCATTAACTGTTTTTGTTCATTTTCGTTGACAAATATTTCAAGTCTCTCGAATATGAGATTATGTCCTTGCTTTGCTTTGTTCATTTAAATTAATGAGACACAAAAGAAGTTTTAACTTTGTGTATTGTGTGAGAATAGAAAAAGGAAAGAGAAAACAAAAATTGACAGAAAATTGATGTTAGATGTTGACGAAAAGGGTGAGAGAGATGATCACGACGATGACAATGATGAAAACTACGATGTTGATGTTGACAAATGGGCTGAGTGGTGAGTGTGTAGATGAGTGTAGGTTCATGTAGTATGAAAGTAAAAATGCATGAAGATGATTTTTTTTATAGATTTTCACGAATTGATGCTGATTGTTTTTGTCGACTTTTTTTTTGTTGTTTTCTAGATTTATCTCTTTCCCTCTGTGTCCTTTTAGGTGTTGTGTGTGTGTGTGTGTGTGTGGTGTTTGTGGTGTTTGTAGATTTATCTTGAGTAGTTTCTGATTTCGCATGTATTGAAAGTTAATCCATTTCTCGACAGTAACTTTCCATTTTGTTACTGTCGATCATTTAATTTGATTAACACGTTTATTCATCATAATGTTTCCTCGAAATTAGCCATTAGTTCACTTTGTAAATTCATATCTATTTGACCCGCCTGCTGATAGAAGATGAAAACAATTATTAGTAATCGATATTGAGAAATAATTATAATATCAACAAACCTGTAATTCTCTTTTTCTTCTTTCTTGTTCTCGTAATCTTGCTCGTTCTCTTTCTCTAGCACTTTGATTGGATGAAGGTGACGAGGAACCTGAGAAAGGTGAAACACTTCCCAATTGCTGCAATGGTTCAGGTGTACCAATGGGAGCATCGATATGTTGAGGAGTTGGAGGAGTATTTTGTGGCAAACCAGCGGCTACTGGTATTTGAGATCGACGAACCCGTTCAAGGGCTTCTTCCTCCTCCTTTTCCCTTTGTTTTTCTTTCTCTTGACGAGCTCGTTCACGATCTTCGGCTTCTTTTTGGCGTCGACGTTTTTCTTGCGCCTCCTGCATTTGTTTCCTACGATCTTCTTTCTCTTTTGCTTGTTGTTTAAATTTTTGAAAAGTGTCCACGTATTTACCAGAATTCGCAGCAGTGGTTACAGGTGACTGGACCACTGTTGCCCATTGACTTAAACTTTTCAACTTAGGTTCATTGGGTTGCTGAGAATAAGCAAAAATTAAGAAAAAAAAATTAGAACCAAAATCGACAATCAACTAATACGAAGCTCTTACCAATAGCGATTTATTTGCCGAATTAGATGTGGAAGGTGTTGATGATGCTGATTGGGGAAGACTGGAACGATTCAATTCTTTTCTATCATTAAGTGATGGAGAAACAACCAAAGGGCCTTCTAATGATGATGAGTTGACAAAAGGACCTAAAAATTATGTGGACACAGAAAAATTGATTAAATAAAATAAAAGAAAAAAACACAATTGACCCAAATACTTATACCATAATTACAACGAACAAAAATATGACTGATTGTTGATAAATTTCCTTGACCAATGAAAGGAATTGAAAAAGAGATCAATCATCGATGAAGAATCAATAAGATATGAATAAGATTAAAAAAGCAACAAAACAAAAATAAAAATCATAAAGGAAAACGAAAACGAAAACAAAACAAAAATAACAATAAAAATGTAAACAAATTTAAACAAAATGATGAAATCGAGAAAAAGAAATGAATGAGCCAATTGAGTTAATTAAATGATTTATGCAAAAAAACTGAACAATTTTTTTGCATAACATGTCAAAGGTAATCAAGTATCTTTAATTGTCATTAAAGGTAATCATATATTTGTAAACTAAATATATCATAACGAGAATGGGAAAAGAATAATTTTTTCTTCAAAATATATTACATAGGATTTCAAATGTTGACTAGATTTTGTTTACGTTTTGTTTTGTTGCTTTTTTATGAATTTAATTTAACAACTATTAACAATTAAATAGTTTGTTAAATTTGATTTTCTTTTTTTTTCTTAAATATTAAGTTGGTTATTTGGTTTTTTTTTAAAAAATCTTTTCCTGTGGAAAATGTATCAAAGTAAAAAAATGGTTACAATTGATGTGAAAAGAATACAAACTAAACAATCGAAACATAAACACTTTGAGAACAAATTAATTAACCTAATCATTGAATTTAAGTAATTAATGATTATTTGTAAACATGCGTCTTTTGTTTGATTGTTGAAATTTGCATCACTTTGGATGATGAATTAAGATGATAAAGGAGATGAAGATGATGAAGAGATGATTAGATGATGTGACGATAAAGATGAAAACAGAAAAACTAAAACAGAGAGAAGAAATCTCATCAGAACTGATGAAGATGAATCTGATGATCAATCGATAATCCGATCAAGAGTGAGATTCTTACAGATAATTTACAAAGAGAAAAATAAATAAACAAGTTAAATAGATTAATTGAAAGTTCATCGATGATTATCTCTTTTTTTTGTTTGTTGTTTTTGCTGTTTCAAGTTAACGGTTTCATTGTTTTCTTTTCTATCATCATTTAGCATAATCAAAGTTTCAATGATTTAATTTTTTGACGATTGGATGAAGAAGAAGAAGAAGAAGAATTGAATGTTCGTTGTAAAGATGGAGAGTCAGAGTGATTCGTGGTCGAGGGCAAGAAATTTAACTCACTCTTAGAACCTGATTGGTTAACAGGCTGTGAATGAGTTTCGATTGTTGCTGGTGATCGTTGAGGCGGAACACCGATCGCACCTCCAGGTATTGTTGTCGGTGCCTGTGATTGGGACATTTTAGGAGTTGACTGTCCACTATGCATGATAGTTGATCCTTGATTAACACCAGTAGAATTCATTTGCTGTTGTGATTGAATTTGTTGCATTGATGGCGGTTGTGATAGTTGAGGCGCTGTTGATATTAAGGGAGGCGGTGTTTGCATTGAGTTTGCTAGTGGAGGTGGTGGACCCGCCGACGAGTGTCCAGTTGCTCCTGACATTGGAAAAGGCGATGATGTTGGAGGTAATTGATTCGAAGATCGTTTTGTTACTGCAGAAGACGCTGTTGTCGAGGGCCGCGAAGGCATCTGTAAATTCATTTGGATTGATTAGTTTGATTAAAATGAGAACAATATATTTACGGTAAACGCGATTTTTTTTTCATGCCCACGGTGTTAACTTTGTAACCTTAGAATCAGATAACACGAATTAGTCAAGTTGTTGACCAATAAATTTAAATATCTAATCATAACTGACTGATGATCTAAAAATTGATTTTGTCTGATTGATTCATTGATTCTAATTACAACACACGATTTAACTTAATTTTTTTCTTCATCCTTCTGATTCTCATGAAACCCAATTAAGCAACAAAAAATGACATCGTGAAGACATGATCGCTCGATCGTATAGTATAATTAATTAGATTAATTTTCCCATTCGATCGGGCAATTGATGATTTCATCAACATCATCATACCTGAGGAAGGCTGGAGTGTGATGCTACAACAGGATGTTTACTAGAAGAAGTGAAAGGAGCAACAGCATTTGGATGCTGAGGCGGATTAGTTGCATTCAAGGTTGGAAACGTTGACTGGGCGAGATCAGGGACTGGATTAACTGATGCTGTTGGCCCATAATTCATGGAAAGCCCAGTTGGTGCGTAACCAAAAAGATGAGATTGAGAAGGAACATTGGAGGGATTGACTGAGTTGCTGTTATTATTGGCGAGATTTGGTGATATTTTAGCCTGTTGTTGTTGTTGTTGTTGTTGTTGCTGCTGCTGCTGCTGTTGGGTAGGTTGTGGAGCTTGAGGTCCACCAGGACCAGTTGTAGGTGGACCGAAATTGGTGTGACCCATAGTCATGGAGGTTGGCTTATAAAGCCCGTCGTAGGCTCCAGGCAGAGTACTTGTTGAACCGAGATTAGGAACTAAAGGTCCCATTTTTGGGTCATTCATTAAACCAGATTTAGAACCAGCAGCTACCATGGTTGGTTTCTTCTTTGATGATGATTCTGAAGAGGAGCATGGGGAGTTTTAATTTAACAAAATTTGCATCCAAATTTGGCTATTTTCAAATATGTTTTTATGTAATGTAATCGACAAAAAGTCAATATATTTCAAAGACTAACGTACAAATAGATAGATTGTTAAATAAGCTTAATTTTTACTTGGTTTGCTTGGAAGAGAATACAGTTTCCAGTCTTATTTAAAAGGTACAATCATGTATAAAAGTGTAAAAAAAGCAATCCTATTCTTTAACCATCATATGCTAGAGAAAGAGAAGAAGGCTTTTGGGAAAGTATTCTTTTTGCTCACATCTTGCACCCAAATCGAAACTGTGCCTGAGTCAACATCATTAAATAATATACATAAACTAATTTGTCCACCGAGTGAATTTTATCAAGGGTAGATAATAAGGAGACAAGAACAAGAGGGAGAGAAAGAGAGAGTATCAAGCTATTCTTATAGTATTGCTTAACAACTTCTAAGAGATCTTACTATTAAAAAAGTTTTTATTTTCGCCTAATAAGCCTAAGTTTGTTTTACTTTCTTCGGCTAGACGATCGATGATGAATATACAATGAGACTAATGTTCATAAATATGTACTTGGTAGAAAGAGAAAGAGAGAGTATGATTTGGAGGGCAAGATAAGAGATGAAAGATGATAAGGAGGATGAGAAAGAGATGAAGGTGTCGAATACGATGGTTTAAAGGTGAAGGGTGAGAGATAAATTTGATCAGACAAACAAAAAAGATGCAAGATCTTGATAAGCAAAGTAAACGAAATAGATAATGAGTAAATTGGTGCCTGTGTAACAGAAAAATAATAGTAGCTGAAAAGAAGCTTTCTAATTCTCATCGACATTGTGATTCTCATTCTGATTCATTCTCATAAGAGATCAATTGGATATTTTGTGAGTTACATATTTGTTTTTGAGGATATTTTTGTGCTCATTTTGTAGACTCTTCTTCAGTTTTCAGAATATAATAAATAAACTGAGGAGGAATTCAAGGGAATGGGATTGTCTGCATAAAAATAAGGTATTGGCTCCTCTCCTCAATACACAGTGAGCTCGCTCGACAATAAGATTCGCTCCTCACTAGAATATTAATGGTAATTTTTCTTCAAAGATGATATAGCATGGCATCAGTTCGTTGGAGGAGGAGATACACTGTACTCTTTTCTTTCGGAGATTTGCTACTGAAATAGAGTGATCAGCAAACTGATAAAAAATGGAGAAAGATGAAAAGAAGAAAGCATTTAGCTCAAAACTACAGGCAGAAAAAAATCGAGAATGGTAAAGATGATGAAAAGGAAAGGAAGAATTTTAAAAAATCATTGGAGTTGATTGGGGGATTAGAAGAGCTAGAGAATAGGTAAAGGGGAGCCTGATTAATTGAATACTGACAAAAAAACGAAAGAAGGATAGAGAAAAAAAAGAAACGGATAAGATGGAAGGATAGAAAAGATGGGATGACAGAGTAAGAAATTCGAGAGAGACCGATGGATTGGGAAGCATCAAAATGCTGAACAAAAGATGCAACTCAATTATCGACTTTTCTTTTTCTTTATAGTGAGTTTAATTTTAAGATGCTCGCAGTAAAAAAATAAAGAGATGAACTTGCGATGCCAGGGAGAAGAATAGAAGAATGACAAGAATAGAAGATGACCAATGATGATAAAGAGTGATAGAGGGTTGATGGTAACTGATATTCTTTTGATTCACAATAGATGGTAGAGTGGTGGTGTGGTTGGTTGGTTGGTTTTGTTTATTTTCAATGTTTCTAACCTGATTCAGAATCACTGCTATCAGATGAGCTACTTGAACTGGAACTGGAACTGGAATCGCTATCACTTGAGCTTGAGCTACTTGCGCTTAATCGTGAGCCCATATTGTCCACATGAGAATTCTCTGAATCTGTAAAAGCGTAAGGATCTGTAAATAATAAGCGGAAGGTCAAGTTTTGGTCGTTTATGGTTAATGGTTGAGTTCAATGATCAACAACATTCCATTAGTTATAGACCATAGGGTTATCTTCTCAAGGAAGATTAAATGTATTATGTAATTGGATTAAAGGCCAGAAACCTTTTTGCCAAATTTGTTGAAAAGAGACCCTCACCTTTCTTTTGTTTTTTAGGATTTGTCGGTTCATTCAATTTACCCGATAGAATTTTCATCTTATTTTCTAATTCTAGTTGTTTCTCTGCAATTTGTTCTCCTCTCGTTTTTCCGTTATTTTTTTTGGGAGCTGCTGTTTCGATACAGAGACAACATTATTAGAGAAAGTTGAATAGAAAAAGATAAGATGAAATTGAATGAAAAGGTTAGTGATAAGGTCAACATTAAACATTAAAGTAAGCAGAAAAATGATCTTACTATATCTTTTTCTGGGTTTTTTCGTTAAACAAGAGGCAACATAAGCCTCTAATTCACGGAGCGTTGAAGGCTTGAGAGTTTCGAAGTCTATTTCTATTTCGTCTGGATTGGAATCCCTTAAAGATGGCTCTCTAGATTGAATTATATGAACAACATTTCCTAATTTTTCACCTAAAATAAAAAAAAAGAAATTGAGTTAAAACATGACATTTTCGAATAGAAATATTTGTATAAAATCTAATGCACTAAGAATACTAACCTGGCAACTTATTAATATCAAGGCTAAGCTGTCTCTTTTCATCATAAGACATTGGCTTAGCATTGTCTTCATCTTCACTATCAAACGCAGGTACGGCTTTATTAACCTTCTTATTAGCTTTGCTATTGGTCCGCTGTCTCTTGGCTGGTTGTCCGACTGGTTTTTGGTTTGCTGGTGTTTTGGCTGCTCCAGCTGCACCACTTCTTGCCTTGGTTTTACCCGAAGTTGATGGCACTGGAGCATTATCAATGATGGGACCTGCACCAGCACTAGAAGTTGAGGCTACTGGACCAGAAGTCGGCGGAGCATCAACCTCTTCCATTTTAAAATCTATTCTATCACCATGTTTCTCCTTTTTAGATTTGTTTTTAAATTTTTTCTTTTTCTTATCCTTTTTAGAAGATTTCATTAAGACTGGCGTTAATTCGGAAATTTGTTCGGTAATCTTTTTAAGTTCTTCTTGCAATTGTTTTAATTTTGCTGAGTTTTCATTTTCAGAGTCACTTTCACTTTCCGAACTACTAGCCGATGAGCTTCCACTAGAACTTGAACCAGTACTATCCCCACCGTCATTAGATGATCTAATAGGTTCGTCTGGCATTTTGGCGTATCTCATTTCAAAAACGTCCTAGATTAGAGAGAAAAGAATAATAAATGTTAAAATTAGGATTATTTAGAACAAGAGATGTGACAAATGCATGAAACTGAGGCTCAAATTGTACAAATGAGACATCAGCGATTAGTTCTGTCAAGTTTATTCTTCCTCTGGCTGATGAAGAAGGTTCAATAAAATTGTTCCAACTTCCTGTCCAGCTTGAGGTAAACAAATAAAAAAAACAGTTCAATTACCTGAAGCTTACGTGCCATCAAAACTACTTCGTGATCGGGAGGGTTATATTTGTAACAATTGGTGAATATCAATCTAACATCAGCGGCAAAGTCATCTGGTTTCTTATACTCTCTTTTTTCCATCTTTGTCTATAAAATGATTAAAAAAAAGTGAAATTAGAAAAAAAATAATCCCAATGATAAATGAATATGAATAATCGTAAACTTTAATCACCTTGACTGTTCCCAAGTCCATTGGGTGTTTAATTATATCATAATAGTCGGATAAAGCTAAAGAAACGACATCGACTGGCTTATAAAATGGCCACGCATATCCCGCATGTTTCTTTGCGAATAATTCTTTTAAAATATTGGAACAGTATTTCATCTGTTCGGAAAGTTTTCCTTTCCTTGCTTTTGAAACGTGTTGTGCGCACTCAGGTAGCTCTTTGGAAGGTTTTTTGATAGGCCTTCCACTTTCCCGTCTAGTGGACATTTTTGTTGAGACTTCGTAATTGACTGGAGGGAAACTGTTGTCAAAAGATGAGATACCAGTCGTTGTATCCGCTTTCCTTTTCACCCCTTTAGCGGCTTTTGCTCCTTTTGTTTTGATTGGGACAGATTGTACCGGTGTTAATTGACATGTTGATGGTACATGTTGTACATATGTGACTCCTGGTGCTGATGATGGCCCCAATAGATTTGAAGAAGTAGTTGGCGTTGAAGGCTTATTTAAATTATATGCACTCTGAGGTCTAATTTGTGGTGTCTGATTAAATGAAGGGCTTTGGTTAACTAGTGTTTGTGGTACATTTGGAGTTAACGAACCAGCGGCAGTCAAAGGGGGAACAACACTCTGATTAACTGTTGTCTGTGTAGCATTCTGAGATGCAAGCACATTCTCAGGTACTCCATGGACAGAGCCAATACCAGAGTCGGTGAAAGAAGATGGAGTTAAAGGTGCTATAGAGGATGGAGTTGTTCCGCCAACTATCGATGTATTAGATGAACCTACAGAAATACCTCTACCTCTAATAGGTGCACCTCGACGACCTTTTTTACCTCTACCCGCACCTTTACCTGCAGGCATGTTTAAAGATTCCTCCACTGGTGGCATTTCCCTTAATTGTGTATTAAATAATTTTTCTAATGTTTGAGCCATGTAAACCACATCTTCACCCGGTTTGTTGTAAGTGTAACAATTTTGAAACATAGTCTTAAAATCGTGTATACACTCTTTAGATGAATAATACCAAAAATTGTCTAGCCTCTTCTTAATTGTACCCAGATCCATTGGATGCTTAATTATGTTATGATAATCTGGTAATTTGTATTTAACAGTGTCCACTGGTGTCTTGAAAGGCCAGGCAAATTGATGCTTGTTAACTGCTTTATATACTTTTTGGTTGATGAATTGAAGCTGATTTGTATTACGGCGGGGTTTATCCTCTGAGGGTAGATATGGAGGTTGCACTATTCCATTAACAGGCTCATATCTAGGCTCTTCTTCAATATCTGAAAACATATTAACCACCGCCATTTTATCATCTTCTGGCAAGGTTATTTGCTTCGTCTGTTGTGGTTGATTATTATTTAATTGAACATTTGATTTTTCTTGTGAGGTACCTTGATCATCTTGATTTTGTTTATCTTCTTTTGCACCACCAGCAGCCGGCTCAGGATCGGACATTTTGTGTGTGTCCCACAATTTGTTGATTAACCCAAACACTCACACACACAACACAGAGAGCAACAAGAGAAAAAGAGATAGATAGATAGATAGATAGATAGATAGAGAAAGAGAGAGAGAGAAAAATAGATAGAAAGAAAAAGAGAGAAGAAAATATATAGAGAAAGAAAGAGGATAAAGGGAAGAAAGGAAAAAAAAGAAAGACAAGAAAGAGAGAATGTGAGTAACACTTATTTCTTGTGATGTTGGTGTTGATTTTGTTTTCTGTGTGTAAAATTTTTTTTTTGTTTTTTCCTTTGTATAATCCGTTTATTGTCACCACTATTTTACCCCCCAAATATTATATTATCACGAGGGTCCTGAGGTGTTACACTATCACTGGACACCAAATATGCCAATAAATATTGTCACAAATGATGAACAATTAATTAATGAAAAAAACAAAAATTAAGATGATGAGAAACAAGACCAACACACACAATCCGGAAAGGAACAGTAGAAATAAAGAAAGAGAAATAGAAAGAGAGAAAGAGAAAAAGAGAGAGACAAAGAAGGTAAGAGAACCGCCATCTTCTGGTAGGATAAGAGTTGTTCCAACTCCGCGCAGATTATGATTGGTTGATGAACCACTTGCGCATGCGCACACACATTTAGAGCTTTTCAATTTTCTCTCTTTCTCTTTCTTTTTTTCTCTCCACCAACAATCAACATGGATCAGTTTTCCCAATCTTCAAATTGGTTTGGACTTTTTTTTTCGGTTCTTCTTTTTTTCTCCTTCTTTTACTTTGTTGGTTTTTTAAACAATTCTTTTCGTATGAAAATGTTTCATTTCTTTCAATTTTTGTGATGTTAAACACTTTTTACACTAATCAAGTTAACAATTAACTATTAATTAACAATTAAGGTTATTTAATTGTGTGGAATTAATTAATTTAAGTTGACTGGTTTTCTTCGCATTAATGGTATACACACACACACCTCTTTTTGTCCTTAGAGTGATAATGTGTTAACAAAAAGCTTCCATTTCCTCTATTGGCGGTTACTTTTGAATCTTATCTTATTTTCAACGGTTTTTTTTCTTCTTCTTTCAATTTATCTTCTTCTTCTCCATTTTCTCTTCTTTAGTTTTTTTTTTCTCTTCCGATGGTATTTTATTCTTATTGGCTTTTTGCTGATAAAAATAATTTTTTTCAATTTTATTTGAAGAGGTGGGAAAAAAGCTTAATGGATGGTCAATCTTTGTTAATCTCTTTTCTGTTGGATTTAATCATCAATTTCTCTATCCCTCATTCGTTGTTCACTATCTTCTTGTTAGTTATCTTAATTCAATCTGTGAAATTTTTTTAATTTGGTTTGTTTTTTTCTCCAAAGAAATTAAGATCCTTTATGTCAATCATTCAACTCTATTTGTTATCAAATCTCGTAGATTTGTTAGATTAAGAGAATTGGCTTTTCTTTGCCTTCTCGATTTCTCATTTTAACAAATTGCATTACGATGTTATGACTTATGCATCGTCTAAAAAAACCCCCGATGAGAAAACACTGTCAATGATTTTTGAAGGTGAAAATGATGTCGAGATGAGAAAACCATTTAGTAGGCCAATTGAGGTGATGATAACTCAATTATCTTCGGATAGTTGAACAGTGATGACAACAAAACTAAATAAACATCACTTTTTAAACAACAACAATAAACAATTATCTCGATGCAGAGATTTTTTTCTAATTGTTGTCAATCTTCAACCATCAAATCGCCTCTTGAATAATTTTCTTTTTCTTTTTCCATACAGATACAAAATTGGACTATCTATCAATTCTACTGTCAATCAAATCAAATAAACGATTAACAATTTAATCACAAAGAAAAAGCACAAAAATCAACAAGAGGAACAACAACAAAAATCAACAGGAAATTAACAATTACTCAAACTGAAAGAAAATTGAATATGTAACACAAAGTGAATTTGAATATAAACACTTAAGTAACATATTCTTTCACAATTTAGATGTAGGTGGAATATCAGAATTAATCATCAACAATCAAATACATAATTTGGAGAGCGAGAGAGTAATAAACATATAGAATCGGATTAAAGGCCCAATAGAAACGAGGAAAATGTTTGGGTTCCTGTTTCTTTATCCAAGAAAATTATTAATATTCTTATGATTATGGATTGATTTCTTTTCTCTTTCAAAACAGATTATGGTTGGAGAAGTAGAGAAGAGGGAGAAGAGGGAGAAAAATAGATGATTATGATTATGATGATGATGATTAAGCCGAAAGTCAAAAGTGATTAAAGAGCAACAAATAGACGAGAGAGAGAGAACAAAATTGGAGAATAGAAAAAGTGAACAATCAATTTTGACACTTTTCTCTATTCTCTTTGATTGTGATCACATTTTGATGGAGAAAACAATTGATTATAACATGATGATTATCCACAGGAAGAAATTGAGAAATTTTCAACAATTAGTTAATTGTAAGAATATGAATCGTAACAGAAAACATATTTACTCATATTGAAGATGAACAGACACAATTAGATGTTGATGATTATCCAAATTGATTGTCGATTGTTAATCCAATGGATCTGCACATGAAAAATATGAAACAATTGTTAGTTAATCAGCAACAATTAAGAACAAGTTGATAAATAACATTAATCATGAAGAAAATGATGTTAATGTGTTGGCGTTGGAAAAAAGTAGTTAATATAAAATCAATTGTTTCTCTTAATGGAGATGAAATAATCAAGATGGCGACTCCATTTTCTTCATTACAATTAACTAATCATCGTGATCGTCATCAAATTACACGGATAATTACAAGTGAAAGATTAACTTGGTTGATGAAGAAAAAAAAAGTTAAATCAACAATTAACTGCGAACCTTTTGATACAATTGATTAACGAGCAATTTAAATTTACACCGATTGGGAAGAAAAATGTTCCAACAATTAGATTTGGTTGTCAGTTTTTTGTTTGCTATTAATTTATTATCACAATTTACTTAATTTAGTTATCATAAAAAAGGGCAACAATCAATTGTTACCCTTAAAAATTAAGGCTAATTCAAAATTATCTCAATCGGATTAACTTTTTTTTTTTCTTCCTCTCTGTTAATTCAAAGTTAATCCTCCAATTGGTTTCTGACTTTCATTTATTATTATTGATATTAAATTGTTATTAAATTAATACACGTTGAAATGATCACATTGATATGGAATTAAATTAAATCATCATCATAACAATGATCAGTTGGAAAGAGTGAAAATGATTAACTATTAGCTGACAAAACAATTAGCCATCAGATTGAAGTTTGATATGTTAACTGTAAATGGCTTAATCAGTTGATTGTTACTAATTAATTTTAAAAGTGAAACTGAATCAATTGTTGAGGACACAAATTAATTTGTTACACATTAATCAACAGTGATTACAATTTACTCATTGTAATTACTGTTCAATGTAAACAAATTTCAACTGATTGTTATTACTATTAAATAAACAGAATGACAATTATTTTCATGATTGATTAACAATCAGTTAAATTTAATCATCATCATTTTGATACATTGAATAAAAACAAAGTTTAAATATTTACTTTTAGCAAACAACAATCAAGACAACAATCAAAAGTAAATTGTAATTGTAATTGTAATTGTGGTTTAAAAAAGCTCATGATTAACTCAACTAATTTAGTTGGAATCAGTGTGATCGCAAATTCTTAATCCAGTTATCGACACACTTTAAATTTAATCACAAGTTAATCAAGTGAATCGATTGTTATGATTAGGCAATACTGATAATAATAAACACGTTATAAAGCACGTGCTGAACGCGCGTTAGTGGTTAAGGTGAAATCCATTCAATTTGGTCAAGTGCTCGTGTGCTTATGTGTTGAACAATTAACTAATTTATATGAATAACAATTTGATTAACAAGATTTACTAATTCTGATCATTATCATCATCTAATATCATGATAATATTATAGGTTTAGAACTGATAATCACTCCCAGAACTTATAATAATAATATAGGTTGAGAATCTATTCCCATTGGTATAGGTTGAGAATTTGAGCAATTTGTTGATTGTAATCAGAAAATTGGTGAATTTTTACTAACAATTAAGAAAAACAAAAGAAGAGAATTAAAAATAATAATAGAAACCAATTTAAGTCAAGAGATTTTTAATTTTTCTCTGAAAGAAAAAAAAACTTTTCCAATGATAAACTTGGAATGGAAATTGTTACAATTTGATAATTATGATTAATAATTTTCGAAAGATTTGGTTTTTCTTAGCATTCTGTTGGTAGAAAAATTAATTTATTAATTGTGAGAGTTTTTTTGTTGATTGTTGATTACTTTGAATTGGAAAAATAGTAAAAATTTGTGATCAGTTAGTCTTTGAGAGGAAAATTGTTTTTCTTTTGGTTCTAATTGTTGATCATTGATTATGATGAGAATCCCAAGTTGGTGATGAAGATGAAGATAAAGATGAAGATGATGATGAAGATGATGAGGTTTCGATGTTGATCTGATGATTTTGAAATGATCCATTGGATGGATGAAGAGGAATTCGCTGTTCGGCTGATCCACCTCTCAGAATTTCCGTCATAAAGGTGATGTACATCACCGCCAATCGCAAGGTCTCAATTCGTGATAAGCGTTTTTCGTACGCAAAGGTCGGTACTTTTTTCCTCAATTTATCGAAAGCAGTGTTCAAGTGGTACATTCGTCGCCGTTCCCGAATATTGGCCGCTCTTCGTTGAGCCATAGTTGCAACTCGACGACGAGGTTTGCTTGATGATTTACCATTGGTACTATTTGGATGATGATTGTTGGTGTTTGAACAAATCAATGGACAATCAGTTGGTAAATTGTTGTTATTTGATTTAGTTCTCATCATTGGTGAGGGTTTTGTTGATGAGGAGGATGAAGATGAGGATGAGGATGATAATGGTGATGAAGATGAATCTGGAATTTGAATACAGTTAATTGTTGTTGTTGGTGGTGATTCTGTTGATGAAATTGACTTTAAACATGGACAAAGTTTATCATTACAAGATAATTGGGTTACAATTAACTGATCACTGGTTTTACTTGGTGATTGTTTCAATTGGTTGTTGACAATTAAAGGTGACACTGGTGATGATGGTGGAGATGTTGATGATTTAATTGATGATGATGAGCAATGTTGTTGATTAAGATGATATTGTTGTTGATTGTGATGATAAGGTAAATATAAATTATTATCATTATGATTTAATCCAATTTGAAATTGATTAATTTGATATGGATTATGTGTTGATTGTTGATCATTTGCATTCCATTGGTGGCAATTAATTAAATTATGAAAATAATCACTTGCTTGGGGTCGATTTATATCATTTGGATGTTGATTAAGATGATTGGTATTACCTTGATTGTTACAATTAAATGTTGATTGATATGGTGATAAATTTGTTGTTACCTTTGGTATTAATGAGACTAATTGTTTACCTTGAGGGGATTTAATTGTTGTTGTTGTTGATGAAGATAAAGTTGGTGATGAAATTGGTTTGTTGATTGAAATTATTGTTGATTTAGTTAAATTACGGGTTCGATTACGTGAACAATTAGGATTTAAATTGTTTGCAACATGATTAGTTGAAGGAAAGTGTAACAATGATGAAGATGAAGATGATGTCGGTGATGAAGAAGATGATAAAATGAAATTCATATTATCTGATGTGTGAAAATGATCAACAATCAATGGTTCACTTTTAACCATTATGGTTAACAATTAAAATTGATCACATTTAGATAAATATTAATTTACTCTTGATTGAAGAGTCAAGAAAAAAGTTCAATAATATTTGATTGATTGTTGATCAAGTATCACCAATGAAAAAAAGTCCAAGTTAATATATTAACTCATATATTTATCGTTTTTAATTAACTTTCACTTAAATTGTTGATGTGTTGATTGTGTGTTGACTGATCCGTTAATAGTGAATCACAAAAAAATTGATGACAAATCAACGGCAATTGGTTATTGGAATTGTAATTCACAGAGTAAATTGTTGAATCAATTCAACTGTAAATTGATTTGAATTACACAGTTTAGTTAATTTAAGATAAATTTCTTATTACATTTTAGTTTAAGAAAATTTTTCTCTACAATTAATTTTATCATTCTCATAGTTGTTCCATAGTAGATGTAAGTTAATTGTTACACTAGAAATAGAAGAAAAATCAACTTAATTGTCTCAATTAAGTGCCAATATTAAGAGAGAGAAAATGTCAATTGTTATTAAACAGAAATCAATCTCAAGTGATGTTGACCGAAGTTTATTTCCGTTTCAAAAGATCACAAATCTTTACAGCTCACTTTTCATCCTCATCCTCATCCCTATCATCATATTTATCTTCATCATCATCTTTGCCCCTTTTCTGCAATAATATCACCTCCACTTTCTCTCTCTCTCTCTCTCTCTCTCTCTCTCTCTCTCTCTCTCTCTCTCTCTTTAGCATATGCTTTTCATTTCGAATCAAAAAAGTGTTTCCCTAAATTGTTATATTAATATGAAGGAAGAGGAAAGATGATGATGATGATGATGATGATGAGGATGAGGATGAAAGTGATCCACAGAAACTCCGCCCTTTATTCATACTTCGAGAAGAGATTATATCTTTTTCTATTCTTTTTTTCGTCTTTTCTTGTGGTTCTAAGGCTTATTGTGATTCTTCATCATCCTTATCATCATCTCGATCATCATTATCTCTCTAAGTTATTATAACTGTTCTTGATCATCATCATGTCTCTTTATCTCTCAGATTTAATCATCTTTTTGATTCTTTGACTTTTTTCTCGTTTTTTTTTGTTATATGATTTTCGGTGAATTTCATCTTCTTCCGTTTCCTCTCCTCCTTCAACATTATCTTCATCTTCCTCCTCCAACCAATGATAAACTACAATTGATTGTTTCTTAATAGTTTCTTCATTCTCACTGGTTAATTCTGATTCACCTCCAACTGAATTTACAGGTTGAACATGCGCTTAATTCAATGATTAACTTTAATTCACTTCAATTGTAACTTAGATTTGAATTTATCCTCATGATGAACAATTGAATTCATTTTCTCATTGACTCAATTGTTTTCTTACTAGATGATTGTTGATCAAGAGATCGATTTGTTCAATCAACTAAATTCATGATGAATTATAATTCTTGATCAGATGATCAAAAGATACAATGTAATGTTTTAATTTTCATTTTTAAGTTGTAATAAATTATATTTTTTTTCTTAAATTTGATCATTTTTCAATAAATTATATTACAATTATGTTCGGTCCGATGATTGGATGAATTGGATTGAGTTAATTACAATTGCGTAAGTAAATTGTTCAACGACGATTAATTTTTCCTCGATCACGGTCACGATCATTGTGACGATCTTTAAGTCGATCCCTTTCTCGATCTCTCCTGAGATCTTTGTCATAGTCACGATCTTTTCGATAACTTCTATCTCGATCTCTATGATGATCTCGACTTCGACTTTGATCTCGTCGTTTAGAACTTTCATCTTTTTCGTATTTTCTATCTCTATAATATGTATCTCGATCTCTCTTTCGATTATCATCCTTTCGACTTTCTCCCTCTCGATCTCTATCACGATTTCTTTCATATCTTCTATGCTCATCTTTGGAATATTCTTTACGTCTTGGAATCTCCCTAACATCAGAATAATCAGTGTGACCTCTTCGATGGTCTCTATTATTTCCCTCATGGCGACGATCTCTCGATCTTGTTACTGGACTTCTCTCTTTGGTTACCGATTTGGCACCTTGGTTTCTCTTTGAAGCTGATTTTCGATGCCATTTGTACTTAGCAACAGATTGACTGAAATCAACGTGAATTCGGCGATCATCAATTAAAACATTATCCATTTTGAAATAAGCCTTTTCACAGGCTTCGACCTCTTCGAATTCAATGAAAGCGTATTGTAAGGAATCTCCCGTTTTTTGATCTCTGATTATTTCACATTCTGTTATTTTACCAAATCGTGAGAAAATCACGTCTAAATCTTCCTCTTTAGTAACTGGATTAAGTTTACAGACGAACAGGACATTAGGATAGATGTAGTTGTTTCAAGTGATATCAAAAACCCTTGTTTTCTGACTGAAGGACAATTAAAATCAATTGTGATTTTATTAATAATTTTATTTAGTAAATTTAGTAAAATGAAATTAATTATTTTTTCGTTTTTTCGTTTCGAGAGTGTAATATCTGGTGTAGTACCCGGAGTCCCACCGGGAGTTTATCCAGGAGGATCAGTTGGAGGAGCTTATCCTTACCAAGGATATGGAATTTAATTTATACTTTAGCTAACATATAGCAAATTCAATTATATCACCACCACCCAACCACCCAACCACCTACAACACTCAAGCAACCAACCAATAAACCACCTTCTTAATTACTTCCCCTTTATTTTTTCCGAGTTTTGTTCATTCAGCTAATCAACTTGTACTCTTAACGAATACTTGTCGATTTAGTGTAATAATGATCATTAAACTAAGCTCACTTTTGTTTATTAGTTGATTGCTGAGGCTAAGGAAACAATCTGGTTGAACTAATTAATTACAATCGCTAATTGTTTTGATATTCTCATGATTAGTTTGAAACAAAAATCATTCTCTTATCGTGATTGTATTTGTTTATTTGATTGTTAACTTGATGATTAGAAGATGTTTCTGATTAACTACAATTATCAGTTTATTGATTCCACAATAATTGATTTACAAGAATTTTTTGTCCTCGAGGATTTTGGCCTTTCGATCCCGATGCAGCTTGTTAACATTTAGAATGACGACTTTTTTCAACTTCGATCAAATTTCCACTTGCTGGTAGTGGTCCGATTGTAAATTCGTCATCTTCATCATTACTACTATCATCACAAGAGATCAATCGTTGTTGTTTAACTTACTATTTATAATTTGATTGAATTGTAATTGAGGTAAAAAAATCCATCAAAAGTGTTTAATAAGTTAATAACATTTGATTGTTATCCTAATCATTTTTTTGATACTTTAAACTGTATCCAATTCACTTGACTTTATGAAAATTTAGAAAAATCAAAGAGAGTGAATATCATTTTTTCAACCGGAAGGCTCTTTATTTTTATGGCCTTTTTGAAAAAACTCGTTATAAGCAGAAAAAACTGAATGACAGGACCAATAAACATCGAATTTGTCTTCGAGTAAGTTGAACATAACCGCCAAACACGACCAATCAATGCAAGTTGAAGATTTCCGAAGGTGAAGGCCTTTGAATAAAGACTTTTGAGCTCGATTCAATGTAAAAACAGATGATTCTTGTTTGATGAAAGGACCTAATTGCAGATTATCAATGCCAGTTACTAAATGGTTGATTGGATTGGATTTCTCATCTACAGAAAAATAGAAAAACATAAGATATGACAACAAGGGATACACGAGTAAGAAGTAGTAGGCGTAAAGGTAGAGAGAGAGATAGAGAGAGAGAGAGAGAGAGAGAGAGAGAGAGAGAGAGAGAGAGAGACAAGAGTAAGAAGAGGTAAAAAGAGAGCAAAACAAATAGTCAAATCAATTAATATCGAATATTATTTCAATTAACATTTCCATAATTACCATTTCCATAATTAACAGGGCCATAATTAACAGGATAATAATAGTCCCATACAAAACCCAAGGATACCATTTCTTCAATTGCCCGCCTGGTAAGTAATGGACGGTTATGTCCATTCGTGTTCACATAGTTTCGATACACCGTAAAGGTTAGATAATGGTTGAAAACCCTATCGCCATCATCCAAAATAGTCAGCGAATAGGAAAGTACCTCAATATTAATTGGATTGGCAATACGTCCTTGGTTATTTCGCATAGGCCGTTTAAAAATGTCCCGTAAAGTATTATATTGAAGCGTATTTATAGCTAACGACACCTATCATGAAGAAAAGAATAAAGAAATTACGAATTACATTTCTAGAAGACGAATTTGATTCCATGAAAACATCAACAATTTTCTCAAGAAGTTCAATCAATTCATTGGACAGATAGGCCGTCATGAAGGCTTTAACAGTAACTGAAATGTAACTGAATTCATGGAATTAATTATAAAAAATTACCTGATTTTGTTGGAACATAATGGATTGGCCACTTTTTTCTCGTAATTCAATGACAATTTTACGATTCCTTTCGAATTTCAACTGGATAAACAAGAGAATGAGATTTAAAGAAAGGAGAAAATCAAAGAAATTTAAATTGGGTGAACTAAATCGCTAATAATACTTGATGATGAAAATAAATTCTGTTGTGTTTGGGTGATGAGGACAAACTGATGATTGTCTTTTATTTAATTATCACAAGTTATTCAATTTATCTAACATGAAAACTAATCATTCTAATCAAATAATCATCACCATCAAGCCATCCTCATCTCAAATCATAATTGTGATCTATCCATTAAACGAGAGAGAACCACAATTAACAATCACAATTAGATGATTACATTTGGTAAAAAATAACAAAAAGACAACATGAGAAAAGAACAACTTTTCTGCCATCTGGCGGATGAGGATGGCTCTCTTCTTATTCTTTCTTCTTTCTTCTTAATTTCAACACTTTGAACTAATGGACACCATCGATAAGTGTGTTGAATAACCACTGGCTCCACCTCCAACCATTAACGCTCATCTTACCAAAATTTTTGATAACATGGGTTTAAGAGGAAATTCAGCCATTCGACGGCCGAGTCGAGTGAGAAGACCTCATCCGTGATGTTATCACAGATTTCGGCTTTGACCATTTAAACGTCAATGTCATCGTCAGTGTAGAGAGACCCCTTCAATGTTTCAAGTGAGTGTCATAGTTACAGGGTAATTACTTCCTCACGTTTCATGCAGTTCTCATTGAGGTCTAATATCATCTGATGTTTGCACTTTGGGCCTAACCTGTCTCATCTTTTCACTCGGCCGTGTCAATGCTCAGTAGAATGTTGGTCGTTCTTTTACCTTTTACCTGAATCAGTTTGTTCTCTAATTAACGCGAAATGAGGCTATTCATCAAAGAGTAATGAAGTAAGAGAGAGCCCAAGATACGAAAAACTTGGAGTTGTTCTTGTATGACGAAAGAGGGCGCTTGTCGATTTCTCTTTCTTTTATCTCTTTCTTTTTGAGATAAAAGTTAACAAAAATTTTTCTAAAAAGAAAGAGAAAAGAAAGAGAAAAAGAGAGAGGAAATTCATAAAAGAAAGCGAAAAGAAAGACTACTTTCTTCTCAAAAAGAAAGAGGAAAAAGAAAGAGAAATGGAAAAGCGCCTTCTTTCGCCATACAAGAAAACTATGCTTTTGGATTTTTGGTTTACTGCAGCCTCTTATTACTACTCTTTGCTATTCATTGTTTTAGGTATATGGCAGGATACTAATTCTGCCACTTGACTTTTCTACTATCGTTGTCTGCTTATCGTTCCTCAATTGTTTTCTTACTTGATGATTGTTGATCAAGAGATCGATTTGTTCAATCAACTAAATTCATGATCAATTATAATTCTTGGAGTGATCAACTTGATCAGATGATCAAAAGATACAATGTAATGTTTTAATTGTCATTTAAAGTTGTAATAAATTATATTTTTTTTGCTTAAATTTGATCATTTTTCAATAAATTATATTACAATTATGTTCGGTCCGATGATTGGATGATTATCTTTAAATTGGATTGAGTTAATTACAATTGAGTAAGTAAATTGTTCAACGAAGATTAACTTTTCCTCGATCACGATCACGATCATTGTGACGATCTTTAAGTCGATCCTTTTCTCGATCTCTTCTGAGATCTTTGTCATAGTCACTATCTTTTCGATAACTTCTATCTCGATCTCTATGATGATCTCGACTTCGACTTCGATCTCGTCGTTTAGAACTATCATCTTTCTCGTATTTTCTATCTTTATAATATGTATCTCGATCTTTCTTTCGATTATCATCCCTTCGACTTTCTCCCTCTCGATCTCGATCTCTATCACGATTTCTTTCATATCGTCTATGCTCATCTTTGGAATATTCTTTACGTCTTGGAATCTCCCTAACATCAAAATAATCTTTGTGACCTCTTCGATGGTCACTATTATTTCCCTCATGGGGACGATCTCTCGATCTTGTTACTGGACTTCTCTCTTTGGTTACCGATTTGGCACCTTGGTTTCTCTTTAGAGCTGATTTTCGATGCCATTTGTACTTAGCAACAGATTGACTGAAATCAACGTGAATTCGGCGATCATCAATTAAAACATTATCCATTTTGAAATAAGCCTTTTCACAGGCTTCGACCTCTTCGAATTCAATGAAAGCGTATTGTAAGGAATCTCCCGTTTTTTGATCTCTGATTATTTCACATTCCGTTATTTTACCAAATCGTGAGAAAATCACTTCTAAATCTTCCTCTTTAGTAACTGGATTAAGTTTACAGACGAACAGGACATTATCGGGTGGTTTAACATCTTCCGAGGGTAAATCTCCAATCATTTCCAAAATGGTCGCCGCTGCTTTACTTTCTTGTACCTTGGGATCCATTTCGGGCTTTTCGTCAATATTGTGAGCGATACATATTTTTGCGATAATTTCATCTGATGGTTCTGGTGAAGAATCAGGATATTGTTTTATCAAATCAGGAGGATCATCAAAAGGATCAGCTAAAATTATGGAATGGGTTATGATTATGTCAGAGAAAAATAGCTCGTTCATCTTGGTAAGTGTTTCCAAACCTTCAACCACATAACCGAAAACAGTATGATTACCATCAAGATAATCTAAATTTTCTCGTAGAGTGAAAAAGAATTGGGATCCATGTAAATCATCACCATTATTAACCATGGAAACTGTTCCTAATCGGGTATGATTAACTTTTGGAACCATTTCCTTACGGAAAAATTTAACTGATCCACCATCAAGGAAAGCGAAAATTGATTGTCCACCCTTGCCAGTTCCAGAAGGATCACCAGTTTGAGCGATAAAATCTTTCTCTATTCTATGGAAAATACAGAAATTGTAATATTTCATTTTACACAATTTAAGAAAATTATAACAACATTTGGGTCTCTCTTCAATCAACAAATCGATGGTTAAATCACCAACACTTGTTTCAATGACAACCGACATTGTCAATGGAATAACAGCCAAAACAATACGAAAAACACAAACAATTTAATTCAATCACAATCAGTTAATAAAATATCAACATTGAATTCAACATTTTGGAAAAAAACATTTTGTCAACAAAAGAAAACCGATCGACATTTCCATCGACAGGTGTCGCTACCAACTGACGATCAGAATTTTTTTCTAACAGATGATCAACTAATCACGTTTTCTTAATTTCCATTTCCTTTTTTAAATTATCATTTAAATTTGAGTATTTAAATTGAATTAAATTGTTGAATTTGATCATTTCCGTCAACAGTTAACTTGAATAAGTGTCCATGTCTTTGTTTATTCTTTCTCGTTTGGAGGTTAAGGTGAATTTCTTATTCCATCTCTATTTCTATAAAAGTTGTTTCTTTCTATTGGAAACTGTTAATTGATTATCCTCTCGATTGATCTTCTTCAGGTAAATATTTTATTCTGTTTAACTGAGTTCACATCTCTGTTATACTTAGTTAGACGGTGATAATACTGTTGTCATCGTTTATATCCAATCAGAGAAAAGTAAAATAAAATCTCTGGACGATGAACTCATCCTTTTTATGTGAGTTTGAAGAAGGGTTTTGACACCGAATTGACTAATTGTGACCTCTGTGAATCCTTGATAATGAATAAACTGATATCATTTGTCAAAGACACCCCAGAATGTATACATAGAGAATAGTAAATTCAACATGTCCGTAACGACTCTCATAAAAATGAATACGTTTTGTTGAGTCTCGTATTTAATTGTTTATACACTCAGATTTATTAACTTATTTTCTTTTTCTCTCTTTTTTTCTAGAATGTGACCTGACTATAAAACGATTAATGATGTTCGATGAATTAATTGTACTGTTGATCCTCAGGTAATTGGAATTGTTTTTCTTTGCTCCTTTAGCTTTTCTCCCTCTACCTGGGCAGGAATATGAGTAATTAATTTCACTATTCTAATATCAGTGAGAGGAAGATAAATAACAAAAATAATCTCTGAATCTTGATCTTTTTTAGAGTTTCAGTTTCATGAATTTGTAACATTTTTTTCTATTTATCTCCAGACCTAAACCGATGGAAATGGTAATAATTAACTTAGACCAGGATGATAAATGGAAATTGAATCGAACTGAATAAATTTCCTAATCCTGATCACTCTACCTTTGAGTTTGTCATGATTCAAATCTTCGTTTTTCTTCATGATAATGAATCTTGAGGTAAATTGTTTTTTTTTTACTTAAAATCCGTCAACCTCTGTCTCTGTCATGGTTGGATTATAATATTAATACTATTATCGTGGATTTGACCGCAGAGGATATTGAACGAAAACTCTGGTCTGTATGGTGCTTCTCATCTTAGTTTTAGGGGTTTCATTGATGATTTTTGACATTCAATTTAATTTGTGAGACCTCTGTTTTAAATGACGATGCTACGGTTAATATCATTGTTCATAATGTTTGCAGAGAATAGTAAATTATATATTCCAAATATCGATTCTCGTACAAATTAAAATGTTTTATTGAGTCTCGTTCTTGATTATTTGAACACTTAGCTTATTGACCATATTTTTTTGTGTTTTCTTTCTGTTGATCTAGAGATTGTGATCATACTATCAAACGATTAATGATGTTCGATTTATTAACTGTACTGTTGATCTTCAGGTAATTGGAATTGTTTTTCTTTGCTTCCTTTAGCTTTTCCCTCTACCTGGGCAGGAATATGAGTAATTAATTTCACTATTCTAATATCAGTGAGAGGAAGATTAATAACAAAAATAATCTCTGAATCTTGATCTTTCTTAGAGTTTCGGTTTCATGAATTTGTAACATTTTTTTTCTCAGACTTTATCCAATTGGAGTTTCGATATCAAGATATCAATCTATCTTCAGATACATAAATTATTCTGTTTAACTGAGTTAACTTCTGTTTCGTTAGATGGTGATAATATTGTCATTGTTTACTGTTCAATCAGAATAGTAAAATAAAATCTCTGGACGATCAACTCATCCTTATGTGAGTCTCACCAATTGTGACCTCTGAATCTTTGAATGAACTAATATCATTTGTCAAGGACCAACATATTCAGATAGAATAGAAAATTTTGCTCGATACTCTTACAAATGAAAACATTTTATTGAATCTCGATTCTAATTGTCTGAACATTTGAAGTATTTAACGTCTTTTTGCCTTTTCTTGTATCGTTCTAGATTGTGCTCTGACTATCAACGATAAATGATGCTCGATGAATTAACTGTACTGTTAATCTTCAGGTAATTTAAATTGTTTTTCTTTGCTTTCTTTGCTTCGCCTCTGATTAACGACCGAATATGATTTATTAATTTCATTATTCTGATTTTAGTACGAGGAATAATAAATTTAGCATGTCCATTGATCGATACTCGTACAAATTAACATTTTATTGAATCTCGATTTAGATATTGACTTAGTATCTTTACTTGCTACATCTCCTTTGCATTTCATTTTTTCTCAGGCCTCGTCCGATTAAATCACAAAATTAACTAAGATAGTTGAAAGTTTGCATTGAACTGGAAAACTTTGGATTTATAATTATCACTCGAAACTCTTTGTTTACATGAATATTTTTCACATTAAAGTGTAAGAAGCTGAATATATTTTAGCAAATTTTTATTAGAAAATAAGAAATTACAATTAATATTTTTCTCATTCACATCTTTCACTTATTAATCATTTGGATGTGTTGGTGAATTTCTTATTCCATCTCTAATTCTACAAACGTTAATTGATTATGCTTTCAATTAATCTCCAGGTAAATTGTTCTGTTTAACTGAGTCAACCTCTCTGTTGAAATGAAATGTTGAAAAACTCTGTAGATGGTGATAATATTGTTGTCATTGTTTATTTTTCGATCAGAGAATAGTAAATTTAACACTTTGCCCATTGATACTCGTACAAATGATCATTTTGTTGAGTCTCGATCGGAACGTGTTGAACATTAAGATTAATGTGTTTTCTTTTCTTTTTCTTCTAGAAAGGACCAAACTGTAAACGATAGACGACATTCGATGGACTAACTTTATTGTTGGTCTCTAAGTAATTTAAATTGTTTTTCTTTGCTCCTTTAGCTTCTCCCTCTGTTAAATAGCATAGAAGGTGTTAATATTATTGTCACCGTCTTTGACCCCATCAGAGAATAGTAAATTAAAATTTCCCACGGGGAACTCATCCTTATGTGAGTTTCAAAATGGATTTTGACATTTAATTGATATATTTCGCCTCTGTGATGCCTTGATGGAACTAATATCATTCGTCAAGTGTACAGTAGATAATAGTAAATTTAGCACTGACTATCGATACTCGTATAGACTAACATTTTGTCGAGTCTCGACTCTATCGTGTTTGAACACTGAGATTAATTTCTTTTCTTTTTCTCTCTCTCTCTTTGTTTTCTAGATTGTGCTCTGACTATCAAACGATTAATGATGTTGGATGAATTAACTGTACTGTTGATCCTCAGGTAATTGGATTTATTTTTCTTTGCTTCCTTTAGCTTTTCCCTCTACCTGGGCAGGAATATGAGTAATTAATTTCACTATTCTAATATCAGTGAGAGGAAGATTAATAACAAAAATAATCTCTGAATCTTGATCTTTTTTAGAGTTTCAGTTTCATGAATTTGTTACAATTTTCTCTTTTTTTTCTCAGATCTAACTCGATTGAAACTTCGAAATCAAGATACAAAGACATGTAACTTTTTTCATTTTCTTTTTGTTTCTTTCTAGAATTAGTACTGGCGATAAAACAATGAATGATATTCCATGGTAAATTTTTTTTTCAATTGTTTCCTTTGTTTGTAAGGTGATACCTCTTCTTAGGCAGGAATATGAAAGATTAATTTAATGTTCTTGACAGATGCAGAGGAAGATAATCAATCAAAATAATTGAATCGATTCTCGTACATTTTTAAACTTGGGGATTTTATTGAGTCTCGATTTTCATAAAGTGTTTCATATCCGCTTTTTTGTAACATACTTTTTGTTTTTCTCAGGTCTAATCCAATTTAATCGCAAAAATAACTATCATAATCAAGACGATTGGAAAACTTTGGATTCATAATTATCACCCTACTCCACACTTTTTGTTTACATGGATATTGTTTTCATCAAATAGGAAAAACTCAATTATTTGAGTAGATTTGTATTTCATTTAAAAGTCATTTAGTCATTTTCTTATTCACAAATCAACAAGTTGTAAAAATTAAATTAAATCGTAAAATGATGAAGGTTGTAAAGGTAAACTTCCTGTTCGATCACAATCACAGATACACAACTTTAGATTTTCTGGTAAATCAGGCAAGATTTTGATGTTTGTTGATTGTGCGAATATTGAAAACTCTTGATGTGGATTACGTGTGGCGTGAGTTACGATGTAATTAGCAGAGGTAATTGATTGACAATAACTAAGATCAACAACCGTCAAATCAGGACAGTTTGATAACAGTGATTGCAAATGAGAATCAGTTAAATTAGAATATGGTAATCCTAAACTTTGCAGGTGATTTAGTGAACAAATTGAATCGGAAATGGTAGGACGTGAATGTAACCACCGGAGTTTGTGCATATTGGGATAGATGTGGAGATGAGTTAATTGTAGGTTGTTTTCCTTGATTAAATCGAAAAACTTGTGAGAATATAATTTGAACCTGCCTGAGATTTTAAATTGTTTCAATTTTCGGCAATTTTGAAACACCGACGAAAACAGTTCTTCCAATGTATCATTTTCACATTCGATTCTTTCAATGTCCAAAGATTCGAGATTGGACAAAGCAGAAATTCTTTGGAATTGACTGAAATAACAGTAACAAGCTTTAAAAGTCAATTTTCGAAGATTCGAAAGTTGCAAAATTTTATCGAATTGATTCTCTTGCAATGGAAACAAAACTTCAATCTCTTGGATAAAACGACCACTTGAGTTAATTAAATGATTTAGAATATCATTTTTAATGACCAAATTTCCCAAGATCAAGTGTCGAATTTTGGGTCCAAGTTGTTTGAAACATTCTCCGGTAATTCCATGATTGGCTTCACCTTCCTGAGAAAATTTAATAATCAAAGTTTCCAAATTGGGACAACTCGCAAGTAGCAGAGACAAACTTCTCTCATCAACATTAGATGGACAAATCAACATTCTCAACTCAGGTAAAGAATTAATTTCATCCAATCTATTCAGATTGCCAACAATTGAATCAAATTCTAAGCTTTTAATTAGTTGACACTTGTTGATCAAACACAAAAACTCACGAGTTAAACTGTTGATATGAAAATATGAATGAGATTTGATTGTTTCAAGATTCAATTGTTGATCGATTCTGATGATACACTCCTGATTAAAGGTACTATTCTTAATAAAATCAACTCGACAATCACTGGTGGTCACCATAATGATTAGAAGGTAATTAAATTTAATAACAAAACCGAAGAGACCAAAACAAAAGTACAAAATTTGAATTCAACTTCTTTTATCAACCAATCAGAGTGAAGAAAAAGTTTATGAGCGTTTTTTGAAAAGACTAAGAATTTACTTCTAATTGTTAACAATAAATTATCAGCGATTATAAAAATACAATTAATCAGTTTCAACTCTTCAACAATTAAATTCTCTCTCTAATTGATATAATCAACGTAATCGAGTCACGATATTTTAAAGGCCCACAACACACCATACAATTATATGGACGAAATCGCTGAACAATATGGAGCTAAGCCTAACCTGTGGAAATATTTTTTCCCCGATCCCGTGTTTTGGTACAAACTTTACTTTGGAAGATTTTCCTGAAGTAAAATTAAGGAAACGATTAACAAATTCGAAGAGAAAAAGAAAAGAAAAACTCATTAATTTTATCGATCAGTTTCGTAATTAGTTCGAAGACTTTTCGAGAAACCGAATTCTCACTATTCACTAATTCTCTACTTGAACTTGGTGTTGATTTGAATCTGCTTAATAAGGTTTGCTAATTGTTCTTGATTCTAGTTATTATTCATTTAATGATTTGGATTTTGGTTGAAACTTTTTAGATTATCAATTAATCATTGAAAGGATTTCTGCTCTCAATTATTCGTCATCATATAATCGTTGGCTTGATGTTAATCCATGGAGGTGCTGATATCGAAATCGCTGATTCGATTGGAGAGAAACCGATTCATATTGTTGCTCGAGAAGGTCTTTTGTCTGTTTGTCAATTACTCTGTTCTCTTAATTGTTCAGTTAATGTTTGCAACAAATCGGGTCTTTATCCGATTCACTTAGCGGCTAAAAATGGTCATATTGAAATCGTTCGTACCCTTTGTTTAACTTCCTGCATCATTGATCAGAAAAATCGTGATGGAATCACCGCTGAAATTTCAGCTTTAGCCCAAGGATTTAAAGATATTGCTGAACTATTGGTTTCCATTAAAAATGAGACTCTTCGAGCCGAATATATCAACTCATTGATTCCCTCTGGTGAACCTTTAACACGAGTTAAACTAAAACTTTTGGGTCACTCAGGGGTTGGTAAAACAACACTTGTTGAATCCCTCAAGTGCGGCTATTTTTCATCCTGGTTTCGCAGGTCATCTCGTGGTGTCACCGCTGCCACCGCTTCAGCAGTAGTCGCTTCCTTGCCAAGTATTGGTAAACGATCAGTTTTGGCTAAAAATTCAATATCCTCATCAAAATCTAGTCTTGATGCTTCACCTTTTAACACCAACCACGGCGACATCATCATCTTCAGCCCTCTTCCGCCGGTGGATCGTCTAGTAGCAATTGTGGCAGTGGTTCGTCTGCCACCAGTGATTGGTAGTTCAATATCTTCGATAGCAACTTCCTCGACAAACTATGGAAATGGTAAACACTCAAACCATAGTGGTTCCAAGTGTCATTGGTAGTACACTTTCCAATGGGATGATCGGTGGAGGACATTTTCATGGTTCTTTTGAATTTTAGTAGCCTTCATCATGAAAATTCAACCCGAGGAATCGATGTGACTAACATTTCACCCTCCGGCGTTGGTGATCTGAGTGTTTGGGATTTCTCTGGATGTGAGTTACCTTCAAGTTTACGATCACTTTTTAAATGAACCAAATTGTATTCATGCCATATTATTTCGTGCCTGTGATCGACTGGACATTCAAATGAATCAGGTTCTCTATTGGCTCAACTTTCTTCAAAGTCGATTACCAGTTGTTGAACCTTTAGCTTTCGGAGGTAAAGCCAATTTCAGCCAAAGTAATTTTAATCGCAACCCATGTCGATCTATTATCAAATAGGCCAAATTTTCACGCTTATCCAATTAACAACAATACGAACACCAATACAACCTCATCTAATTCAATGTCCTCCGTTTCACCCTCTTCTGTTGATTTTGTCAACAGAGAAGTGGCCACTGTTTACCAAGTTGTAATGGAAAAATTTTCCACCGTTTTCGATATTCACAATCAAGTTCTTATCATGGATTCTCATGCTGTCGGTTCTCAGGCCATGAAGCAGTTTAAAACTATTTGTCAACCATTCGGTTAAACTATTGGAAACATTGTCACCTTCAAGTGGACTTTGGAATCGGTCATGAGCGCATTGAATCATTGGAGAAAAGCTTTATCAAACTTTCCAATTCTAACCTATGGTCAATTAATTACCATGATTCGTGAACAAATTAACCCGCTAACCGGTGAAGAGCATGTTAATCAAATTTTCCGTCAATTAGTTTCAATGGGTGAAATATTTTACCTAAAATCTAAAAATGATCAAGATTTAATTGTACTCTGTCCTAAATGGTTAACCTCAACGGTTGTCGGTAACCTCTTAAGTGAAGATCAAATAATGAAAAGTCCAATTTCAGGTCGATACTCTGTTGATGAGATGCAAGACCTTTTCCCGTCCGTTGATGCACTTGATTTACTTCAAGTTTTGGAATCACTTTCCCTTTGTACTCAATGTGATTCCGGTGGTGATATTGAATATGAATTCCCATATTTTATTAAACAAGAGAGACCTGAAAGTCCATTACTCATTGCAGACTCATTGGATGACCATCATTCTCACCATGATCATCACCATCATCAAACCAGCAATAATCATCATAACAATTCACCTGAATCATCAACCGATGGATCAACGAGCTCAAATCATCATAATAACAATAACAATCATAGTAATACAATTATGGCCGAATTCGGTTGCAATGTGATCCAGATACTCCGTCTGGTACATTATTGACCTGCCTTTTCCTCGACTTCAAACAATTTTACGTTCATTGGTCCAGGAAAACAACGATATTGACAATTCCCTAAAATTGGAACAATTTTGCAACACAGTTAAACTTTCTTTCGGCCCATTAATGGCAACCCTAATACCAACAATACTTTCCTGTTCCCTTCAATATGAGGCCATTGAATTACGAGTAATTGGCCCTCGATGTAAACCATTAGACGCTTTTCACTTTTTCTATGATCTTTTATCCCTAATTGAATCTTCCATTGGTTCCATGGCTCCAGCGCTTCTACTCCACCGACACTATTTAAGTCCAACGGAACTGGCCAAACATAAACTTCACCCATTAACCTATTCACCATCTCAATTGATTGATGTTGCCCTTAAATCATCTCACCCTCTGGAAATTAATATTTATACAAATTTTCCCATTAAATTAACTAATTGAATCTTTTTCGCAATTTAAATCTCTTAAATCTTAAAAATGAAAATTGTGTTCGATCCTCTTAGAATTATTCTTTGTCGCATAAACTAAGGGTGCGGCACTTCCAGAGTTAATTTCTAAGTTTCAATTGATAGAGAAAGTCATCTTCATGGCTTGAGGTGATTTCGAATCAAAACAATGATTAAGGAATTAGAAGAAAAGGAGATTATGATTAATCTTCTGTTTCTGTGCATTGCTTGAGGTGTTTTTGCATACTGAGTAATTCAGATTCTTTTTTGAATCTATGGGTAAATAAGTTTAAAAAGTTTTTTTTACAATTTATCTTGATATTCAAGGTGTTACTTGAATTAAACGATAAACTTTTCGTTTAGAAATAAGAATAAGTTTATCAACTTTTTTTCCATTCAAAACTTTTTCTCAGTTTAGTTTTCAGTATCAGTTCAACAGGTTGTTAATTGTATTTCTTTTCGAAACTTTTTTCTTCGATTCGATTCTATATTATCAAATTTCTAAACGAATACAAACATGTTAAAACTTTTGCAATTTGTTTTAATTATCATGTTGATTGTTGTAATTGAATGTTTGCCACTGGATCGATTTGTATATTTATCGCTCAAATCAAATCGAAACACAACTGATAATCTAAAGGTAATGATTAAATTAATTGTTTCTAAATTTGATGATGGATGTAGTTGTTTCAAGTGATATCAAAAACCCTTGTTTTCTGACTGAAGGACAATTAAAATCAATTTTGATTTTATTAATAATTTTATTTAGTAAATTTAGTAAAATGAAATTATTTTTTTCGTTTTTTTTTCTTTACAGTTTTCCCGAAGTAATTTGAACACCATGGGACAAGATTCTGAGAGAGATTCTTTCATGAAGCGGTTGGCCGCATTTAATGAACTCCGTGGTGTTTCCATGACCTCATCGCCAACGAATAGTGAACGACCACTTGATTTATTTTTTCTGTACACCGTTGTTAAATATGGAGGTGGTTTCCAAGAAGTTTCTAAGAAAAAAGGATGGAAAGCAGCGGCCGTTGTGTTAAATTCGAGTGCTGAAAGTGTACAAAAACAATATATTGAACATCTTTTGCCATTTGAGTATACATTTGATCGAGGCGGCATTGATTTTACGACGTTAATTCCACAAGTGGAAAGCAAATCAAATAAATCTAAAGATGCCATGTTACAAGGTCATAGTGATAACAATTCGCAAAGTGGTTTCCCGCTGACTCCCACCTCCATGGAACCACCTTCATCACCTTATCCTTCTGGGCCATCGCACATAGGTAACAACTATCCATCCGGTCATCCACAATCTCATCCGGGAATGTATCCAAATATGACCGCTGGGAATCCAGAATCATATCCAGAATCAGATGGTCCAGATGATGAAGATGATTCTGGACTCAAGGATTGGGCACAAAATTTAGGATTAAAAACCGCTAAACGAATGACGGAAGGTACGGCGAACCGACTTGTGACTATGGTTGATCTTTTACAAACTTTAGGTACTTCGAAGGTTGTTAAATATTATTTTCCTGGTTCAGCTGATTCTAATTTGCAAGGTAGTTATCCCCAGTCCACCACATCGGTTCAATATGAGGGTCATACAGGTCATAATCAACCACCTGGACAAGGTTACCTTGAGCATCAAAATTATCCACTTCAAGGAGCCATGAATGATTATGGTCCCAATCATCATCTTGGACAACCACCTCAACAGCCACCGAGCAGTTATGGGAATTTGGGTGGTCATTTACTTCCTGGAATTCAACAGCAAATGTATCAACCACCTCACCAACAATCTCAGCATCTGAATTGGCGAATGATGCAAAGTGGTTATAACAATTATCCTCATCCAGGAAATCCAGCAATAGGGTCTCATTATCCTCCGCCACCACACCCAGGATCTGGTCCTGCTCCTGGTTATCCTGGTGCTCAACATTATCAGTATCCTCCTTATCCTTATCATCAACCACCTCATGGTCAATATCCTCAACAGCATCCATCACATTATCAACAACATTTATCGTTACCTCTTCAACAAGGTTACAACTATTTACCACCAAGTTCACAACCACCATCAAAACCAAAACAGCAACGGAAACGAAATAAAAAAAGAAAAGTTAGTAAAAAAACAAAAAATGGCGGTAATTAGTGTTGAGGCTGATCGATGATATACGTCCATCAACAAAGACATCATAAAGATTCATAAAGTGTTCATCACTCCGCTTTTTGTAACATACATACATTTTTCTCAGGTCTAATCCAATTTAATCGCAAAAATAACTATCATAATCAAGACGATTGGAAAACTTTGGATTCATAATTATCACCTTACTCGACACTCTTTGTTTACATGGATAATATTTATATGGGTCCAAGTCCTAGATGGACAAATCAACATTCTCAACTCAGGTAAAGAATTAATTTCATCCAATCTATTCAGATTGTCGACAATTGAATCAAATTCTAAGCTTTTAATTAGTTGACACTTGTTGATCAAACACAAAATCTCACGAGTTAAACTGTTGATATGAAAATATGAATGAGATTTGATTGTTTCAAGATTCAATTGTTGATCGATTCTGATGATACACTCCTGATTAAAGGTACTATTCTTAATAAAATCAACTCGACAATCACTAGTGGTCACCATAATGATTAGAAGGTAATTAAATTTAATAACAAAACCGAAGAGACCAAAACAAAAGTACAAAATTTGAATTCAACTTCTTTTATCAACCAATCAGAGTGAAGAAAAAGTTTATGAGCGTTTTTTGAAAAGACCAAGAATTTACTTCTAATTGTTAACAATAAATTATCAGCGATTATAAAAATACAATTAATCAGTTTCAACTCTTCAACAATTAAATTCTCTCTCTAATTGATATAATCAACGTAATCCAGTTATTTACAATATCAAATTATTTATAAAGATTCACTTGTTGTTGTTTTGTTGGTGATTATTTTTGTTGTTGTTGGTTAATTTGGTTAACAGGTTGATTTGAGAGTAAATTGTTTTGATTAGAAATTTTAATTGTAGCTGTTGGGTGAGATTGTGATCGGTCAATTTTTCCTGATTTAGGATTAATTGGTGGAGTATATGGTTTGGTTATATGGGAATTTGATGATCGTCGTCTATCATAGTCCATTGGATTTGAGAGTTGATATTGATTGTCAAGAGTGTTGATTGATTTCATCTGATTTAACCAGGAATCAACTTCAGCGGGAGTTGGTGGTGATTTATCAATTAATGGTGATGAAGGAAGAGATGATGATGATGATGATTGGGAAGATGATGATCCACGAAGAGCTGACATATGATTGTTAACAATACTCTTTTGACGAGCAAATTGTTGAGCGTTTGTAAGAACTGATGATTTAGTTGATTGTTGTTTCATGTAAATATGTTGAGGTAAATGTTTCTGATTGTTTCCATTTCCTTCAATCAATCGACCTCTAGAAGCCCAGGAATCTTTGTGCTGAATTGATTTAACTGATGATTTACCCCAAGGATCATAAGAATGATGTGAATTGTGATGATATTCAGGTTCGGGTTCAGGTTCACTTTCTGGTTCTGGTTCAGGTTCAGGTTCAGATTCTGGATATGGTTCAACTTCTGGTTCAGGTTCTGGCCAAGCTTGATTTTGATTCCTACGAAAAGAGATTAACCCAAAAGTAATAATAAAATCTAAAATGGAAACAACAATTAACTTTGATCAATCAACTTACCACCAAGAATCTTGTTGATTTCCCTGATTAGTTGCTATCGAAATCCCTGGAAATTTAATTGCAAAAGGCGATGAACCAGTTGATGGTTTAAAAGTGGCCGCAATTTTAATCGGAGGTAAATTAAATCGAGGCATATGAAGCACGAATGGCGGCAGATTAACACCAAAATCCAAATGCAATCCACCAGCGGATACAATTGAGATTAAGCCAAGTAAAAGGTTCACTCTGGTTACTAGAGACTAGAAAACAATACAAAAAAACGAGGATTAGATTGGAAACAATCAAGTTAATCAATTAATAACACAAAAGAAAACAATTTACCTCCATCATGAAATGTATTAAGAATCAACAATAATAAAGATTAAGACTTAATTCAAACAATAAAGTTAATCCAATGATGATCACAATCAGAATTGACATGAAATGATCAACTGATTTTTGATTGTTCGGTGAATTAATTTGATCAATATTATCTCTCACTGACTCTCTTCATCTTCTCGTCACGGATTAATTATTAATTTGATTGATTTAATCCAATCCTTTTTAGATGAAATTGAATTTAGTCGATAAACTAATAATTAATTTGAGCAATTAAAAACCAACCAAGAAAAAGATACTTCCTCTTTTGCTTAAATTTCACTCTTTCTTTTTCATTTCTCCAACAATTAACTAATTAACCTTTTCAATTGTTAATTTTCACTCTTCCCACCTCATCTCAATTAATTAACTGACGATCATTTTTATAAAACAATCAACACAAGTTTAAAACAATTAAATCAATCGTATGAAATAAACTTAATGACATTCACCAGAAATTGATCAACAACAATTAAAGATTCACAGTTGATTAGACTAATTAATTGATGATTTTTACCTGCAAACAATTTGATAATCAATCAATTTATTAACCATAATGAAAATGAAAATTAAGTGAAAGTTAATGAACCAATTCAGTAATCACAATTAAATTTTAATTTCTTTACATTAAAATTATTATCAAAAATCACTTTCATTCAAATGATCGGTTTTCTAATCGTTAATTGCAAATTTCCTTTACTTAAATTGTTGCAAATAATTAATAGAAAACTAGAAAAACAAATTGATTGATTATATAATTAACTTCATCTTAATACTAATCAGTAACATCCAACAATTTTGTGATCAAAGAGTAATCAATTAGTAACGACAATCCTGAGTATCTTTAATTGTTGTTAAATAATAATATTTATATTTAAGTCGTTAATTGTAATATAAGAAACAATCAGGATCAAAATAATCAAATCTTCATGTTAAATCACAATTAACAGAATCACGATTATTTTGAGTGATTAGATGATCTTAATTCCTCTGTTAAATAAATACTAACAATACACTTAAACAGTAACAATCAATAATCAACACAATCAATCAAAACAAAACAACAAAAAATTATTATTTAAGGATTGATTTAATTAACGATAATTTCAATTGCTCTTCAACAAGTTTGGTTAATTATTTAATCAATTCTTTATATAACTAACTATTATAATCAACAATTAGACTGTTTTGATTAACTTTGAGCTCTTCAATTGTAAATGATGAAAAGTATTAGCAAACAATTAACGATTGATGGTCATCGGATTAATTTGATTACAATTGAATTGTAGTTAATTGTGTATCATTGATATAAATGATTTAGTTTCTTTTGATTTTTCTCTCAAATGATTAAACGTTAATTGTTGGTTAATCTCAATGTTGTTATGGAAAAACACTAATATCAGAAACTCTTAATCTTAATCAGTGATTAATTAAATTGTTTGAAAATGAAAGAGAGAAACAAAATCTCAATGACTGATTACAATTAAGAACCAAAATTAATAAGAAAATTCCGTCAAATTGTTAACAATTAAAGCTTAATTGTTGATAATTTGTTTCATCTCAATGAAATTATGACAAGTGAAAGTTTATCATTGATTCATCAATCATTTCAAACAATTAGTTGTAATCGTTATTACAATTGTGATCATGTAAACAATTAATAAGTGTAACTACTTAAATATTTGATTAAAATCATAATAATAACATTGATAATTAACTCAATCTAATCATTAATTTCCTGTTTAGGTCTAAATTGTAATTATGATTAATACAATTTTAATGCTGAGCTAAGATTGGAGACAATTAGTTAATCATCTTGTATTCAGTGATCAATGGGAAAAGTTAATTGTCACAATAACAACAAGATCAGACGAAAGTAATTAACTAAGTAAGAAAAAAAATGTAAAATCAGCTAAATTGTGAGACTTAATTTCTGATAACAATAAACTTTAATTAGAATACAAAATCAAATGAAAACATAACATTGATTATGTACAATTGATTGTGATTGATTAACGAAAAGAAAATATTATTAGTTAATTGTTTCGATGAGAAGAAAATAAATATAAATATAAATACACTGATTAACTAATCAAGTTAATTCAGTGATCAGGTCATGATTAGATTAATTGAGATAAATTCCCAGGTAAACATTTGATATGAAGAGGCAACTAGAAAATTCAATCAACACAATCAACTAATTTATTGGACATTAAATGATGAAGATAAACCTTTTTGAAGATGAAGAGCCCTTGAGATCATCATCAGGTAAGGAGGAGGTTACAAGTTAATTAATTGTGATTAGTGATTTTTGTGATTAAATTGCGATAATCAACCAGCTACAAAAACAAGAAAACATTGGGATCGGTAACTAATTTTGCTTCTTGATTTTTTGGGCTCACCAATAAATCAACATGAGTCTTCAGTATTGTTTATTTGTTGCCTTTTTGGTGCTAGTGTGCGACACTAATGCCTACAAGGTGGGCGATAAATACCTTTACAATTATCGTGTCAACACTTTGCAATCATTATCATCTCGAAATGGAGCTTCAACTTGGTCTCGATTAAATCTCGAAGTTGTCCCATTATCACCATCGTCTCTCAAATTTAAGGTAAGTTAAAAATTCGTAAATCTTTTTTGTACATTTGATTCGATTCGTGAAGTGTTTTTTTTCTCATCGTTTTGGCCTTTCGATTCGCTCTCTTTTGATCAGATCTCTTCCATTACGAATGCTCTTGGGTCACTTGCTGAACCAAGTGAAAGTACCGATCCAAATTATGGTCTAACCAATGAATTCGTAGCTACTTATGGTAATACAATTGAATTCAAGGTAAATCCTACTGACGGTAGATCGGCAATTGGCTTGAAAAAGTCGATCGCTTCGCTATTCTACGTCCAAAGTCTGAATGGAAATTCATTCAGTGCTCTTGAAGAATCACCTATCGGTACATGTAACACTATTTACACCGTTTGCCCAAGTGGTCGAAATGTTACCAAGACTCGTGATTATGGTAATTGTACTGAAGACATTGATATGGCGGGTAAAAAGTTCAGCAGCCCAGACTTTCATAAGTGTACTCGAAGTCCCGAATACACAATTCCATGGGTAAGTCGAACAGCGACTTTCAGTTACTCTCTCAACGATGGAATCATTAAAAGCTGCGAATCCATCGAAACTGTAAGTTTTACCCTCTTTGGTCACAAATCATCTTCGTGCGTTGAAATTAAAGGTTCACTCACACTCGAAAGTACAACTACAGCGACAGCATCAGAGATTCCTAAAGGTCTTTCAACTGTCCCTGTAAGTGGTAAATCACATCCAAAGAGTAAGGAAGATTTTGACTCAGCCGTTGTTGACCTTGCCGAACCCTCTAAATACGCAATGTGGCCTAAATTAGAAGTTGCCAATCTTATCAAGACCCTTGAAACTTTAAGCACCTCAATAAACGCAGGTATGAGTTCACCATCGCTTTCCAATGATAATTTCACAATGGACTTTATTGAATTACAATTGTCCATGAGTCGATTCAGTTTAACTGAACTTCAGTCCATCTATTCAACAATTAAAACTCGAACCGATGCTGTACCTCGATTGTTCTTGGATGCACTTCGATTTACACCAAGTAATCCAGTTTTCTCATTCATGAAAACTTTCGTCAAGAGTACCGATAACAAGGAGAAATTTGCACTTCGAGGTTACTTACAAATTATCCCGTTCCGTGAGCTTAAGGTCACAAAAGCGCTGCTCGATGGTTACCTTGATCTTTGCAAGCAATCGCTTGGCTCTGGACTAACACAAACTTGTTTCTTTTCCTTGGCTAACGTCCTACAAGTCCATTGTACCGATGCTCGAAGTAAAAGTTCCGATTCATGTAATTCGAAAATCTCAACCCTCTATTATGGTAAAATGATCGCCGCCATTAGAGAGATCATACCGGCAGATGATGATCGTGATCTTCTTGAAAACGGTATTTCAAACAACGTTTTCAATGAAGAATCATTGAAACTTTTGCTCACCCGAATCTCTGATCCAAGATTAAATGTCCGACGATCTGCTACCGTTGCACTTTTCGGCCATCGATTGGACTCTAAGAATGTACCAACCAGTTCCATTCAAAATCTTCTCTATGGAAAAGTAATGAATCGAACTGAAGATCATGTCGTTCGAATCTACGCTCTTCTTGTTTACATGAAGACTGGACCTTCTTTGTCCCAATTCCGATCTTTGGTTCGATACATCGCCGATCCAAATGAAGATGAACAAGTCGCACATTACACTTTATCTCTTCTTAAAGCTATGAAACACTCGGTAAATCCATGTTACTCTAGTTTCGCACTTCTATCCAAGTATGGAATTCGTGAACTGAAAGCAGTCAAAGGTCGATTCTCACACACGGCTTTAGCTTTGTCCACCGCTCGAATGTATGAATCATATGATAAGGACTTCGGCTTCGGTGGTTCAACCGTATTCAGTTACATAATGAACAAGGATTCTTTATCAGCGAGCATCTATTTAGAAGAGAAAATGGTGGTCAATGGTTACACTGGTGGTCATCTCGCTCTCCTTTTCGAAACATTCCCTCGACAAGTACCAAGTGGATTCAAAAGTCCAGATACCAAAGGTCTAAGTGAGACTTCTAAAGCAATTGTCGAAACCATAGCCTCCATTTACAATCGAACTCACTCATCTCTTAGAGTGATCAGTACCGACATGAGAATTTCGTTCATGATTAATGGTCGAATCGTCGATTCGCTCGATATCTTCTCATTGATGCAACTTTTCCAGGGAAGTTCTTACACTTCGTTCAACAAAATGGTGATCGGTCAACAGTTTTACAATTACGTTCAAAGTGAACATGGATTCACCCTGTTCAACTTGATGGTCTCAGGCGGTGGCCTTTTCGGTCGATTGGGATCAATGAACATTGAGAAACCTTCAGCCGATATTATGTTCCAAGCCGCTTTAACACCAACCCTAAGACGAGATGTTGGCGCTTACACTTTAACTGGCCTGAAATCACCTTTCGGCTCAGGTAGAGCTGGTATTATGACCTCAATCCAACGAACCCATAGGCTACCATTGAACATTAGCTACGTTGTAACCAAGAAAACCGCTCAAATCAAGTGCAAAATGCCAACTGAACCAACCGACTTCATGTGGTACCGTATGAACGCCTTTACATTTAATGATAAATCATCGATCGGCTCAATCAGATCATCATTGAAACCCTTGTTCGTTGATTACAACGGTAAACCTGAAAACGATGCCGTTAAGGCCAAAACAATCTGGAAAGGTTTCCTTGGAAATGGCTTAAGAATGACAACAATTTACAATCGACCTCGACCCATGGACGAAGTTGGTTATCGATACCGATTATTAGAAAAGTCAATCTACAACGACGATATGAGATTAGTTCGAATGAAATTTGAATATGGAGCTTTAGTTGTTCCAGTTGATTGGAAATTAACTCTTCTACCCGATCCAAAACTCTCTGAATTGACCTTTGCTTTCAACAGGTCAATAAGTATTACCAATGATTCTCGTACTGGTGAATATCAAATGACCGTTTTAAAAAATAGTGAGACAATCATCTCATCTCGAGTCTCTTACAGTTACACAAACGATTTCCTTAATCACAATTTACGATTATATTACAACAATTATCTTCGAAACATTCATACTTGTGTCAAGGGTGACGTCTTTTCACCAAAGGTCAATTACGCCCGATACACATCGATCGATGGTCTTTCAGGTTCAGAAGATAAACTTCATTTCAATGGGTCAGTTTACTTTGACCAATCATGTTCAAAGAAGGACATTATCATAAAAGGTGAATTTAGTCCGTCCGAAGATCAAAAAGATCCGAAATACACTCAATTGTATTCACAATCTTGCGGAAAATATGGACTTATGACCAATAAGATTCCATACTGTCCAGGTTACCATTATCATCTTGGCGAGTTGAGGTCAGTTAAAATTCACATCACCCATAAAGATGTTCCCTCATACTTTTGGCGATACTTGACCTACATTCGCAATAAGGGTATCCAAAAGTACGTTAACCAGATCAGATATTATGGTTCGAATGAGGTTTCCGATCCATCGGTCACTCTAATCTCCGCTAATTCAACCTGGTTTTCACCCTACAAATACAATGTATCATACAAGATGACCGGACGGGAAGAATTCTGGCAAGATATTCCATCGACTGGCATGAGTTGGCCTAATTCTTACAGTCTCTTCGACTACCATACCTACGAGTCTTTCTCCCGAATAACTCGAATGCCCTATTGTTATGTCCAAAAATCACGACTACGAACCTTTGACGAGCATTCATCCAATGTGACAATCAAACCCGATTGTCTAAAAACACTATTAATGGACTGTTCTACCGGCAAGTTCATGGTTCTATTTTCCCAAGACGCTGAGGGCAAACTCGAGGTAAGATCAGAACAAATTTAAAAGTTCGAAATTCTTTTCATCATAAGGTACTAATTAACCTTTTCTTCTCTTTCAGACCATCGAAGTCTACGTCGAATCCCCTGCAACTAAACTTGAGATTTCACCCAAAACGAACACGATTAAACTTAATGGGTCACCTTACGATCCAATGGTCAAATCTAAAGCCGTGGATGTCAAAGATTTCGGTATTTACAAAAGGGTCCGAATCATGGGCTCGAATAATATTAAGATTTTCTTCGACGATGTCGGCATTTACGCTAAAGTAAACAAGATGAACTTCGCTACTCTATGTGGCCTTTGTGGGAACATGAATAGTTGTCATCATGACGATCATCATCCTTTGCCAGTTGCATCCTCATCTCCTCATGCTCATCACTCTGAGAACCTTTGGTTGACCAAAGATGACCGAAACACCGCTAAAGCTTGTGTTTAAAACGCGAAAACTTTCATCAGCAATTTGATTAATTGTTTGATTAGATTAACATTTCCATTAGAAAATAGATGACAAAGGCACAATTATCATAACAATTATCACGAAATAAGATCAAAAATCAAATCGAAATCATTTTTTTCTAATATTCGAATTTTTTTCAATAAATTGTTTCAAAAAAAAACTTTGATTCATTTAATTAAATTTTCAAATGTATTGATTGTTTTTAATTTCAAGATGGCACTTGAATTGTTGTTAATCAATTGTGAGACGATTAATTGTTGATATAATGGTGATCATTGTTTTATATCTGTGATTTAAAAGGGAAAGACACAAATCAAAGGCCAATGGAAGATAATTAATTATGATTGAACATCGATAATTAAAAATAATGACACAATCAACAGATTACAATTGATAAAATAAATCATAATTTTGTTTGTTTACAACACACAATGGACTAGGAAGAGGACAATTAAGGTGACCTTTTTTTGTTTTACTTTGATGATGGTGTTTCTGTTTTGTTTTGATTGTTGTGACTTGTAAATCACTGTGATAATTATGATTAAAACTAATTAAAGTGAAATAATTTCCAGTTGAAATCATTTTAAAATACAAAACTAATTGTAGAAATATTGAAATGGTTAAAAGTTATCAGAAGAAACTTTTAAGCAAATTTTCAAGTGACAATTAATAATTATAATAATAATTTGAAAGATTTTACAAAAATTTTTCTTAATTGTTCGGTTAATTTAACCAATTTAACGAGATAAATTAGAACTGGATGCTTGTGATGGTGAACTGGTTACAGTTGATGTAGGCACTGAGGATGAGGTTTCATCGGAAAGAGGTGGACAAGTTGAGTCCATGTTTGAGAAGAGCGGGAAAACTTTTAATATTGGAACTGAGGTCAGAACTAAATTAACTGCATCCAAACGAGATAATTCCTGAAGTTTGGCGATTAACAGTGAAATTGTACAATAGGGATTACGGCAGCATTCATCGAGAACCCTCCAGGTTGGACTGATCGCTGTATTATTACCAGGATCTAATTTAGGTAATTTATCAGTTAAACCTAATTTAATTCCCAACATACACCAATCTTTTCCCATTGATTCGGGAGGGTCAAGCAAAGCGCAGAGTCGCTGCTTGGTGACCACTGGAAGATTATTAATGTGTAAATCACCAACAAGGGTTGGATTTAAAGAGATTGGTCCAAATGTTGTTGCTGCTGTTGTTGTGTTTCCTGTTGATCCTGGTGAACAATTTACAGATAATGGCGAGTGATTATAATATGTTGTTCCTTTGTTGTTAATTAATGGTGATGGTGGTAAAATTAATGGTGGGACTGATGGTGGTACATAGAAAAGACCAGAAACTTGAGGTTGTCGCAAATCAAGTTCATTTGGTTCTCGTGATTTGGCAAAGGCTAAATTAGTGGCTAAAGTTGTTGGATTGGTGGTTGACATAGTTGCTGTTGTTGTCGTTGTTGTTGTTGATGATGATGATGATGATGAAGTGACTTTTTTTGTTGTTTCGCTTAAAGGTGAATCAATATCAAAATTAAGGTTACTACAGCCAAAGGAAATTACATCAGCTAAACGTTCACCACAGCCGATTAGAGATCTTCCTTTATCGGAAGATGGTGAGACTGAAGATGAACAGGAAGAGGAAACTGATGAGATAAGTGATGAAGATGGAAATGAAGGTGAATCATTAATGGTTGGTGTTAATGTTTCTTCCAGAGGGTGAGATGATTTAAGGGCAACATCAATCAATTGAGATGGTGAATAGGTTAATGGGTGAAGTTTATGTTTGGCCAGTTCCATTGGACTTAAATAGTGTCGGTGGAGTAGAAGCGCTGGAGCCATGGAACCAATGGAAGATTCAATTAGGGATAAAAGATCATAGAAAAAGTGAAAAGCGTCTAATGGTTTACATCGAGGGCCAATTACTCGTAATTCAATGGCCTCATATTGAAGGGAACAGGAAAGTATTGTTGGTATTAGGGTTGCCGTTAATGGGCCGAAAGAAAGTTTAACTGTGTTGCAAAATTGTTCCAATTTTAGGGAATTGTCAATATCGTTGTTTTCCTGGACCAATGAACGTAAAATTGTTTGAAGTCGAGGGAAAAGGCAGGTCAATAATGTACCAGACGGAGTATCTGGATCACATTGCAACCGAATTCCGGCCATAATTGTATTACTATGATTGTTATTGTTATTATGATGATTTGAGCTCGTTGATCCATCGGTTGATGATTCAGGTGAATTGTTACGATGATGATTATTGCTGGTTTGATGGTGGTGATGATCATGGTGAGAATGATGGTCATCCAATGAGTCTGCAATGAGTAATGGACTTTCAGGTCTCTCTTGTTTAATAAAATATGGGAATTCATATTCAATATCACCACCGGAATCACATTGAGTACAAAGGGAAAGTGATTCCAAAACTTGAAGTAAATCAAGTGCATCAACGGACGGGAAAAGGTCTTGCATCTCATCAACAGAGTATCGGCCTGAAATTGGACTTTTCATTATTTGATCTTCACTTAAGAGGTTACCGACAACCGTTGAGGTTAACCATTTAGGACAGAGTACAATTAAATCTTGATCATTTTTAGATTTTAGGTAAAATATTTCACCCATTGAAACTAATTGACGGAAAATTTGATTAACATGCTCTTCACCGGTTAGCGGGTTAATTTGTTCACGAATCATGGTAATTAATTGACCATAGGTTAGAATTGGAAAGTTTGATAAAGCTTTTCTCCAATGATTCAATGCGCTCATGACCGATTCCAAAAGTCCACTTGAAGGTGACAATGTTTCCAATAGTTTAACCCGAATGGTTGACAAATAGTTTTTAAACTGCTTCATGGCCTGAGAACCGACAGCATGAGAATCCATGATAAGAACTTGATTGTGAATATCGAAAACGGTGGAAAATTTTTCCATTACAACTTGGTAAACAGTGGCCACTTCTCTGTTGACAAAATCAACAGAAGAGGGTGAAACGGAGGACATTGAATTAGATGAGGTTGTATTGGTGTTCGTATTGTTGTTAATTGGATAAGCGTGAAAATTTGGCCTATTTGATAATAGATCGACATGGGTTGCGATTAAAATTACTTTGGCTGGAAATTGGCTTTTACCTCCGAAAGCTAAAGGTTCAACAACTGGTAATCGACTTTGAAGAAAGTTGAGCCAATAGAGAACCTGATTCATTTGAATGTCCAGTCGATCACAGGCACGAAATAATATGGCATGAATACAATTTGGTTCATTTAAAAAGTGATCGTAAACTTGAAGGTAACTCTCACATCCAGAGAAATCCCAAACACTCAGGTCACCAACGCCGGAGGGTGAAATGTTAGTCACATCGATTCCTCGGGTTGAATTTTCATGATGAAGGCTACTACAAAATTCAAAAGAACCATGAAAATGTCCTCCACCGATCATCCCATTGGAAAGTGTACTACCAATGACACTTCCGGAACCACTATGGTTTGAGTGTTTACCATTTCCATAGTTTGTCGAGGAAGTTGCTATCGAAGATATTGAACTACCAATACCACTGGTGGCAGACGAACCACTGCCACAATTGCTACTAGACGATCCACCGGCGGAAGAGGAAGCTGAAGATGATGATGTCGCCGTGGTTGGTGTTAAAGGTGGTGAAGCATCAAGACTAGATTTTGATGAGGATATTGAATTTTTAGCCAAAACTGATCGTTTACCAATACTTGGAAGGGAAGCGACTACTGCTGAAGCGGTGGCAGCGGTGACACCACGAGATGACCTGCGAAACCAGGATGAAAAATAGCCGCACTTGAGGGATTCAACAAGTGTTGTTTTACCAACCCCTGAGTGACCCAAAAGTTTTAGTTTAACTCGTGTTAAAGGTTCACCAGAGGGAATCAATGAGTTGATATATTCGGCTCGAAGAGTCTCATTTTTAATGGAAACCAATAGTTCAGCAATATCTTTAAATCCTTGGGCTAAAGCTGAAATTTCAGCGGTGATTCCATCACGATTTTTCTGATCAATGATACAGGAAGTTAAACAAAGGGTACGAACGATTTCAATGTGACCATTTTTAGCCGCTAAGTGAATCGGATAAAGACCCGATTTGTTGCAAACATTAACTGAACAATTAAGAGAACAGAGTAATTGACAAACAGACAAAAGACCTTCTCGAGCAACAATATGAATCGGTTTCTCTCCAATCGAATCAGCGATTTCGATATCAGCACCTCCATGGATTAACATCAAGCCAACGATTATATGATGACGACGAAGAGATAAATGAAGAGCTGAACATCCATTCTGAAAGAGAAAAAGTAAACAATTAATAATTACAATTAAAATCAATTCTAAACAACCAATAAAAGAGAAACAGAAATTAAATGATTTGGATATTGATCATGACGAAACTAGAAGAATCAAGAATCAGAGTATTCAACAATGGCCAAATTTTGAATTCGAGTCAACAACTCAATCGGATTAACAGGTTATCATATTTTTTCATTCAAAATTAAGATCATCCAAAAAATGATCTACATCATTTCAACCTTGACCCTTTTTTCAATCAATGAGTTGAAATATTATCGTTTATTATTATCAAGTCTTCCGGGCACAAGTCAAAATGGTTCATTTGAAATTTGAAAGATTGAAAACAGAAAATTATGATTGAGGTTGAAATGTGATCAGTTGATTGAAACACACTAATCTATATCGGATTTGTACACAATGATGTGATTAAAAAAGATGTATTTATAACCTGACAATTTAGAGGGGCAATTAAGTGAAAGATTTCAAGGTAACATGAAGATGAAACTTAATTCAATCATCATCAAGATCATCATTAGAGTTAAAATCAGGTAAAAGTTTATGATGACGGTGAGAGTAACCTTAAGGAGAGATTGATGATTTAATTTGCTAATCAATATTTCCAATTGGGTGATGTCTCTCTCTCTCTCCGTAGGGTTAAATTGTAACAGATAAACAGGTAAAAGTGAATTAAACTGCTTGATGGTCCACATTGTTATCGAGAAATGATTATGACCTGATGATACTTATGATAAACGGAGGCCAATCCTATGACCGATTTTCATTCCAGACCAGTAACTTTTTTTTCTCAATCTCTCATGATTATTGTTCTGCTAATCATGAAGGGCTACTTATAAATAACAGCAAGAGATAAGTAAACGGGTTCCAACACTTTAAAGTCCATTTTTTGTTTCGCCGATCGTGATCTTCAGGTGAAAAAGGGTCTCCATCATACAGATCGAAATCAAATCAACTTTGATTAAGTATCACGAAAGTTAGTTAACTATTAAAATGTTCAGTTGCATTTGGTAAAATATTAACTTCATCTTAATCATAATCAAAATCAATAACAAGTGGACATTAGAGTTTTGATCATCGTGAAGATGGTCAATATCCCGAAATGAAGGTGATGGTACCTTGGTAATGAGTATAATCCATGTGTAGCTTTAAGGTGAGAAATAGATTGGATCAAAGTTGCTAATTCAATCAGAATTTGAAGAAATAATCAAAAAGTTAATCAAGCTTATAATCTGTATGAAAAAAAGGGAAAGAAATAGTTGATCATTAAATTTAATAACGATCAATTGAGATCGATTACTTTTTTTGTCTCAATATTTTTCACCTGAAGAGAAACATAATAAAAAATATATAACGTAATTAATGGGCTATATTAAGATGTAAACATTAAAAAAAATGAACGCTGTCATTGAATCAGATACATAACATGATATTGTACCATTTAATTTAGATTCTGATTATGATTGAAATAACGATAATCATAAAAATCATAATCATCATGATTCAATTCAGTTATTAAGGATAAAACTAAGATCAACTTGAAGATTTAAGTTGAATAGGGTTAATTATTTCATTAGAAAACCAGTAGTAATTTAATTATCTCAAACAATGTACGTTCTAAATTGTAGCAATTTTAATCGTAATTGTAATTGAGATAATGTTTTTCTTTCGCTCACCTTAACACAATTTAAACTAATTGAATAATCAAAGAAAACTTGAGAAATGAAAACAATTAAGTATCAATATACTTTTTCATGGTGAATGTTAAGTCTCATATGAATGTTATGAACAAATAATGGAGAGCAGAAATCCTTTCAATGATTAATTGATAATCTAAAAAGTTTCAACCAAAATCCAAATCATTAAATGAATAATAACCAGAATCAAGAACAATTAGCAAACCTTATCAAGCAGATTCAAATCAACACCAATTTCAAGTAGACAACGGACACTTTCAATGTGACCTCTTGCAGCGGCACAATGAAGAGCAGTTTCATCTTCCTGAGAAAGACAATAAACCAGGTCAAAGTAATCACCATAATTATAATGTAAACAATATTCGGTCAAAGTTGAAATCACCATATCAAATCCAAGATGGAGGAATATAGAAAAAAAAGAAAGAAAAAAAAATTTAGAAACAGAAAAAAAAACACAAACAACGAAAAGAAACAATGAGAAGAGAAATGAATTGTCATCACAAACAATTAAAATGGTTAAATTAATCTCTCATATAAATAGTAAACTTGATGGTCAGGTAGTTAATTATGTAGATTAACATGTTAAATTGTTGACAGTTAAACAAATTAATAAAAAAAACAAGTTAACTTACCTTATTTTTTACATTCGCTTGGGCTCCAACTTCACCTAAAACATGAACGATTCTGGGGAATCCATGCCAAACAGCGATGTGAAGAGCGGTCTCACCGTGCTGATGATAATTCACCAAGAAGAGAAAGAAAAATGATAAAAAGAAAGTTAATTGTTGACAATTAACAGAAATGAAAAGAAAATTATACAAATTAAAATGGTTTCTTTTTCCTCCAAACAATTGATGAGTCAATGGGTTGGAGATACAAAGAGTTAACGATCAGATCAAAAAGAGAAAAGAACATTTGGTTCTCTGTGTCTACTTTTCTGTCTATTTTTCTATAAAAATTGTTTTTTCTTTTCTTTTCCTAATTAACCATTTTTCTAACTGAAATTAATCATCTTGATCGTTTGACTTTTCTTATTAATTAATTGTTATTAATTTTTTATTCTTTCCATTTCCTCTTCCCTTTTCTTCACTCAATCCAATTCATCCGAATGAATCTCATCGATGACAATTTGAAAACCTAATCATTTAAGTTAATTTATTGTTTTCTAATTTCTACCAACAATTACATGGATAATGAAGGTTGTGTAACAATGGATTAAGATTTTCCAACAGAAAGTTAATCATTCCAACTAATGATTATTCAAAAAATGGGTATGGTGATTATTCTGGTTCAGTTAACCATTAAGGAGGAAAAAAAAGTTCCAAGCCCAAGATGATCAACTCAAAAGTGAATCGAATAGAATTTTATTTATCATCATCATTACTGTTAAAAGCTTTGACTTATAGGAAGCAACAGGTAAGTCATTCCAATAATAATCTTAACTGTAATCATTTACTTTTTTAGTATAAAACCAACAATAACAGTTAAAATTTTCTCTTGTTGTTTATCAATCACTTTTTCTAAATTTTTCTCTTTTAAATTCTCTTCCCTTCAACAGGTAGAAATCAATTTGGTTTTGATGATTATTACTGTCACTTGAAAGGGGAAGATATCAAATCGAGTTCATGATTAATCGCTGCCTCGGGTAATTTTACCCTGAATGATAACTGTTTTCATGTCGATTTAGTTTATTTTGACTCTTAATGTTTTCTTATGGCTCAAGCTGATATATGATGAGACACAATTAAACTATCAATGTCACTATTAATGAAGAAAATAATCCAAATAATTTAGCCTAATTAGTGGTTACATAAGTTAAAGACTCAAATGCTACTGTTTTTGATTGCTGGTGATGATAAAACTCAGGTAACATTATCGATTTATTGTCTTATATTCGTTAATTGCCCATCCTTGATTATATTTTGATTCTTATTTTAGAATTGATTGATTTCTTAAAACAAAAGACACTCATTGAAAGTTCATTTTGATTGTGTTGCAGTGATTTCTACTCGAATTTACTTTCAGTCTCCTCTCAATCCATTAAACTTTTCTCATTGATCGTAATCAAATTGATCACAATTATCTTGAATTCAATAATTCAATGCATAACCTGAATCATAATCATTATCCTGAAACTAAAATTTTCACATGTAAACATTAATTTACTTTCCATTATCATCTTTTTTTTCTCAGATTTTCTGTCCGCAACGTTGTTTCTAATCACTGCCTGATCATTAAGATGAATTTCAATCTATTGTGATTGATTATTATCTCCATTAAAGACTAATTACTGGAATAATCTTTTCGAGAAAAGATAAAGATCATCATCAACCATAAACAGGACTATACAAATGTGTGAATAGAAATCAAGAGTATCAAGATACAAATGATTTCAAAGTTGACAATTTAAGTTGAAAATGTCAAACATTTTTCATCATTCTCCATGGTTCAGTCAACATATTCATGAAAGAACAAAAAAACAAAATTCTTATCCCGGAAATATCTCCCAGCATATCATTCACATTGGAACATCAATCTCTCAATTGACAATCAGTCCCGTTTTAACTCACAGTTAAGGATGGAAAAGAAAGAAATAAAAGAGAGAGAACAGAAATATCATCATTCGGAAAGTAAACAGTTGATCTTCATCACTGTTTCCGTTAATCACTACAGTTGAACTTCATTCCACTCTTCTAAAAATGCTTCATGGTGACGCCAACAATTAATGACAAGGCTTTGTTTTCAATCAACTCTTTCAACGTTTTTCTAATTAAGGGCGAACCATTGATCAAATTAAAAAGAATCTCCAACAAAATGGAAGCACAAGACAAAAGCATTAAAATACAATCCAGTTGAAAGGAAGAAGATTAATGAGACTACGAAATCATCATGATTTTTGTTTTCCAATCTTTGAATAAGTCACGTTAATGTCAAGACAAGAGATAAAGAGGATTAACAAAAAAAGAAGGATTAATAAGTTTCATCAGCTGAATACGAAAACAACAAGATTGTTTTTTTTTCGTAATAAAAGATGAGGTTAACCAAAAACAATGAGAAGATAATGTTGATTGAGATAAAGGAATATAAAAGAAACCAAGATAATCATGATTACGATTTAGACAATTGGATTAAACTTACATCATCAGCTACATTAACATTGGCACCACATTTGCATAATTGTTCAATTGCATCAGCATGACCATAACGAGCAGCAACATGAACAGCAGTTTCACCAGCCTACACATTTGGATAAAAACAAAGAAAAGAAAAGATTAATTATCGTAATTCTGTTGATCAATTTAACTGTTATTTTTACTCTGTCTCTCTTTCTCTTCACTAAGCAAAAGTGGAAATTTGAATTGTCAAATCATTTATGAATTTCTTTTTGTTTCTAATGTTACCTTCTTGTTTTTATTATTCATTTTCAGGTAACCATGATGGATGAAACCTCAATTCACATTCGACTGTAAACAAAAAGTTTTCTATTCTTACCTTATTTTTACTATCAACATCTAATCCTTTCTCGTAAAGGTAACGAATAATTTGAGTGTGCCCTTGTCTTGCCGCCCAATAAATGGCACTGTCCCCATGCTGTAAACGAGAAATTTTGGTTAAATCAAGTGGATCTTTTGTTTTTGGACAATCGGACTTACATTATCGACTAGAGTAAAGTCGGCTCCTTTTTTAATCAGAAATTTGAGAATCTCCAATTGTCCTAAACCAGCAGCAACATGGACAACCGTTTCCCCATGCTGATTACCCGAAGTATTAATTGTTTGAATCAATCGAACCATGAGCGAAATGAGAAAAAAATGAAAGCGAAAAAAAAAGTGAATCATTTACTTCAATATGAGAGATTTGGAGTTAATTGTTTTCAAATGGATTTTTTTTGTTCCCTAAACTTTTTCGCTGGGAATCAACGATGAGAACAATACAATCCATTGTAATCTATCATGTTATCATCACATTCACTCTTCAAGTGGTCAACAATTTACTTCCCAAGGGTAAACTAATGGTCAAGGTAAATTGTAAATTAATTTATTTGTAAATTGTGTGTAAACCAAGATAGTTAATTGATCAGCAAAGAATAGTAATTACCATGACAATGATCCAATCAAAGTAAATTGTTAACCTTGTCCATCTTTTTCATGCAATTTTTCAATTTAACAAAAATTATACATTTCAATTCTAATTAATTTTACAAAAATCTTTCCAATTACAGATTAAACCACTTACCGTATTAGCTTGGTTAATATCAATCTTGGACATGTTGACCAGTTCTTGGAGTCCATTCAGATTACCTTCTTCAACCGCACCAAACAGAGCTGCCAGGACAAAGTTTTCATCTTGCTAAATAGACCAAAAAAAAGAGTGAAAATTTGATTAAGAAAACAATTAATTGAGTTGATTAGTTGATGGAATTGTTTTGTTTTCTGGTTTAGAATCCTTATAATTAGAAACTCAATTAACTGAGTGCAATTGGATTTTGAAAGGGTCAAGATGAATAAAATTAACCGTGAAAACCATCATCAGTAGGATAATAATCAACAGTAACAACAATTAACATGATTACACAGTTGAAAACATTGAATTAAAGTGTGCAAGGTAAAGTTAATTGTAATCATTAAAATTGGATAATAATAATTACATAATCAAGAGGTGCTTTGTTTCAATTCTAATTGTGACATCGCTATCATCATTTATCCAAATACAACAAAAGCAATTTAGCTAATTATCTTAATATTTATCTCTTTCTTTTTTAGGTGATGTTAACAGTTATTCATTTATCGTTTAAATGTTAATTCGCATGATGGTGATTTATTGGTGGTGATCATTTACAAAGATAATTTGGATATTCAGTCAAATTGAGTTTCTGGTTGGATACGAATAATTCAGAATTCGATGGAACGTTTTTCGACCAAAATCTCTCTTATTTTTAAATGGATCATGTTCTTAGTGTTGAGATTTCTACTTATTACTTTTCACACGATTTCGTTATGATGGTTTACTGATTTGAGGTCAAAACGAATGTTAATCCTGATTATCATTACGTAAACATCTCAATGGGATAGAAACGAATAAATTAACGCAGATAATTAATATAAATGAGCCTTTTGGTTTAACAAATTAGAAATTAAATTGAAAGGTTTGATGATAACCGAAACTGGAATTGAATTGATAGTTTGGTATCAACGATAAATCATCAAATTGTCAAGACTAAATGATAAGAAAACAATTAAATCAGTTAACCAGACATTGATTCATTCAAGGCGTCTACAATATGGATACGATGAAAATTAATCAACAGTATTCAATCATCGTGATAATTATCATCCTAGTGAACATTGAAAACAGTCAACAATTGAAAATGATAACGTACCAATTAAGAAACAATTATCCTAATTACTGACCAATTATAATCATAACATCATCAAGTTTGCGGCGATTTTGTAGTGCATCATAAAAAATGAGATGATTCAAATGCGTTGGAGGACAGTGATTAGGATTATAATTGGTGCTCACTAAAAGTTAATTAGAGCTCATTGAGCTTAATCAACTTCACAATCAACAACAACAACGAGGTTATCACACGATGGAGGAGTAAAAGGATATCAAAACTACCTGAAGATGATTTCAAGAGATGCTCTTGATTTAGAGTTATTATTTGGCTCATAATTTTAATAATCCAACTAACTACAGACAATTAAGCTTTAAGCAAAAGAGTTGATCTGGTTAAATGTCGCCCAACAACTGACAAGAGAACCGAAAATAGCCTGAAAAACCTGCGAAATTAGCTTCATGTTATCAAAGTAAAAAAGTGAAATTGTAACATCATCATCAACATCAATTATAAATACATTCTGTTGTTAAAAAAGGTCACATAAGTACCATGAAAATTTCATGAAAATGAATCTAATATCAGGTCAGAATTGATTGTACGTTTTCAGGCGTTTTCACCATTTAAATTGTTAACAAAAGTAAAAGGGTATCTTACATTTAAATTTATTCAAATTTATTAATATGTGTAGGTAGATGACAATCCAAGCGATTTATGATTTACCAAAAACTTATTAATATACTCTGATTATAATTAGCTAAATTCATGATATATATTTAAATCACTATCAATGAGTTTGTTATTTAACTTATAATCAAAATCACGAATCAAATGATTAATCTAACCTTTAATTTTGTTTCTTTCTCTCATCAGAAAACTTAAACCTTGTCAATGGAAAACGTTGAGAATCAAACAAACAAACAAAAAAGGATCAAGAAGATGAGGATGTTAACAAAGGTCACTTTTGGATCTTCTCCAGGGAGACATCATTATTATCGTTATCATGGAATCACTGTTCTGAGTGAGAGAGAGATTGAGATAAATATTTTTCTCATGAAGAAAAAAAAATTCACATTCATAGCCAAAAACATTTGAAACCAGGAATTGGATTAACTCTCAATCATTTCAAATCCAACTTCCGATTAGGAATATCAACTACCCTGAATATCAATCACCTGTTAATCTAATTAATGAATACAAGTATTGGCCAAAGTGAAAGAAATTCATTGATTGGAAAGGTCAATCGAATAGATTTAGTTAATTATACAATATATTTAATCTATGGTAACAATTTGCAGATTACTATCAAGTTAACTGTGAACACGACACACCCAAAGTAAATCTCAAAATAATCATTATATTTAATATATTTTTCCACTAATCCATTTGATTAATGAAAATATTATTATGTTACATTTGGATCCTTGATCCATCAACAGTAACAAGAACCCAACCCTTTTCAGTTAATTGTTTCACTTATTCTGTGAAGGTTATTGTTAAAATTTGATTTCATTTCATTTAATATTTGATTATCGTGAAATTATTACAAAGTTTTCATTGTTATTAGATGCAAACGGTATTAAGGAAATGTTGATTAGTTGATTATCACATTTATTTACAACATTCCAAGTGTACCAAAGTTTTATTGTTAGCTAACAATTAACTTAATTCAGTTATCTACCTTAATTATCCTGTTTTTTTTTCTTACCTTTAACCAACCAGAACAATTTAACTTGTTGACTATCTAATTCACCTTTAATTTTTCACCATTAGAAACACAATTTAACCAAAAATCTTTACAATTGAATTAGAAATTAGTTAATTGTTTCACTAATTAATTGGTTTCTTTTCTCCTTAAATTGTGTTAACCTTCAACAATTTATCATTACAAATTGTACCATTTTCATTTTCTCATAAATAACTTCCTTTACAACTGAATTAACTAATCATTGTAATATTATCATCTCAGCAAATACTAACAATTTATTAATCACAATACAAGGAAAACTTGATCTGATTGATAAAAATTTGGATTCCCTCCAATAAAGATAATTACTGTTAATAGTAAATATCATTGAAATGATTATGTTAATTATCACTATCAACAAATCATTAAGATGTAATTATATTCTGATGATAACTTTTTAATTGTTTAACTATGAAAATTTAAAACTTGTAAACACAAAAACCAACTAGAAGACGATTAACTTTAATTGTTGAGAGATGATGAATCTAAAATTATCCTCTCCAAACTAATATTCATCATAATTAACTATTCATGATCAATGGAAAACAAAATGAATGGTGTTAAATTATCGTGACTTTAATTGTTACCGTAATTAGATGAGAAAATCAAGAAAACGTTATTCCGTTCAAATTGTAATTCTTAATTTTATTTATCTCGAGTTAACTGATTGTAATCATGGTAAGTGTATGATAATTAATATCGTTGATTGTTGAAATTAACTTTCACTTTTGTCTGATTGTATCTCTAGATTTGATTTAATCAATGGTTCTGGATCAAAGGATTTGTAACCTCATATGGAGTTTAAATTGTTATCAATTATAAAAAGTCAACAATCATCAACAATTAAAGTATAGACATACAATCAAAATTGAAATTGTTGGTCTATCAAAAAAAAAGGTAACACAACAATCAACAAGGTTAAATTAATTTGTTCACATTTTGTAATTTCAACAATCAGTTCAGTGACATTGGTACACTGATTAATTAATTGTTGTTACTGAACAAAGAGAAAGTTTAATCTTCCAATTGATTTGGTTGATTAAATCAATTGATGATTATCACTCGATTTCTAATCAACTTTCTTATGGATTTTTATTTTGATTACTCTTTAATTACTTTGATTGTGAAAAGTTAACCATCAATCACAATTGAAACTGTTTCTTTGTTTACACATTTGGATTACTAATCATTACAATTTGATTTTTTTTCACCAGAGACACTTAATTGTTGACAATTAAACATTCAACAAGTTCATTGGACTTTATGGATTATTATCGTTGAGACAATTAAGTTAATATGATGTATTAAGATGGTGAAAAGAAGACAGAAAAAAACCGTGATTAACTTAATTGTTGGCGAAATAGTTTATTACTATTAAATGATTAGTAGTAACAACGTTTAAAGGTAAATGTTTAAACATTTTCTCGTGATTAATGTTACTGTTTTTGGGCAATAATCACAATTATCATACTGAACTCAAGTCAACAATGAAAACGGATCAACGATGGATAAGTAAACAGAAATGAGATAATCAGGAAAAAAAAAGATAATCATGATTTTAATGTTAATAACAATTGAGACTCGATAAATCAATTAACTGTCATTATTAATGAATCATTAATTTATTAGTGGCGATAGTGTTGGCAGGTAAGAAGCTGATTGAGAGAGTAAGAGATTGACCATAACAAAAGATCACGAATTGACCTTTTCCCTCTCTCTCTCAATTCCTAAATGATCAACAGACACAAATTAACTTGATTGTTATTAACTGTTGCATGTTGATCTTGTTTTCATCATAGACGGAAGAGTAAACCTGACAACAATTAACCAAGAAGCAACAAACTACCAGGAAGCAGAAATAGAAACCATTAATTGTTAGATAAACTATTTTCTTGATGATGATTAAAAGTATTTATCAAGTCAACGAAGGTGAAGATGATGATAAGATGAAGAGAGAGAGAGAGAGAGAGAGACAAGTTTTGACAGAATTGAGTCTGAAATCAACAATCAACAAATCAACAGAAAAAATGTAAACATAACCAACATTTTACATCCATGATGCGGCATTAAGGTTTCAACACAATCAACTAATTGCAGTCACAACAATCCTAAAACAATCAAAGCTTGATGGTGGATGATATAAGTAACCACATCATCTTCATGATGGTGATGAGGATTATCTTGTTGATCATGACGATTATCATCATTTGATGGATTGAGATTAAGTTGATGATGTTAAGGAGGCGGAAACGGATAAGGAATGAGTAGATGAAAAAAAAAGATGGCTGATAAAAGCGGAAGAAAAAGTTAACTGATCATTATGATAATTAGTTAATTGTTGGAGTTAATTTTGCTTGGGAAAACATTAGGTATCATCTTCATTCATAATAATCAACAACATCAGATGAAAAAAAAACAAATGATTCTTGGGAAAAAGTTTCTTAATTGTAATTTACTTGTTTAACTTTTTTTCTGTATGAGAAAAAGTTTTAATCATTTTCTTAAATTGTGATCAGAATTTAATCACAATTAAGTTGATCTTAAGATTTAGTTTTCTTCATAGGAAAAAGTTTAATCATCTTAACCATTTTCCCTTTTAAACCTTAATGATTAAAGTTTTAATTGTTACAATTTACGATTTCTCTTTGTTATTATTTTCTCATCAGATTTAATCAACAAGGAAATTGTCAATTTAATGTAACAATTTGTTTTCTTATCCTTACAGTTAACAATCAACAACAACGATCAAAAGTTCATGAGAAGATAATTAAAGTTCACCCAAAAGAAATTAACAAACAATTTAATTAAATACTACAAAAGAAAATCAAATCAACAATTTAAATACCATTATAAAATTGACCATTAATCTTGATTAACAATTAAGGTTAAAATATTAGGGACCATTGATTGTGATTTAACATTGAGATTCAAATTAAATCATGAGAAACAGTAAAAAGTAAATTGATTGTCAAATTAACTCAATTTAATTCACTTTTCAATCCTTTAAATCATTTAAATCACTTAATTAATCCAAAGCTAATCTATTCGGATCAAGATTACAAATCCATTGATCAAAATCCAGCAAATAATTGAGCTAATTGTTAACAATTAACTGACAATTTACACAAAAAAACAATCCGTTATTTTGAATATTAAATAACAATTTTTAAAATCACCTTCTCAATAGGATCTGAATCAACAATTAATTGGCAATTAACTTTGATGAATTAAATCAATGTGAACCAGCAGGAAAATAGTGATCAAATCAAATTAATCAGGTAACAATCAGTTTACAATTAAAACTTGAAACCAGGTAACCTTGTTAATTGATTACAGGTAAGAGTGTTTATAAGAAAAGGAAAGGAATTAAATTTAATCATTATGATTATTAAATCATCATCAATACCTCATCATCATTGATTCATTCAACTAATGGAAAAGTAAATTGTAAAAATTAAATGACGAAACAACAATTAACGTAACGATCAAAATGGTTAATTAATTTGTTTTCAACTGTTTCCTTTGAGTGGAAATGATTAAGTTAATTATGGAAAATCTTGATTTCTAATTATTAGATAATCAACCTTGAGACAATTAATAAAAGTTGTAATGATTAACACACAATCAAATGAAACAATCACCATCTAAATCAAAAATAACAATCAGTTAATTGTATTGATACAAATTAATTAGATTTAAACAATTAGTGTTGATTGTGTTGATTTGAAAAACTATTTAGTCAAAGTAAATTAAGTTATGCTAATCTGATTTATTAATTGTTACAATGGTAACTAAGGAAAAGGTAAATTATCATGATTAACTTAATTGTGTTTACTGATTTTAATCATAATTGTTTAACTATTTCAATCATGTAAAGTTGTAACAATTTAATGATAAATGTCAAACAAATTAGACATAAATTTAATATTTAGGCCAATACATGATTTAAATTGTTGCCTCATTTATTTACCTGGTTAACTTAATCACAATAAAAAAAGTAACAATTAAGATAATCAAATAATATAATTAATAAATTGTAATAATCATAATTGTGATGAAAAAAAAATCGATCCAATTTTTTCATCTTCTCATATCAATCATAATCTAATAATCAACAAATAACAAGAGTGATCAATATTATTATTTTTGAATCACAATCAACAATCAGCTTACAATTAACCTTAACAATTTAGTGTAAATCCTTAGTATTTATATATATTTAAAATGTATCACCATTAATCAAAAGTTAATCACAATCAATATATTAGGTCAAAGATGAGAAATGAAAAGTTTAATTGTTGATATAATGATTAAACTAATCAAGGGAAAACTTTTAATTTCAACTTTTTCAATTGGTAAACTAATCATGAAACTCATCAATGATATAATTATCATTTCAATTGTAATGACAAGTTGTATTGTCAATTGTTATTCAAATCAATTTAATCACAACAATTAACAATCAAAATAAAATATCAGTGACAATCAATGTTTGAAAAAGCAAATGGTTAATCCTGTTGATCAATAATTGAAAAGTGTTGAAACAATTTAAAGTGACCATTGGTTAATCAACTAAAATCATCAACCAGCAACAACAACAAGACCCAATTAATGGTTGACCAGTGTAGCAATTAATTGAAACTGACCATTCACTGTGAAGATAATTGTCAACAATTTAGTTGAACTAAATTAAATTTACCTTAAAAAGTTAATCTATTAATATTTAAAACTATTACACAAAAATCATAAACCATAAGCTGAAGGTTAATCAATCACCATCACCATCAAATGATAAGCAAATTTATTAATTGTTACTACTGTTGATTAAGGACAAAAGGTCATCATAGTTTTAAAGGTAATTTAAAGTTAATTGAGTTAATTAATTGTTAGCAAATAATTACCAAAGTTGAGACAACAGTGAAATCAGAATCATCATTAGTTGTTGGATCTTGATCAAAGTAAACTGTATCCTCTTGATTTAAACTGTCTCTTGAGAGACTTTCATTACAAATCAATTGTTTATCCATATTTGAATCACTTCAATTGTTACAATTAACAGTAATAATAATAATCAGGTAAATTAATCCACATTTGGTTAAGAAAATTAATAAATTGTTCAAACTAAAATCACATTGAAGGTAATTGTGTTAGTATCACAATATCAACATCGGTGTAACTTTTTCCCATATTTTTCATTCATAGACATTTAATGTCAATCAAATTACAAGATAACTTAAATTACTTTGATGATGATTAGTAAATCATTTGAAATCAATGGTAAACACACAACCAAAAACGATATAAATATATTATATTAGTAATTAGTTAATTGGTGAAAAAATTAACAATCAAAATGTAAACAAACACACTTAAAGTTTGGTGGAAATGAAAAGTTTAACAACAAAGTTTAGGATTGAAAGAGATGATCAAGTTAGTGAGGTAACTTTTGAAGATGATGATGATGATGATGATGTTGAAGATGAGATGTTCAACTGAGAAATGAAATAAACAGGATTGAAGAGAGGGAGACGAGTGAGTAGATTGTGAGAGTAGTTAAGTGAGTTTGTTGGTGAGAGAGAGAGAGATAGTGAGCATTGAATGAGTGACCTGAATGTAATCAATTCTCAATGTAAAACTTAAATCTACTGGTGATCAACTGACAATTTGAATTATTATTATTAGTGTTACTAAATCATGATTGATTACAACTAATCAGAAAATTAATCATATTCCAAACAATTAGTAAAATTGATCAGTAATAATAATCTCACATTATTGAGAGATGAGGTGAAAAAATTGATCGACATGTAAATAAAAAGGTAACACAAGATAAAGTTGATCTTCAGATCGTTTTGATTGTTGACAATTTGCTGATTGTTTGATCGTAGCTTTAGTCACTTTACTAACAATTAGTTCATGATGATTACTAAAATCATCTAATTACGATGAAAGATGAAGATAAACATGAGAGAGAGAGAGAGGAAATTAGGAAGAGAGGACATTTCATCTTCGCTTTTCATTGTTACTTTTACAACTATTTTAGGTATTTTTGGGTTAGACAGGGAGAGAAATGGAAGATAAAGATGATAAGGTCTTTCTTTTTTCTCTTTCTATTAGGTGGCCATGTTGACTAGAGAAAAGGCAAGATGATGATGATTATGATAAGAGAGAAAGAAACTGGTTTTCTCTTCGTCATTATCTTCATCATCATTGAGAATATAATTTAACTTTCTCTTTCTTTTCTGTGTCTCTATTGAGATGAAATTCTGGTTCATATGATAAACTCATCGGTTACCAGGGTGATTCTGATTATAATGATTCCAATCAATAAACAGTTATAATGATATGAGAGGAAGGAAAAAAATAATGACCAATCCAGATACTGACCATTTCCAACTAGGTCCTAATTTGACCTAAATAACTTGGATCAACTATCTTTTTCAACGGACAATCAATGTTAATCAATTTAATGATCACTAATTGTTGACTTTTCTTCAGCTTCATGCTTAATCTAATTACAGTTATATGATCATAAGAAACTTGATTAACTTTTGATCCATAATATTGATTGAAAATATTCAAAGATGATCAAAGTGATGGAGTTTAATTGTTGACTAATTGTTAGGAAAACTATGTTTTTTTTGTTCAATTTCAAGTTTAAATCATTAAGATTGTGATTGTAACGGATTAGTTAGTTAATTGTGATGAAAAAAAAACTTGATCAGTAAGTGATTGTGATGATAATTAGGATTGAAAGTCGTTCAAGTTATTAAACAACAATTTACTGGTTGCGGTTAATCAACAATTAATCAGTAAACCATCAAACCCCGTTGACAATTAGTTTAATCACTTAAAATAGTGATACTAACAATTAAGGTTTGAAATGATGTTCAACTTTGTTTTAATTGGATTACAATCAAAATTGATTATCAATGATTTTCATAATAACTAAACAATTTAAGTCTATGAAAGTAACAATTAATTTGATTTTTACTCATCAACTGATTAAATCATCACTAGTAACATATGATTGATTGTTAATTGTTAAGGTAATCATAAGTTTGGAAATTACATTAAACTTTAAATCATTAGACCGACAATCAACAATTTATTTTAATTGTTGCCAGAAAATGATAAAAATATGATTCCTATTAAATTTAATGTTTAATGATTTAGTCAGCAAATTCAATGAGCCATAAATTGAACAGCTAATTGATTACAATCAACTGAAATGATCAAATTTAGTAATAACTTCAACTTCAATCACCAAAAAAAGATTTGATTAATTGTTTTGATCAATGATATTACTGATTTTCATTGTTAATGAATATTGTTAGACTTGCACAATTAACTAATTGATAATCAATCTGATTGAAACAATGGTTGTAAACCAAAATAATAATAAAGTAACTTAATTTAATTGTCAATCAAGTTTAACTAAATCGTAACAACAATCAAAACAAACTTTTGACATTTTGAGGTTAAATCAATTCCTATTATCATCATTAAATTTGATCATCTTAAATTGATGATCAAATTTAATCCAATCATCAAATATCAAAAGGTCAACTTAATTGTAATTAAATAGTCAAATATTAGATAATTAATTGTTTCAATCCATGGTAATGATTAACTAATAAGAATTGGGAACTTTGTATTGATTTTGATCACAATTAACATTCAAACTATTGGTGAACAATTAATAATTAGTGGGGAAATACGATTGATGAGTTAATCAAATTAACTGTTGAAAGTGTGTAACAAATTCAATTGTCAAGTTTTTGCGACAACAATTAAAAACGATCATCAGATTGATGATTTAGTCGAGACAATGTCAAGTTAATTGTGATTGGAATTGGAATTGGGGAAAAAAATTGAACTTTTTTACCTCGAAAAAAAAGTTAATCACAATTAAATTGAAGGGCGAGGTTAATATGAGGATAATCAATTGATTGATTATCATTTGAGTAATAAATTGTTGTCGATTTAAATTGAAAACAATTAACACTCCTTGTCAGTTTGCTGTTAACACGCAAAATTATTAACTCTTAATTGTAAACAATTAAACAGATAAATTAAATCACAATCAAAACCAAATGTAGAAATGATTAACACACCTTGATAATTGTTTAAGATAATCAATATGAACAAAGTTTATTGATGATTTAAATTAAATTAAAACTACAAAGTTTAATTGTTGATTGAAAAACTTTCCGATTACTTTTTAAATCAATATAATCAAAACTACAATGATAATTATACCAATTAAAGTCAATTAATTTGAATGGAAAAACCAAAACTTCCTAACTATTTATAGTTAAAAACAATTAAACAATAAATCGTAACAATTAACTAATAATTAGATTATAATCTTATATGTATTTCCAAACAATTATTACCATAAATAGAAGTTAAATTGGTTGATTAAAATCAGTTAACTAGAATGAAGGAGTGACAATTAAAAGGGAAAACTTTTACTACTAATATTTTCACAATCGACCAATTAATTACAATTAAATTTAATTTTGTTCAACTTTTTGGTTGATTCATTTGTAAGAACTACAAACGCCATCTGTCGGTGGGGAATTGAAACTTTCGTTAGAACAAAAAATTGTGCGAAATTTGAAAAAGAAATTAAAACTTGTATTTAGTTAATTTACTTTAAGATGGCGTTAGTTAATCATTCGTAATTAAGTTAATCATATTTGTAGATCTGGATTAGAACTTAGATTTAGATTGAATAATTACTTATTTGATTATTGGAATTGTTTTGATTGTAGTTTGATAAATTGTTCAGTTGAAAGATTTTGATATAAATAAATTGGTGATAGTTATTAACAATTAATTGGAAACTTAAATTATGATTAAAAAATTTTTTCACGGAAAAATAGTAAAATTAAGTTTAATTGGCATAAGAAAAAACAAATCAAACCAATCAAAACTAATTCACTCAATCAACAATCAAATTAATCATCATCATCAAGTGAAACAAAATAATCACTAGTAACAAATTAAAATTAAAACTAATTATGAATTAAAAATGTTGTTCATTTCTTTATGCATCATTTATTAAATTATCAGCAATCAAATTTTGATAATAGTTATTATTAAGGTCACTTAACAATCAAATTGTAAGATTGTCCAAATTAATTTCAACAATCAAATTTTGATGACAAGGTTGTATATAAAATTTTAGTACTAAATGAAAATGGTAACAATCAACAATTGAGAAACATTAATAATCATTGGTAATTTGATTTAACAATCAGTAAATTGTTATTTTCCTTTAGTAATCAACTGATTGTCAGGATTGATTAAGAAAAGAGAGAGAAAAATAAACATTGATTCACATGGACAATTATCATTACTATTACATAAGAAGCACGATTAATGGTTATCAGTTAATTTGATCAATTCTTTGTTGATTTTTTCACCAAAATTTACCAGAAATTGTTCATTTTCATCATGAAGATGATGATGATAACCAACAGAGTTTCAATGGATCAGTAATTTCATGTTACACCTTTGATTGTCAATAGAGTTCATCAAAACGATAATGACAGTTTTCATTTTATCTGAAACCTTTTTCATTGAGAAAAAGCTAAAAAATTTGATTATCATTTAGTGTATTGGTTAATTGTTATCATTTCATTATATTAGACTAACTATTTGAAATCAAATCAATTTTTTACCTGTTCACTAAAATTATTACCTGAAGATAAAAAGTCAACAACAATAACAAGAGAGAAAAAAAAATTCATTCATAACTTGTGATAGCTTATTGATTGATAGTATTTACGATTTGTTAATCAATCTGATGAAAATTGTGACTTATTGTGGGATTTTTTGATATTCATCTTAATTTAATTGTGATTATTAGATTGTGGGAGTTGGTTGTTAATCTTTCTGTTGGCGATTATCATTATGATGATCAGATTTTGAGTTGAAAAGTTTAGAGAAACTTTTTCTTGACAAGTCAAGCGAAATTCATTCATGTGAAACTTTGTTGTTTTTTTATGATTCACTTCAAGATTTGACCTTCGTCAAGGTTATTTCATGTCTTCTCTCTACAAGAAAAGCCCTAAGAGTTTGACAGTGTCAAGATGATGAGGATGATGAAAGAAAGAAGTTATTGTTTCATGAGAAAAGAAAACAAAAATAATAGAAAAAGAAAAATTTCTCTCTCTCTCTCTCTCTCTCTCTCGTTGTTAAGGATAATAAGTAAATCCATCGGATGATAATGATGAAAGACTAATTATCATCATGATGATGACAACGATTCTCATCTTGTTGTTGTGTAGAGGAAAGGTAAAGACCATTAAGGATGTCAACAGATTCATCAACTGACCATTAAGATATTAGAACTGGTCAGTTAACTGCTTAGAGATAAGATGACCAGGTTATCGTGTCAAGAATGATCGTCAGGATTAAGATTATCGTTATCGTTTAAAAACTCCTACGTAAATTGTTATAACAATTTAATAAATTGTGAAACGATTTTGGGATTGGGTTGATTTTGAAGATGAAGAAAAAAAACTCAAAATCAACTCGCTTATCATGTTAATTGTTGATCATTAATTAACTAAGTACATTATCTTTGATGGTTTAACATTTGATTTATTTATGCTTTTGACCTTTAAAATTAATGGCAATTAGTTAATTGTACTTATATTGAATTTCAATGAGCTTTAAATTAAACTTACCTCTTTTTCACTGAAAAATCGGGCTGGAAATGAGTTAATTAAACTATCAACACTTTGACAATTAACTTGATTGTTAATCTCCTTGGTTAGACGATTACAGGTTCGGATAATCTGATAAGTTGCCTGAAAATTAAAATAAAATCAATTAAAATTTGTTTAATCGTCTAAATTGGTTAAAGTTAATTCAATAATAATAATAATATAAATATAAATAAATAAATGATGAGACCATTTCTTTAATTGTTATGATGATTAAGCTTCAATTGGTTAACAATCAATGACAATTCAAGTTGATTAGTTTTTGGGGAGCAAATTTTAAATATAATAATAAGTATTTTTGGAATCAAATTAAATTAAATCTAATTATAATTGTTGCTTCTCACTTTTTCTAATCTGGTTCTATCTTTTAAATCAATCCAATGAATCAACAATCAAGCTTAATCAATTTTTCTTGTAATCTAATTATTAATCATAGCTGATTGGTTCAAACTGTGATCTATTAACCACCAACAGTTAATTTTGTTTTTAGTTGATTGTCCGATTTTGTTGATTGTTGTATTAATAATATAATTCAATCATGAATATAACTTTATGATTAAATTTTTTTTTTAACAATTCAAGGTTGCATATCTAAATTAATCATAATCATTGTGATCTAGATTTAATTTTAAACAATTTAAATTTTACATCTTTAAAACATTGGACATTATCAAACAATTAACTTTAATTGTGATCATTATTAATGCTAATTTTGTTGTTGTTGTTTCTGATTGCATGTCAGTTGAAAATAAACAATCAACAATTAGGGTTGCAATTAGATTGATTGAAAGTAATTAACCAATTTAAATCACCCTCTTAATTGCTCAATAAATTTTACTATTACCAAATGATTATTATTATATTTATCAAACTGCAACTTGAACAAATCAGCTGATTTTGATCAGTTAAATTGATGTTAATTAAACAAATTGTCAATCAACCGACAATCAGATGAATATATACAAATAACTGGACAATCAAGTTGCTTGAAATTAATCATATTTACAGCAACAGGTAATTTAATCATGATCATTAATTTGTATTGATAAAAAACAAACATCGGAAATGATTAAAATTTAAATTCCGGTTCCTAATTGTTGAAATTATTATGTTATCTTGGGTGGAAACAATTTCAACATGATTAAAGTTGATTAACTTTCATCATGTTATTACATATTAAGCAATATGATTAACCTTTTACGAGAAAAAAACGGATCAATTCAATTACCCATTCAACCATTTCAAGGTATTCATGGTGATTTTCATGGGAAATCTGACAAAATAGATTAACCAGATTATCCGGAAATCAGAAAATAAGTAACAATTAAATTGTGAATCCTCATTCCCAGGAATTGGGAGGAATCAGAGTAACTTTCAATTTTTTTTCTTCTTCATCATCTTTTCCTTAATTCCTATTAACTGTAAATCCAATCCCAAAGCTCTTGAGAGATAATCATAAGTGATGATGAATAATGAAGATGAAGAAAAAAAAATCATCCTCATCCTCATCATCTTCATCTCTTTTTCATTATCATCATGATTCCAGTGTGAGAATAGGATTTCAGGCTCTGAGTAACACAGATTTTGAAAAAAAAGTTCAGTTCCAAACCCATAATCAAGATCATTGAATCAAACATGAATTTCATCATCAACAATATCAATCTTAATCATAATTGTATGAATTAAGATTATCTAACAATTGTTATTTTATTAATATCATCAACTAATGATAATGATAATTTAAAGTTAATTCAATTGTTATTAACGATTTCAATTCTGTTCCCGGAAGAAACTTACAAAATTTTCAAATCCTTTCCTTCATAATATCAACCTTAACATTCAATGTCAACTCATCTTAATCCATAATCTTAATCCCTTAATCCGAAGCCAAATATTTAATCACAATCGAGTAAGGTTTCAATTTGAACTTTTTTGACAATCAAATTTAATCCAGTTTGTTAATTGTTTGAGTTTAACCTAAGGACAATCATGTTAGATGTGCTTAATTGTTAGCAAATACCTTGAAATAGGATTTGAAAACAATTAAAGACAATTTAAAGATTATGATTAAAGACAAAAGTGATTAATGTGACCCAATTTAACAAAACAATTAATGTAAATAAATTGTTCAATTTTTGTTTGTTAATTGTTATTCACAGTGAAAGTTATTATTATTTGTTAATTTAGTTGTTGATTGTTGTTACTCGCATTATTTAATCAACTAACTAGTGAAAGTTTTAAAAAAGTTAACACAATTGATGTGAATAGGATTAAATTGGACAATTAAAACAAAAGCTTTTACCTTAATCAAAATTACTGGACCTTAATCATCATCATAATCATAATTAAGATTATCACTTTTAATTGACCAACAATTTAATGATCATCTAGATTTATTAATCATCTTAATGAAGGATTTACATATTAATTGAGATGATGATCAAGTAAACTTGTTGATTGTTGTTGATTAACTTAATTGTTATACCAAATTAATCTAATCAAATTGTGTATTACATTGTCTACTCTGATTGTGATTAATAAATTGTTAAAATCTAAGGTCAACTCTTGTTAACTGTTGAAACTTTTGTTCAACAATTTAACAGAAAAAAAAGTTAATCATCATTCAAATCAGTTGTTTATTAGTTAATTGTTTCCAAATTACTTTTGCTTTATTAGACTAATGAGAAAAGGTTAATCAGAAACAATTTACCGCTAATCAGAAATTAACTGTTACCTTAATTGTTGATAGTTTAGATTAATAATAATCAAGATGCAAAAAAACAACAGCAACAACAATTAATCAGTAATTAAGATCATATTTAAAAAAGTTAAATCGGAAAAGTGAAAGTAAAAGTTAATCATTAAAATTTGATTGTTTCAACAATTGAAATACTGATAATAACTAATACATGATGATGAACTTACAACACCAAATATTGATCAATCAATCAATTTAATTGTTGTTATTTTAACAATTAATTGTATCTAAATTGTGGTAACATCAATGATGAGAATGAGTTGACTGATTAATTCTGATTCTCATGAAATAAGTAATCAAGAAAAAAAAATTTAAACAAACTGAACATTTTAATCATGATCAAATAGTAATGTTATTATTAATTATCATTATACTATTGATAGCAATTAAATTAAATTGTTGATGATGATTAGTTGTTGAGATACAAAAAAATTAACAATTGCGTGATGAAATATTAAAAAGATATCACAATCAAAAATTTGATGAGAACTGAAACTTTTTTTGTTAATCATTACAATCAACATGATGATGATGATTAATTGTTGTGATCAAAATCATGATTAACAACAATTTAACAAAAGTGCAAATTATCAATTTTTTTAACTATTGTTAATCAACTCTTTTCATCACTAATTGTCAAAATTAAGAGATTATAACCTTAATTGTAGTGGAGATATAACAATTAACCAACAATCAATACTGTTTCCTGATTCCATTCAAATTGTGATATTTGATTTTTATTGTCACCTTGATTTAATTAACTAATAATCTCTGGCCAAATCAATTTAATCGTTGATTGTAATATTGAGTTAATTGTTGATTGTAAATTAGCCACTAATCAAACCATATCAACAAAACATTGACCATTAACTGAATCAACTGAATCAACTGAATTAACTGTGATAATCAACAATTTACCTTGAAATTGTTCAACCTTAGGTGGTTATTTATGGTTGTTTGGTTAATTGTTGTTTAAATGTTGTTTTAAATTTACAAAGAGGGAAAACAATTAACATAATTTAAACAATTGATTCTTCAAGGTAATTAACTATGACACTAATCATTAATCTAGTTGATAACAATTAAGAAAGGTTCAATTTAATGATAACCAGTAAACAAAAATTAACGCTTTCAATTGTTGAATTTAATAAATATCTTGATGCATATCTGATTGTGATTTTGTTCTGATTGTTAATTGTTTCGATTAGTAATTGTTAATGATAACCATGAAATTTAATCTACTTCCGGATGAAACTAAAAGGTAAATCAAGACACTTATATACAATTAACAGGTAAATTGTTAATACTTGATAAAACCACAATAAGAACAACAATTAAACTTTAACGATCGTTGGTGAAAAGTTAACTAATTGTGATTCTAAAAAATGATAATCATCAGCAATTAAAGAACCAAGAATCTTAATCTTATTATTCAAATCGTATCATGATCAAGATGATCATCATCATTTAAATGAAAAACAATGAATACAAATGATGGTTTAACAATTAAGGTTAGAGAGTAACAATTTCTCGAATCTATACAGCCAAAGACTTTGAGTTTGCATAAATTTTTAATCATTCGCGCAGGTAATGGTAATCACTTGAAGATTAATTTTGATATCTAACTTTTTCCAATATCGATACATATAATTTTATCTTTGTTTTGAATTTATCTTTAAGTGATAAGATGACCGTCTCAAATGATTAAAAATTTATGCAAACTCAAAGTTTTTGGCTGTATATCAATATTTTCATCATCTTAATCATCATCTCTATCCTCATGATTAATAAACTACTAATTTTTATATAAATATCATGTCAAAGTCAAGTGATAAACATTTAATTCCCAATACTTAATAACTATCAACCAAATGACAATTTAATCTTTAACATGATAATAAACAATTGTTGTGTAAAGAAGGTCAATTAAATGATAAATATAATTAATTAATCATCAACCTATACATAGATTTTTGTTATAATAAATCACAACACTAATAAATATTCCCATTTTATGTATAACATCAGCATCATTTTCGTTTCCGGACTCATCATTAGGTAGCTTGTAATTTACTCATTACAGGTGTATAGCTAATGATAAAAGTAAAAACTGATCGGAAACAGAAAAGGTAATAATATCCGGAAAATCATAATTAATTGCTAAATATAATTGCAATTATGTTGATTAACAAATGTAACTTAATATAAAGTTCAACTCTTAGCTTTGTTTTTCATTTATTTTCCCATAACAATTAAGTTTTACCGACACTTTGGTCAATTTTTAACTATTACCAATCAATACTAATGATCCCAAGTAATTAACAAAGGTCTATGAAAACAATAGTAACAATTACTGTTAAAAGTAAACCTTAATTGTAAACAAGAGTGAGAAAGTTAATTGTTAGATATTAGATTGCCAATGATAATTGAAACTGAGCCAATTTAAATATGAGTAAAATGATTAAATTGATTATTGATCAGCGGATCAATTGAATCAAGAGACAATTAACCGAGTCTATGTTATAGTAATAATGAAACTATGATTAAATGAAAAGGCTCCAGAATGATTATCACGATGATTAGTTAAATGTAAACAATCACAATTAACTTTGATTGTACCTTTATAATTGTATGTGAAATTTCAAACCTTTAATTTATTGTTTTCCAATAAATTTTCAATTTCAATCTTTGGTTTATCATCAATGTGAACAGATTATTGTCATGAAAATGATGATTAGGGATGGAAACTTATGAACAAATGAAGATAAGACCACACAAGTTATCTTCCTCTTCTTTCTTTCTCTCTTTCTTTTTGCACTCAGTCATCATTCTCATCATCATCATCATCAAAGAGTAATAGTTATTACTCTTTGATCATCATCCACAAAAAGCACATGTCTTCATGCTAACCGTCATCTTCATCTTTGTCATCCGAAAAGGTAACAATTAAAGTAAAACAATAAGATCAATGTTAATATTTTAAAGGGTGTCTTACCTTATCTTACCTAAAATTGTGATAAGAAAATGAAAAATGTGTACAATTGAATTAAATTGTCATCTTCTTATCACAATTTTAAGTAAGATAAGTTATACTTTTTAAACGCAGCACCCTTTATCATCGTCATTGTATCAATCAAGTTGATGATATTTTTAATCAACCATTTTGAAGGTTAAATCGTGACAAGATTATGATTAGTAAGACAACAATTAACTAAACCATCAATGGAAAGCTCACTGGAAACAATTAAAGAGACTCCAAGTTGAAACAATTAGCCAATTTAAAGGTATGAAAGTTACCGTATTTCCCCGCATTTATCGCCAGTGCTTATCAGTGAGAAAAATTCGGCTTTAAGTCCTTGTTGACACTTTTAAATATGCGCTTGGCTTGTAAATGAATTTCCAATCTAAACGATTGAGATTGGCAAAGAAGATTTTTTTTACGTCATCAACTGATAACTGAATATAAAACCATACAGTTCGAGATAACAATTATCAATTTAAATTGTTATCTAACCGATTGGGTCTTTTTCTCGAGTAAAAGTCAATCTCAAAACCGGTTACTTCAGTAGTGTATAAGCGCCCTGGTCGATGGTCAAAAGGCAAAAAAAGGCTTATCAGTGAATTCTCCACTTTTTAGCACTGGCGATAAATGCGGGGAAATACGGTAATTGTTACCTAATTGATTAGTTTTAATATCACTTTAGGTTTACAGGAAAAAAAGTGAATTTAAAATGTAATCAAAAAGGTGAATCCATATAAGGAATTAACAATTTAATCAGAATCATAATAATCAAGATGAAAACATGATTATCATCATGATTAACTTGTATTGATTCATTGAATTATAACCCAATTTACTGATTGTTTAGCTTATAATGATTTAAGATCAATATATTACATTAATAGCTACGAATCGTTAATCATGTTAATCATCAAAATTTAAATGAGAAACAAAAAGTGTTAAATGTTGATTAATATTAATCAAGGTAGTAAATTGATTGAAGTTTTCTGGTTAATTGTGATTAAAAACCACCCACAGATTGACCTTTCAAATGATCAGATTGTTGTAATCAAGTTAATTGTTCACAATTTAAGTATATTGACAAAAATAATCTAATCACATTTAAATCAATTCTTTATAATCGTTAAATCCCAAAATCACGGAATCAATTGTGATCAACAATTAACCATTCAGATTGACAAGATTAGCGTAACAATTTGTTAAATAATCAAAACTTTTGATTGTAATTAAATTTGAAGACCAAATTTGAAGGGTTAAGATGAAAAAAACACAAATTGGATCTTTAATTAAATTAACTAATTGCAGCTTAATTACAGTAATAAAATGAAAACCTTGAACCTGATTAAATTGTCTGGTTTGTGTTAATCCAATAAAAATTGGTTAATCAATCAATTAAATTGATTATAACAATTAGTTAAACTTAATCAAGGTAAAATTGTACAAAAACCTACAAACAATTAAGACAATTAAAGGTATGAACGAGTTAAAAATTAACTAATCAATTTGATTAAGAAGATGATGAAAATGATTAACGATATCAATTTAAATCAACATGAACTTTAATCAATTTGATTGCTTCCCATTTGATTATCACCAACAATTAACTAATTTTTTTCCCTCTTCCTCTGAGAAATTAATTCACTGACAGAGTTAATCATTTTCTCATATATATAATTATGATTATCACTAATTATCAACAATTGCTGATGATCGGATGATGATTGTGAGTTAATTGTTATTATCAGATTTGCACTTTAACCAACTAACGTTAATTGTGAATGAGAATAAGAAAATTTAATCACAATTAACATTTGAATTTTTCATTTTCTTATTATAATATTACAAACTTTTTTATTGATTGAGATTGGGATTGGTTTTTAATCGTAATCAATTTAATTATCATATTCATGGTAACAATTTAAAGGATAACAATTAATCAGAATCCAGAAAATCATCAAATTCAATCAATTTAACCAAGTGAAAGTAATTTAGATCAGCAATGAAAACAAAAAGTAGCAATTAAGGTAAACCAATCAGTTGATTATCATTGAAATTTAAACGAGTAATGATTAATTATTGATTAGTTGATCACACTAATCAAGTGAATGAAATATAAGGTCAACAATTAACCATATATCCTATTAATATAAATGATAATTGGAATATAAAATTGATTAGTAAATTGTAAAGTGAATACTAATTATCCCTAATCAATTGATAGGAATCAAATTTTTCGTGATTAATAAAAAGCGGGAAACAAAAAATTAGTTCAAAAATTAACCACAAATATCGGAATCGTTAACAATTTACTTAATCATTTCAACCAATCTATCTGATGATGATGATGATGTTTAATGATTATGATCACAATCAACTACAATTAACGTATGTCTCAACAATTATCATTATGATTAACTGTTGAATTATTATGAAAGTTTATCAAGATTAACTGTACTTATTATGATTTATATTATTGTCTTAATTGTTGTTTGCTATATTTAATCATTATCACTGAAATAATCATCAACAATCAAATAATTTTCTGGGCGTTTGTAAATTATATGTGTAATCAACTGATTGTGAATCAAATCATCATCATCATCATCAGCATCTTTAATCGTCATTTGATTGTTTTGATGTTAATCCAACAATTAGAATTAAAATGAAAACAATTTAAGGAGAGAGAGAGAGAAAAAAATTAAGCTCTAAGATTAATGATCGATGATAATGATTAAAATTGAATAACAATCAAAAGTGATGACGATCAATTAACTTCTCTAAATAAACGTTGATATTGACAACTCGTTGATCACAATTAAAGGCTGATATTAATTTGGATAACAATTAAAGGTTTTGTTGATCATGAATATCAAAATGTATGGGAAAACCATTAAACTTATATAAATCCCTCTCAGATTTAATCTCATTGTTATCATTATGATTAACTGATTCAATTGATTACTATTTCAATATTAGATAATGATAACTGGTCAGTTCTTAATTCAGTTGATGATAATTACAATTTAGATGAACCTTTGAAGGTCAACTTTTAATTGTTTACTTTTCTTTTTGTGATGTTTTTTTTTGTTGTTTACCTGATGCTTTTTGTCGATTGTTATTATTATGGACTTGGGATTAAGGTGGATCAAGAAATTGAGTGAGAGAGAAGTGAAAAGAATCAGATTAAACAAAGGATTACCTTTGATCAGAATTTAAATCAAGGTAATGAAAGATTAACGATTATTTTTGTCACATAGAGAGAGACTTTTATTATTGTCAATTGAATGGTAATTGTAATGAAAGAAATTGATTCTGAGAACAATTTAAAATCATTTGATTACTTTAATAGTTTTGTTGATTAACTTTTTTAATCAACATCAACAAGAGATTCAAGGAAATCATCATCATCATCGTAATTATGATGAATGAATAGAAAACTTTTTTTTCTTTTTCTTTCTGGTAAATCTTTTAATCTTTATCCTTTTCTACGGATAATCTAAACCAGTTATTTCAAGAAAGAAAGAAAGAGAGAGAGAGAGAGAGAGAGAGAGAGAAACTTATTTGATATCGAAAATCATTTCATTTGTATCATCATGTTTTTCATGTAATCCTGATATCTATCTTATTTCATCAGAAATTAATCTTCCTTGATAATCTATCATCATCATCATCATCAACAACAACATACCTTTTTCCAGGTAAACTCTCACTGAAACCTTTCAAGCATTCAGATAACAATGTAAACTAGCCTAATAAGATACAGATCATCATCATCATCATCATCATTATCGTCATCGTGCTTGTCATGGATGGATGATGAGAAAAGGCCAAGTGAATGAGCGAGTGAGTGAGTGAGTCTCAATGAAAATCATCATGAGAAAATTTTTCAAAACAAGAAAATCAAGCAAATCAGTCTGACAGAAAAAAAATTGATGAAAGACATAAGAGGAATGCAGAAAACATTAGGAAGATGAAGATTACAGGTAAGATGATGATGAAAGTGAAAGACTCTCTCTCTCTCTCTCTCTCTCTCTCTCAAGAATCATGATGATGACAATAGTTACATCAACAGGAATCATATTTGAGTTAATCATAACAAAAAAAGCAGAAATCATCATTCGAGACAATAAGTTACAATTGACTTAATCTCTCATAATTCAATTGTTATTCAATTGTTGGATTATCTTAATTTACTTTGCAAATATTAATAAACATGAGGTAAACTTACTTTCCACTTATTCCGAGCTTTAATATTAATTATCTGAGGTTGATAGTTGATTACTGGATTAGTTAATTGTATCACAGTTTCACTGAGTAAATGAGAGTCTCTTGATTTAATCCAATCATGGGATAGACATTGATCAACGGTTAAACGTTTCCTTTAAAGTTTAAAACAAAATTAACAAAGGGAAAAGTTAATTATCATTATTAATCCAACTAATCTGTTATATTGAGATTAGGATTAACTTACCTGCCATCTTTAACCAATAGATTTGATATAAAATGTTGAGCTAAATCACTAAAATGAGTTGAATCAAAAAAATAATCAACTGTAGTTATATTGGTAAAAGTTTCTTGCTTGGTATCACCAAGGAAAGGTGAAGCTCCAGTTAATCTGGTTTAATCCATTTAATTGTTGGGATTAAGATGTTGGGATTAGCATGAAAAGGGGAAGGGGAAAGAGAGAGAGAGAAATAAAAAAAAATAATAAAAATAGATTAAAATTAATAAATAGTATTTAAGATGGAAAAGGAAATGATTAAGTTTTCTAATTGTGGTAATCAAGAGATAAGCAATTAAACGATTTTTAATTGTTGTTCGTACAAAGTAATTGTATATATAACTTATTGTATTGTTAAATTGTTACAATTTAAAAGGTTATTATAAGTGATTGGTCAAGGAAGAAAAGAGGAAAATAATGAAGATGATAAATTGTGATAAAGGAAATGATTAAGATTAAATTGTTTACAATTTAAGTGATTGCGTTTGATTAATATCAGGTAATAAAGAATTGAATTTATCTCTAAAACTAACAATATAATTAACTATTACTTTTGACCTGTTTTTATATAATAATTGTGTTGATTAATTGATTAGTATTAGAGGTTTTTGAAACCATTTTGATTGTTAATTGCTGATAGAAAATCAATTGTAACAATTAAAGAATCAACTTACAAATTATATGTGATAACACCGACACTCCATAAATCGGTTGCTAAAGTAATTGGTTCATAATTAATAATCTCCGGAGCTGGACAATTGAAAGAGATGGAGGAAAAGTAGAAATTAGATTGTGATCAGCTGATTGTTTGACTGATTGTTAGGAGAGACAAAAAAATTAAACTGACCAACAAATTCTGGTGTACCAAGTATCTCTCGTATATCTGAACCAGTATTGACCACTCGAGATAATCCAAAATCGATTAGCTTTAATCTTTGTGTTTCTTTGTCAAGTAACATAATATTTTCAGGCTTAAGATCCAAGTGGACAATGTTTTTTGAATGCATGTGGTCAAGTCCAAGTAAAATTTGTCTAATAAATGCAATCGCTTGACCCTCTTCAAGTCCCTCTTTACCTGCCAGGTAATCAAAAAGTTCACCACCTTTGACCCTAAAATGAAAACAAAAAAGATCCATAAACATAATAAAATAATAGTTGATTAACATTGAATACGAAGTGAAATTTTTTTTTCGACAGTAAATTGTTGACACTGGTCAGTTGATAAACTTTTTGACCATTTTCCAGTTAAACAATTTACCTTTTTCATTAAATATACAAAAGTCTAATGATAACAATTTGGTAATAGTAACAATAACGTTTCCTGGTTTAACTAACCCAAGAATTACCTTGAGTTTGTATGATGTATGATGTGGTTACCCTTAAATTGTTTCCTAGTCAAGGGTTAGTTTAAAAAATTTTGTCATAATTAAGATGAAGATGATAATAATAAAGGTAATAAAGATGACCATTACTATGATATACATAATATCATTTTCATAAATGATATTATTATGGTCAAACATTTAACTTGACAGGTAGAGAGTAAAAAAAATACCGGAAGGAAACAACATCTTAGTAACTCTCAAGGTATGAATGAAGTTTTTTTATGGTTATTATTACTCTTTTATTATCATCATCAAGCTAATCTAAAGGTGATGATGATGATGACAACAATTATAATGAGAGAGAGAGAGAGAGAGTTACTAATGATAGGTAATCCTAATAATGGCTTATAACATTACCTGTTAATCTGTTTTCTGAGTCTGTTGGTTTTATTAAGATTCTGATTGTTTAATGTTGAATTTGTTTGGTTACTGTTCAAGTTTTGGGTTGGATTAATTTCTGATTATGATATTGATGATAATTACTGTTAATTGTTGTTCCCAATCAATAGATTTACTTACAATTCAAGTATCAGGATAACTTCATTTCCATTGTCGTAAACGTTATATAATTTAACGATATTGTCATGATTTAATTTCTTGAGTATATTAACTTCACGTTCAATGTCTTCCAATGTTAATCCTCGTCTCGAGCCAATGATACGTTTCTTACGGACGAATTTAGCTGCGAACTCTTTACCCGATGACCTTTCAATACATCGACGGACAGTAGCAAATTGACCACTGGAAGAATAAGAAATGAATAAAAAAAGATGATTGAAACAATTGATTGAATAATGAGATTGATCAAGTTAATTAAAATGTAAATCATCATCGTCATAATATATTATAAGTGATAAACACATCAGATTCAAAGTGTGAATATGAAATAAATATTAATAATAATGAATGAAAAAGTTATTGATTGTGTTTCAATGTTAATCCAATTCAATTGAATTGAGTTTATTAAATCAACATGAATGAAAAGTTTATCATTATAAAAGTAGATAAGTTGTTAAAATGATGATTCCCAATTGTGATCATGTTGATGTTGATGATGATGATGTTCAGCTAATAATAGATGAAAATTTTGAGGCTAAAAAAGTGGCCTTTGATTGAGCGGTAATTGTTATGATAATAATAGAAGATGTTTCAAATTCAGAAGTCAAATTGTTTGAATTATCATGATTATCATTTTTTTGAGAATTGAATTTAAATCTTTTCGCCGTTTGTGTTTATCTGTAACAGGAAATGTTACACATTTAAAGGTAACAAATGAAGAAAAATGACCGGAAATATGGTCACGAAAGAGGAAGATGATAAAATAGATGATGATGATGATTTAATAATCTAAAAGATGATAACAATCAGAATTTTTGTTTTTCTGTTGTTGTTGTTGATTCGCCAACACGTTACAACGAAAGGGACTTAAAGGTACACGCACTTTTCTGACGATCAACACGTATTCAGATGGACAGATAAATTGACCTCAAGGTAAGAAGAAGGTAAAAAGATGATAGAGTTAAATCATCTTCCTGTCATGTAAATGTTTCATAATACTGATTATCATCATCATCATCATTTTCTAGGTGTAACATTCAAATCAGAGGATTAAATTATCCCTTACGTTGGACATTAATTATTCAAAACTGGACACACATAAATTTTATCACTATTTCAACACTTAAGAGACTTGAGGTAAAAATATAATTGTAATTGTATCAAAATAATTGATACAATTAAATTAACGGAAGATGAAATTTAAACACAATTAAAATGAGCTACAGACAAAGATTACATTTGAGTGTTGGTCAAGCAAACCGATTTCAGCTTAATAATCAAGCATAAATTTATGGTCATCATTAGGGTTAATTAACTGAGTTGATGAGAATTAATATTATTGAAATATTAACAAGAGAGAAAATTAAAATCAAAGTAAATTAGATTTAACTACATTTAACTGGATTAAGATTAAGTTAATCATGACAATCAAATGAAAGAACGAGATTTGTTTGTTTCTTTTTTGCAATAACAATCTAATTCTATGGTGAAATTGGTGAGAAAACGGCTATGAAATTGTTAATGGAATCTGATTAATTTAAATCATCAAGTAATCAGCGTGATGATAATGATGGTGATTATCTTACTGGTTTAATTTTCTTAGGTATAAGATTAACAGGGAAAAAGATTGATTTGAATTAAGGTGATTTTGTTTTTCTTTTTTCCTCCTCATCATGAAATTAGCAAGATTTTCGTGACTTGACCGGTTATTATATTATCAATAATGACGATAAATTATTTTAAATGATTAATAATTAAGGTTTCATATGATTTTCTGGCGTGATTGTGATTGTAACAATAAATGAGACTGATGATTTTTGATTGAGATTCAATTTGAGATTAGCTTCAGTTTTCAGAGTAAAATTGTATTCAATTGAGTGGGATAGATGATGATGGAAGCTCAATTGATAATGGTGATGGTCAGAAGGGTGTTAAATGGTCATTACATGAATTGTAATTGAATTGGACAATTGGGAGAATGTCAATCGAGTTACAATTAGGAAAATTATCTAATTTACTGGTGGACATATTTGATTCCCTGATGATAGGTAAAGGATTCGATTAATGGTTCTAACTATTTTGAAATGCAAAGGACAAAGTTCCCAAGGTCAACCAAACACCGATCCAAGCGGCAGAGGTCACATAGCCCATGAATACAGATGATTGTGCAATTGGAAGACCTCGAACCAGGATTGACCTTAGTGATTCAGCTGCTGCAGTGGTCGGTTGGGTTACACTGACCCAACGAAGGTAATAGGGAAGTGTATCGATTGACCACATGACACCCGATATAATGAAAGTGAAAAGTAGGACAGCATTTGCTACTATGGCACAAGAAAATATGGACGGAAGGACAGTGGACAGAAAAACACCTAAGGACATTCCAGATAACATTTGAAGTAAAAGTAATAAGATGGCAAAAGGGAAAGATCCTCTACAGGGTACACCGAAAAGGGTGATTGAAAGAGTTAATAGAATGACAACCGGAGGGATAAGAAAAATAAATCGAGTGACAACTTGTCCAAGAATAATTTGAAATGCACCAAGTCCAGCGGAATAGTTTCGATCAAGGGTTCTATCTTCCTTCTCAATGAGCAAAGTAAACGCTGTAAGCGCGAATCCAATTGAATAAACGATAACAATCATCAAACCTGGTGCAGCGAAATCACGAACACCAAAGAAATCTGATTTACCAAATGAGCCGAAAACAGTGGAACCCAATTTAATTGGTAAATCGGCCAATTTAGGATTGGACAATGTCGGTTTAATGGTATCCAAAAAGGTTCGACCCAAAGCACCAGTGACCAAACGAGTTAACACAAATGAAGTTAAATCGCCATGAATTTCAATGGTTGATGAATTAAGATCAATCGAGGTACCAGTAAACGGATCAGTTTCCTGGAAAGTTAATCGAGCCAAAAGAGAATCTGTAAATCCTTTCTTAATCCTAACAACACCCCAAATATGACCACTGGCCACATCATCGAGCGCATCAACGTAATCGGCATAATATCGTTTACTGAACATGTAACTATTAATCGATGAGAGAAAAGCTGAGCTCAAACAACGTTCATTGGAAAAGTAAAAATCACTCGCGTTGTGACCTAAAGGCGATGGGCTATGGTGCTCATGGTGGTGGTGATTTTGATGATGATGGTGCTTCTGATGGTGATTTTGGTGGTGATCGTTGATTTGATGGGTCGTATAGTCACAATTTTCGTGGTTAACGAGGCCGATCGGTACACCGTTGGGAGTTCCTCCGATGCAGACACAAAACACCAACAAGATGATTATGGGAAGCACAAGGGAGGCGACTATTGTTTCTGGTTGGCGGATAATTTGTAAATTGTATTTGGTTAAAGTTGCGACAAATTGTATCCACCAAGCATGAGTATCGGAGGTTTCATTGGGTCTTGACCATGGGGCTGAAAGTGTCGCAATTGTTGTTTTACTGTCGTTATTGTTTCCTCGAACTTTCGAGTTGATGGTTGACTTTTTTTTCGCTCCCTCTTTCGATGATATTTGTTTCATGGAGCCCGAAAGTGAGACTCGTTTATGGATATAACATAAATGGTGGAAAACGGCTTCCAAAGTGTTAACACCATATCGGCTCATGAATGCATTCGGACTGTTCTCGGCGATGATTGCACCTTTCCTCATGAAACCGACAACATCGGCTTTACGAGTCTCTTCAATATAATGAGTTGTAACAATTATCGTACTCCCATAAAGTCTTGCCGTGTTTGTTAATTGTCGCCAAATACGAGATCGTAAAAGTGGATCAACACCCACCGTGGGTTCATCTAATATCAATAACCTTGGATTGTGAAGGATTGTAACACCGAAAGAAACTCGCCTCTGTTGACCACCACTCAACGAACTAATTAGTGTATTTTTATCAGGAAGATCTAATAAGGTGATTAGTGATGATATTCGTTCACTGATTTGATCAAATGTTAGGAAATTAACTCGTCCGAAAAATGTCCAAGTCTCTTTGATGGTTAAATCTCGTGAAAGCGCAGTTTCCTGGGGCATATAACCCACCCCAGGTCCAGGAACACCACTTTCCCGAGTACCTGGACTATAATTGAATATCGATATCTCACCAGAATCGGGAATCTTCAAACCCATTAAACACTTAATCAACGTGGTCTTGCCACACCCTGATGGACCCAATAGACCATAAATACAACCCTTGGGAGCGGTCATTGCAACATTGTTGAGTACAAATTCAGTTGACCCCGAGTGACCATAGGTGACATTAAGATTCCTAATACGAATCGCTGGTCGAGCAGTTAAACTAATACGACCATTGAACATTAAAGGTGAAGATGTTGATGAAATTTGATTATTATTATCACAAGATGATGATGATGGTGATGATGATGAAAATGATGTGGTAGTAATTAAATTTGATGACACAATCAAAGATTCACTGTTGTTGTTATTATTATTATCGTCACTTTGTAATGAAGTTAATCCATTAACTTGTAATTTGTTTGACGATATATTCTGATTATTGGCATTTAAATTCATGATAAATTGATTAATAATTAATAATCGAAATCAATGAGAACAAGAAAAAGGCACAAACTTTACACTGGTCAGTAACTTAATGTCCATTCAATTGAAAGAGAAAAACTTTTTTCTTCTTCTCCTCTGATATTTAAACTGATCACAATGAAGACAATTTTGATTGTTGGGCTCCTAGTAATCACTAGATATTATTATTAACTTAAATTGTTTACCAAATTGTTGTCCAATTAACTTTATTTCCCTATCAATCGAGTTAATAACAATGGTATTACATTGATAATAATAATATTCACAATCCATGTTCAGGGACAAATAAGAATCTCCCTTTTGATATTATCAAGAAAATACCAAGTGTCAAAAATTGATTCAAATGATATTAAATTAATAATAATAATTAGAAATCAAGATATTGATTAAGGAAAAAGCAAAACAAAAATGATCAACAATCAAGATTAAAGATGAAAATGATTTAAATGAAAATCATCAACAACAATGTTAAAAGTTGCAACTGGAAACAGAAAATCTTAATCAATCACTAAATTAACTGTTGATTTGAATGAGTTTTTAAACTTTCCATAGTCCGATGTTGATTAATCATTAATCATCACAATTGTCATGATTAATACTTAGTAATTAACAGCTATTTACCCGTCAAATTGTTTTCAATCATTAGTTTCCCTGTTTACAATCAAACAGAAAACAAAAGATTCACTTGATTGATTTGATTTTCCATTGATCATTTTTTTTCAACTTATTTTCTTAATCAAATTTGATTGTGATTTCCCATTTTCATTTCTATTATTATTACTTATTGATTTCTTTCAGTGTAATCAAATTTAATCATATCCAAATGATAATCGTTAGTTAATAATAATTATATTACTTGATCCAAGGTCTCTGATTGTTGGTCATCTTTTCAATCTAATATTGTTATTATTATTTAATCATTTGAGTTTCATCATCAACAATTACTAATACCTTATCCATGTGTGATTAACTAGCTTTTTGCTGATGATTAAATCATTGTGATTAACATAACTATCAATCAAATTATCCTCAATGGATTATATGATTTATTTAATAGTAATTGTTGTTGAACAGATAACAACAATTCAAATTGAATAAATTACTTGTAATCATTTAAGAAGATGTAAATTAATATGAATTAACTTTAGATTAAGATAATCAAATGTTAAAAAATTAATATCATCATCATCATCATCAAGATAAATGATTAATTTGATTGCTTGAAAATTGTGACAATCTAAAGATACAATTGAATTATCATCAATCAAACTGTTAAACAGATTGGACAACCATTAAGTGTAACAATTAATAATCCAATGGTCAGTATTTCCTATCAATTAATAAGATTATCAAGCAAATTAGTTAATTGTTGATCGGCAACAACAAAACAACAATTAAATAATGGTAATCACAATCATATACAGTTCCAACCAAAGGACAATCATGATTTACTCATTGTCTCATATTATTTACAATTAGGTGTCAATGAATCAACGTTAATCAACAATCAACAATCAACACATGATGATGATAATAACTTTCTACCTGTTAATTAACATAAAGTTCATTAATCTAGTGAGAAAATAATAAACAGGTAACAATTATGGTTAACAGGTAAAACTTTTTATCTTCATTTTGTTGAATATCATTTGATAGTTTTTTTTGTTAATTGTCTTCATATTGTTAATATAATCAAGGGCGTGTATTGGTAATGATTTAATGGTGATAATAATGACCCATGTTAATCTAATCTGATGAAAGATTAACTTTAATCTGTTTCTCGTTTTCTCTTTCAAATTTGTAATGATAATAAATATCAATTGAAAGGATAGACCAGCAAAGTCAATGGACTTTGAAAGAGGACCAATGACCATTAAATTGTGCAAGAAAAATGATCAACATCCGATAATTATAATCATTATATTGATGATGATGATGATGATTATCATGATTTACCTTGAATTAGCATCAGAATCAACTGATTTGTTTGGTTAATCTAATTTGGTTTATAATTATTGTACAATTAATAACACGATGGTAAGGAAATGTTGAAATCGCTGATTGTTTGTTTTGCCAAATTTAATTTTTCATGTTTTCTATTAACAATTAGCTTAAATTGAGTTGCGACAATTTTGATTAGATTAATGATTCTTGGATTAACAATTGATTATTGACTGAGTGAAAGTGAATGATCTTAATTTTTGGTCAATTGCCTAAAGAAAACAATTTTGACCCGAAGATTAAATCAACCAAATCAAATCATCTAATCACCACCACCATCATCATCATCATCATTATCAAAGATTCACAACAATTAAGAGTTTAACTTAAATTACAATCATTTGAAAAGTGATTAGTGTATCATCAACATTGGAAAAATGTCTCCAGTCTCATTAATTGTTACAATTTTCAGAACAATTGTTTATTATTTTCTAATTCTTAATTGTTTACATTCAAGTAAACTGTCAACTGCCAGCAAAGGAAACGTTGTTATCACAGGTAAGCAATTGTTATTTACAGTTAATTTTACTCGATTCTAATTAAAAATGGTTAATTGTTGTTACAATAATTCAGGAGCACCAACACAACAACAATCAATCCCAATTCCAATTCCGATTCCGATTCCATTTCTACACAACATTATGCCTTATCCACCACAACCACAACCACAATCAACGATGCACAATCAATTCATGGATCCATCATTACAATCAAGGTCTCCTTATACACCTAATCAGGTAAGTTTAATGATTATGGTCAACAATTAAGACCTTTAATTGTATCATTGTGTTTTCCATTCAATCCAATAAGCCTTCACATTTTATGCAACACTTTGGCTCACCAATGGCAAGATCAACATCTCAAATTGTTCAACCCAATTATTATCCAATTAAAATTGTTGTCGTTCCAATGTAAGTAATTAATTTACCTTAATTCCCATTCTGATGAGATTAAGTTAATCTCCAATTGTATTATCCAATTCTTTTTTTTTCTGTTTTTACTCTTAATCTTTTCCCATGCAAAGAATTCCCAATATGGATGATAATCGTTGGAACAATCAAATCTCTTTCCAATCAAATCAACAAAATCAACTAGATGATCAACTAATTAGACAACAAATTGCACCACCAAGACCATGTGATTTAACATTAGCCTGGTGATCATTTAGCTGACCATCAGAACTGATTGAGTATAAACAATCAATAAATTGTTAACAATCTAAATCAGTAAATTTTCTTGCTCTTCTAAAACTAATTACAAACAAGACAATTAATCAATCAATCAATTAAATGTATTTTTCTCTCTCGCTCTCTTTCTCTCTCAATATTTGACAATACAATCATCTTAATCCTCTCATCTCTCACCTTTGTCACAATTAACTAATTGTTGTCAATTTTGTTCTGTATTCAATGAGAACTCAATTATCAGAAAATTGTGAGAATCGTGTGTGTTTATATTTATTACAATTAAGTTAATTCTCTAAGTGTAAGAAAAAGTAACAAATTTCCTGTGTCACAATTAAGATATTTAATCGGATTGTGTGTTAACAATTAAAAAAGAATCCGTTATAATCAAGAAAAAGGAAAAGAGAAAGAAAAAGTTCTGATAAATTCAAGGATAATGAGAAGAAGTTCAAATTACAATTGAATTAATTTCAATGAATCAAATTACTATTAAATTGTTGGTGATTCAATCAATGAACATAAAGAAAGAGAAAGAAAGAGAAAGAAAAAGTTCTAATGAGATTAGAATTGATTAACAGAACTGATTGTTAACAATTAGAAGGGAATTGAGAAAAAAAATTAACAGGTAACCCAATCATTCACATAGAATACACTTTTAATCATGTTTACTTAAACGGAAACAATTGACACCATGGAAACAGAAACAATAACCAGGTAATCATAATAATAGTAAATGAATTAACTAAATCAGTTAATCAAAAAAAAACAAATGATCAATGAAAATCAAGGACAATTAAAAAGCTTAAACCGGTCATCAGGGTTTCCAATGGTGATGAATGAAAGATAAACAATAAACAAACATCAATGTGACATTTGATTTCAATTTACTATTATTAATATGATTGAGACAATTAACTAATTTCTCTGATTATTGTTGATTAAAAATTGTCAGTGATTAAAAGACTAATCTGAATGTTTAATTGCAGTTGATTAGTAATTAGCAAGGTAAAGTAAATTGTTGTTGTTGTTGTTGTGTTTACAAAATGATAAACATTGAAGCCAAATTGTGATTAAATTGCTAAATGATGATGATGATGATGATGATGATTATCTTAATTGATACAATTAAAAGTATTAAATTTACAATTGTAATTGTTAGATGAGAGTAAAAGTAAAAGGTAAATTGTGAGGCTGATTAAACAATCAATTTAAATTGGTAATTGTGACGATGATCATTTGATTATTCATTTGAAAGGTTAAATGTAATTTACAATTGATTGACTTACCTGCCAATTTTTTCAGCGATAAAATAATCCGATTCAATTGGTTCTGAATTAAATTGTTGTTTCATTGCTGATTGTTAGGATTTCCTTTGGATATTGGTAACAAATTGTTATCACCTGATTTAAATATAATCCTTTAGGCACTTTATATATTTCACAATTATCGGGATGATGATGAAAAGCTGAGATCAGCTAATCACCGGATCAACTTTGATGCTCAGCTTTAAACTCAATAATAGTTTCACCAAGTTCCAGATTAATTCATCTTCACATTCTGAATCTACTGAACAAATTAAAGCTCAAAGAGGAACAACAAGAGTGAGAGAGAGAGAGAGAGAGAGTAAGTGAGAGAGTGAGAAGCTTCAACAACAAGGATCAACTAGATGGAGCTACTGATGGATAGCTGTAGACAGAAATTACAGAAAAAAAGTACAGGGTGATGAGAAAAATTGGTGTACAGGTTAATGGTACTTCCTCTTTTCGATGCGCATTCGACTTTCATTTGAACTGTTCAACTTTTTTTTTTACCTTTTTCGCTCCAAATTCATATTAACCGCCTCATCTTAATCCCTCCCCTTGGACGTTTTGAACTTTTTTTTCGTATCGAACTGTAATCAAAATGAATTAATACAATAATCGAACTGTATTAAATTGTAATTCCTTGCCCGATGCAACAATCAACACCTTTTATACTTGATTATTATAACTAATTTAATACTCCGGAAGGTAAAAATCTAATTACAATTAGTTTTGATAAACTTTTGTGTCTGTTGTTGTTAATCAATAATTAATATCCAATTTCAACTGATAATCAAGTGTAACAATTTAAAGTGGCCACAAAAATGATTATCAAATTTTACACTAATCAATTGGTGAAAATGTTGTTTCATTAATTGTTAATTGTAAACATGAAATTTAGAGGCAATTATGATGACAATTAATTGATTATCATCTCAATTAAAATTGACCATCAACTTTTTTTTTCAAAACTATTAAATGTTTTTGATTAACTTTTTTGATTAGTTAGTTAATCCACTGATTAATTGTATGTATACAATTTACATTTAGATTATTGATAATAATCAAATAATAATTTAAAAATCAAGGTGTGACTATTTAGATTTATGGGAAAATGATTAATTGTATTGTTATCATTATTTTTACCATACAATTAACTATTTGATTAGCTATTGATTTAATCTGATTTAGATTTACTTGATTGTGAAACAATCAGCGATGGCCTCTGATTAAATTCTGGTTGATTAATTGATTATCACGATTTACAAAAAGGGTCAATGATAGTTAAATCATAATCATTGTAAGTTTAATTGTTGCTAAATATCATAATTAACAATCAAATTGAAACTTTCATTTTCATATTTTTTTTTTTGATTATGATGATTATTATTGTAACTGATTAACTTGATTGATACTAAATTAGTTTTGATTGTAACCTTAAACTAAATAATGTTAATTGTTGTTGTTGTATAAATGTTACAATTAATATCATAACGGTTGTGATTAACTTTTCACAATTAACAAACAAATTGATCGTTAAACTTAATTTTCATTGAATATTAAATTATTTTAACTAACAATTAAACAATTGATGACTTAATTGTTACTTTTACCCTTTCTAAATGATTGATTATTTAATCATTGATTATCAAAAATTAAAGTTACAATCAATTTGCTTCATTTTTAATCATAATTATTGATTGACTATTGAATATGATTAACCAACAATCAGTGTGTTTAAATTTGATTAACTGAGATTAATGAAAAAAAACAAAACAATTTAAGGTTAATTGTTAACTAATATAAACTTTTCATTATATTAATTGTATTGATCATTTAATTTTAATTGTTTCTCATTATTATTGTTGATTGATTAACCTGGATGATTAAAATTAATTAGTTTTTAATTTTTATTTTTCCAATCTCATGTTATCCTAGAACTGAATCAATCAATGATTCTGATAATTTGATTTTCTTATTGATTAAATCTTAATAATCTAAATTGTGTTAACTGTTCAATAAACCAAAATGATTAGTAAATTATGATTACCACAATTAAAGGGAGTGGTAGTTGATTAGAATTGAATTTTACCTTGAAATGTAACTTACAGCATTTACTTAATAATCTACAATTAAATCATCTAAATTCAAGTGAATAACAATTAATTTAAATTCTGAAAAATTATCAGTAAATTGTGATCAGTTAATTGTTACATTTTTCATATGAGAAAGTACAACAAAACATAACTAATTAAGAACGAACAACATTTCATTTCCAATCATTTAAATTTTCTCATAATCAGCAATCAACAATCAACAACAATTTAATTCTATTGCAAGTTAATTTCTCATTTTAAACAATTAGAAAAAAGAGAAAAATAAAGAATTTTAAAAGTCGCGGGTTCTTTTAAAAGGGTAACCATGGTTACGTCGGTCTTTTATTTTTCTCTAACATTTAGTTTCTCATTTGTTTTCATTTAATTGTCACAATTGTTTGTTCATTTAATTTTAATCCTGTGATTATTTTCCCTGTAATTTTAGGTAATTAATTAATCGCTAATCAGTTGATCAATCATCATGGAAGCTCCTAAAGCTGCTGTCTCTGCTAAATTAGCTGAAGAAATCGCCAAATTCAGCAGCATCCAAAAAGATTATCAAAAAGTGGTTTCAACCCATCAGCAGTTGGATGAACAATTAAACGAAAATAATATTGTTAAACAGGTTTGTTTTCTATTCCAATAATTAAACTAATTGTCTTTGATTTAGTTGCACTATTGTTCTTTTTAGAAAAGGAAAAATCTATAGTGTTTTCTAATTCTTTTCCGAGATTTTCTTGCATGTTAAATGTTCTTCATGCCCAAGTGATGAATCATTTTCATTTTCCATTTTCTTTTTTCTCTCCACATTGATTGTTTTCTATTCTTTCTTCCTTTTATTAACAGGAATTAGACTTATTGGATGATTCTGACAATGTTTATAAGCTAATAGGACCTGCACTGATTAAACAAGAACTCAAAGAAGCCAAAGATAATGTTCAAAATAGGATTAAATATATTACAGGAGAAATGTAAGTCTCTCTTTCTCTCTCTCAATGACTTTCCCTTTTCAATGTTCCAAATATTATTAATAATTTTCTTTTTCACTTTCTTACAATTTTCTTTAGGAAAAAGCAAGAAGAACTTATTAAGAAGTATGAGAAACAACAACTCGAACAGAAGGAAGTGATTGGTAAACTTCAAAAGCAAGGATAACCTTTGGTGTTGTGTTTTCGTTTCTCTTTTTTGCTTCGAATCTTTTTTTTTCTATTACATGAATGGTGTATAACAAGAGTTTTCAAGTTTTAATAATATGATTGAAAATCAATGAAAAAGATTACAAAATTAGCCTCACTTTCTACTTGACAAATGGTTATAAATATCAGAGTTTATCTTTTTCTTGGATTCCCTGGGTAAAATCACCTATGCGTTAACTAGAGAGGTTTTTTGATACTCTCTAATTGCCAATAATCTATCACCTCCAATGCTGAAACCAACACAAGGTACTTTATATTTACTTCCAGCAAATAAAGTAGCTAAATTATCGTAACGTCCACCACCAGCAATAGAACCAAATCCATGATCAACTTGATCTCGTAATGAGACTTCAAACATAAGAGAAGTATAATAATCTAATCCTCTGGAAAGACTTAAATCAAACTCAATGATTCCATCTTCAATTCCCAGTGATTGACAATATTTCAATAGGATTTTCAATGATTCCAAAGCTTCCTGAGCAGGTTTAAACTTTCCCAGTTCACCATTAACCAATTCATCCAACTTATCAATGGATCCACGTTGATTGATCAATTCGGCAATTTTATCTAAAATTGTTTCCGTCAAGGTAGCATCTTTCATCAGATCTTTTTTAACTTCATCCCATGGAGTCTAAATAGAAGTGAAAAATTAAATTGTTGACAATTTTTTTTCCATCACATAAGGTCAATTGTACACTTACCTTTCTAGATTTATCTAAGGCCACAAATAACGTTGGAAATGTTTTCTCCGGAGCTTCAGCTAAGGTGAAAACACCATTCAAAAGTTGACGCATATTAACCTGAATATAAGAAAAATATTGAAATTTGTTAATATTAATTTATTATTATCAATCAGTCAATCTTACCTTAATTACGAAAGATTGGAGGCCAACATTTTTCAACGATTTATAAAGGACTCGTAAACATTTTGCATCAGCGATCATGTTATCTGATGGTCCAGCGATATCGTAATCCTGAACATTGAAGAAAATGAAATCAATTAACTTGATTACTTAGTTTCGATGAAACTTAGATCACTGAAACATTCTGGCCAACTTACACATTGATAGAATTCCCGGAATGTTCCTTTCTCTGTATTCGGTTTATCGGTTCGATAAACTTTACCAATCTGATATCTTTTCGTGCCCCCTAATTTGTTCATTGCCAGATAACGAGCGAAAGGAATAGTCAGATCATAACGAAGAGAGAGAATCTCTCCACCTTTTTTTTTCGAGAAAGAGAAAAAGAGAGGACAAAACATCGGAATTAGAAAAGTTCATCAGTTTATATGAATTTCCATGAGGATTTTTACCTTGATCTTGCAAATGGAAGATGAATTTCTCCTCTGATGATCCATATTTTCCCAGCAGTGTTTCTTTCAATTCGCAAACGGGTGTATCCAAAGGTTGTGCACCAGACCGTTTGAATGTATCAACAATAGTTTCAAAGACTTGGTCACGGTCCATCATCCGTTCAGGGTCATGATCTTGCATTCCCTTAGGTGTACAGAAACCATATAGTTGATTAATTTTCTCATCATCACCAGAAACGTCATCAAGCTGAGAAGCAAAAAAAAAATAAAATCAATCAATTTTTCAAAACTTTTAGGTAAAAAAAAAGATGACGTTAAGTCATTACAACAATGATTGACCATTAGAGCGAAAAAGGTCAAATTTATATTGAATAACTTTTATCGAAGGAGTTGAAATGATTGTTATTATTACCTTAATTTTGATGATTTCATCAGGAGTCGCTTTGGTTATTGGTTTAGAATCAGAATCAGAATCAGATTTATTTTTTTCAGATTCTTTGGTTAATTCGGCTTTTCGCTCTTCGAGCATTTTTTTCTAAAGGAAATGAAAGTTTGGTCAAGATTTTTGAATTTCTGGTTTTCGAAATTGTTTCAATTAACTTACCAATGTTTCGACTAATTTTGCACGTTCAATTGGTGTTTCTGATCGACTTTTAATATCTCTTATTTTAACAATTCCATCTTTAAGTTCATTTTCACCGAGCATCACAGCGAATGGGATATTTTTTTCTTCTGCTGCTTGAATTTGAGGTAATAATTTAGGGTTTCCTTTGTCTAATTGGTCAGCAGAAATTAGGGAATCGTCTAATTCAGCAATTATCTTTAACCTTTCTTCAACCATCCCTTTACCAATAGAGATTACGAAACAATCAATTTCACTAGAAGGTTCTAAACTCATTCGTTGACCAATTATGGCCAAGATTCGTTCAATACCAACAGAAACACCAACACAAGGTACATTATGTTTATCGCCCGAAAGTGTACCAACAAGACCATCATATCGTCCACCAGCAGCAATTGAACCAACTTCTAATCCATCATCTTGTAAAACGGCTTCGTAAATAATCCCGGTATAATAATCTAATCCACGAGCCAAACTCAGATCGAATTCAATTTTACCATTGATACCCAATTTTACACATAAATTGTGTAAAATTTTAAGCTCTTCTAAAGCCTGTTTAGCGTTAGCATTTTTCCCTAAATCACCTGATAAAAGTTCATCCAAAACTTCAACGTATCCATGATATTTAATCAATTCACCGATACGATCAGCAGCCGACTCTTCTAATCCTTTATCCTTACACATTTCTTGTTTAATCTCTTCCCATGTCAACTATAATTGAGAAATAAAAAAAGAGAGAAATTAATAAATCATCGAACTATATTTTCTAAACCAAATTAACAGTAGAAGTAAAAAATTCAGCTAACCTTTCCTAGCTTATCGATTGAAGAACAGATTGTTTTGAACTTTTCTTCGGGTACACCGGCTACGGAAAACATTCCATTAAGAAGTAATCGATGGTTAACCTAGAATATAATGAGAAAAAAGTCATTGGTGAAAAAAGAGGGAAAAATGATTAACTCAATTTCCAAACTTACCTTAACAGTGAAATCATTGAGATCCAAATCGTTCAATATTTCACAAAGAACCTTCAAACATCTTGAATCAGGTTCCAATTGATCATATTTACCAGCGATATCAAAATCCTGTGGTAAGATAAAGAAAAGAATAAAATAATTCACATTATCAGATGAGGAAAAAAAATGGTGACATAAGCAAATTAGAAGTAAAAAAACTAACACATTGATAAAATTCACGAAATCGGCCTTTGGTAATTGATGGATTATCTCTTCGGTATACAGCGTTAATTGAGTATCGGGTCATTTTGGTTATTTTATGTTGAGCCAAGTGTCGAGCAAATGGAACCGTGAGATCATATCTAAGGGAAAGAATTTCATTTTCTACAAAATAGAATAGAATAAAAAAGAAAAGAAAAGAATAAAACATCAAAAAGTATAAGAGAATTTTATCATATTCCATGCACAGAAAATTCTCTTTTTATACCGGATAACTTACCAATCTCTTCAAGATCATAGATTAATTTTGATTCTTCTCCATATTTACCGGTTAACAATTGTTTAGATTCAACAACTGGAGTATCCAAAGCAAGAGCACCATTACGTTTAAAGGCATCGGCAATTATCTTGAAGACTTTAATTCGTACCAACATTTGTTGTTGACCAAAGTCTCTCATTCCTTTGGGTACTTTGAGAACATTTTGTGAAATTACTCGCATCTTGATAATGAGGAAACGAAACAATTATACCTTTTCAGGAAGAGAATAGAAAACAAAAATTTATATCAACAATTTAAACACAATTTTCACAAGTAAATAATATGTAACAATCAACTAAATCAAAATTAAATCTAAACATGAAACACATAAAATCAATCTTTTCACAATCAACCACAAGTGTCGCCACCAGAAACTGACACGACACATTAGAAGAATTAGAATCTACCAGATGGCACCAACGTCGATTTCGATTTCAGCGCCATCTCTTAGAACAGAAAACAACCAAAAGAGCGAAATTTTTTTCCATCGAAAAAGTTTTTTTTCGAGATGAAAATAAGTTAATCAAGTAATTAAAAAGATGGGAGATTTTTTTTTCTAATCAACTAATTAATTTATCGAAAGAGAAAGGAGAGGAGATTTAGATTGAGAAGAATGTAGATTTTGATCTTTTTATCGATAAATATTATCTCTTAACTGGAGATAAGTGTTAATATTATCATAAGAATGACCAACATCTTAATTAGTCCGAAACTTTTTGATAACAATTGCAAAGGTGACCCTTTAATTGTCCATGTGTATGTTGAATTAACTTGGAACAGTTAACATTTAGTTAGCAATTTAACTAAATTACTCGTGAACCGGTTTCTCCCGTTAGGTGAGACCTGAGGATGATTATCGGATTTGAGAAACTTGATCAACAACTTAGTTAGTTAGTTAACTTTTACTATTCAACAATTTACTATCTCTTCAGTTGCTGATTGTTACTATTAACTGTTACTTTGAATGTTTGACCATCATCACCATCAAAACAATCAAAACAATTGATGAAATAACAATTTCAATTAAGGATCCCATTGAGTTTTGTGATTATGTTTTGGTCTTACCATCATAATATAAATTGTTGTCTATCAACTTTAATTGTCACTAATTGATTGTCATAATAGATTCAATATCTATGTGAAAGTTTAATTGTTCAACATAACAACTCATTTGGTGGTGGTGACAATCAACTAGTTAATTATAATAAACAATTTACCAAACTATTGGATTATTTTACTTTCTAAATCTACAATTTTCTAATCATCAATTAATTGTGTTCAACAGTTTAATTGTTCATTGTCAATGCTTGGATATTTTTCACCAAATAGACTCAAAGGTAAGGAGCAATTAGTTAATCACTTACCATTAATCATCAGATTGTTGATCATTTGATTGTCTTTAATTAAGTATTGATCTTAGTTAATTTTCACTCTCTAACAAATGTGACAATTGATTTATGATTTTAAATTGTCACAACAACAATGAAACAAATTTGATTGTCACTTTCAACATCATCATCATCATCATCATTATTATCATTTAATTGTCACCACAATCAACCTTGAGCAATTAAAAATCTTTACAGGTCTAGGTTAATTATCCAGCAACAACAATTAACTAATCATTGAAATGTATTTATAAACAAATTGTAACTCATAACTCAAACAAGATTTACTTTTATCAATAATAATAATTAAATTGTTCAGAAATCATTTCACCTGAAAACCATAATTACAATCAATGAATTAATAATAAGGCTAATTAACTACAGAAATAATTTTTAATAGTCTCTGATTATTAACAATTAACAACATTCACCTTACAAGTTATTAGTTAAATATTTGTTTTTTTTGGTGTTTACAATTAACCAAATGTATTAATGGTAATAAGATTCATTAGAATCATCAATTGGATCGTTAACAATTAACTTAATGATCATAAGGGTTAACGTGACATAATTTAAGTATTAAAACTAAATCATACCAACAATTTGATGGTAAATCATTTAATATTGATCATAATCAAAAATGATAATCGAAACTCAACTAAATTTTTTATTAGTTCAGATGATCAATATAATACATTGATAATGATAATAAGGGCAACATGAGAGTTACAATTAACTGAATTACCAACAATTTACTTTTTAATTTGATTACTATTTAAAAGCCCGTTAGGAATCAAACTAATTTTCATCATTATTATGATGCGGTGATTTGTTAATTGTATTTGATGATGATGATGATAATGATGATTAAAGGTATTGAGGTGACCTTCATTAACTAAATGATCAAGAAAAAGAAACAAAATTAAGGTGATTTAACTTGATTGTTAACAATTAAATTCAATTTCACTAAATCAAATCAATGGTTTTCAACATGATTTGTGTTTGTCAATTTCAAGATTGTTTGTTATTTTTTGTTAACAATTAATTGTTTTCACTAAGCAGATTGTTTAATTGCTAAATCCGGTTTAAATTGTTGTTGATTATTGATGGATTAATTTATTTTACTTGTTCAATGTGTGGTTAATTGTGTTGTGTGTGATTATCTTGGAAAATCTCATAATCAACAAATCAAATGTTAATCATAAACCATTTTCAATTAACTTTTCTTTCCCAAACCTTGCCCCTTTATTTTAATTGTAATTAAAATTAATTTCAATAATAATACAATTTACCTTTGATTTTATTAGCAATTATTATTATCAACAACAATTAGAGTTAAAAATTTGTTAATTGTTACACTCTAGACCTTTAATCAATGAGGGTCAATAGACATAACCATTTTTTTTATTATTATTATGAGAATCAATTTAAATCATGATAATATAATTTATGAACTTAATTTAACCACAATTTAGGTCACAATTAATGTTAACGGTAACAATTTAATTTAATTTGATTATCTTTGATTCATATATAAATATGAATCATAACTCATAATGAACTAAATCATTTCATAATAATAATAATCAACTAATTGTGTTTTCCTTTGTTAATATTTATTGTCAGCTTATTTTAATTGTTAATTAAGTATTTGTTGATTACTTTTAGATTGTAATTTGTTGATTACCTCCAATAAATCACACCAAGTTTTGATAGTTTATCATTTAAATTGTTACCTGTTGATGTTAAATTATCTAATTAGATTATCAGAAAAAGTTTTAATCAACTTTAATCTTAAATTAGGGTCACAATTAAATCTGTCTGATTGAATTAAATTTATTAATCAACTTCATCTCGAGCCAATTGGACAAAAGTTTTCCTAATTGTCTCAATCAAATCAATTGTTGAGCTAATAGATGATTAATCATAGAAACTAATATTAAGTTACTCATCTAATTGTCATCTTTTAATTGTGATTAGTTGATTTTCCAATGTGAAAGAGTTGAAACAATCAAGGAACTGATTTAATTCAGAATTACTAATGATTTTGAGAGGGTGAAAGTGGGAGTGTATTGGGGTAAATGATTAACATAATTAACAATTTAAACTAAATCAAAATCGAGGTGAAAACTTTGAACACTTAAGACCAATCATAAACAATTTAGCCTTAATTAACCAATGATAATTAGTATTAACAATTGTGATTGTACAAAAATAAGAAAATTGAATTTAAATCAACATGGAAATGATTTAAAATTATAATTATCATCTTCATCATCGTTAGCAATTAACTTGTAGCAATCAAATTTAATCTGTTGGTTAAAATTTGATACAATTAGTAGATTAAGATGAAGAAAACAAAATAATCAAGTTAATTAATTGTGGGCTGAACAGATTTTTTAATCATATCCTTAATCATTTGTCATCATTATTTTAATCATTACCATAATAATAATTATCAACTAAATTGTCACAATCAAGCAACAATTGAATCCGTCAAGATAATCATGACAATCAACAAAGCAAACAGTTAAGCAACAGTTAACAATTTAACTGTTTATCAACTTAATTGCTGTTGGTCATTTACTTAATCATTAATGACTTTTAATTGAACTGTTTTTTGTTTATCAGTCTAAACCTTTACAATTAAGATGATGATGATTTAAATGATAATCAGGAAATGGATTAAAATTAGTCCTGATGATTTAAATTACTACAAATAACTTGAAGGTTGAACAATCAAATCAACGATGTACAATTGATCAATCTCATTGTTAATAAGAAGCTAAAAGTTAATCTTTAATAATAATTTAAATTGTAATCAGTTAATCACAGCATCATATTGATTATAATTACTAGACTTTCAGTTATAAACAATAAGTTAATTGTTTGTTAAAACCTTTCAGTTTCGTGATGATTAGATTAACATGAGATGAGTTAAATTGCTGTGATTTGAAACAATCAAAAGTTTATCATGTCTTAATTTTAAACATTTCATCTTAATCATGATCATGATTTGATTCTTTATGATTTGTTGTTAATTGTGATCATGTTTTTTTAATTAGATACAGTTAATCATTTAATATAAATCTTTTGTTTTCAAGTTGCTTATTTAATAATAGCATCACAACAATCAAGGTTAATTTCAGCCTTTCTTGATTAAAGAAACTGATTAACATGTTAATTGTGAGAAAAGTGATAACCAACAATTAACAACAATTAACAGACCAAAAAGAAAATCAAATCTCCATAGACACTGAATTGATAAACAATTTAGCATGATGATTTAGCATATTCAACGACAAGGTCAACATGTATGATGAACAATTAACAATTAAAAGTGACCATCTAATGATATCGTTACAATTAACCACCAAGAAGCAAAACTAAAATCAACGAATCCAAGTAATTAAGTTAATCAAGTGATTAACTTATCCTCGATCAATTTATGTATATAAAGGGATTAGTTGATGATCAGTTAATTGTTATTGATTCTGATGATCTGATCTTAATTGTTATTGGCATCAGATGACCAATTGATTAGGTGACTTAAATTTAAGAGACTGTGAAAATTTTTACCTACAATTAGATTGATATTGGCATACGAATTTAGTTAATTGTTACAATCAAATTGTTACTCGTTTTAAATGATGAGAACTTTTTTTATTACAATTTAATCACAATCAAGATATCAGATTAAATTTAAATTTGCTACTCTTCAAAGTCTATTAACTAATCAATTTGTGTAAGTGTGTTAATTAGCAATTAATTTGATTAAATCTTGATTTTGTCACTTGATAAAAAGTTTTAGTTACACTTAAGTTAATTAAATATTTGACTCTTTTTTTTCATGATTAATTTGGTATCTTAATTAATTGATGATTATGATGATGATGATGAAGATGAATGAAATGTTGAGCCTTTGATGAACAATTTTAATTGTTTCAACCTGT